GTCTTGGAGGAGCCTTGTGCTTCCACTGGTATTTTTTCGGCGGATTCCAAAAAACGGCGTCATAATTTGGCGATACGCTCAGATCTTGGGTGACGCGGTGGATCCATGCTGGCAACCGATCGATACGAGTACCATCGGGCTTGATCATGGTGATCTAAGTGATCGTGGGAAAAATAACATCAGACATGAATTAACAGGGGGTGTCGTGTGCGCTTGGGTACAGCAGCGCAAATGAAAAAGATAGAACAATACCTTGATTTTGGAGTTGTGTGCGATAGGCAGTGTCCCGTCTGCATTGTTGGGCAAAAAGATCTCATATACTCCAAAATCGTCCTTTTTCATGGGATGGCTCGTAGGATTCCATTGATCTATTCACGACGTTGTAATGAGAATGGCGACACGCATGTAATGACAGTCAAGGACAGTATAGAATGGCACATTGGCCATGAAAAAGTTTGGAAGACGAATGCGAACGCGATTCACAAATGACATAGCCTTGTCACAATCAACCACAACAAAGCACATGAACGACAAAAGCAAGGCACGACATGGATACTAAAGTCGCCGAACAAGAAGGCCTTGGTTGCATTGGGGGCCCACTCCCTATAGGTGATTCCCTTGTCGGAAATCTGGAAGCCGAAGCGCTCGTAGCCACGCGTAAACTTTTCGTAGCCGCCTTGTTCATCGATGGCCTGTTTCCATTTTTTGTAAGCAGCATATCTATCGGAGGGGGGGAAAGGAGAGTATATCATCGAAGGTGGGCCAACAGTGCTGAGTGAGCGAGAAATGACTGTGGTTTGCAGTCGCAACCAGATGTGCCCAAGGATAGAAAAAGGTACCTCTCCAGGAGATCAGGCTTGTAGGGTGCCAGCCAGGGATCCAGCTTGATCACTCCGGCGCCTTCCTCGAGTGTTTCCGACGCAGGAGCATTTGCGGGTTGGTTGGGGGCCGTGTTTTTTGCTGTCGACATGACTGGGGTGCAGGAGAAGAGTAAGTGGTAATAAAGATTATGAGCAAACGAAAAAGTGAACGCATGTCATGGAGACGTGCATCACGACCCCAATTACTGAAGCCTCAAACGTTATTTCGCGTCATGTCTTCCCTGCTCCATCCATCATCGTATTCGATAGGCTGTATCTGTTGAAACCAAAACCACATTTATTGCTCTAGCTAGATTTATACCGCGCTTTGCAGATCTGTACGTGCTGATTGTTCAACATCGCGCTAGACGCGTCCTTCTCGCCACAGCGTAAAGAGTTTTCTATTAAGCAATGACACAGTAACGTGGTGTTAGAGCGATAAATCACCAGTCGCAAGAGCTATGCCATTCCTTGGAAGAGTGCCGTACGTTTAGAGAGGATGTGTTGATAAGGCTACAAGTCTAGCATATCGACAATAAACTTTGCCATCGTCAACATCATCAGGTTGCGACCAGTAATGTCATTGGTCTCGTCGATCTCATCGATCTGCCCCTGGCTCTGTAGGAATAAGAATATAGTGCATTTCTGGATCAACTTCTTGATTGCTGTCGAAATCGTAGTTGAGCTGGCGATCAGTTGCCTCAGCCGAATGTTGCCCCCTCTAAGCAGCTCACACAGTGTAAAGAGGGCGAGGAATTCATATTGTCTGTCGCCACTTTGAAGCAAGCGAGTATAAAACCCCTGAAGACCATCGGTGGGCGCACTCCAGACCTGGATAAAGCGTTCAGAGTCCTGGATGTCCAAATGAAGGTTTCGAATCGCTCCCATGCTCATGAGCTTTACTTCTTCGTGTGGGGAACACGAGAGGCGAAGTAAGACATCGAGCACCCCTAGTTGAAGTAGCTTCGGTCGAAGGCCATCTAACAGAGCGGGTTCGCCATGCCAACGAGAATGGTCAATGACACGCGAGTATGTGGTTGGCAAGTTCGAATATACACAACGGTCCCTGTAAACTGGCTGCCCTTACCATCTTCAGCTAATACATTAATACATACAGCCATGCCAGCCTGCGATTCCGCGCAGACGTCGAGCGCCACGTTGCAAATGCGCTCTACTAGCCCTGCTTTGAAAATTGCCTTCCGATTCTCCTCTCTCTGAATCAAGGCGTGAAGAGCCATCATGGTGATATGCTGAACTTTCTCGCTTTTCTTCGTTAAAAGCGCAATCAAGAGTTCAAGGAATCCGGATTGAACAATAAACGAATCATTCGATGGATAGTCAGCAAGTATAGTGAGACAGGCCACAGAGGACAAAATCTGAAGCTCCGAATCCGACCTCGACATGCGGAGAAGAGGCGGAAGGGCTCTGAGACGGGCAATTTCGAGTCTGTACGTCTCATCACGGGCCATATTTGCTAGGACGCAGGCAGCTTTGGTCTGGATTTTCTCAATTGAATCCAAGAGTCCGACTAGGGTGCGAACAAGCCCGGGAGCCGTTTGCAGAAGGATATTCCTGTTCACGCTTTCTGCTGTAAGATTTTTGAGAGCTATAGTGCAGCACTCTTGAACAACGCTATTACTGGAGCTCAATAGCCTGACTAGCACAGGCATACCGCCAGCTTTGACCAATTCTTGCATGCTCTCATCCGAACCGGTCAAGTTCGCAAGTGCCCATACCGCGTTCTTTTGAGCCCTCGGGTCGCTTGATTTAGCCAAGCGCATCAAAGGTACAATCGCACCCGATCTAGCGGCCTTCAATCTGTTATCGTCTGTAAACACGCATGGTTAGCCGTATCACATTAGTTTGTGAAGATTCCTATCATGCAACTTTTTTGTTTGCGAGGAGGCAGTACCATATACTGTAATCTGAGCGATGCAGCTCGAAGCTATCCAATGCACATCAACGTCGGGCGACTGTACGAGGCGCGCGAGTCGTTCCAGTGCTCCAAGGCCAACTGCTAAAAGGACGTTTCGTTCGTCTAGATCCAATTCAATGTAGTGCTTGTTAGCGGCATCATGGCCACGACTATTCTTTGGAAGACATCGCCGCGCTTTGTTTTCGCGGACTGTAAGCGCCCCTGTCAATACCTTCGTAAGTGATCTTGGCTAACGCGTACAAGGCAGGTTCGTGGACATCGGTGAACTCAGATCGAAGCAAGCAGCCGACAATTGGTTTCAACACGTCCGGACCCACGTATCCGCCGCCTATTATAGCCGTATCCATGTTATGAGATTTTACAACAAGCATTGTCCATATTTGCAGCAGACAAAAACAGCAACCAATCTTATGTTACTCAATGAGAGGACATTGATGATGCCGCGTACCTTGAACAGCCTTTCCCGCAAACATAGTCGCTGCCATCCTTTGAAAATCTCGACTACTCGAGTATGCAAGCGTTGAAAGAGCACGCAAAGGTCCCCCTTCAAGAAAGTTGGTCTGGGGATCTAATTATAATGGCGGAGTGTTGTGTAACCTTTAGTAAGAATATGTCTCTGGATGTGGCAGCGAAAACAGGGGAGATTAAGCTCTTTTGCTAGATATTTGGCCCCTGTCTCAATACGCGCAATTGGAGATGGCATATCCATCGAGTTACGCGAGCGAATAACCATGTGTTAGAATCGCACCGATGCCTCGATTCTTTCTTGATACCGACTCGCTGGTCGAGTAAAGCGTTGGTTTCTAGAGCTGTGGTTTGTGTGTGTTATGAGATGAAATTACTTACCTTGCATGTACACTCGCATTTTCAAGACTGCCTCGAAAAGGTTTGCCTTCAGATTTTCCTCTCCTCTCGCTGTGGTTGTGGAACCCTTTACTTCTTCTGTGGGGTGAGCAATCTCGGCCGGTGTATCGTCCACAACCCCTTGTCGGGGATCGATGTCGGCAATGGAAAGACTCTCTAAATCTGGCATCGATGGACATTCCTTGGCGTCCTCAGCGGCATCATCCGCCCCCAGTGGAACTGAAAAGGGACAAGGATGTTCGCGTCATTACCGATGCAGAATACTTGAGAGCAATCATTTACGATAGAGCGGCTATCGAGCGCGGTTGATGGAGGCATACCTGCGGATTCGTTCCTTTGCGCATGGTCCGCGACCACTACTTCAAGAATGACCCCTGGGTGATGGCTAATTCTCTCAGGCAGGATTCTACCACGCAAGGATAAGAGGAGGGTGTTAGTATGGCATAGGTAGTTATTTTGATGCCGAGAATTGTACTGAAGCAACTTACTCCTGGAAATTTTCGTCTGCCAAGAACGAAACCACTAAGGAGCCGTTCCGCACGTACTTGGCATTCTCAAATACTCGCTGGATATCTCTCCAGAGAATAATTTGCTGCCCGGTCGTTTTATCGTAACGAGAACTGATTTCGATTGGGTTCGGTGGTGGCGTCCCTGGAGGAAAGGAAGCCCGAAACGACTGAGATGGATTGTTAGTCATTGTTGCTTGTGATAGGAAAGAGAAAAGGAGAACGAGAAGGAGCAATAGAAACTGAAAAAGCTGCATCTTTTATCGGGGAACACAGTCGAGAAGCATGGGCAATGGCGAAGGCGTGTGCTTATGGAAAATGGCGAAGGCGTATGCTTCTCCCTGCTTGTCTCATGCTGTACTGTTGTTGTTGTTTTTGCACAACATTGGAAATATACCACCATTCATTGCAGCATGGTCGAAAAATAGCACAGCAATTTGCAGGGGCAGAGGCAGACCTGTTTCAAAAGAACATTATCTAGTATTTCACGCTGCTAATGTTTTTTGTGGTTGTTGTTTCTCGGCCGGAGATGGGATGCAAGATCTCACCTCCGCATTGTTTTTTGCCCTCGCCATTGTTGTCAATGTTTCAATAACAACTTCGGATTTTATTGTTTCTGTGCATTGAGCACGCTGCCACGAAATACAAAAAATAAAAATGAAAACAGCTGCATTGCTGTGGGATGAAGATCATAAAGTGTATGCAAATCGAGTTTGTGAAAGCAAGGCCCGTTATCGTTCGTTCCGCGAAAACGAAGGACTTTGGTGACCAAACGTCTCACGGCGGCCAATGCTTTGCTGAGCCGTGAATCTCCGTTACATATCGCCCTCCGTATCTACAACTACAAAGTCATCGTCAGAATCCTCTTCATTCTCCTCAACAGTCTCGTCCTTCTTTTCCTCAGCTTGCTCAACAGCAGCAGATGTAGTCATCGCTTCAATTTGCGTCGGCTCTTCAACAACAATACTATTCAAAAAAGAGTGGTATTAATATTCGCCGCAGCAATGTCCATGCAGGTCTTTTAAAACAATGTTGCACATGCTGGCACCTACTCGCACCAAACGCGCTGACCAAAAAGTTCACCAGATGGCGAGACCAAACGCCAGTATCTATGTTCAAGGATAAATAGCACAGATAAATGTCAGCTCAACGTGCCATGTTAATTAACACTGATTAATTCACGAAAACAAATGCACTTACGAGATGTAGCGTCCAGGGAAGGAGGGGACCTTGAGATTAGCAGAAACACAGAGAGACTCTGCAACGCCAATAGCATCAACCTTCACCTCAGGACTCTTACAGTCGTTATCGTCTTCGGAAAACATCCTGTCCCCACCGACAAACTGAAACACAGTTCCTTCGGGCCACTCTGCAGGTCCGGGGTTAGCAAGCTCCCAAATCTTCATGAAAGATGCTCCAGCCTGGACCACAGTACCGTCCTTGTGGGTGATATCCTTTACGAACACTGCATTCAAGGCCACTTCAGATGCTCTAGAACACGACAGACATAATGTAGCATTGTACTAGGTAAACGACATGGAATTAAAATGTTAGGGTACACATGCCAACTCGTCACGTACTTTGATACAGTGTCCTGGGAAGAGGTCTGCGAGATGGCGTCCTGCCTAGGCTTGCATAATGCAGCCATGGGACACTTCTGGCCGGTCTGTTGCGGATGGTGGCACACAGCCTGGCCCCAGCCCTTCTTGTACAACTGCGGCAGCAGTGGAGTTGGTGTAGTCATGCTAGAAGAGATTGGCCTGCGAATCTTGAGCATGATATGGCTAGGATCATGGACAGCTTCAGGCAGCGCCTCACAGTTGCCACAAAGATCGTAATCAGCGCAGTTGCCGCACTGGACAGAATCAAATAAAATATGCAGTTTGTCAGTCCATCTACCAAAGATTCAGATACTTTGTTTTAGGTGCGCCAACCAACCAAGAAGAACCGCCTTTATGCATACCTTGTAACGGACGCCATAGATGTCGTTGTCGCAGCCATCACACACCACACCATAGTGGGGCGTCTGGTCGACCTTGACCTGGATCTGTCCATGGTAGGCAATTGGAATGAAGGTGTGACCCTTATGCTGAGTCTTGGCCAAGGGCAGACATCCCTGACACAGGTCATAGTCAGGGCACTGGAAGCACTTGTGTCGCACACCAACAATTGAATTCAAGCACAGATCGCAAGAGGCATGGTGCTGCATAGCGTGTTGACCAAACTGGCGGGATGGTGTGGTGCTGCCTCTCTCGGTCATTTCCACATATTTCTCAATAGGTTTGAAAGTGTGGCAGGGATGCCGCAGACCAGCGACTTTATGGCAGTTTTGACACAGGTCATAATTGTCACAGTCTTGACACTTCCAGCGGGTGCCGCGGACAGTGTTCAGGCAGTTGTCACAGTAGACATTCGGATGGACGGATTCTTGTAGGTAAAAAGAGCAAAGAACATCAACACCAAAAATGGAAGACAAAGATAAGAGCGAGGATATGGCGATAATAGATTGACACCTTACCGCTGGTTTGTTTGTCATCTGAGCAGCTCCTGTTACATTGGGCGGTGCCGGTATCGTTGTGTCGGTTCTCCAGAGAGAGGTCCTTCAAGGATCTTTTGGCAGCGAGGACGTCGTCCGCCTTGGCGCTTGCCACTTCTGTTGATTAAAAATGTTTCCGGGTCGCATTGAGCCAATTGGGCGTTAGATCTTGCTGCTTTCAAAGTTCAACAACGTTTGGTCGTTTGGTAAGGCTGCAGTGGCCATGTGTTACCTCGCTCATAGGGTTCCACGTCGAGACGAACGACCATGACGGAAGGACTTGGCTGCGCTTGCTTACTGAAACTCGCAATGGCCTCGAGGACATCTGCATCCTTGTTGATGGTCTTGCGAACACCATTATGGTCCTCGTACGAGATGGCCATATTGGTTTGGTTGAACAGTGAACAAATCTAGTAGGGGCAGAATAATTTTTTTCCACATGTTTAATATTTGTACAAAGCAAATTGAGTATTATCCAGCCAGGCATGGACAAGACACTGTAGTACCTTCTCATGGATGATAGTGTAGGAGAGCCGCGAGGCATCCTGGTCGAGGCGGTCGAGGTGGATGTTGGCGAGGGTGAATCGCCTAAACTCCGACTCAAGGGTGACCTTTATAACACATAGCATGTTGGAGGGATAGTAGAGTATATACAAAGAAAATAAAAGAAAAATAGGGAATTGATCGAGATAGATGATAGTGGAAACAAAAAAAGCGAGTTCAAGAGATGAAGGACGTAGGCCACCGTCCACACGGTACACCAGTCACATAATATGTTGTGTCTCGCTCTCCTTTCAGCGCCTCCAGTGTCAAGTTTGTTTAGCATATCCGCTTGCTCATCTCATCTTCCCACCTCCGTTTACTCATTTATTGCACCCTCTGTGACCTCATTCAGCTATGGATCTGGAACAGTTCGAGGTTCTGGAGCTGGTCAACAAGATTCGCAATGAACTCTTGAACCACACAGGCATTGACGACAAGACTGCTGGTAGGCAACTAAAGAAAAAAAAAAAAACTTTTTTGCATCCGTTATCGAACCTGAGTTATGAATGTGAACTACCAACCTGACCCAATCGCTCTCTCGCAAACGTCTCTTCAGCCGAGTTTGTCATCAGTGTCCATGAAGAGTCTCCTGACTATACGACATTCAAGAAGAATATGCAGGAGATTGGCGAGTTCTCGGATTCGTTTGTTGGCAACATCGATCGACTTATCAGGACCATGCATCCAAAATACAAGAAGGCGCCTGAGCCCGCAAAGGTCGACGAGACCGCTATCAAGGACGAAAAGACGCATCGCTTCCCTGGCCTTGCTTTACCCAATAACCCTGGCTGGGTAAGTGCTTATGATCTGTGGATATCCTTGTTGTTCATTGCTGCGTAAAAAGTCCACCTCTAAATAATCTTTCCCCTGGCATTCAATCACTTTTAGACGGCAGACGACGATGAACCGAGCATTAAAAAGAAAGCTGCTGCTAACGATTTCATGTCGGAATTCGAGAATATGATCGAAAGCGCAAAAAAGGAGTCAAGGAACAGGAGCAGGAGCAGGAGTCATAGCCCCAAGCGCAGGAGAGTGCGCTCGAGGTCAAGAGACAGACATGGTCGTGGACGTAGTCGTAGCCGCAGCAGAAGCCCTTCTCGGAGGGATGAAAGAGAACGATACGACCGATCAAGACCGTCGTTGGACGACGCCCCGGTCTTGTACAAGATCTACACTGGCAGAGTCACCAACACTAAGCCGTTCGGTGCATTTGTGACGTTGGATGGCGTTCGTGGCAAGGTCGAGGGCATGGTTCATATTGGCATGTTGCACGCAGGTCGAGTGAACGAGGTATCGGAAGTGGTCAAGAGGAATGACACTGTCAAGGTCAAAGTCATGTCCGTGACATCTACTAGGGTGTCTCTTTCCATGAAGGATGTCGATCAGAAGACCGGCAAGGATCTCTCGCCTCATTTGCGCATCAGGACAAAAGAAGAGATGGCCCAAGATGCGGCACGTAACCCGGACCGACCTTCCTCAACCACAGTACCCATTATTGAGGACGCCGACTCTAAGTCATCGAGGTTAAAGCGCATGTCGTCGCCTGAGCGTTTCGAACTCAAGCAGTTGATTGCGTCCGGAGTTGTGGACGCCTCAGAATACCCAGAACTCAACGAGGACTTTGGGACTGGTAACATGGAGGCCGAGGAGGAGTTAGATATCGAGCTTTGCGAAGACGAGCCATTGTTTCTGAAAGGACAGGCACGCCATGCGCTGGATCTGAGTCCCATCAAGGTTGTCAAGGCTCCCGATGGTACTTTGAATCGTGCTGCCTTGTCGGGCGCAGCATTGGCCAAGGAACGTAAGGAAATGCGACAGTCGGAAGTGAATGCTGAGTACGATTCTGTTCCCAAGGACATCAACAAGCCATGGCTTGATCCTATGCCAGAGCCGGGAGAGCGGAACTTTGCACAGGATCTCCGAGGAAGCGCCGCCAGCAGCAAAGCGGGACAGGTCCCGGAGTGGAAGGCCAACACCTTTGGCAAGGCAACAACATATGGTCGAATCACGGACATGAGCATACAGCAACAGCGAGAGTCGCTGCCGATCTTTGCATTTCGTCAGGCCCTCGTGAACGCCGTCAAGCAAAACCAGATGTTGGTTGTGATTGGTGATACAGGATCAGGAAAAACGACGCAGATGGCACAATATCTTGCAGAGGAGGGCTTAATAGCAAATGGTCGCATTGGATGCACACAGCCACGTCGTGTTGCCGCCATGTCGGTCGCGAAGCGTGTTGCAGAAGAGGTGGGATGTCGATTGGGCCAAGAAGTTGGTTACACGATTCGCTTCGAGGACTGCACGAGTCCCGAGACGAAGATCAAGTTCATGACGGACGGAATGTTGATGCGAGAGTGCCTTGTGGACCCATACATGTCGCAATACTCTGTCATTATTCTGGACGAGGCTCACGAGCGTACGGTCAACACGGATGTTCTCTTTGGACTCTTGAAGCAGGCCACCAAGAAGAGGAAGGACCTGAAGATTATTGTTACTTCAGCAACTCTGGACGCCGAAAAGTTCTCGACGTACTTTTTTGCCTGTCCTATTTTTTCCATTCCCGGCCGCACCTACCCCGTCGAAGTCCTTTACACCAAGGAGCCAGAGTCCGATTATCTCGATGCCTCGTTGATCACAGTTATGCAAATCCACTTGTCCGAGCCTGCCGGAGACATCTTGCTGTTTTTGACCGGTCAGGAGGAGATCGACACCGCAGCCGAAATTTTGTACGAGCGCATGAAGGCTCTAGGACCGATGGTGCCCGAGTTAATTATTCTTCCAGTTTACAGTGCTCTTCCTTCTGAGATGCAATCCAAGATTTTCGATCCCACCCCAGCAGGTTCGCGTAAAGTCGTTATTGCCACCAACGTCGCCGAAACCAGTATTACAATTGACGGCATCTATTATGTGATCGATCCGGGATTTGTTAAACAGAACGCTTACGATGCCAAGCTGGGAATGGACTCTTTGATCGTAACACCCATCTCTCAAGCTCAGGCCAACCAACGCAAAGGACGCGCAGGACGTACAGGACCCGGAAAATGCTACCGACTCTATACAGAAGCCGCCTACCGAAACGAGATGCTGCCCAGTCCAGTTCCTGAAATCCAGCGCACCAATCTCGCCATGATTGTGTTGACACTGAAGGCCATGGGCATCAACGATTTGATCAACTTTGATTTTATGGACCCGCCGCCAGTACAGACGCTGTTGACTGCTTTGGAGCAGTTGTTTGCGCTCTCGGCATTGGACTCTGAGGGATTACTGACTCGTCTCGGCCGCAAAATGGCTGTCTTTCCAATGGAGCCACCACTTGCCAAGATGCTGATCCTGTCCACAGACCTGCACTGCTCAGAGGAAATTTTGACTATCGTATCGATGCTGAGCGTCCAGAATGTGTTTCATCGACCCAAGGATAAGCAGGCATTGGCCGACAGCAAAAAGGCCAAGTTCCATCAACCTGAAGGAGATCATCTTACGCTTTTGACGGTCTATAACGCATGGAAGGCTTCGAAATTCTCAAATCCCTGGTGCTTTGAGAATTTTATTCAAGCGAGGAGCATGAAGCGTGCATCGGATGTTAGGAAGCAATTGCTCGGTTACATGGATCGATATAATCAGGACGTTGTCTCGTGTGGCAAAAACTATACACAGGTCAGACGGGCTCTTTGCGGAGGATATTTCCGTCACGCTGCCAAAAAGGATCCACAGGAAGGTTACAAGACCTTAGTGGAGGGCACGCCTGTGTATATCCACCCAAGCAGTTCTCTATTCAACAAGAATCCAGAGTGGTAAGTCATCTCGTCGTATTCTCTGCGTACTTACTTTATTTGCATGAATGTTGTCGCCAGCATTTATCTTACCGTATATTCTATTACTGGTACGTAGGGTCATTTATCATGAGCTAGTTATGACGACCAAGGAGTACATGCGCGAGGTGACAGCAATTGAGCCAAAGTGGCTCACCGAGGCAGCACCAACCTTCTTCAAGGTCGCAGACGTCAATAAGATTTCCCGCCGCAAGCGTCAAGAGAGGATCGAGCCATTGTTCAACCGCTACGAGAAGCCGAACGAATGGCGTCTCAGTCGTCTCAAGACAGGAAGCCGCGTGTCGCAAACATTCTAGTGAACGACCAAAAGAGTCATGTTGCATACACACAATATACTTCTCTACTATCAGACATACACACGTGATTGGAACACCAACATATGTATAAAAAAAATGACTTTCAGGTACTTCATAAATTGTTCTCCGCACTCTTACTTTCTTCACCATTCATCATGTCGAGCGATCAAGCTGTCCAGGACATCGTAGCGTATGCGCATACGCTTCTCGGCTCGGATTCAACTGGAGTACATCTTACATTTTCCATAGAGAACTGAGATTCGCTGCTTCTTACTTTGTCCTCACTGCAAATAGGCCTTTGGAAAATACCAAAATTGCCTCCGAGCAAAAGGCTGAACAAATTGGTAAGGACAAAGGGAGCAGAAGCTATGGAGCATGAAACGGAAGGCTATATATCATACATATCCTTTCGAAATTGCTACACGTATGGTGCGAACGATCCGTTATTGCTGGAACTGCACAACGATGTCTGATGCTAGGCTTCATATTGAACTTTTGAAAAAAAAAAAAAAATAGTTGACCCTTGGAATGTTCAGGGAGCCGTTGTCGATGGCAAGCAACTGGGAATTGATTATGATCGCCTGATTGAGTCGTTCGGCACCCGAAAGATAGATGAAGCTCTCTTGCAGCGCATGGAGACCTTGACGGGCCATAAGCCCCATGTTCTTCTCAGACGTGGCGTGTTCTTCTCCCACAGGTATGGATATCCTTTTAATAAGGATGGCGCAACTTGATACCACGTCTTTTAAAGTGTTCCGATTGATTGATTGCTTGATTGCTTATTTTCCTCATGGATCACAAGTGCATCGTTGAAAGAAAAGCACAAGGTTACTAATGCTGCTTGTGTAATCTGTGATTTGTATTATCGTAGAGAGCTGAGCAGGATCTTGGATCGATATGAGCAAAAGAAGCCATTCTATCTCTATACTGGGCGTGGACCTTCTTCCGACAGCATGCATCTGGGACACATGATCCCCTTCTTGTTCTGTCAGTACCTGCAGGAAGTTTTTGACTGTCCATTGGTTATCCAGCTGACTGGTAAGCAAAGCCTTTCCGGACCTCAGGATCTGGAATGATTGTTAGCTTTGAAGACTCGTGATAGCAGGAGGAACTAACATATGTGCAATTTGACATGCAATAGATGACGAAAAGTTCCTATTCAAACCCAACCTCAAACTGGAAGAGTGCATCAAGTTCTCGAGACAGAACGCCAAGGATATCATTGCATGCGGTTTTAACCCCGAGAAGACGTTTATCTTTTCTAACCTCCTTCATGTCGGGTAAGGCTCGTTTTCAGGAAAACCATGGACTTCCGACAGATTGTTTATGCTTGCTGGGATAGTTGCTTGGATGAAAGTGATCAAATTCAGGGCAACTAATATCCTTTGAACCTCACCTGTCTAAAATCAACTAGTGGCCCATTCTATCACAATGTTGTGCGCATCTCCCGCTGCATCACCTACAGCCAGTCCAAGTCGACATTTGGCTTCAACGAAAGTGACAATGTAGGCAAATCACACTTTGTCTCCATTCAGGCGGCACCATCCTTCTCCAACTCGTTTCCTGCCATCTTTGGGGATCGCTCGGACATTCCTTGTTTGATCCCGTGCGCCATCGATCAAGACCCTTACTTCCGTTTGACGCGTGATGTCGCGCACAGGTTGAAGTATCCCAAGCCCGCATTGATCCATGCCAAGTTCTTCCCTGCGCTCCAGGGACCTGGCACCAAGATGAGTGCCTCGGTCGATAGCTCTGCTATCTTTATGACGGACACTGCAGTCCAGATCAAGAACAAGATTAACCGTCATGCATTCTCGGGCGGTGGAGCGACCATGGAGCTGCACAAGGAACATGGCGGCAAGCCTGAGGAAGACATCCCCTTCCAGTATCTTTCCTTCTTCCTGAACGACGATGCAGAAATTGAGGAGATCGAGAAGAACTACAGGGCAGGAACGCTCTCGACAGGTGATCTCAAGAAGCGTTGCATTGAGGTGCTCCAGAAGTTCGTTGGCGATTTCCAGACTGTAAGTTGACATGCTGTCTTTAGGGGGTTTTCTTGGAATGGCTTTCCTTCCGTTTCATATTCTAACGTTTGTGCTCTTTTCTATCATGAACAGCGCAAGGCGGCTGTCACGGATGAGGTCTTGGACTACTACATGACCCCCAGGTCCATGGACATCAATCTTTCGGCTAAGTAGGACGATGCGAAAGCAGGCAACACAGACATTTCAAACCACCTTTGTACAACGTCTATATTGTTTTTCAGACCTGTAGACCAGAAGGAAAATAAACATCATAGAGCAACATTCAGTACGATGCTGCTTATACATAGCGGTATTTATTTGGTTGTAAATGTCCGTCTAACGTTCCTTGCTTCATGGCCTCCTGCCACAGCGACTATCACAACATGAAGAACCCAACTTCCTACACTCCCTTGAAAACCAATGACCAACGACTGTGCTCTGTTTTTCATACACCTCTACTTTTGCAACTCGCCGACGGCAAACAGTTTTCCTAATGTTGGTCCAGCAAATTCGTTGATCTGTTTGCAATAGTTATCGATCTGTCCAGAAATCAAAAGGTGGTCCAAACGGCTGGGCTCGGCAGGCAGCTTGAACATGGCATCGACATCCTCGTTGGGCAGAGGAGCCTGACCAATCTGAGCACGACGAGCATTCTCGGTTTTCTAAAAAAAAAAAAAAGGCACAGCGCGATTAACATCCTGGCACAAAATCATCATCGTGATCCTGAGCAAATGCTTTTCATCCACGATGCGAGACGATGACGTGAGAACTGGGAAAGACATACTCTGTTCAAAAGATAGGCCGCCTTTTTCTTGTTCTCGCGATCCACGCTGCGCTGCCAGTAGGCATAGTTGCCCTGCTCCTGCTGGTGGTCGTCAATGGTGTCCATCAGATTCTCCAAGTTCTTGGCAACATAGGGATCCAAGCTCAACTCCAGCATATCGAAGCTGGGCGTGAGGACTGATTGCTTGTTCTGACTGCTGTTGACGGTGCTCTTATAGGTCGTCAAGTGTGATGTCGAAATCTCGACCGAATCATCCGAGGTCTCGAGCTCAAACAAAAGTGCGTTCAGCAAAGCGGTGTTACGGATCGTGATAGGGAGCTCCTCGAAAATGTTAGAGAACGTCAACTTGGCCTTGGCGAGGGCCTCGGTTGTGAACTTCTTTTCCTTATACAACTTCATGAACGTAGGGGTGAGGCGAAGAGCACGGAGGTTAAGGTTGCCCATGGAGGAGCGAGCGATATCTATATATGAAGAAAAAGAAGGACGCAAGTCTGAGATGGCGGCGGATATCCATTGAAGTTTGTCCTGAGTAAGGGCGTATTGCAGCTTTCCTGGCTTCCAATCTCATTGATGTCCCATACCGTGGATGATAAGAACAGACTTGCTCAAGGCCTGCTGGAACTCGAACTGATGCTCAATCAGGGACTGATTCATAAAGTTGCCCATGTTGGCCGACTGGTACCAACCAACTGAGTTGTCGTCAACATTGACCTCGCGCAAGCAGCGCATCATCTGCAGCTGGTATTGGGATCCTAAAAAAAAAAATGCCGTAAGAATTGTTAGCAATGTCTTCCATTAGCCTTACTCTTTCATATATCGCCATTCCTAATGCTCAATTACGTCCTGTCCTTCTTGTTTGCTTACCCTCAAAGTCCTCAGAATCTTGGTTCTTGGGCATAGGGAACGAGTGGGTGACCTCAAGAACGCCGTTGACGTCCAAACCCATCAGCTGGCCGGTGACCGTGGTGGGAGTTGACTCGCGGCAGTGCTTGACAATCTTGAGAACGACCTGGAGTATATTGGATGCATAGCAGAGAGATGGCGGTATTGATTAGATTGAGAATGGCGCCTTAATAATTTGCCATCAAGTGGTCCTGAGAAGTGTGGCTGCAACACGACGTGTTCTTAAGTTCAGATCGCTGCTCCTGATGTCTTTCGAGCCCACTGAGTCGAATTTAGGCGAGCAGCTCCATTCGTTTCGTTTTGTTGTTGCCTGACTCCAGCTACGGCTAGCGTATCATGCACTTTAGCGTTCTGCGGTAGCGTCGAGATTGAAAGAGTGATGAGCTGTGCTGAAGAGATTCGAGTGGACACGGGGAGGTTACCATGGCATCAAGTTGGACGCTGTGGATGGGGACGGTGCCCTCGATATCCAGGGCAGCAGACAACTCCTTATTGGCGGGCATGATGGACGTTGATGAGGAGTGAGTGATGGAAGGAGGAGGTGGATCACAAATATATTCTTTCCTTTTGAGTTATGCGCTCGCTGTCAGCCTGCTTGCTGTCACTCCTTTTTTTTTTTTGCACGGCCCTACTGCTAAAAAAAATAACACACGCCACGCCGCAGATGACAGCGGATCGCATGTGCATCGTATAGCAGTCACTAAATGTTTATTTTGTGCTGTCTTGTGTTGCTTAAAAAAAAAAAAGGCAGGCACTCAAAGTGTTAGAGCACACACATTGTCTTTTCCATCTCCATCTCCCTCCCCACCTTCCATCTCACCAAATATACTTGTACAATGGATGTCTCAGGAGTTCTCGAAGCCCACAAGCAAAAGTTTAAGTCGGTGTCGGTAGAGGGAAAGGTCATTCCTGTTGAGTATGATCTCGGTCTCCTTGCTGCATACGACCAGAACCCCATAGACGAGGCCGAACTCAAGTATGATGCCGTTTTACAACCGTCCTTCTATCTTATTGTTACCAAGCAGCATATCCCTGCATCGACTTGACACTGACAAATAGTATTTATCATCCTTTGGACCCTCAGGAAAAACAAGGACGAATACCTGCAGGCGCTTTCAAGAGACAATGCCCAGCTTCTTTTCAACGAGATCTTCCAGCTGCAGACGATATCCGACGACAATGGTGTGATGGCTATGCTCCCTACCCCTACAACGCTGCTTCCTCGTGAGAAGCCATTGCCCAAGCCCAAGCCCGAGACCCGCTGGGAGAAGTTTGCCAAGGCCAAGGGCATTGTCAACCGCAAGAAGGAGAGAATGGTCTATGACGACGCTTCAGGAGAATATAAGCCCCGTTGGGGTTACAAGGGCGCCAACGACGATGGAACAAAGGACTGGATTATTGAGGTCCCTACAAGCGCCAATCCCATGGAGGATCAGTACGAGGCCAGGCGAGAGGCAAAGAAGGATCGTATCGAGAGAAACGAGAAGCGTCGTCAGCGCAATACGGAGGAGGCTGCAGTGGCGACCAAGATGGATCAGAAGGCTGTCAACAAGGGCGATCGGCCCAATATGGACAATGCTCGTACTTTGAAGAGGAAGGAGATCGAGAACCAGATCTTGATCAGCAAAAACTCGACCGCCAGTGCTGGAAAGTTCGACGAGGCCATCAAGGGGGATCTGAAGCCCAGAGGTATCAAGCGTCAGTTCGCGCCTACAGTCACCGATCTGTCAAAAGAAAAGGCCGGCAACATGAACATTCTGGACAGGGTTGTTGGAAAGAACGGAGAGGACCTTGTGAACGTTCGCAAAGTAAGTGGAGATACCCTTGCCTCATTTGGATATTTTTACAGTGAACCAATGTCGCTCTACCGATGGAATATCGTTATTAATACCTATTCATCTATTTCGCACTTTGAACAGGCTATCAAGGCGTCGAAACGCCAATAGATGCTGGAAGACAACATTATTTGCACGTTCATCATATAATAAAATATATCATTTTTGCATTGACACAACAAATGGTTTAGGGCATCTTTAATCGACGAGGTCAATAACCGGTCATTTAAGCCATGGTTCTAGATCATTGAAGAGCCAGCTACGAGTGCACCGCCCAAGATCAACGAGAGCATAACAAATGCAATATAACGGAAAGTCTGCGACTGATTTGAATCACCAATCTCGAATGAATGGTCCTGCTCCTGCCGACGAAACTCCTGCACTGGTCGAGAAACATTGTCCACTGTCGGCTCCAGTATTGTTGCCTCGCTCTCCTCCAGGACACCGTCGCTTTCTGCCACAAATGAACTTTTTTCCTTTGATTCTGTCAACTCAACATTCTGGACATTGCCAAAGAAGTCTGTGAGAAGCACCTATATTATGGAAGAAAACACCGAGAAGACGTTATTACGAGGCCAGAGACGTGCATTTCAATCCGTATCATTCGCACTCAAACAGCCATACCTGATCTAGAGGCCGGTTGAAAAGATCGTCGCGCACTCCAGGTGTTGAATGCAGCAAATCGAAATTGTATGTATCGAACTATTGATGTACAGAGAAACAGTAGGTTTGATAAATGCTTTGCTGTCATTGTGTGCAGCATGTGTTAGCCAGTATCATGATCAATTGCTTACGAGATCTTTGAGTGTCGCCTTGGATTGCATGTCAACTTTTTCGAGTACTTCCAGAACATAGTAGGTGAATCTGTCGATGACAGCGACGCCAATGTCGGGATCATCGTGGTGCTAGATATTCAGTCCGTCGTGATTAATAATAAGAATGCATCAGCTCAAATCTACAAGAATGCATCAGCTCAAATCTACAAGAATGCATAGTCTTGCAGGAAAGCAGTATCGTAGGCATACCGAATAAGAACTCTCCTTGAGCTTGCTGCTTCCTGTGGCGAGGATGTTGGGCGAATGGATTTTGGTATACATGGTGTTGGCTTGGCAGGTGTCAATCATAAAAAGGATCTCGTTGTAACGCTTCTTTTCGTACATTTGTTGGAAAGCGTCACCGAGATCGTATGCGCTGATTTCCTCCGCATCCTGGAACTTTAGAAATTCCTCGCCACCGTGGCCTGTCATATAGACTAGAATGTTAGACTGGTCATCTGTCAAGAGACGCTTAGATCGAGGCGTCTCCTTGGCCACACGCCCTATTACACAATGGAAACACATTGTCTGGTCAGTCCAAAGTGTCAATGAGATCCTAGTAGGCCATAGAGCCATTAAGCGTCGCTGTTGGCAGCTCATAGATGTCAACCTTACCGGTCAATAGGCGGATAAAATTCTCTACGGTGACTTCGTATCCTCTGTAATCGACCTCAACGTTCTCGCCATAAAGATCCAAGTATCTGCCACGGTTATTGTAGACCGTGGCGGGGAAAATATTTCTAGAGTTGCAAGCGACATCATCTGCGAGCATCATAATGATATTGGAGTCTGGAATACCAAGTCTTTTGACGGTCCTGTACATCGATAGTGTATTGGCAATGTGGCGATAGTTGAACCAGAATCGAGATGTGCAGACCTAAGTGCGGCAGAAGGCATTAACCCATTCGGATATTCCCAGCATCAGTATCCACATACGCGTCTCCTTGGCGATAGTCTATATGTCTAGCTGGTAAGGCCCTGTTATCAACATTGTATGGTAATCATACCAGAACTGCCCAGTTATTGGTATGCCCACTTTTGCTCTTGTTCTTGTTGAAGAAGCCCTCGACATCATTCTGGTTGTTTGTGACCGATATTGCGAGCGTCGATGCGATGCAGAGGCCCACCAGGAGGGACCTGAGTATTGTGGTGATTTTCATTGGCTGATGATGACAATGACAAGTTGTGAAAGGAAGATGTAAAGGACAGTCGTGAGATGCATGCTCACTTGCACCGCGGTGTGCCCAATCAGCTGCGCTGTACAGCAACCCCATAGTCAGTGGCTTTCATTTTCAGGTCCCAAAAGGCATCCTCTGCGACCAAGCAAAAATCACACACACCCGTTTCGCGCCAACCCTGGACACGCATAACACAGAACATCAGCATGAACAGAGGCATTGGACTAGTCGCCTATGGGGATTCGGATTCAGATAGTTCGGATGAGGACACGATCATGAGTACAGCACCAAAGCAGTCAGGCAAGGCATCGAGTCGGCTTCGTTGGGATGAACACAATCGACTTATAGAGGAGCCAGTACAAGTGTCGATGGCTAACCGCGATGTATCTGTGTCAAATGTGCATGCTTTAGGATCCAGCGATGATTACCAAAAAACGCAAGGGACAGAAACGAATATAGACAAGGTACAACCATTGCGCATTGCATGGATGCATGGATAATCCTGTTGAAAGAAGCGTTTGTGCTAACTGTGATCAACTGCTTCTGTCTTATCAGGATCAGGAACCCGGTATGGATTAGCTGAATCGTGCAGAGTCGTATTCTACTTTCTAAGAAAAGTAAATCAAGGAGATATCATTGTAGCGGATCACTCATTCCTGTTCTACTCTAATAGTGGACAGGCCTGCACCTCAGGATACGATATCAGTCCGACCAACTATAAACGCGCGGCTTTCTGGAGCCGATTCACTCAACAAGATTGCATTTACGAACTTGATGAAGCAAGGATTGGTAGCGTCTTCATCCTCATCCATTGAAGCCTCGCATGTACAACAATCACCTGCAGCGGAGGGATCAGTACCGTTCAACTCTCAATCATTCACACGATCTCTATCAGGGACGCCATTGCCTGCTGACCACAGTGCTGCCGCAGAGGTGCTGAACACACCCACTGGTGGCAGGAGTCCGCAGGTCGCTCAAACAGAGAGGGTACCCATTGCAGAAGAGGTACAAGTTGATATGAAGGACGCCGATGGCACTCAAAATCAACAAGGTCGGGCCGTACTGATGAGGGCGCTTCTTAGACCCAAGCCTATTCCGGGAGTTGAGAACTTTGGAATTCCGCCTAATCCTGAAGGCGAGGTCAATCCAGATGTGCAAGTATGTTAATAATTAATCAGTTACGGTGTAATGACATGGAGAACTTTCTTTATCTTTACTCTGCAATGAAGAAAAACGCAGGAGGATGGGAATGGCACTAGCTGCAGAACTACTTATGCACCACTGTCCGTGCTTGATTCTATGCCGATCTTTAGGCAAAGATGGAGCAATTCCAGCATGTCAAGATGACGCGCGGGATCCACTTCAATCAATCCTTAATGAAGAACAAGAACTTCCGCAATCCCCATATCTATGCTTCTTTGGTCGAATTTGTGGCTCTGAATGAGATTGGGTCCAACTTTGAAAGAATCGAATTCTTTGACTTTGAGGGCTATGGGCCAGAGTCATATGCCGTAGGGATCGGTAAGTATTTTCCTTTGTTGTGTTTGTTGTTCTTGTCATTTTGACGTACCTGGGAGCGGAATACGAGAGTACCGGCCCATGCGAAGAGGAGGAGGGTTCCGTGAACTCTAATTTTCTCTGGATGACAAGATGAAGAATTTTAGCGCGTTTGTGTTCCGGCTTGTATCGCATGCCAGGGCTGTGTGAAAATGTTGACCCTTTCCCTGTGCAGCGGGAAATAAACAATCGACATGCATATGCAAGGGTGCGTCATGGCTCTCAAAATGAAAAATGTGTTCTCGAGCAGAGGAATGCATTAAAGGCGAACCGGCCAGTGGGCTCGGGAGGCAGTGTGTGGTATCATAGAGAGTGCACACGGAAGAGTCAACAGTTCTTGTCCTGAATAACAAAAGAATTCTCAGGAACAAGCATGAGAGGCGAAGCAGACACAGCGTTGTTCCTCCTGGTCCAGCTACGCCGTTTTCATTACCACTAACATTCATATCGATTTTATAGCCGAAACACAGAAGCAGACCACGGAAAAACTTGCTCAGCAACAGACGTTGCCTAGATCCCAGCTCCAGTTCGTGTCAGGATCGGGTACCCAGGGAGGCGGACCAAATATAGGGGGTGGAATTGGATTTGGATCAGCAGTTGTTGCGACGAGACTGCAGACCTCGGCATCAGCGACTGGGGTGACAACTGCCTCTGTGACTGCAGCCTCCTCAACAGGGGTCTCGTCTGGACTGCAGCGGGCAAGGAAGAGTAAATGGGACATCTCGCAGGCGACAGACGACTCAGCTAACAAACGAAATCGTCATTGACACCACCAACGACAACAGCAGCAGCACCAACAAGTGCTAATAAAGATGCCAGTAGAGACACATGCAAAAGTGCAGGTTACCATCCATATTTGTCATGAATGTAGACCTGGGCCTTTATAGACCACCGGTCTTATCTGCGGCAGTGTGGAGATGGTGTTCTGGTTTATCCACTACTCTATTCTATCTGGGGGCTCCCCATACCCGCTCTACCTTTGCTCTTTCCTCTCAATCTCTAGCTTTCCATCTCGCGTATTTTCCTGGAAGACTCAGCATTACAACGCATAGCGCAAACTGCTCTTCTCTGCTTTGGCATTACAGCATCTTGCATGGATAACTTATAGGGTGGCTCCAACCGTTGCTCCTCTCGTTTTTCCGACCGTTCTCTGACATGGTTCCAGGCATTCTTGTGCTCCTTCCTTCCCCTGTCTTGCTTTACTCATTGGTGGTGACAAGCATAAAGGAACCCATTGTCTTCAAAAAGACCAAAGGATCGGATAAACAGTGGTGGTGGGAGAGTCGGTTCGCATTGCGACACCGATTAGTGTGGCATCACTCGGACAAACGAATGAATTTATTGGAGTTCACAGGAGCGGCATGGTCGTGCCTGAATCAGAGATGTGTCTCGTTCGGTACTTTCGCAGTCAAGGTCAGGGTCAGGATCAACTATCCATGATCCTTCGTAAACTATCTATTGTCCGATATCATATCATCACATCATGAGCCCCGAGTACACTAAATCGTAGTGCATGGCCATCTCACTCAGTTGAACCACAATAGGGGCACGTAAAGTATATTAGATTACAGTAAAATCTATTTTTGAGGTGGTAAAAACAAGGACATGTAAAGCCAGCGAGGTAAATATAGTGCAGCCAGGTACGACAACAAAGGTTGCAGCCTCGATCCAACTCAATTGAGCAGCAATCTGGTGGCGGAGGAAGGAAGGGAGATAATGTAATGCTTACTGGGAGTGTGCCTGTACACGCGGCAGGAGAAAGGGATACGCTCATTTGAGAGCACTATACTGACCAAGGGAGCACCGCTCTGAAAAGACCGAAATGCAATAACAACAACAAACAAGACTTTTCAGGCACTCGATGACAGCGCTATATATCCAAGGGAGCTTTTAAAAAGCAGCTGGACAAATATATAAAGAAGCCGAGGTGCCTCGAGGGCCGGTGCCCTCTTTTTCTTGTTTTCATTTTCTTTTCACATTCTGCATTGGCATTCAAACCCTCCCTCCATTGTTCATTGTTTGCTGCAGTGCTTTGTATATATTTTATTTTGTCTATATTTTTACGCGTCTCCTCGTGTGAAAATAACGCCCTCAATTGCACGCATAGTCTATTTAATACAATCACTATTATACTCCATCTCATTTCACACGCACCTTTCATCGTCGTCCTTTCTCCTTGAACCCTTTTTGCCGTCCTATCAGATCGCGTTCTTCGCGCCATGACTTCCACCGCTGCAACGACAATGGCCCGCTCTCAACCCGAGCGCAGGTTCACTCCTGCTTCTCATGCTTCCACTTGCGCGACAGCTGTCCGCAATAGCCAGAGCCAAGGTAAACTACTCGCTTCAATACATATTCGATGCTGGTGCTGCCTTCTGCATGTACCGTAGTCTCCGCAGTGCCTCTTCGTCCTCGTCATTTCTACCGATCACCAGCAGAACCCAAACTAATCCATGCGATGTCGATAACAAACATGACCGTGTCAACACTAGAACTTATCAAGCCTCCTTCCCTAAAGGCGCTGCCATTGCTGCCTGAACGGCCCGCCTATCGTGCCCTCAATGACATACAAATCTCCTCCGCGCTGTCTTCGTCGCGGCAAGGCCGCCGTTCCAGCGCCGAAGCATCACCGAAGACGTACGCCAGTCTCAGGGGTAATCAAGCAAAAAGCCGTCGACCACAGCCCGCGATCTCCGCCTCTTCTTCGCTCCCTACGCCCGCTCATAAGCTTCACCTCTATATTGATAAGTGTGGGTCATTCTCCGCTGAGCTGGGACTGCTCCTTTCGGATCCAGACACCGTCTCCGACCCTTCCAGCACGCTATTGAAGCTCAAGAATGAGCCTGAAAATAACACAAATATCAGTTCCACGTTGACCGATTTGTCGACTGTCTGTACCACCTCAGCCTTCAGCCGAGATAAACAATCGACCCATGCTGCGGTGAAAACATCGATGTTGTCAGCAGCGCCCTCGCCCTCGAACACAGCCTTGGCAGCGCGACCAACGACTTCAAAAGGCCTGCCTCTTTCTCTCATACCCTCCCAGCAAAAGACCTTCCTTCATTCTCAGCATAATATCCATATCCCACAAACTATGGTCTACCCTTCTCCCCCTCTTCAGCCAACATTGGACGACAGCACAAGCCTTGATCCAAGTGCTGTGCCATCTCTAGAACTTAAATCTTCAACACTCGAAACAAAGAATACCACTTCCGAAGTAGATCGCACCCACCCATCTCCTTTAGTCTCATGCACATACACATACACATATACAGCGAGTATAGAAAATGATGAGGGAGATTGCTCGCCATCGAGAGCCTCGCTTAGCGACTGTGTTTCTACCCCATCTCGCGGATCCTCTTCTGTATCTTCGGTATCTTCAGTATCTTCGCGCTCCCACAAGAGCTACCAGCTACAAGACAACCCAGATTCCGGTTCAAGGATGACAGTGACGCCTCTTCAGATCTTTGCCAACGGAGACTTTACGAGTCCCGTACCTCAAAAGTCTGAGGACTGGGCCGTGCTCGTTGACACACCCGCATCTCCTGTAGAAGCGTATCACCACGGCATGGTACCACGTCCATGGTCAATGGCACCACACCAGCTCCAAAGCACATCTTCGTTCGATGTTGCTGCATTGACGGATTCGCCAGCTCCGGAAGAGGGTGCTGATCTGTCGGGCTCCTCGACTGATTATATGCAGCACATCTCTCAAGAACAACAACACTTGTATCAGCAGCAGTATCAACAATACTATAATCATACTAGTCAGCGGCTGCCACTTATACATGCCCAGACTGATCCTACAGGGATGCATGGCAGTTATCCTTATCAATATCACCAACAGCAACATAGCTCCACTCCATCAGCTCCCTTAGCTCTCGCAGGTAAGGATGTGCCTCACTTCTTTGCCCTTAATATTTTTCCCCTCATTTGGCCCTGATCCGCAATCTTTCCCTCTTAACACCTTACCTTTGTATTCATTTTTCTGCTGCAGGTGGTGCCACTAGTACAAGCATGCCGTATCGCAGATCCTGGTCTGCGAGCGAAACATTTAGCGGTGCAGGTGCTGGCATGGGTCGAGGAGTCGTCAGTGTGTACGGGTACCTCACTCCTCCTCGGTTCGCCGAAGATCCTTTGGGTCGATCCCGTCCACCTTCACGCACAAAATCGTCGGTTGCAACCTCGGTCTCACTGCTGACAGATGCTGCAATCTTGGCAAAGTACCGCGACACGGCCATCAAGACCAACGATGCCTCGATCCAGCTTTCGTACGCAAAGTACCTATTGGAGATTGGCGAACCTTCATTCACCTACACGCCAGTCTCAATGACGGCCGAGGCCAGCAACCCGCCATCTCCTCGTCATGATTCGTTTCCTGCAGAGTCAGGTCATTCGACTCCATCCTCCTCTTCCTCCTCTCTTGAGCCCTCTTCCCCTACGACACCACAGCAAGACACACAACTAGGCAAGAAGCAATTGACCCAAGAAGCGATCTACTGGATCGATCGCTTAGCTAAGGAGGGACAGCCCGAGGCCCAGTTCATTCGTGGCACTTGGTATGAAAGTGGTCTGTATGGTTTTAAAAGGAACCCTGACAAGGCTATAAGGTGGTACCAGTCAGCGTCCAAGGGCGATTGGGGTCCGGCGCAATATAAATTCGCATGCTACTGCGAGGGGAAGAAGGACAACAACAAGGCTGTTATGCACTACAAAAAGGCGGCCATCCATAACGACGCTAATGCAAACCAAGTAAGTGAAAACTTTGGACATTACTGATGGCGATAACTAACCTTTCGTGGAGACAAATCACATACTGACAATGTCTCTTTATTTGAATCATTTAGCGTCTAGCGATGGTATATCTACACGGAGATCTGGGTCAGAGTAAGAACATGAAGGCTGGACTGCAGTATCTCAAGCGCGCTGCATCGTTGGCTACCGAGTCTGCGCCCAAGGCACCCTATATCCTCGGCTTGATCCTCTGCCGCGAATACCAGCTCGCAATTCCTGATGATATTGCGTTCCCAGACGATAGCGAGTCTCTAGAATGGATCCGCAAATCGGCCCAATTGGGATACAGCGCTGCAAATTACAAGCTGGGCTACTGTTACGAGTACGGCTGTCTAGGTTGCCCCGTGGACCCATTCCTATCGATCCAGCATTACGAACGCGCAGTACTCGCTGCTGATGAGAGCAATGGCGAGGCCGAGATGGCCCTCAGTGGATGGTATCTCTCTGGCGCAGAGAACTACTTCCTGGCGGACGACCAATTGGCGTTTCAGTACGCGTCCCTTGCGGCGGAGAAGAAGTTGCCGAAGGCACAATACGCGATGGGATATTACCATGAGGTCGGAATCTCGGTCCCCGTGGATATGGACAAAGCGATGGAGTTTTATCGCTTGGCGGCCGCGGATGGCAACAAGGACGCGATCACGCGATTGGAGAAGCACGAGGAGCAGAAGGCGGCCGATGACATGAGCCATAGAAGTAATGTTCAAAGGATGAAACAGGATCGTAGGGCGAAGAACCAGAGCTGCAATATCATGTAAATTCCAACCAACGATAATTAGATTGTACGCGATAAAAAAAACGTTCCCTCAATATGAATCCTATCCCCCCAGCTTTACAACGTTACTGAGGACTCCATTAAGTTCAGATGGCGGGGCTTTACAGCGCGTTTCCATCGTTTGTTTTGAAGGATCTACATCGCTAAAATGTTTTGTTATTCTTTCATTACCCCAGGGTCTCGCTGCTGAATCAACTTTTTGTATATTGGAGCATATCGTTGTCTTCTCAAGTACCAGTTTGCTTACACTAGCCGCGGGCGTTTTTCTCAAAAACCATTTCCTCATCTTCATCTTCATCCTTATCCAAAATTTCATCATCCCAAGATCTCAGCCCAGACACAACTTTCTACAAAACGGAGCATGGCATCGACTTTACATATACTAGCCTTGAGCGTTTTTTCATAAAGCGTGTTTTCAGAGTCGCTATTGCCGGTCATCAATTTCAAATGACACCCAAACGTTACCGAGGCATGGCCAACCTCTGTCTATCATGGACCTTAAGAAAAGACAAGGTACTCGTTTATGCTTCTGTTTTAGATCGTGGCCGACGCAGGCAGGAGGAGCGACGCGAGGAGAAGATGGACTAACAAATTGCGAACGAGTTGGCCGTAAATTGGGACGAGGCCTTGGATGCTGCGAAAGATGGCTTCGGCGACTACGATATACAAGTTGCCAAAGCCATGTCCTTGTCTGGAGCCCATGCTATTTCACCGGACAAGTTATCCATGAGGACTTCAAGAAAACGCCCCTGCCTTGATTCCTCTTTCCGAAACTCTGTCCAACAATCTGGAAAAAGAGGAAGAGCCAATAGCCTCGGAGACCTTGAAGATGGTTGAGAGGCTGCAGAAAAAGGTCGAGCTATTGCAGAACCAGTTCAGAGAATTGCGAAAGGTCGCGCCTCCCAGCAATACAGTTCGTTTCAATCAAACAGCATAAACAGTCTTCAGGGAAAAGGGTGTCTGTAGAGGAGCGTGGAGCAGTACTTTATTGCTACGAGCTTTGCAAAGGAGGAAAAAAGTACGCGAGACTTGTTACGACATCGGATCCTTTTCTATGAACGGCCTTTTACATGGGATTCTCACTCAATGCCGTCAAGAATATCGTGTTGAGAAAGGATAACGGAGACGTTCGAGACAAACATTCACGCTACAACCACACTCTATCGTTTGGTCCAGACCTTTGACGAACCGCAACGGAAATGAACACCAAGGGACAAGCTGTTAACCTTAGTCTTTTTTTTAACCGTATCAAGGTGCTATTCGCGGATCAATTCAAGGTTCCAAGCAAGGAAGCGACTCGCTTGTCGATGAAGAAAATGGGTTTCCATTATCAGGATGTCGGGAACACTAGGGATTAGGGATTTTGTCGAGAAACGAGGATATCAAGGCCAAGAGGCGGCACTACCTTCAAAAACGATGGCCCGACAAGTTTAAGGACGCCGTATTTGTGTATTTGGACGAATCATACTGTAACCAGAACCATAGAGGATGGCTATTTTGAGCGATCCATCCCTTTGTTGGTCTGTCTCGGTTTAGAAGGTAATACGACGGAGGCAGAAGACGCGCCAGACTGATTGTTCCGCAGGGTGTTCATGAATAAAAGATTTGACGCGAGCTAGCCTCAATCATAGACGGAGATAGGTCAGACTATCAATCTTATCATGCCATGCAAGTCCAAGCCCAACAAGCCCAACAAGACCAGTTCGCTCAACTCGCGCTTTTTTTTTCAAAGCTACTCCCCATCCTAGGTCCGTCAGCACCACTATCACCGCCATTCAGCAAGCACAGGAGTCATCTTCAAGCCCTTGACATCCGAGAACGATCCCGCGGGGGGCCTCCAAATGAAGAGGGGATATGGTAATATGAAGGAAATATGCTGTTTCAGTGTTCTCGTATTTCATATACTAGATTCAATAAAACCGTTTTCGCTTTTGGCTCTAGGTTTGATCAAATTTGGTGGCAAACCCTTTATTTTATTTTTTGAATGGCGTTTGAACTTTATTTTGAATGCGTCTTTTTTTTCTTTTCCGGTGCCAGGATATAGGCGCCTCTTCCTGTCCAGAACTTTTCAGCAATAATGTCGATATGATCAATGACCACACCCTTCTTCATCCTCTTAAGGATTGGCCTCGGTACTTTTTCTGCTGGACCATTCTTACTCTCGGTGTCTGTGTTAACTTCACTGTCCTTCATATCGCCGCCATCATCGTCGACCTGACTCTGCCTCTTCTTATCGTTCCCAGCGTTATCCTGGTTCTCACTACTTATTGCTAATACCTCATCAGCGGTTGAAGTCGAGGCGGATTGTTCAGGAGGTACCAGGGCTAATGTTGATGTTGATGTTGATGCTGTTGACGTTATTGATGCTACTGATGATGATGATGGTATTGCTTCTGCAGATGTTGATCCTGGTAGTGTCTCTGGTATAGTAGGGATGATGGTATCCTTGTCCAGATTCTTTGGCACATCCTCCCGTAAGAGCACACTGCCCTTGCGGAAAATAGCTGGTAATTTGCTATAGTTGGTATTAAATTCCGTGAACAGCATTTCGTTCTTGTCCTTCGAGTCCGTTCCCTATGGAATGGGAAAGTCGGAAAAGATGTATAAAGACGTGAGTGTGTGTGTGTATGTGTGTTAGATTGACATGAGATACGATGCAGCAATGACGCATTTGCGGTGCACAGATCCCACTTCAAACGGGTCTGCTGAACTTACAGAGAGCCTGATCTCTGCAGCCTTAGGTGTCAGACCTCCTTTCTCAACTAGGGCCCAAAATGAGGTATTGAAGAGGTTGTTGATATGTGTGTCTGCTTGACGCCAAGCAAAGTAATCCTTGACCTCGACCTCGGATGGGTACAACACTGCACGTCCGTCGAACACTGGCGGATAGAGAGGTCGTTTCGAATCCACAAAGTAATCGTTCCAGTAATAGACATAAGCTGAGGTGAAGAGCGACACGACTGTGGAGACGATCTTGGACTCTCGCCTTTGATAGAGATCAGTGGATTTGCGAAAGAGAAACGAGAACTCGTCGGATTCGCCAAATGCCAGGAGAATATCGTCGAGCTCGTGCATGACAGATCGAGCGGCATGGTTCATAAGATTGAGGGCCCAGATGTCGTTGGGCTTTGTGAACTCGTGTGCAGCAGAGAACCTTTGGGACCCAAAAAAACAACAACAAAAAGAAAAAAAAAAAAAAAAAAAAAAAAAAAAAAAAAGATCAGTAAACAAACACTGGGACAGATTCAGAATGAACGAATGAATAAAGAGTAGAAAAAGATCTATGGCGGACGTTACTTGTGAAAGCCCTTGCCGTCGACACGGACGAGGATGTAGACGTTCCTGAGCAGCCTGTCGTCTGTCTCGAACTCCTTGACGTACTCGTACTTTGACTTGGCCATGATGTTCTGTTTGGGCGGAATGTGGAGTTGACTGCACACAGCCAGGCCGTCCAAGGGGAAGGGCATAGGAGCACCAGTGACGTAGATGTTCCTGCTTTTGGTTTGGTTCCTGAGAATGACAGGACAGCGCTCTCGGTATGACGCTGTATTTTACGCACTTCACGCGTAACACTCAGGGACAGGAGTGCGGGACAAGTGCTGGGCACGAGCGCTAGTAGTCCTAGTAGTCCTAGGCGTACCTGTGTCTGATATGCATAACAGGGCGCTACACGCCCTCCCCTCTTCCTCCCCCCCTTTGTCTTTTGTCAACTGACGGGCATGATGTACCTCTGCCCCTTTTTTTGTTGTGCATGCACTGGGATTGGAAGGGACGACGCTCCTTTCGTGGCGTCGCCGGGGGGTGAGTGACCTTCGCACTCCACCCCGCAAGTCCTCGCCGGGCGAGCAGGGTCTCCTCACCCATTCCCGCTGGCGATGGGCCCTCGCTCCTTCTCTTTTGTTTCTTCACCTCCCAACCGCTCTCTTCTTCGCCCTCCACACCCGCCTTGCCTCTCGTACTTTATCACTATACCATTACTGACTGCAGCAGATCCGTCCCTGTCGTACCCACTCTCGAAGGAAAAGCACACTACTACCGATCTCCCCACCAACACCTTTTCATACTAATATCAACATCAGTCCTCCCCCCTCGATCCTCCTTCCCGTCCTCTCTCCCACCTTACCGACTGCACGCTCACATCTTCCACCCACACAATTGCACGCACACACAGCGCTTCCTCCAGCATGAGCCAAACCACTATGGCCTACTACCCAGACCACAACGAATACGAAGAGCTTCACGTCGACGAAGACGAAGACGAAGAGTACCAGGAAGACCTTTTCCTGCAACAACACTATGGCTGTCCACCGCTTGGTGGTCTTGACCTCGTCCACGATGAGGACTCTGAGGACGACGATATGTATACCAATCACTATCGTCGCAACTACCAACACAGCTATCATGATGATGATCAGGACGAAATCCTCGAGGTCGAGGAGGAGGACGAATATAACGAGGTTGATATGGATCAGCACAATATCCAGCTCTTGAGCGGTTCGCTGTCCGTGCGAAGCCCATTCTTGGACGCCATTCGCGAAGAGGAAGATGAAGAGCCCGTCTTTGCCAAACCATCGAGCTACCCAACCCTGGGAACCGGAAAACATCTGCATCGTCTAAGTTCCAGCGGCATAGACGGGCTCGGCACGTGGGGAAGCAGAAGCTCACTGAGTATGGCGTTGGCAGAGAAACAACTTCAACAGAAACAACAACAGCAGCAACAACAACAACACCAAGGAGGAGAATTTGCTGACCAGCAGCAGGCCAACTTTAATAACACGAACCAAAGCGACGGCAGCAAGCCTCGAGGACCAAGACCTCCACTCCTGTTAGGAAGACCTCGGTCCAATAGCTCGTTGACATCGACGCGTCTGACTACAGGTTTCGATATGCCTGGCGCCGCTACGACAACAGACGAACATGTTGATGCGGACAAGACAGCACTTAGGGAGACACAGATGTCTCCAGAAAATCCAATCCAAGACTTGGAAGTGAAGCGCGTCCTCGAGGGCGCTGCAGCTTTGGCCTCTGCTACTTCCTCTTCTCCCATTGCATCAGGTCCAGATAGCTCCAATTCCGCGGACTCCACACCTCTTCCGTCATCGGTCCATGCCAACGGCAATGTGATCTCGCTATCGAAATCTGCCGCTGGGCGAGGAACATCAACACCTTCTGGCGAAGGAGAACCTACAGTAGCGTTTGGACAAGACACACAAAAGTCAATCGACGACTTTTTCGGCATGGTCAAGTCGGATCTGGACAAGCGTATCCAAGAAGCCATTCAAGAGGTCGAGCAAAAGTTCCTGCACCGCGTTCAGAAACTAGAGGAACATACCGCCGCCTTGACAGGTGCAGCTCCAGATAGTTCATCCGACGCAATACTGGGAACGCGCAGGTCTGGGTCGCTAATGGACGCCTTAACACGGCCTCTGCCTCCGGATCAAAACCCTGGTGGGTCGATAGCCTTGCGAAAAGAGATTCTGTCTCATGTTACAGAGAAGGTTGGAGATCTGGATCTACGGGTGAATCAAATGGAGGTCTTGGTATCGTACAAGCTTGTGGATATCGAATCCAAGGTAATGAGGATGCATTCATACGAAATACAAAAAAAAAAAGGAGCGGATTGAATCTACTGCGCTATCATTGTTTGCTAAGGAAGGCAAGTACGGTTTATCCCTCTGACTACAGGTACAAGACCTCCACGGCGCACACAATTCGATCGCACAAAAGGTTCATCAGGTGGCCAAGTCGCACAAGTCCAATATGCAGGGTGTTCGTGCAGGGGACGGTGTCGGCCAGAATACCATCACCGCAGAAGAAGAGCGTGTCGCGAAAGCGATGAAACCTTACCGTGACATTGATGCGCAGGGCCGTGGTGCCGAGGCCTATCTTGAGCCCATCATCGATGATGACGGCGATAACAATGCCAAGGCGGTTGTCAGCATCCGAGGCACCAGCGGGCGAGGTGGCGAAAAGTCGACAGAGCTCGTTGATGCATCTTCCGCTATTGTCGACCTGCGACATGAGCTCCAGGCCTTGGGTATGCGGTACCAGGAACTGAACGATGGACTGCTGACGGATCTGATGGGCCAGATGCGCGACGCAAAGCTGATGCTCTTTCAGACTGTAGACGAGGTCGATGGGCGGATCAGTAAGAGGGTTGACAGGATCGAGGCTGAGATGCACTCTAAGATGCTTAGTGAGATCGAGGGACGCGTTCAGGAGCGTGTTCGGGCAATGGAACAAACATCTACCAGACTGGAGAAGTGCTTCGACAAGATGGAGGGTAGACTTGGGGCACTAGAAACTGTGTTGGCATCCCGACGACCAAGACCTGAGAGCATGTATCAATTGCTCCAGCAGCAGCTCCAGCAACAGCAGCAGCAGCAGGATGAAGACAATGGCGCCGCCACCTATCACGCTGGCACGTTTGCAGGGTTCTCGTCAAGCCCTTCAAGTGGCCATCGCTCCGTCACCTCCGTGCTGTTTTCAGGAGCAGATGGGACACAATACACTCCACCGCGTCGCCGCACATTGGCTGAGAACGGCATCTATCCAGACAACTCTCAATCGACTATAGTCAATGGCAAGGATGAGCGACGAGACAGTTCCAGCAACATGGCGCTGACTTCAAGTCCACTCGAAGGGTTCGTCAGCCCAACCCATACGAAACCAGTGTGGTCGCCCGTCAGCGGCGTCTCGACGAATACCGCTACTTCCCCGTCCCCAAATTCACCATACAGTACCAGTTTACCCACAGTGGCGTCTCCACTGGAACGCGGAACCGTGATTGGAGGCCGCATGGGTACCATCCATCCCGAGTACATTCCTAAGACGACGTATGTCCCCAGAACAACATCACCGACCAAAGACAAGTCTCAGCATAGCGCGCCCTCAACACCAACTAAGGATAGGTTTCAGAATAGTTTACCAACGACACCAATCAAGGAGCGATTCCAGAGCATCATGGCGGCTGTATCACAGGGACAGGGATCGGCATCGGCACCAGCAGCAGATCAAGGAGTACTGGATCAGACATCGAGATTGCGCAGGGTATCGCTCTCAAGTTTTGATGGTAACAGTTTATCGGCGTTGAAGCCAGTAAGACCGAGCACTCCTACGACAACAACAGCAACAACAACAGCAACAGCAACAGCAACAGCAACAGCAACAGCAACAGCAACAGCAACAGCAACAGCAACAGCAACAGCAACATCAACATCAACATCAACATCAACATCAACAGCAACAGCAGCACCGGGTTTACAGCCTTCTACCACATCTGTTGTCACCACCACAACAACGACAGCTATAAATGCAACGCATCGCAGTGGTGGCAACGGTAGCAAGGCTAGCAGCAGCAATGCCAACCTCAAGTCCGTGTCGTCGACCTCATCGCTACTGAGTTCAAAACTGGATGGCACATATGTCAGCAGCAATAACAAAAACAATAGCAACAGCGTGAAGAGCAATAGTAGCGACAGCAGCACGACAAAGATAGTGCAGCGGGCGATGACATTTGATATGCTGAACTCGCAAGGAACGACGGCGACGATGACGGTGATCAAGACAGTGAAGTCTCCGGTCCAGGGCCCGTCGTCGTACAGAGATCTGCTGCATTTCTGGAAGGCAGGAGGCAGCGGTGTAGGCAATACCAGCAGCCAGAGTGCAGCGGTTTGAGCGCGATTTGAGTTTTGTAATGATATACGACATAATACATGTACATGAGATGAATAAAAGAAATGATATGGTATGATCCGACATGTACGCGCTATCTGAGCTTATTGGTTTCAGGTGCATGTAATTGCGTGGCGTCCAGACCCCTCTCCCCCACACATGCACATGTCATTAGACTATACAACCATGCATGCAGGCTGCGCCAATACACGGTTTCGATTTCAGTCTTCTATTAATTGTGCATAGGCGCACAAACGCAAACATACGAGAGCGGACGACGGTTGTCTCAATGTACCCCCGTAGCCCACCTTATTAGTCTAGTCTAACAAAAAAAGGTGGGTCCCAGTCAGAGATCTGAGCTGTTGGAAGATTTCCATGTAAAATTTTTATTTTTTGCATGGAAATCTTCCAGCCAGCTCAGGTGTCTGCTCTTATCCTCCATCTCGAATCACCCATTCTTTCTCCATTCCCCCTTCTTCATCACCGCCCTATTCCTTTCCTTTCCCATTGCACATCGCACCATTCGACCATCTCCTTCCCCATATTGACCAGTACACAGAGACGGGGTTCTTCTCTCTGTCTCTCTCCTCCTTGAGTGCGTCAGTCTGTGACCTGAGCGGTGTCCAGCCGCACTCCACTGGCTTCATTCCCAACCTCCCCCAACACCCGCTCAATCAGTCTTCACCTCCACCTTCCTCTTGATCATGGACCCTTTAGACACATCCCACCGTTTAGCCCCCGGGCCCGCGGATTCGGTGTCGCTCTTCATCTCCCTCGCATGCATCTCCGTCATGTCCCTCCTTTTTGGGCGCAAGACCGCCGCCACCAAACTCAGTTCGATTAACTATGCGCGCGGCCTGGTCGTCGGGCTCTATCTGGTCTCCTGGCTTTTCTCCCTCGTGGCCGCCATGCTCGTCCAGACCAACGACTTCAACAAACTTTCCTGCGACCTATCCATTTTCATGTGCATCCTTCTCTATGCTCTATCCAAAGTCCTCATCTACTTATTCCTCATCGAACGGGTCCACATCGTCACCGCCGTCGGAATTACTCGCTGGAACTGCCCCATGTTCAAATTCAATATGCTCCTGCTCCTGCCCTACAGCGGCATCTTCGTCCTCGCTATCATCTACCGCATCGCCAATATGGGTCCCGACGGCATCTGCAGGATCGGACTCGCCCGACCCGCGGGCGTGCCCTTGATCATCTACGATATCTTCATCATCAGTTGGTTGACCGCTCTTTTTCTAAGGGCACTTCTCTCCTCGACATCGATGCTTCAGGGTCCAACAAAGAGCAGGTTGCGAGAGGTGGCCCGCAGGACATTGATGGGATCCATCTGGGCTTTGATTCTCTCAGGTGCCAACATCGCCGCCTTGGTCTACTTCAACGGATACGAGCGCGGATTGACCTGTATGGCATCATGTACCGTGGACGTGACCCTAAACGCCATCACCATCCACTGGGTCACCTCGCGTGCATCCAATTCGAGAAACGATGCGGCGTTTACGTCGCGCGATGCCGAGTTTGCGATGCAAGGGATAGACAAGCATATTGGACCGGTTGAATCACACATCTCTGTATCAATCGAGTCATACGTCGAAGAGTACCGTCAGATGAACATAGCAGGGAGGCGTACGAGCGAGCGGTATCAATAAGCAACATCCATAAGTGATAGTAGAACCCATCCAAAAAGTAGTTGTACCATTTTTCATTATACCTCCATCCTTTATTATTAGCAAGTAATATATACCCATCAAGCATTATTCGCTGTCGAGTCGGTTCCATCTGTAGACGTAGACAGAGTCGATTCCGAGTTGTTGGCGGCATTCTTTTGAGCGGCCAATTGCCATGCGGGGATCGACGCCTTCGTGTTCAAAAAGTTCATTGCAGCATCATCCGATTTCACTGTCGAGGCCGTCATGTTCTGAGACGAAAACGAGGCGGCAGCGCTCCAGGGTGCAGGTGATCCGCTGGATGTTGAGGGCCCAGCGCTACCGGGAGGACCTGTGCGACGGCTCAGCAACAAACTCTTGAGCGACTTGATCTCCGTCTGTAGGTCGTTTAATGTTGTTGACTGGGACTCCTTATTCTTTTCCATCAGCTAATGAGATGTAAAGTAATAAGATGTTTTAAGATGTTAGCATTGAACCGTCGCTCACAAAAATAAAATAAAAATAATCATAAAGTATGTTCACCCGTCTCTACCTTGGGGATCATATCCTTGATGTTTTCGATATCTGTCTTGAGCCCTGCGAGTTCCTGTTCCCGTTTGTTGTCATTACTCTTCATACCGTCCAACACGCCCGTCATGCCCTCGAGCGACTCCTTCACGTGGGCCGTCTGATCCTCGACATTCTTGGCCACGACTGTGGTTGACTCCTTGACCTCGGCCAGACTCTTCTCGATCTCCTCAAACTGCTCATCCAGTTTCTTCTTGTCCAACGCCAGATCCTCCTGTGAAGGCCATTGCAACTTTGGACCAACAAATTTCTACAGTTCAGAAGGTCGAGAGCATAAATGAATAGACTAGGTCGTTAGCCTGGATGCGATAACACGGAACAGTTTCTTTTCCATTTGCTAAAAAAAAAAAAAAAAAAAAAAGGTGCGGCCTCTTCAATACCTTTGTGATCTGCCACATGCCATAGCTGAATCCTCCTGCCACAACTGCCGCAATAAACATATCCTTCCAATCGTATTTCGGAGGCAACAGCGGTGGAGCCATCATAACCTGACCGGGACCTTGGTGAGGAACCATCATTTGCTGGACTGGTACTGCTGTCACTGCGGATGCACCTGCTCCTGCTCCTGCTCCTGCTCCTGCTACGCCTTCTGATGACGACGCCGTTCCGTTCGCTCTCGCCATCGCTACCTCAATCTCTTGCGAGGTCAAGCCCTTGGACTCCAGAAACGCAACCCGCTTGCCCAGTGGTGACGACTGCACCTTGGGGTCCTGAAGGAACTTGACAGCTGAGGCTATAATATCTTCTCGCACTGCAGACATGACTTGATTTGAAAATAGTTAAGAGAAAAAGATGGAATGAAGAGGAGTGAGAAAGAAAGTGCGATGCGAGAGGAGGAAAAAAAAGAGGACAGTGCGGAGTCAAAAGAAAGCTCCTTGGCGGGGAATTGAACCCCGGTCTTCCGCGTGACAGGCGGAGATACTCACCACTATACTACCAGGGAGTAAGCTCTTGCGGATGATACTTCGATCTATAACTATATATATTCTATATACAGCTACTCGTCCCTATTTGCACGCATTCCCTATTTGCATGGTCGCCCCATAAATGCATGTCGCTCCCTACCTGCACGCCTGTCCCATCTATCCTCTCGGCTTCTTTTGCATTATTTTTATTCAAGCTGCGCTCAAACCTAACAGGCTCCCTGACGCTTCTCTCTCATATTTACGCTCTCCATCTCATACCTACCGTCTTCACGCTCTCCATCTACATCTACGATGGCACTTGAGGATTAGTCGGCGCGCTGTCGATTCGGTCTCGCTCCTGCATTTAAACGCGACAAAGATTATGAATAATAAATCGGTTACGAAGACCCAGAGAAAAGACATAGTACCTTCGCGATTTGACCGTTGACTGCTTAATCTGTTCCCCTTTGCCCCGTATTCCCTCGTTATTGCAAACGAATTACGATTGACGAATGGCACTGAAATATATTAAAGTTAATCAGGTATATCAGGGTCCAAGAAGTAAATAAGAAAGAGATGTCGGGCCACACACCTGGTACAGTCCCCTACCTCAATAATCGATCGAGCCACCATCCACCTCCAGCACCTTTCGGATTCCAGAGTTCATGGTAGTGACCAAGGCTCGTATCTCTTCTGGTGTAATGGAGTCCCATATTTCCTTGATCATCTCCATCATCTCTTGCTTGCCAGTGGACTTTTTGGGCAGCTTGTTAAGGCGCCTCCTGATGATCCACCAGATGTTTTCAATGGGATTCAAATCAGAAGGGTTAGGTAGCCATGCCATCTTTTTCATACCATTCTCCTCTCGCCATTTTCGCGCCGTCTTGGTGGATAGGAGAGTTATCCTCTATCAATGTCATGTCTCCTATTTCGGCCATGAACCTCTTGAGTTCGGCTTCGTAAGCGGTATTTATAAAGCCTTGACCTTTGTTGTTGTCACCGTCGATGAAAACAAGCCTTGGTTTTCGGTCTCCACAAATCGCGCCCCATATCTTAACCTTGGACCTTCCACTTCTCAGCAAAGGAGTGATGTTTTCAGGCAGATATTTCTCCTCTGCCGTACGCCAGATGAGGATCTTTCCGAAGTTCTTCCCTATTTCGAAGCAAGTCTTGTCAGTCCAAACGATATTTTTCCACTTGCCATAATCCCAACCTTGCTTCTCGAGCGCAAAGTCTTTTCGCGCGGCTACGTGCCTGGGTTACAAGTGAGGCGCAACGCGGCAAAAGATCTTGTTCGCATGCAGCATTCGTCGAATGGTGGACTGGCTGACAATCTTGGGGCATAGAGCGATTATTTCTTGCATGATACATCGGTTGTTCTCTTTCCGATGGAATAGGCTTCCGTCCCGGCGATTTCTTCGGGGCAATCGCGCCTTCGGTCTCCTATTTCTTTATGACGCTGCCGATCGTGATCAGAGCCAGTTTGTGGTGTTTGGCGATCCTTGCTCGGCTTACTCCGGATTCGTGGGCCCCGATAATGCGACCTTTGGTTTCGATAGAGAGATGCTTGGGCATGGTGAAGAGGAATATGAGTGACGAGAATGTGAGGGTTGAAGTAGGATGTATGAGGAAGACTGCGGAAGAGTGATGAAAAAGACAAAGTCGTTGCAGTCCCGATGATGTTGCGTTTTCGTTTTTGGGAGGGGACTGTACAACGGTTTATTCGAGGATAACGTCATAGTCATAAGAATGCTTCGCCCAGTTTCTTGATCATTCCAGCACTAGTTCGCTTAGCCATATCCTTGGTATATAATAGTTCTTCGAACGTAGGATTAGATAGGAATCAGTCATCGAATAAACCACTCTTTTACCCTAGACTCTCTTGGCCCAAACTCCCTTGATACCTAGGTCTTTATGACCTAGGTCCCCAACGACCCTAGATCCCCCAGACGTTCGAAACGTTTGCAAAGAAGCAGTGTACAGATGCAACGAAGAATGAAGGCACAAAGAGAATGAGAATAGAATGAGAGCCAGAGTTTTAGATTCTCAATCGACAGCGAGGCTTTGTTACGGAAATGAGTAAATGATAGCAGGATGCCTTTTTACTGGGCAAAATGCTGGTGTTCTTAGCATACCAGATGCAGAAAGCAAAAATGAGACTTCTTTTGCCTTTGGCTGCAGTATCCTCATTCACTCATTCGATAGACAGTCAATCAATAAAGATACATCATATGTCGAGCGTGTACAAAGTGCTCAATGGAAGAGAAGGAAGATTGATTACAGGAGAGGTTTTAGCTATGACAACGTGAGGACAGGATGTCAAGGTCGTTCAGCATAGACCTCAGCGCTGATCCATACTTGAAATCATGTGTGCTACATTGTTTGCCCTTCGCTCCTGGGTAAAATGCCATGCATATATAACCCCCTCCCCCCAACACAGCAGTGAACAGGTCTCTGTGTGTTGCTGGTAATGTATTTAATTATTTTGGTATAGACAGCATTGCCTGGAGCACAAATATACATCTAAGGGAATATTGGCAGCCAGTTATTTAGGTGTGTGATAAATAACGACTCTGATTAGATTCTGATGGCCTTTAACGTGAGTGAATACTAGGAACCAACCCATGCGCACATGTCTTATGTCCAGTTAGATGCAGTACAAGTGGCACATTTAATTTAACTTGGTCATTGAACTTGGTGCCATGGAGTTTGTTTCCATGTCGATTCTTGGAGCATCAGAAAAAAGTTGGTCGATTCGTGCAACAGGGCTTGTCAGTAGGGGAAGACACAGGACTCCCTAGGATCGGATATCACATCCGACTTGGAAGTCGAGTATGGTATCAGGACAAGGCCATTGCTGTGTTTCTGTCAAAGTAAGGGGGCTCGCAATGTTGACTCGGCGTTGGGACTTTTGGGTTGCGTTAACGAGAAATTTGCGCGCGAGTAGGGGGCTCGTAATGTTGATACGATACGACACTTTTAGTCCGATGGGGACAGTAATGATCATTGTGGACACTGAGTGCTAGAGTGATATTAACATTTTTAGCCCTGTAGTTGTCAACAAACGAGACAGCAGGTTATCCAGGACAAAGTTGTAGGTCTTCACCAATCAAGCACCAAATAATTCTCACGTCTTCCTGTTGGCATATTAGTACGTCGTCAAGCAATGGCGCTAATTCAATGAATAAAGTTTGTGCTAATGTGCTGTGCTTAACTCCTCAGGTACGAGTATCTGGTTAATCATATAGGAATCGGATCCTTCCTGTAACCCCATAGGACGCGTTATGGCGTCAATTGCTATCGAGCCTGACATCCATGGATCCTTGTCAAGACGCCTCCACAAGACTCTCAAGCCGTATAAAATCCACTCAAATTTCAGAACAGGCGGACGAGGGCACTCCGGCAGTCCGAGAGGAGAAGGAGCCCAGCAGCGACCCTGAGTTCAGTGCGCAGACAAATACATTCGCATCAACAGCACCTTTTTTTGAATAAAGTATTGCTTGAGAGACCCAATCGGATTATTTTGCTGCTACTCAGATAATGATAAATTTGTACCTGAAACGGGTGACCGCATGGTTCCTACGAGCGTTAGTACCAATACCAGTGACAGGCATCACATCATCCATATCAACGCCGGTACCTCGGTTCATCGTGGAACGCTCATTGGTCGACCTATCAACCCCAGAGATGGAGGAGAAGGCACAGTCAGAGGCGTAGAAGACATACGACGGGGAGAGATAACGGCAGACGCCGAGGAGGAAAGATTCGAAGGGGTTGAGTGGTCAGTGCAGGATCTGTATAGCGTTCTAACACCCAAGTGCATGGCTCAATCTTGGAGACGCGTTTTTAACACTATAGAGCGGGTCATAACGTACATGGTCAGCCGCTTTGTGAAGGTCATTGAGGAGATCGGCAGAACAAAGATCCGGAACAGAAGATGTAAAGTCACCATCGACTGGGAACGAGAACATGGGATCGCTGCTGTGAGAAAACGCGCCCAGGGACGCAAATGTGATATAGAGCACAGACGCAGCAGCAATGATTCTATGGGATCTACCCTGAGGCAACGACAAGCACCCGATATGAAAGATCAACGACGCTGCGGATGAACGAGTGCAGCGGCACTATCCGGGACAGCTGAGACTCGATGTGATGGAGCGACTGGGAGGATATCAATTTCTTAAAATGTCAGAGGACCGTGGCTAAAGGATGACTTTCGCGCACAACAGGCCATGTAGGGAGCAGGGGCCATCGGTCCATCACTCATGCGGTCATTGATTATGAAATATAGATCCGTTGCAACATAGTCGGAGCGGGCAGCTTGCAGTTTGTTTTCCGTCTCACCTGCAGGTTTCCATCAGACCACAGTTAATAAATCCCATGCCTTTGAGGGTTCTCGTTAAAAAACCCCCTCGGCTTCCCTACAGCAACATTGTGTTTCCCTTAAAATTGCTACTTCTTATTGCGAAACGACTATGTGCTTGAAACGACGAGCATGTTATACTTCCAAAGCGGTTCTTAATACTGCTATTTTAAGTCAGACAGAGCTCGAGTGGACCCGGGGGTATTTTTTATTTTATTTTTTTGCGCTGGACGAGCGCGCAAAGTAACGATATAGCTAATACAAACCACTAGGTCCTTTTTTTTTTTTTTTTTTGGAAATGAAGACATTATAAGAACCAGGACCGCTCGAGCCCTGTTACCGCGTCCTGCTGGCCCACTAACTGCGCTTCACCGTCATCTACCTCCTCCAATTTTGAAATCACCGCTTCTGCCACCTCCCTCGCATTCTTAATACAGTCGTTTACGCTCACGCCCAAGTACCCTGCACCTGTAACAGCTAAGAGTCCGCCATATTCGCTCCTTAGCGATTGATCTAACGTCTGCATCCGCTGCAGATGTCCGACCATGTACTGAGGAATACACTCTCGATGGATATGAACTTTCACTGTGTCAGGCACCGAATCGATCTGAAGATGCCTCTTGACCGCATCCGTCGCTGTCTTCTCAAAGAATGATGTCAGTTTCTGATGACTATTCCTTGAGGCCTGCTGTGATACTACTGTTGATGATGCTGATGGCTTGCCGTTGCTATCCGCTGCTGCTGCTTGGCGGGCTAGCACGTCGTCAAACATGTGTCCTCCGATCATGGCCGTCAACTTAAGTGTTTGGTCCCGGCTCGGTCCCATATCTTGAGAAGGGATCGCACATGAATCAAAGACTATTCCAAGAAGCCCTTGATAGTTCGCAGCTGAATTCTCGGATCGGGGGATCAAGTAACCGAAGCCAGGTGATGCAAGACGAGCCTGCTTTGCGTCGTAAACAAGGTTTACGACAGCAACAGTGACCGATGGATTATGGATGAGCTCTGGATGCGATATTGGCAGGAGATCGTGAAGAGCGCGTGGAGGGAGAGCAGAGATGACCGTATTGGCATATACAGGATCTTGGTCCTTGATGGATACCTATTATCGCGAATAAAATATAAGGAGAGGAAGGGAGTAAAGGCGCGTTACATTTTGCTGTTGTGCATAGAGGCTTTCCTCAGCAACACAATTACAGAAATACTTGCCTTGACTGTTCTGTTAGTATGGTCAAAATCCAATTTCTCAACTTGGGCATCTTTGAGAATCTTGACGCGTCCACCCATCACCAAATCCTTCTCCAATGCCCTAGAGAGTTCCTCAAGGCCATCCGTGAACGAATAAATACTTGTCTTATCCACAAATTCCGTTACATCCGGCATCGTAGCAACAATCTTCTCTTTTAGCGTCTTATCCCAGGGTGTCTCAACATTTCCTCCACCCATCATCATCCCCATGACAACAGATCCGTAGTCCTTCTCGAGATGATATAACATCCCAAATGTCGACCGAACTGATAGCTTGCTCACATCTCCGGCATAAATCCCATGGACCATGGCCGAGATCAACTCGTCTGAGAACCCCCTGCCAAAGCGTCGACTCACAAAACTCTCGATGCTCTCATCTTCTTGACCACTGCCACCCTTGACAAGATCCAGAGCTGCGCGGGGGAGCTTTGGTGTGATCAGCGGGTGGGTGAGCGCACCCTCAATCGAAGAGGGCAGCATGTGCAGCTTGTTATGAGCGTAGATGTAGCGGTTCTTGGCCGCAGGCGAGGTCTTGGGAACTGGCTCTAGCTTTGAGGCGAGGTGAAGGGACTTGATCTGCACCACCGGCAATAAAAAACACACAATTGAGTTTAGCAGTAACCCAGATTGAGCTGTTCGATTGTAACGGAAGAATAAAAAAGGATATACCATTTCGAGCGTATTGAGTCCACTGATACCCTGGGGTCGTAGCGAGCGTGGTCCACGTTCGAGCAAGATAGAACCACCAGGGTGCTGAGGGTCCTTTAAGCGGTCGGATTGCATCCAGCCGCCCACGCGTTTGGAACCCTCGAGGAGTGTAATGGATACATTTTTCGGAGCTGTGCGGGCCAGGTACCAAGCGGTAGACAGACCGGAGATTCCGCCGCCAAGGACGGCAATGTGTGACAGAGGGGACATTCGTTTTATTCGAGTATAGGGTATTTGTGGGGAGGAATGCGATGGAAAGCTTGACAGAGTAGGATGGAGGAGGGAAATGTGAATGAAAGGCGAAGGAGCGATGGGAGGTGGGAGGATCAGCGGGTGAGAAGGGGCTGTAAGCGACTCGCGCTGACTGCTAAACGAATGCTCGAGTTCCTAGGAAAGGAAGGGGCCAAGCCGAAGGTGGTCTATGCATGAGGTTCTTCACCATCACTCATCTCTTTCAGTCCACTCCACATCACTCCACTCCACTTCAGCTACCCTTCCTTTCTCTCAGAAACGCGCCATGGCCGCACTGCCCAAGAGAATCATAAAGGTATGTGCATATCCTTATTGAACCCCAGACGCGCTTACCACCCATGAGCACCCAAAAGCGCAAGGCTTAAGCTATTCGTGTCAACTAGGAAACAGAGCGCCTAATGGCAGATCCCGCCCCAGGAATTAGCGCAACTGCCCACGAAGACAACCTTCGCTATTTCGATGTCATCATTTTTGGACCCGTGGAATCGCCGTTCGAAGGTAACGACGTCTTGTCATCTCAATAGCCAGATGGGAGCCTTACAGCTGCTAGACACGTTGATTACGACGGGAGGACCAATGATCCTTGCCTGATCTTATGTATGACCCCTCCGGTGTATATCCAAATAGGTGGTGTATTCAAGTTGGAGCTCTTCCTGCCAGAGGACTATCCAATGGCGCCTCCAAAGGTCCGCTTCATGACAAAGATTTATCATCCCAACATTGACAAACTCGGTCGCATCTGCCTCGATATCCTCAAAGGTGAGAATCCATCTTGCGCGTGACGGGTGTCACTGTCTTTATACCCTATCTTATTCATCGCATGCCCCTCCTTCTTCGCTTTTTCCGTTGACAGATAAATGGTCGCCAGCACTGCAGATCAGGACAGTTCTTCTTTCCATCCAAGCGCTGCTATCGTGTCCAAACCCAGATGATCCTCTTGCCAACGATGTAGCCCAGCACTGGAAAGAGAATGAGAACGGGGCCATTCAAACTGCACATGAGTGGACCCAAAAATACGCCGCCAACTAGCTATCTTTGTTCCGAAAACCAGGGCATTCAATCGCACAGAGAGAATATCAAAGCTACAAAAAAAAAAAACCCCCCACGAAAGAAGTGTTGCAGATATGATATGTATTATGTTTTCAAGTTGGATGTCCTGCCCGACATTAGTCTACTTCCTAAATACATCATCTCTGTTACCGGGGAACCATTCACCATACAGGTTTGGTCGTTCGCCTCTCAAAAATTCATCGTACGCCTGACGCATGAGTCCCATCCAACTGTCAGCCGCGATTGGCGTCTTCCAATTATTGTGCCAATGATACGCATATGCTCCTGTGAAAAACACCTCCGGTCCTGCCATAAAGACTCTGCTCAGCCCTTCTTCTTCCTCCTTTCCTTGCTGCTGCTGCTGATGGTGAGCTGGACATATCGCACTTGCATTAGTGAACGCGTCAGGAAACGCCAAGAGTCCCTCCATCATCTTTTCTCGATCGTTCAGCAATCCGTTTTGAGATTCAACACTGTCGACGCGTAGCCAGAGAGGGTCAAACATGGCTGTAGGCATCATGACAAGACCATTATTGGTCAAGGACCCGTTTTGGGGATCTAGGTAGTTGCGTAGACGCGCCGGGTGATAGATTTCCTTGGGTCGCATCTCATGTGTGTTGCCGCGTTTCGACAGGTAGTGTGGGGTGGTGGCCGCGTATGAAAAGGAAGGAGACTCAAAATGGGTTAAGGCGGGGTCACCGCCAATATCTCTAACGCTATCCTTGTTCTGCTTGTCTATATCCATTGAATCGGCATGCGCAACCTCCAGAGGCTGGTTGTTATGTGCTGGCTGCTGTTGCTTTGGCTTCCCTCGCGTTCTCTTCTTGAGTATATTTGCCTGTTGCGTTGCCTCCCATCCATTCTTTAGCTCTGTGGGTATTTGACTTTCTTGCCTGTGGTCTACCGTCTCTTTCTCTTTAGTCTTGGCACCATCCAGAATCCGTCTCGCCACACTGCTTCCGCGGTTCAACCGCAGGACGGCAGTATTGTACATCTGAGTGCTGCTCCACTCATATGCAAACTCCATGCCGGCATCATACAAAGGCGACATGTCCCTCAAGAGCAGGACGTCTGCATCGAGATACATCCCGCCGTAGCGGTACAAGATCAGGAACCGCGCTTGGTCCGATAGTGCTACTGGAGGTACCTTGGACTTTTCGGATATCACTTCTGTTGATGACTGTGGCAGTTGGTTGAGTTCTTGAGCAAGAGGATAGGCGTATGTCTCCTGTGCCTTTTGGTCCCACACGTGCAGTTTAATAAATCGATTCAGCGGTGCTGTGATCAAGTCCTTGGAGAACACGTTCTGTTCATAATTCTCTGGCTCTCCGCTAGGAAGGTCTGTAGAGTCGATCCAGATATGAAGAAGAGCCCTGTCCAGTGGTTGTGTGAACAGAAGCGCCTGTACTGTCAGAGATAGTTTGTCCGTGACGATACCGCGCCAAAATATGTGAAAGTGCATCTTGGCCGAATTGGTTGTCGAGGACGAAACTCTTCTGACGGGTTCTGTGTTCTCTGTTGATTTCTGACCACCATAGGTATCCAGGTCAGCGTATTGAGTTTTCGTACTATTCTGCTCTGAGGCGGCATGGATCCTGTTTGGATAATTTCGTGCTTCGCGCAAGGGGATCAAGTAGAGGTGGTCCTGGGAGAGATATTCCAGGCAATGTGCAGAGGTGTGTTGTGTTCGATCGCATGACTCCATGATCGCAGAGTGATCTACAATCCAACCGCGCAGAGGCCGTTCCCAGAATAGTGGCCTAGCCTTGGATATCCGTCGTGCGGTTAATGCGACGGTCGGTTGTTGCTCCAACCCCAAATTCTTGTTACGAATGTAGTTCATCCACTCCTCATAGGTCTCAAAGTCATTGTCGAGTATCGTGGATAGATGTATCTGCTCACTTTTCGCGAGCTTTTGATTGCCGTCAATATCCGCCACGGCTCCGGCCGGTGTCTCTCTGTCCTCATTCCTGCTCTGATAACAAAACTTGGAGAAAGCCTTCAGATTCAGTCTCGAGACCCTCGCATTGTTTGTGCCGATTAGTTCTGGAAACAGTTCCTTGTCCAGTCGCTGTAGCCTCTGTTGTTTGACTACCTTTTTCTGCTGCTTCTCCTCCTTTTTCCGTTTCCGTTCTGTCTCTTCCAGTTTGCGCTGCGCCCTCAGCTCCTTGAGTTGCTGCTTCTCGAGCTGCCTCATCCTGGACTCCACTGCCGGTCGCAGTCCATAAGACGACGTCGAAGCGGAAGATGACGACCACCCAAAGTTCTCTATAGGTCGAGCGGGTTGTGGTTCTGAAGTTGGTATAGACATGGGATGCTTTACTGCTGATGCTAAAGCTGTCGCAGTCGCAGCCGCAGCGGTTGCTGTATATGTATATGTATATGTATATGTATATTGTATAGTGGACCCATTTCCTTTGTGGAGGCTGATGGTGGACCAGACTCTGAGGTAGAAGAAGGAGGCCAAGAGGCAGAGAGCAAACAGAAGGACAGCAATTGCTCTATATCGTCTCACCATCGGCATGGCTGTAGAATGCTTTTGGAGAAGTGATGAAAAGTAGGCCAAGAGTAAAAAGACAAACAGCCAGCTTTTCTGGGGGCACTACTGACAGCGGACCCTTTATTTTTTTTGACCACAAGAGCCATGGCTGATTCATTCCTCATTCCAGTTCAGTCTTTGAGCTGTGTGTTCGAAGGGAGATAAAGCACCCGCACCCAATCGCCTCAGGGGCAATCAGATTCCTACATTCCATTTTATCTTGTAGAAAAATGCGTCTACGAAGAACGAACCAAAGGCATGAATATAAAGATAAAGATATGCGATTTCTTTAATTATTAATGGTTGTTATTGCGATCATAGCTTAAAAACAGCCCTCATATCCATAGGCATGCCTGAACCAAGCTGAGGGACTTGCTCCAGATCTCGCTGCTTCATGAAGTACCGCATGCTGATCAGCAGCTCCTCGTACGTCTGATTTGGTTTTTGGGATAGGCATTGGATCCAGGCGTACGAGACAGCACCCCTGGCCATGGGACTTGTGTAGGGTTGTGGAAGACTGTATCCTAGTGGATTAGAGGCGGCATCGTTCATCGCTGTCGGCGTACCCCAGTTGACGGCCGTTCCATTTGCGGCGCCGAGTGTAGCATGGTGGTTCTGGATGATGGCAGCATCTTTGGCGCTTGCACGGATATCTGCGGACGCTTGGTCATCACGGCAGCCTGAGAACATAATGACATTGCCCTTGGTCTCTCGGAACATGGCCATCTAAAAGATATGGGATGAGTAACGAGTGCACCAAATCCTGGGTTAGTGTGTGCTCTAAATGGCATCTCGCGGTCGTAATTGACGGAGTACAAGTGAACGCTTCTTACCCTGCGCGCTTCCTCCATGCATTCTCTTTCTTCCTCGTCCTCATCTTCCTCCGCGGTTTCCTCCCTGGCATCCTCCTTAACTACTTCCTTGGCTTCCTCGACTATAATAGTACATTCTTGTAAACCATTCCTGTTGGCGTCGTCGCTGGCAGTACTGTTTGGGTCCATCCACTCCATTGCATCGCACCCAATGCCACGGTGGTCATTGATCACCTCCCCTGAACCAGAGTACATCTCTTCAATGATTCCAATGTTCGCTACCGATTTGGTACGCTGCCGGGTAGAGGGCTTCAAGGCACCTGAAGCCAAGTCGGCTCCCAGAGACGATGGCGACAACAGAGACCCACCGATCGAGGTCAAATCGTTCATAAGGGGTACGGATTGCTCGTTTGAGTCCGAAAAGTCGCTGCTGATAATAGTCAGTTGCGGAACCAGATCGTCATACGATGCCGCAGCAGCCTTGTCAACCACGTCGCCATCCTCGGTGGCAGAAATGGACCGCGTACTCTGCGCTTGACCAGGGCTCGAGGCGCCTTCCTTGCTATGGATCGGAGGCAGGCCGCCGGGCGGTGACAAATTTCCAGTGACAGTCATGACAGAACCGTTCGTGTACTGAGCCACGACGGGACTGGAGCCTGCACCGGAAGCTGTCATGGTTACCGTTGTAGTGGTGGTGGTTGTGGTTGTGGTCTGTGTCTGAACACTGCCATTGTTTGAACCGGGAAGATCAAACTGAACGTCGCTCGCGGACATGGCAGCCATGGCCCCAACTTTGGTCCTTGTCACTTTCTCGAGGGCGGTGACATGATCTCCATTGTAAACAAATGGCAAATCGAGCATCGTTCCTGTATTCATCGATCAATTAGAATATATATATATATCAGACGCGTTCAGTTAGGTGGGGCCGCGCACGGACGATCATCTATCACCCGAAGTAAGGTTCGGGATATGAGCTGTGCCTGCCGTACGTACCACTGTGACAAGCGTCCACGAGGGCTGTGAGCTGAACGCCTGCGGGGAGCTCCTTGACCATGAGATCATACATCTCATCGTCAGAGATGATGCCAGATCTCAGGTAATCGCATGGATAGATAATCTCGTCATAGCCATCAGCCTCATCTCCTACTGCAAGTGCCAAGACAGAACGAGGATTCATCGATTAACAGGGAGCCTTGCCCAGAGCGTTCGCGATTTAAGGTTGCAATAGGAAATAAATGTCCACTTGAGATTTTCACAGAACAAGGGGCACAATACTTACAGTGCTCAGCCTTGCCATTGTATGAGAAATCTTTGATCCGTCCACCATGACCTATCGCATGAAAAATGCCGAAGGAAGTAACGAAAGAAGGTAACGGTGTCAGTATGCGTTCAAATCATGCAACTACGATGATCGGATTACGCAAAAAAATGTTCCGTCCACTCACCTGCATAGTGGAAGAAGAGAGAATCCTGAGGTTCAGCATCCTTGACTAACCACTTCATCCAGTACCGGATATTGGCACCAGTCGGCCTCTTGTCTTCGTAAATTTGGTCGTCCGTCAACATAATCGTGTCCTGGTAACGGAAACCGAAATACCCGTTAAGGAATCCAAAAACATCCCGAGTGTCGTTGATGCATCCCAGCAACTGGTTCGGGTCACCAAAGTAGTTAATCCCGATCAGCAGCGCCTTCTTTCGCTGAGGCCGAGTAAGGGGTTGAGGCATAGACCTTGGAACGATCGATTTGGATGGTGAAGGTTTGGATGCGGCAGGTGACTTTGCTGCCGAGACAGAATCGTTGTCGGCATTGGCATCGGAAGCAGAGACATCGAACAAGTCGATGTCAACGGGTTTGTGCTCGAAGTACTTGTGGTCAGGCTCGTCAGGGCCGGAAGTGGGTTGCTTCTCCGAGGATGTAGCCCTTGTTGGCGTCTTTTGACCAGACAGGAGGCTGATCGGCACTTGGTCGTTTCCAGAAGCATTGGCGCTATCGTTGACAACTGAGTCCGATTCAGAGAAGGTTGGTACGAGAGACTGTACCTTGCTCTGTTGAGAGAAAGGCGATCCTTCGAGATGAAGTGGAGGGGATTGAGCAGCTACTGAAGATGCGGGTGCGATGGTGGATGCTTCGCCGTGAAAAGACGTCGATGAAGACGCTCCTGAGACTGGGAAGACAGAGGACGAGGTAGAAGATAGGGACAGTGACGAGGATTGATCTTTGGTCTCGTTGTCGGCGTGGACATTAACGCTGGATCCTTGTAGAATAATCGCCTCTCCCTGAAGAGACACCTCGACCTCGATCCCTTCACCGTACGCTAGTGCTTCTCTACCTCCCTGAGACCCATGTGAGGAATCATCCAGAAGATCCATTTGCGGGCTATCACTGAAGTCGTTGTCGTAATTTTCAGAGGATGAGTAGTTGAAGGTATTGTGGTGCTTCGGTTGCTGGTGTTGTTGTTGTTGCTGTTGTTCGAGCTGTTGCATTCGCATCAATTCCTGCACGACTCGAGTGACATCTGCGAGGATGGCAGGATCGATATCGTCGTTCGAGATGGAGAACGAGGACATCGTGGCCAGAAGGAGGATGAGAGGGTGTTGCGGAGAGGTGTCAACGGCGAGTTGGCAGTAAAAATGAAACGAATTGAGTTTGGGCGAGGCGGGAAAGGCACACTAAGATGGAAAAGGACACTAAAATATTTTATACAAGGCGGTGAATACAATGAAGAAAGGAAGGAACCAAACAACAAACAATTGACAAGGACTATAATGCGGCAGGAAAGGGTGAGGAATTGTACAGTGGATAAAGAAAGAAGAGAAGAATACGAGAGGGGAGCAATAGAAAGACAGCGTTACAGGAGGGAGAGGGGGATCAGCTGAATCCAAGATTGGGTTGAGGGAATGTCGATGGTGATGGCGATTGCAGCGAAATGAACAAGGAAGCAAGAGCAAAAAGGTCAGGGACGGAAAGAAAGAACGAGCAAGGAAAGACGAATAAGAAAGGGGACAGCGAGATACAGAAGGGCGATAAAGCGATAGAGAGAATCCCCGAACGGGCTTTTTAAATAAAAAAAATAGAGCGAGCAGGTTTCCGTGCTGCTTGACATCCAAACAAACCGCATCGCATTCATGTACACATTCCATGTACACAGCAAGTGCCGCTATAGTACCAATGAACGATGTCTCCTCTTCTGCACTGCCACCCCAATTGCTTCATATCCCCATTGCTGGTTGTGGTCTTCATGTTAGTTAACGGTACACTAATGATGCCATGTCCGTGTTCCTGTGCGACTTAGCATGGCTAATCCGATCGACACATGCTTAGCTCTTGCAGAAGTCCATCCTATGTCCTAGCATCTATCATCTTGATGTTTTCATAAGCCGGTTTAGTTTGTTGGATGAATATTGTTCCTGTATCATGTCGTGTCTTGTTCTTGTTGCGCCTAATCCGTACCCAGAACCCTGGTAACAACCACTACCACCACCACGCATGCCGTTATCCATTTGCCTCTTTCCCACATCAGATTACTCTCGCTTTCCTTGCTTTCAAAGGAAAGCAAAGGGTCGTTTGGTCATTGTACCTTTTCAGATCTAGGGGACCATGCTGAACCAAGGATTAGGGAGTTGGAGTTGGAGGAAAGAAGAGCATGCACATACAACTAAACATAAATCCTTCTCCTCCTTCGCTCATGTCCAGCTGGACACACCAACTAGCGCATCCTTTTATTCCTTGTATAACATAAACATTTTACAGGTCTGTTGTTCGGCCAGTCTTGCTTCTTATGATTCTTCTCCTTCTAATGACAACCTAGCGCTTGCTTACTGACATAGACAATAGCGCGTTACGCCTTGAAGGACCCGAAGGCTTTCTTCCTCGGAGGAAACATGGCGCAAGATGCGACAGCCATATCGGCGCCACGGTCCGAGCTAGACTTGCTCTCAATTAGTGAGAACTTTAATAGAGCTTCTGGCTGCAGCTCCAAAAGGCCAAGAAAATGTGATACCCACCCATTGACCAATGAGAACGCGACGAAGCCTGCTTGTGTAATCCAGCTTCTCGTTCCATTCTGGGAAGATTGTTGCTCCTATGTTTTGGTGGAACCAGGGACGTTTTGCAGTTGCAGATGCCACCGATTTAGTTCGTCATCAGAATGTTTACGTATCCAAAGGGGTTCTTCCTTCTTTTTCTATGGACTGGTTCCCCCAAAGTGAATCAAGGCAGCGGACTCGGGAATCTGGAGCAGATCTATCTGGTCATCCAGTGAGTAAGGTCTCGATTCGGCCTCCTGTCACCTTTTGAAGAGTCCCGTGGAACACGGACGTCATGGATACAAGGAGACATTAAGAGCTGTCCCCTAAAAAAAAAGGCGATAATGAACCCCAGATGAATAGGGGAAGCCTATTGCAGCAATGTGCATTATGGAGGATCGACATGGCTCGATTACTATCCCACCATAAGTCAACAGGCAACGCATCTGACGGATTCGCCTCGCTGTCTCTTTTATATTTAAGAAACGAATACTAATTTCCCTACTTGATGCACTGTACTACAACGCGGCTAAACTAGTGATGTGTGAGGCTCGTGAAAAATGGGGCCCTGCACAGGTCTCTTCGGAACATAGATCTAGATGCGGCTACCCTTGGCCATAGAGTCCTTCAGCACCTTGAGCTTCTCCATTACCTCCTCCATCTTGCGGATCTGTCCCTTGGCTTTGCTCTCCACATCATCACGCGACCTCACATTGACGGACCCGGACGCTTCCTCTTCAGCACCGACCACAAAGATGAAGTTATACTGTGCAAGTTCTGCATTCCGGATCTTCTTGTTCAACGTCGCGTCCGAGGCATCGACATCTGCAAAGTACCCAGCATCAAATAGCTGTCTCTGAACTTTTTCCGCATACGGCAGCAGCGGTCCTGCCACTGGAATCACCTGGATTTGACGTGGCGAGAGCCAGAAGTCCCACCGGCCTGCGCAGTTCTCCGTCAGGATGGCGATCATGCGTTCCAAAGACCCAAGCATAGCGCGATGGATGATGATGGGCCGAGAGAAATCCGAACCAGATGGATCACCGCCGCTGTTGCGGTACTGGAGATTGAACCGTTCAGGCAGCTGAAAGTCCAGTTGCAGCGTCGCACATTGATGGTTACGTCGCAGGGAATCTCGGATGAGGATGTCGATCTTGGGGCCGTAGAAAGCGCCATCCTGGGGGTTGATGGACCAGGGGCGCCCGAATCTGTTCAGCGCATCCGCCAAGTGCTACGTTACAACGCCATGAAAAAAAAAGAGAGACATAGACCATCAGTTACAGATATAGGTAGGGAAACTCAATGCTGCAACGAACCAAGGGTGTGTGGTGTACCTTCTCAGCCAAGTCCCAGTCCTCAATCTTGCCGAGATACTTTTCCGGCCTCGTAGACAGAGCCAGCGAAAATTCGAATCCAAAGATCCCATAGACATACTGCAGGAAGTCCAGTGTGGCATCCATCTCCGCGCCCAATTGATCCAAGCGACAGAACAAATGTGCATCGTCTTGCTGGAACCGTCTCACTCTCGTCAATCCCGACAGTGCCCCGGAGGCCTCGTTTCGATGCAGGACGCCGAAATCGGCATACCGTAGTGGCAGCTCTCGATAGGACCGTTCTCTCACATCAAACATCAGACAGTGCCCAGGACAATTCATAGGTTTGAGTCCAAACGTGTCCTTCTCAACATCAAACATAAACATATCCTCCTTGTAATTGTCCCAATGGCCGGACGTCTGCCATAGTTTGATGTTGAACATATTTGGAGACATCACCTCCGTGTAACCACGCTTATGATACTCGTTCTTGATGAACGACATGAGCGTGTTGTAGATACGAGCGCCATGTGGAAGAAAGAAGCAGGATCCAGGAGAGAGCTCGTGGAAGAAGAAGAGCTCCTGTTCTCGACCGACCTTACGGTGGTCTCGCTTTGCGGCCTCCTCCAGAAACTTCTTGTGCTCGACCATAAGCTTAGAGTCAGGGAATGACACGCCGTAGATGCGTTGCAGCGAGTCGTTCTTGGCGTCGCCCAAGAAGTACGATGCAGAGTTTTTGAGGACTGCAAAGGCCTTGATACGTCCCGTGTGTGGAATGTGTGGTCCACGACAAAGATCGATCAGGGGTCCGCACCGGTAGACCGTCGTGGATGCGCCATCAAGAATCTTGGACTCGATCAATTGGATCTTGTATCGGTTGTGCTGGAAGTTTTCAAAAATAAAGAGTAAGTAGGTGCCAGGAAAGTGAATTAATATTGGCGGGCTGCAGAGCGCTGACTCAGAACAGTTGGTCTTGTACCTTGAACATCTGCAGGAGATCTTCCTTCTTGACCACAAGACGCTGAAATGGCTGCTTCTCTTTGACAATACTTTTGGCCAACGTCTCCAGATTCTCGTAGTCACCTTGCGAGACCAGTCTGCCAAGAAAAAAACAAAAAAAAGATATTTGTACTTATTCACCTCTGAATAACTAGCAGCTACAGCGTTCGCAAGCTTACCTTTCGTCCCTCATTCCCATCTCATAGTAGAATCCGTCCTCAACTGGTGGTCCAATGCAGAGATGGCACCCGTAATGTCTTTCGCAGGCCTCGCCGAGAACATGGGCCGAGGAGTGCCAGAAGACAGCTTTGCCTTCCTCGTTCTCGAAGTCCAACAGCTCAAGCTGACAAGAGCTCACCAGCGGACGCTCGAGATCCCAGAGGACCTTGTCGACCTATGAAGAACGAATAAAGCAAAGCAAGACAATAAACATCGACATAGGTTTATCTTAGATCTTTTATAATGTGTCGAGACACCTTACAGGGAGGAGGGGCTATATACCTTTGCGATCACGACCCGCTCGGCCAGGCTCTTGGCAATGGACTTTGCAATGTCCATCGGGGACGTTTCCCAGGCAATACCTTCGCGCTGAGAGCCGTCAGGCATCGTGATCGAAATGGGATCTCTTGGCTGACCTGTCAATCAACAAAGTATTTTGTCAATACCATAATACATCACTCGCACCATGAAATACGTATAAAAAAGTTTTTTTGGCTACCAGCGTCGGCTTCATCGGATTGCTTCTTGAGCGTATCAAAGATGGCGATGCGATGAGCAATGTATTCAGGGACAGGAGCAGTCTGAATACGAGTGAGAACGACGGAAAATGAGATGTAAGAAACGCGTTCGCCTACGTTTTTTCAATGGCTTTTTTTTTTTTTTTATAATCCTATACCTCCAAAGGATAAGCATTCTCAGGGGAGTTCTTCTTAGTCTTCTTTTCATTGGCTGGCTTTGCTCCCAGCGCAATGGGCGACGATCCAGTCTTGATGGCCGTGGCGGGAATGAGGTTCTGCTGTTCGATTTCAGACATGGCTTTCAAAGACAATCGTTTCTTTTTTCGTTGGTGGTTTTTTTGTGCGGCTGCGTGTGTATGTGTGTGTGTTTCTGGCTGTGTAGTTGTGGGGAAACAAAAGTCTGTCGCCTGCCTTTTATAGAATCTGCTTCGCCCATCGAGTCACCATGACAAAAAATAAAAAAATTCGGCAGGAACTTCATGAACCTGGACATCGCTTAGGCAGGGTGAGCATGAAGCATATCGACTCATCGCATTCTTTATGTTATCCTTGGAAGCTTCATAGAGCTGTATTGGCATTCCTGTAACTGAACTTTGCTTGAACCTTGCATTATGAGAGTCATAGCCTTTTTGCAAACAAAAAAAAGCATCTCCACTTTTTCACACACTGCATCATACGTAGAAGAAATTGGTTTATTAGGGGTGTGTAAAAAAGAAAGCGGATGACGACGAGTGAATGTATGAAGAATGCCACCATATTTATCAGGCGTTCTCTCGTTTACAGAATCTTCGAATTGTTGAGTCTGTCAAAGGCTCCGGTACCCTCGACCATTTCAGGCGTAAGAATCCACTATCGTATGATTGTTCAAAATGTTAGTCGATCGATCGTGACCATGCGCAATAGAAAAACGCAACCATGTCAACATTACTTACGTTGGCGAAACCTGCAGCCTTGCTCACAAACATGTTGAACAGGCCCTTATCAGCCTTCTGTCGTTCCTCCTCCATCTCCAGTTTCACCCTGCTTGTCATTGTGCTGTTCTTTGCACTTGCCGCGATGTTGTTGGTTTGGACGACGTTGACAAGACCTTGTCCAATATCGAACCAATCCTGAAGCTCCTTCATGTCAATATTGCGAAGACCTTTCATCATGTCTCCAAAGTTTAACGGGAATAGCTGTGCGTCCGCAGGGTGCACATCCTTCTGTAGATCGCCAAGTTTCGCGTTCGTTGGGATCGCTGTTACTGTGTCATTGCCGGACTTGCCATCTGCATTTATCTTTTGGGATGGTGAGGGAGTGCTAAAAACAGGTGCACAGTCGGCACCGAGAACATAGGTACCCTGAACCAGGAAGCTGCTGCATCCATAGCAGCTTAACATGCCAAGGACATTTGGATTTGAAAAGATATGGGCCATCTCCCGGAGGCACTGGACCGTGCAGCGTTCACGGAACTGAAGCGCGTAGTTCACAAATGAGTCGATACAGGAGCTGTCAGATCTACTGTCATCGGAGTCGGTATCTTTGTGGTCATCTTGGCCATCGTTGTCACCTTTGCCAGTCTCGGAGTCCGTCACGACAAGTGCAGGGGTCTTGTCGCGCTTTTGCTTGATATGAGAATGCCTGTGCTGTTCGGAGACCGACAGCGAACCTTCAGAGGGTAGACGAATATCAATTTGTTCAGGTTCCTCCTCCTTTTCAAAACCAGTGTCATCCTTATCGGTCTCATCCTGATCATTTTCGTCTCCGTTGTCGTCCCCAGTCTCATTTTCATTTTTATCATCGTATCCATCATCATCACCATCATCGTCATCATAATCTTCCTCGTCATCCTCGTCGTCCTCGTCGTCTTCGCTGTCCTCATCGTCCTTAACATTCTTGTTATTCTTGTCGTTCTTGGTATTCTTGTTGTTCTTGTCGTCTTTGTCGTGGTTCTCGTCATGACCCAAAACAACCTGCTGTATATTCTGACGTCCCATACTGTCCATGGCCACAATCTGCTTCACTCCATTTGATACTGCTGCCATATGTCGCAGTGCATGTGACCCGGACGTGTCGATGTCGCTCACAGCGTATTTCGCGTTCAAGATATCTGGAAGGATTTCCTGACGCTTATCGCTCCCGCCCTTGTTGAGGGTAAAAGGTGATGCGTTGGTCAACTGAGAAGCTAGGGTAAGGATGGCGATGGGTCTCAAGAACCTGGAGACCTGAATCTTCATGTTGCTTGGGTTATTGTCGTTAAAAATAAAATAAAAATAAGGGTAAGGTGGATGTCAATGTACCAAGATTAAAAGAATTGTCGCGACAAGAAGATAAAAGTTAGGTAGAAAATGGGCGCCAACATGATATCTCGGGATACCCAGGCGTACTCGTATCAGGATAGTGAACCAAGAATTCCATTCCATTCTCGGGAATACCATGGATGATGGTGATGGGCTGTCTAAAGACCACGCGAAAAGTGGAATCCATGATCAGGGACTTGCCGCAGGAGGCAAGGGAAGGCAGGAACGTGCGCTTTACCTTTTCCCCTTTATCTATAACATAACAACACCATATTAGCAGTTTGGAGCGGCGATCGACTTTGAATCAAAGGCTCCTTGATTTTGGTATTGGGACGATCTGCCGTGGGAGGTGAAGGGACACAGAGCAAGCATAGACCGTCTTCTCATAAGATTTGCAAGAGATGGAGTCTGCCGATATTGGTTAAGGCAGAGTTGCTGTAGGGTCTTTTGCTTGAACATTACATATATTGTTATTCTTCGAGATAATTTCATCTTCCTTGCAACTGAAGATCATAAACAATAATTTATTTGCATCCAAAACTGCAGTGTATTAAGACATGGTCTTGTGAAGGCGCTTTCCATTCGCTTTCCCCTTTCTTAAATCATCTTTCTAGCCTCAAAGAAGCTGCGAAGATGGCGCATCTGCCAGGCGCAGGTAATGGCCAAGATAACCAACTGAAAAATGGTCCAGGTTACTGTATGAGAGTTGGTCGTCTCGCTCTTGTTGCGGAACTCTTGCTCGTTTTCCTATTAGGAAATAAAAGGTGGCCCAAAAGAAAAGAAAGCAAAACCTTGTTAACCATATAGTAAAAAAGCAGCTACAAGACTCATTATTGAACAAAAGGAAAAAAGAAAGTGGATAATCCTTACACGAAGGTACATCTGCTCACGTCTGATGTCGCCGACCTTATGGCTCAATTCACGGACACGTTGGACCAATTCTATCAAACGACAGGGATAAAAGTATTTGAACATGTTTCTCGAGTAAGAATCCGCCTTAATTCATTTTTTTTTATAATCCATTGCTTGATTGAATGCATTGCGGTACTTACCGCTCACGGCGCCCTCAGGGCCGTCTCCGAATTCCTCGACAATATCAGTGATTGCCATGTCGAACGTAATTCTCTATTAACAGCAAGCAGTAAAGCGTTATCGTCAGGAAAGGCACGATTCCACGCCAAAAAAAAGTGTATGAAGAATATGAAGATGAAGTGACATTGAAGCCTTACAAGTTTTGTAGAGCTGAACCAGCCTGACGTCGAGGCAAACAGACAAATCGCATGCTCACTCGATTCAGCAGATGTGAACTTGAACGCGCCCTTGGGCCGCAGCTTCTGGCTGTAGACCCTGTTACCCGATGGCAGTTCCTAGGAGATCAGCAGGAGACGTTCGTTAGGGCTATTCCGTTCACCTAGGCGCCTGGCTATTTGTCGCCCGAGCAGATATCGCGGCCCAGCAATTGATAGCACACTCACATCGACCAAGACTTCGAGAACGATCTCAGAGTTCATGATGAACTTTTGCGCTTCCTCGTTCCACTCTTCGGCAGTGTAATGGGCTAATAGTTGATTGAGATACCACAAATTGTCGTTAGATATGAAGTCAGATAGCATTGCCCTGAAAACGCCATACATCCGAAATAACGTCCATCTCAACATTCTTCAAGAGAGAGCCTTGCTGATTTTTCGTCCGCTAATGTCGAGTGATGCTCATACCTGAGACCATGGTCTCCTTGGGCAGTTCCTCGGTAAAGCACTTTTGTTCCGAGCCCTCGAGATAAAAGTAAAGTCCAAAGACCGAAGGGAGGATGCTGAGGAGCACCAGCAAACAAATGCTCCATCGAGTGATGTTGATGGCCATGCTGTGAAAGTCGCGTGTTCTGTTAAAGCGATTCGAGTGTGATGATGCAGAATTGATGAAACGACCATGGATCTCCAAGAAAAGGAGCCAACCAACCACGTCACAGAGACGTGGTTGGCGTTATGGGGATGTAGGACAGGATAGGGCGTGAGTAGCGCCGCGGATCCACTTTCGCCGTCTGAACATACCAGAAAGAGTTCATTCCGGTTGCCAGATATATCATTACTCACCGACCCGAGCAGGATAAACTGAACCCCTCACCGACTGGGCCGTTGTCTATCAAGTCCATCTTCACCATCTTCACTCTATGCCAATTCCAGAAAACCTTATTTACATCGTTATCGCTTTCCCTTCGACTTCAGATTCATGATAATTGTAGTACAGTATATTTTATAGTATTACATACAAACGTATTGCTGAATATGCGATGGGGTTCTCAGGTTTCGCTATGACGAAGCGACTTTCAGTTCGATTTTCAGGCAAAGACCTGAGGTGCCTGGCCGGGAACCGGTTGAACACCGCCCACAAAGTTGGCTTGGTTCTCATCCACGTGGTGGAAGTCCAAAATCTCGCTGTACATCATGACCTTCCATGTGTCCACAGGCAGATCGGCGTCGTTGAAGGACCAGTCAAAGACCTCGGCGGCCACGGGCTCATCATCGGGATCGTGGTAGGGCTCGAGGTACTTGTGGTAAAGGGCATCTCCAGCTGTCATACGCTTCTTGGGGTCAAACACCAACATCCTCTCGAGCAAGTCCAGTGCTATGTTCACCATTCGATACACATAGCAGCATGTTAGTGTGTTGCCAGCAATAGTGACCGAATAAAACTGGTCCATCAAGAAATAAAATAGAGCATACCAACAGGGTCAGAGTTGGGGAACTTTGTCGTCAATGGAATCTTTTCTCTCTTGGGGAGTGACTGGACAAAGCGAAGGGTCTAGAGTTGCGAGGAGAGCAATACAAGGTCAGTCAATGAAAGCGATATACAGAACAATGCCTAGGCAAAAGAATCGTACGTAAGAATATAACGTACGTTTTCGCTACCAATGGTCTGGATAACATCATCTGGTGGTGTGCCGAGCAACTCAGTGATGATCGAGAACTGGTTGACGTCTAGAGAAAAAAATCATAAGCAATAGAATCTAGTAGGTGAGAATCATTGCCGAACATTCAGTCGAATACCTATCAGCAATTGCATAAAGAAATAGCATCAGTAACTTACGATCCTTTCCAGGGAACAGTGGCTTGCCCTCCAGCATCTCAGCGAAAATGCATCCGACACTCCAGATATCGACAGCCACATCGTACTTTTGCCATGTCAACATGATCTCTGGTGCACGGTAGTAGCGTGTGGAGACATATCCGGTCATCTGAGGGTCCTGAATACGGGCCAGGCCAAAGTCGCAAATCTATTGACGTGAAACAATGCACAAATGGGCCGCACAAATCGTTAGCAGCGACTCTGGAGCATATCTCTCTAGCTTTATAAATCGCGGCCATATCGTCCTTCTGCAGTACCTTGAGATCGCAGTTCTCGTTGACCAAAATATTGCTTGGTTTCTATTCAGTCAAACCGTAAAAGTGTCAATGGGTGACGTCCGATAAGATGGATTCAGCATACATCTCTTGGTTGCGACGCCCGGACAGCTTGTCACAATGTCCTTACCAAGTCACGATGGACAACGCCGGCTGAGTGAAGGTATTTGAGGCCACGCTATCAGAGGAGGTGCGGAGGAGAGAAAAGGGGAGAACCAGCGATAGGCAAACTGTTAGAGGGCATTGTACTAGACCTTTTTTTTTAAGGTCCATGCCAAATCGACCTGGGTCACTGAAAAACGAGGTATCAGGGGGATAATCGTCATTGTTGTCGTGAAAAAAGCAGGTCTATTAGGGACACATACCAGGATCTGATACAGGAAGTACTGGATGAACTGCTTATCAAGAGGCCGCGAGGTCAACAGACGATGCAAATCGGTTCCGAGCAGTTCGGTCACAAAGTAACTGTAGTGTATGGTCAAGCGCAGCAAACAAATGTCAGCACAACTGTTATACTCAACATGTTGCATTTCAAATAACCCTGTTCCCTTTGATATGTCTTCTCCCGGCTCGATGCCCACTTACATATCCTCCAGTGGCGAGATGAAAATGTCACTCAAGCAGATAATCTATCAAAAGGGAATCAACACAGAAAGATCATTGACGCAATATGATTAGCTTTGCCCAATGGTCATTCCGCTGGATGTCAGATCTCCGTGCAGGCTGCGTGATAAGATAAAGTTGGTTGATGCACTGCACGTACATTTTCATGCTTGAGATGCTTTAGCAGCTTCAATTCTCTGTAAGTGCGCTTTGAAAGGACTGGAGTACTGAAGGGCTTCATGATCTTCTTGATGGCGACGGGTTGGCCAGTCAGCTCGTCCTTGGCGGAGCTATACATCATCAGGGAGATGAACGCAAGGACAGTTGAGGATAAGCTTGATTTCGGTAGAATGGCGAGATTACCGCTGAGCTCGTGCCGTGCCTCACTTACCAGACGAGACCAAAGGCACCCATGCCGACAGGTTGGAGATCGACATAGCTATGATAGGCGAAGAATGGTCATGAAGGTTAGTTCTTGAAGCTCATTCGATGAGCTGACCCACAACTGGTTGCGATGCATTCCATTCGCCATTCTAGTTTCGAACCATCACCACCACAAACCAGCAGACAATCATACAAAGCACACATAGCACACATGCAAAAGAAAGACAAGACTTACCGAGTAGTGACCTCAAAGACGGTTCCAAAGATAGATAGCTTTGCAAATTGAGCCATGGTGGAGTTGTGGTGAGGAGAGACGTATGAGTGTGGAAAAGAGGGGTGTGAGGTGTTTGGATTCGCTGGTGGTGACTTTGAATTTTTGACAACAGAGCAAACGGAGAAGGAAAAGGTGAACGATGAAAAGAAAAAGAAAAAAATATGAGAACGGGGAAGAAGAAAAGGAAGACGAAGGAGCAGATCAATGGAACGAGTAGCCTTTTTTTTTTGTTTTTTGTAAAAGACCAAGCTTGCTTTAGGCCAGGGACAACAGGAACAGGCACAGATACAAACCGTTACAAAAACAAAAGGTGTTTGTTTGTTGTCGGGATTTTTTATTTTTTCGTATGATGTCATGATCACATCGTACTTTTGCTCGAAAGCGGTCTGCAACTTCGTGTTCGTGTGCGTATCAGGTCCATCCCCTGGTCAGTTGGGCCCTTTCTTGCCCCCTCTTTTCAACAGGACAAGGCATCAACTTGCGACTGACAGTTTCTGATGTTCATCCTTCAAGGCTGCTTTGAAAAATGCTGCCCATATGGAAGGCCCGTTATGAAGGGTATGAATCAGGATAACGACCCCTCTACCTCACCTCTCCGGTACCTGCAGATCAAAGGAGCATTCAAAATGGATTAGGCATGCCCTTAATAGAGTTATAAAATGTTACGGCCCTGACGCAAAGGTGCGTTCCTGGAGCACCTTATTTCGCACTGTGTCCATAGCGTCATGGTTAATGTTTAGAGGCGTCTTGTGAGGTCCCTCATGCATGCATTCTTCCTTACAATTGAATAATGCTATTCACAGAAAGAAAAGCAGTCTAGACAACGAACTCCTTCTCAGTCTAACACTGGACGGGTGAAGCCACCTTCTTTGGCGTGAGCGGTAGGGCAGCATTCGCAGGGTCCACCTCTCCAGTCTGTACCACCCCATCTCCAAGTGGGCTTGTCAAGCACGGTGAACAAGGGAGCGCCACGCTTGACGACGATATCGATTTATTCCAGAATTGACTCTCCACGACCCGATCGATATCCCACCGCTTCTCAATGTCATTGACCATCCCCTGCAAAAGCTCACTAAAGGCCATGCCGCCAAAGTAGGTAATCTTTTGCCAGTTCAAGCCCTGACTGATCACCTTGGACAGAACCGATCCCGTCGCGAGTTCGTACAACACTGCACCTAGACTGTAAACGTCGCCTCGGATGTAGTCACATTGACGATGACCTCCGACGCGCCTAGCCTCCGGACTCGCATAGTCCTGAGTTCCGAAGAATTGGTTCAGCGGCAGTTCATATATCTGGCTGCAGAGTCCAAAATCGCAGAGTAGGCCCTTGCCCTTACGGAAGAGGATGTTGGCGGGCTTGATGTCCTTGTGGCTGTAACCTTCCTGGTGGAGGGCTTGCACACCGAGCACAACAGTGTACATGATGGAGCGGATCTCCTCGATGCTGAAAATGGTCCCGAGAGAGCAGGAAGGGGACAAAGGCCGTTGATCTAGATCTTTATTAGATCGATCACCTAGAACATCCTTGCAGCGCGTCTTGAGCATCTCCGCCAGATCTCCTTCTGCCTTCTCGAACACCAGGTAGTGATGCTTGTTCGTAGTAATGATATCCAACAAGGGAACAATACCCGTCTACAATAAAAAAGGGTCAGTCTTCATGGTCTCAGCTACAGTATTTTGTTCGCATACGATTGTTCTCTTACTCTGTCATGGAACAAGCGGCAGACTCTCATCTCTCTCTGGACCAAGCCCAGCCTCTCGATCTCACCGGGAAGCTTTCGTGTGATTTTCTTGATAGCGACTTCGATGCCCTGATCAATCGTCTTGCCCTGGTATACAATCCCAAAGTTGCCCTTGCCCAGTTTCTTAGCCACGTTGTATTCAAAGTCGGCAATGGTCTTGATCTTCTTCGCAAACAGCTTGCCAGATCGTGAGACCTTGGACGAGATCACCTGCTCCTGATCGCTGCTATTGCTCCTGAACAACATTGACACGTTCGTTGCCAGCCTCCACGGGTCCTTATCTGATGTCTTCGAGGTGATCTGAGCAGACTTCAGGACGTCTGGTCTATGGAGTTCTGTATCGATCTTTGATGGCTCCATCCCCCACTGGTTTCCAGATGGCAAAGAGCCATTTGGGAGGGCCGGGAGCGAGATAGACTCATACTGTACTGCCGAAGAGACAACAGTGCTCTCCTCGGTTGAAATACTTGCAACAAGGATCGAAGTATCGTCCTTTGACGTCGATCCACGCGTCTCAAAGGTTGCCATCGTGTCTGCATCAGATGATTCAAGGCGACCAGAAGGTGAGGACGATCCAGTGCTACACAAATCTCCTGTTCGTATTTTGGCCACGCGCAAAGAACCAGGCGAACTCAAATATCCCTGGTCGCCCTGTCTTCTATGTTGCTTCGCTGAGAGCTGTAGACCGGATAATGTTTCGTGGTGGACAATGTGCTCAACGATAGAACCGTCAGTGCGCTGAATCAAATGGCTGGCGGCCTGATCGTGTCGCCACTGCCTAGCAATCGCCTCCGACTCCGTCGTGCATCCCTTTTTTGGACGTGCGATTGCGGGGACAGCATTGTTGCTCGCATGTTTAAAAGCAACGTCTACTGAAGACTGCGAGGTATTTGAGATGCCTTGGATCTGCTCTTCTATTCCGCCCTCATGTTGGGGCTGGTCCAGGATATCATCTCTGCTTGTTGTTTCTGTGGCCTCTAGCTTGACTTGAACCTCCAATTCGGACCTCAGAGCATTCACTTGCGCCGATACCACCGTCTGGTTGCCGTAGTCCTCATGTTCCTGATACTCATGCTCCTCATACCCATCATACACCCCATACTTAACATACTCCTCATACACATCATACGTCTCACACTCCTCATAACTCTCGTATTCATGTCCCTCTTCCTCTTCTTCCTCCTCTTCCTGGTCCGAATCATCATCGTCATCTTTAGGTCGAACATCAACTCTCTTGCAATACTCATTCAGGTCGATCGGTTCCTTGTGAGTGTACGTCTGATCAGTTGTTATAGCCGTATCGGAGTCCAAGATTCCTGGAGAGTAGGGTGAGAAAGGATCCAGGTCCAGGGATGGTGCCTCACCGATGTCCCCCTGCCTTGCGTATACACATTTCTTTCCTGAAATCGCCAATAGCTGACTCATTTGCAAGACGGCCCTCTTCCTTTCCGCTGTCTGTTCACGAAAGTTCTTGCGCGCAATAGGTCCGATCTGGAGCACAGAGAGGGAAGGTTGAGGTTGCGACATTGATAGTAGGCCGACTCCATCTTGGGTGGACTCCATGCTCAAGCCCTGTTGACGGCACTTGGTCCCAGTTCCCCCAGTGGGCTGTTCACCCCAAGAGTCGGCAGAAAAGGTGGATGCAAGGGATCTGGACGCTGTCGATTCAAAAGAAGGCGAAGAAATGATCATACTCACGGAGCGACCAAACTTTGGCTTGGAGTGATCAACCTTCATCGCAAGGAAGAGTGAGTGGCCGGATGACGCATATAAGAACGAAGGGATAGAGGTGGAGTGGATCAGCTTATTGACTTTGGGATCCTTTCCATCTTTTGGCTTATTGAAGTCTTCTGGTGTGGAAATATGTTTGTGAATGCTGCTGCCAAGGCTAAAACCGACGCGTAGAGTTGCAGGGTCGTGAGGAGTGCTAGGGTTGCTGCCATTCTTACGGACCTGGTCCGTGTTTTGGGGGCTTGCAGTGCTACTCTCAGGGATACGGCAGTTCAAAAAAGAGCTGTTGGTTTTTCTGAGACGAAGAGGTGAGACAGAGTTCGACAGGGACACTCTTGGACCATCCATTATGAGAAGAAATTATGGAGTTGGTGCCGCTGGACCTTGAATCGAGGGCTGGATGAGAGGAGCCAGCGAGGATGGCGTGGTGCAGCAGAAATGGGTTTGGTGAACAGAAATAGTGAGGCGATTGAATGGTCCGTTGGAAATGTCGTTGCCAACCGATCGTCAAGGAGAGCGCTGATTACTTGGGAAACATACGCCAATAGAGCACATGTCACTCTGCACCGCACCATCTTGATGGGGCTGTCGGTGCAGTATGGACCGGAACGCGATATCTCTCATATTTTGTCTTTATTAAATCGTGCCGTGTAAACTGAATAACAGTTCGGAATACGGAGAGGATCTGTCGTGCGCTATCTATTGAAAAGAACCACGGCAACTAGCTTTTCCACAGTTTCATTAAAGACGCCCCGGCCGAACTACCCATCTTTCTGTCTTCATGATCGAGGGCCATAGAAAGTAAATGGCGTATACCACCAAGCTACGCGCACAAGGTTGACCGGTGGCAACTTGCTGGCATACACGATGACACGTAAAGCTACAGGCTAGTCGTCTGAGTAGTATCTCTACCTCTTTTTCAACACTCAAGACGCGTGCGCCGAGCTGGGTGGGCCGTGCGCCTGTATCATGTGATATGCCTGCCGTTTATTTTCTTGTTCGATTCATTTCTTTTTCATTCCGCATCCCATTCCTTACCCACCTACCCAATCACACACACACACACACCACTGCCAACATGTCGGAACAAAAGTCGCTGAACGAGCTGCTCAAGTGGTCCATTATTAATCAGGCTACTGAGAAAGAGGACGCCTCTCCCTCTGGAGCCTCCGCAAAAGTCGTCCAGAAAATGGTATGTCTTGAGGGAGAGCAGATCAAAGGCGCGATATGGATAGCTGAACGTTTGCGTTAACCAGCACATCTCTATGTCTATCTGGTTGAAATTGGACATATAGGACCCGGGTCTCATTGATGCTATTCTCGGAAAGAGCGAGTCGCAATTGATGCTCGACGCATTGACGGTCATCAAGAGCCCAAAGGCAACCACAGACGAAAAGGAACTGGCATGGGAGGATTTTGAGATGTTGATCCAGCACATCGATAATGCTTCCAGTACGTTGTCCTTCAGTCATTCAATGGTTCAATCCTTGTCTTCTCCTAGGATTGCGATTGAATGTTTAACGCTGATCGATGATTTTGTTTTTATTCGTATTAGATATAGAGAACATGAAGATGTGGCCACCAATTCTCGAAGAGCTGAAGAACAGCAACCCCAAGTTCAGAGAGCAGGCTCTGTGGGTTTGTGGAACCGCCACGCAGAACAACCTCAAGGCGCAGGCTGCTGTACGTATCCTCCACACCTTAATAGCTGAGCATTTACACATCAGCTTTTTCAAAATCTCTAATTCATTTTTTCTTCCTTGTTGTTCTTTTATGTTCCATACCCTTTTAAAAAAAATAGTTCTTGAGGGAAAAGGGCCTTCCGGCTGTGATGGAATTGCTGTCGGACCCAGAGACCTACGTTCGTGCCAAGGCGATCTATGCTTTGTCTGGAGCTATCAAACACTATGAGCCCGCATTGGAGGAGTTCAAGAACGCGGATGGTCTTAAGACTCTGGTTAACATTGTGAAGACCGAGACTGGTAAGCAGGGCTATGCTTTCGTTTTGAGGATTGTCGCTACCGAAAATTAAATGCATTGGACTCATCATTCTTATCGTGCTTTCTCCTTTTTGCTGTATATAGACCTCTCGTTGCTTCGTAAAACCCTCTTCTTGCTCAGCACTCTTCTCACTCTGCACCCTTCCGTCTGCTCGCAGTTGGCTGATCTGGGGTTCGTCCACACGTTGGATACCATTCTGACCCAGCACATGGATAACGAGGACTTGGTCGAAAAGTCATTGGTGAGCTTGAAGACGTTCCTGGATGTTACCCCGAGCCCTGTTCATCCAGCAACACTCGCATCTCTTCATCCCAGGATTTTGGAGGCTAAAGAGAAGTACTCACAGCACATTTTGGACTCAGAGGCATGGGCAGATCTCGAGAAGAAGACAGCATAGAGGATCCCAACAACCACCACAACACATGCATTTAATAAAAATAGTATTCGGTTCATGAAAATCGACTGTTTTATTGCGCCAGTCGCACGATTGTATGTACATGCACGAAGGACTAGAGCAGGCTCAAAATTCCTCACATTCAACTTGGATCCCACACTCAATGCACGTCTGCACAGAAGCCCCCGACTCTGGATCAACCAGTGCCGTTCCAAAATTATGCTTGTGGACCTTGGATCGCTGTTGCATCTTCTTGTCCTGCCAAATAGACGTCCTTGTCTTGTTTCTAAGGTTCCGGAGCTCCTTTTTAAACTTAATCTCCTTTCTGGACTCTTTGTCTCGCTCACGCCTCTCAAATTCTCGATCCAAACCCTCGGGACCGCCCCACTTCTTGAATGCAAACTCCTCTACCTGACAGCGCAGATACAGCATCATGTTGTTCCAGGTCGCCTTCTTCGGGTTAGGTCTCTCCCAATGTGGGAACAGTTCGGTATCGCGCAACTCAGGATCCGTGAGCAAGTAGTCCATGCGGCATTCTGTCTTTGTCAAGAGCGAATACTTTTCTGGCTGCGTGTCTCGACAACCGATGCAGACAGGGACATGAAAATGGCGCAGGAGCTGGAAATCAATATCGACAGAAGTGCAATCCTGACATTCGTAGTTGTCCTCAGCGCCGAGAAAGATAGCTAATTCGGTGCGGAGTAAATTATGTAAGCAAATGACGGCGAGGAAAAGGAAGAAGAAAGCAACAGAGACAGCCGGCTACTTACATGGATCAGATTCTGCGACAGTTGGCTGCCATTTCCGCTTCCTCAAGTTCTCTGCCTCCGCCGATGCACTTGAACCGACCGCATCCCTCTCGTCCAGCTCCTGAATAAAACCGGCTCTTGTATCCTTCATTTTCGACAGATCATAGTCGTAAAATTTTGTCCATTGGTTCTTTGGTAGTGGTTCAATCTCCTCCATGGCTTTGTGGATCAAGTGGGCGTTCTGCTCAATGATTGCTGAGATGGATAATTGTTGGTTGCCTTCGGCCCTATTCCCCGTGCTAACGAACCCAGCATCACTGCTTTCTCCAAACTCTCGAGCAATCGCCTGTTCAGACTCCAGTCTCCTTTGATATTTTGCCCTTCTCTCCAGCGCTGCTTGTCGGTTCCTTTCGATCTTAGCTTGAACCTCCGGTGGCAGCTCAGCCCTGGTAACGGGCCGTCCGACGGTTTCCTCATGAGCAACCGATGGAGCAGAAGCTGTATGTGAAGTAGCATTGATCCCCTCAGTTGCTGCGCTTGAAGATGAAAGGGTTTGCGCAGTATCGATTGGACTGAAGGAAGTGGGCCCTGTCGCCTTGTTGGAAGCGGTTACTGCCTGATCAGTCATGTTGTACTGAAGTGGAGTTGCAGAAATTGGTGGCGTTGCTGTCCTAATGACGTCCCTTTAGGTTGAGGGTGGTGAACAGTGTTGAATGAGCGATTGTTAATCGGGTGAAGGGCGATCCTGAATCTAGTTATAGTGGTCTGGCGAACGACGTTAAGGAAATAAAATAGTTGTTGAGAACAGGGTCTTGACAAAGATGGTCGTGGAGGTGATGATGCAGTTCGTTACAAGGAAGAGACAGAAAAGGCAGAAACGGTCGCAGTTTCCCTTTTTAGGCCATTGGTGACAAAGCTTATCTCAGGAGCCATGGGTGAATGATGCAATATCCAGGCGGCATTGAACCAAAGCCTAGTTCTTAAAGAGCAGTCTCAAAAGGGACCATGGTGCCAGGTATTCCAGCGCAGTAGCCTTGAGCATGTACCGTCAAGCAAATTAACCCAGGGACAGCTTCGTCCAAGTGCCCGGTACCCATTGCACTAAAAGGTAGCGAGCCCATTGCCACCATCACAAACGGGCTTCGTATTGGACAATTGAGTTCGACTGTTGAACGTTCTCAAGGAGAAAATGGCCATTTTTGCAATTGCTCCCGCGTTCCTCTCCACAGCTTTTTTTTTTTTTTTGTCTGCTGCTTCTGTTTTCCTTGAATCTCCTTCTCCTGACCTCCTCGTTCGCCGATTCAGGTTCTTAAATTACGCTTCTATTTGCTCCAGTCTGGAGCATCAGTCTGCAGCCTACAGTGTGTTTCCCGTCTTTCTGGTTATCTCTCTGCTCTAGCCGTTGCTGTTGCTCCTTGCCCGTTCTTTTTTTTTTTGGTGGCCTTCTATTCTAAGGTCTGCCAGTATAGCGCACTTTCAACCCGCAACTTGACAACCGGAGCATCCAATCCGTGCTTGCTCGCTGCATAGACCTGCTTGTTTCCCGACAACCAAGTGCCCGATAGCAAGATATGCCTGGAGGTCGCTTTTACGCTTTTATGTGATTTCCCGCGAATAAAAGCCCTGAACATGGTGTTACCATGACGATTGTGCAATTTATCCGACTGGCCCTATTTATTTTCTATTTATTTTTCTTCTGTTGTCATCCATGTGGAATAACTCGAATACATGATGCATTGCAATGAGGACAGATATAATAGAACAGCTAACAGAGTTCGTGTCTCTGAAAAGAAAAGGAAAGAGACCGTTGGAAAAATAGGAAACACGCTTGCAGTGCATATCCCCTCGCCTGGGACGCCAACATTTTCTTGGACGTGGGCATGGACACGGCCCATGGACATGCACTCACCCCCTTCTCTCTTTCTGTCTGACTCCTCTTTCTTTCTCTCTCTCCCTCCCATCCTATCACATCCCATCCCATTTTCTGTTTTGTGCGTGTCTGTTGGGTGCCAATGTCCTGTCTTGTGTCCCCGCTCCAAGCGCAGTACACTTTTTCACGCCTGCATGCATCCTTAGCATCTTCATCCGCAATTCAATTCTATCGATCGATACTTTACCTAACTTTGTCCAGCCGGTTGGCTATTTGCTGAAGCTGTAAGCTGTAAGCTGTTCATGTTCTTGGACACAAGAAAGAGAGAAAATTTTTGTATCTTTTGCTGCTCTCGTATTTGCTCTTCTACAAGTCCCTTCCTTTCCCTTCCCTTCCCTTCCCTTCTTCCCTTCCAAGGCTCCCTTCTCCTCACTCGACCCGCTTAACTTTTTTTTTTGTGCTCAGCACGACCCATTCACGACGTGCTCTACTCGCCGGAAGAAGAAGAAGAAGAGATAAACCCAGAACGCAACACGCCTCCTTTTAAAGGAAGAGTCTTACAAACAGCATTACAGCACACTGCACACTACACACTTCACGCCTGGAAGGGTGTCATCGCCCCATCGTTCATCTACCTTCAACCGCCTATCTAATCTACAATCACTCCAGCAGACATCCGCCCCTTCACTCAATCACCATTCCGATTCAGCCCTCTCTCTGCTGATTACCCACCTCAATACATCCAACTCTCTTACCATCGCGCAATCCGATACTTGCAACCAGCAACCATCGCGACCGGCGTCCTTTTTTTTTTTTTCCCTGTGGTGCTTAGAAAGCCCTCCAATACCGGCTTGGGCCTTCCTTCCCCTTCTTCTATCCCTTCTATCTACGTCCTTTGTTTCAATTGCCACGAATTAGGACACATTGCCACAAAGAGCTCTGCTCCTTCCCGTCCCACTCTTCCACCCCACGTCGCCTCTCTCAATTGGACATCATCCAATCTCACAGCACTTATTCGCGTCATGGGCCTGTGTCTATCTGCCGAGGAAAAAGAGCAGAAAGAGGTCAGCCAGACCATTGACCGGGGTCTAGAGGAGGATAACCGGCGACTCAAGAAGGAATGCAAGATCTTGCTACTAGGTATGTGAACGTGGACACACAGATATCCATCCATCTACCAGATTTTTTTTTTTTTTTTTTTTGTCCAGCTCACCATCATACTTGCACTCCCTCTTCATCTGGCCAAATTTGTCATCGCGAGATTTTTTTTTTTTCTTTTGTAACAAAGATATTGACCTCAACGGATATCGGGTTCCATCTTTTTCTTAAAAAAAAAAAAAAAAAAAAAAAAAGGCAGTGGAGAGTCTGGCAAGTCGACGATTGTGAAGCAGATGAAGGTCATCCATCAAGGCGGATACAGCACAGAGGAATTAGCGACTTACAAATTGACGGTGTACAAGAATTTGGTCGATTCTGCACAGTCGCTGGTGCTCGCCATGGAGAAGCTGCGATTGGAGCCCGCATTAGCCGAAAACAGGGCCAATGCCGACCGCGTTCTGGATTATCGAGTAGAGGCCGACCCTTATTTCACTCTCAGTCCCGATATCGTCAATGCAATCGACTCTCTCTATCATGACCCCATCACGGCGACATGCATGGAACGGTCGAGCGAGTTTTATATCATGGATTCTGCACCCTAGTAAGTGCCAACCTTACACCAAGACAAAGTCAAAGTCAAAGACAAAGTCAAAGACAAAGACAAAGACAAAAAAAAAAAGTGACTGCATGAAGCATTAGGCTGGTTTCTAGCAGTAAGGTAAAAAGAAAACCAGCACCACCCCTAATATGACGGCAAATATTGTCGAACTTTTTTTTTTTTTTTGCTGATGACATGTAATAGCTTCTTCAGTCAAGTGCGGCGCCTAGGTGCAGAGGATTACACACCCAGTGTGCAGGATGTGTTACGAGCACGGTCCAAGACAACGGGTATCTCAGAAACGAGATTCAACATGGGACAACTCAGCATACAGTAAGTCGCTTATGCTCCAGCGGCCCCCCCCCCCCCCCTGCGATACTGCCTGCTATTACACCACCATTATGGATTTCGATCGTGATCGAAATGGACAAAACGCATCATCGGGCCGTATTCTCACTCTATATTTGTCTTTGACTTTTTTTTTTTTTTTTTTTTTGGCGGGGGGTACAATAGTATGTTTGATGTGGGAGGTCAGCGCTCAGAACGAAAGAAATGGATTCATTGTTTCGAAGCCGTTACCTCCATCATCTTTTGTGTGGCCTTGAGCGAATACGACCAAGTGCTTCTGGAAGAATCAGGACAGGTAAGGCCATGTGCTGTTGATCTTTTATATCATTGAAATGGATGTGTGTGTGTGTGCTTTTACGTGGACTAATTTTGATATATTTTGTGGACGATAGAACCGGATGGCAGAGAGCCTTGTGCTTTTTGAGTCCGTCATCAACAGTCGCTGGTTCCTGCGGACTTCGATTATTCTATTCATGAACAAGATCGATTTGTTCGCAGCAAAGCTTCCTAAAGTACCGCTGGAGAGATACTTTTCAGATTACACGGGCGGTTCTGATATCAGCAAAGCAGCCAAATACATTCTTTGGCGCTTCACACAAACGAATCGAGCGCGTCTCCACATATACCCACAGTATGTGAATGAAAAAAAAAAAAAAAATGCGGCAGACAGATCTGTTGTACCTCTGGTCAAAATTGTTCTAATACTTACTCGCATGCGTTTATGCACTCCGTTTTCTTCTTTATAGCATGACGCAGGCTACGGATACGTTGAATGTAATTACCGCTTTATCTTTCTGACTTGGACAAAGGAGGATAACAGATCCGAAACGATTGTTTGCTATGATCGTTTGTCCTAGTCTGCAATGCGCTAACGACGAGTTTCACCCTTCTTTTTTTTTGTCGTCTCATAATTTGATCCGCATGTTGTCCCTCCCCCTCTTCCTCCAACTTCTTCCCCTTCCCTTCTTCCTCTTTAGATTCGGTAAGGAAAAAGATCTTTTGGAAGTGTCGTGGATACTCTTCACGCAAAAAAAAAAAAAAAAAAAAAAAAGGCATTTGCTTGATCAAAAAAACAAACCGTTAGCGTGTTGAACTAACAGAATATTCGTCCTTCTCCTTTTTTTTTTAATGAAAATGATTGTCATTTTTAGGCTCGTATTTGCGGCTGTCAAGGAGACCATCTTACAGAATGCATTGAAGGACAGCGGCATTCTGTAACAAGGCTGCAGGAGATTGGGGCAGCTCTATTTCGATCATCGAAGGATTGGCTTGTTTTCATCGACAGGAAGAGTCGTCTGGCTGTATGTTTATCTGCTCGAAAGGCGACCTTTTTTTTCCATGGCAAAAGTCCTCAGGTCCCAATGCTCCGCACTGTTAAAAAAAAAAAAAGAAAAAAAAAAAAGAAAGAAGGAAAGAGGTTAATATAGCCTAATTTACTTCTGGATGCAGCCAAGGAGACAGTCTGCGTTGCGGAGGATCTCGCGGAGACGTTTTCTTTATTATTCTGGATACTAGCAACCGATTTGCTCTTGGTAGTTGGGTGGATGGCTCGCTAGGACAAGGGAAGGGGTGGAAAATGAGCGGCACAATGGACCTGGAATCGACCAAAGTTGGTTTATCTTTGTTGGCTTGGCGTGTACGCATTCGGATGCATCTGTGTCGACTTTTTTTATCTTTTTCGTTTTTTTTTTCTTTTTTCTTTATTTCTCTCCCTCTCTCTCACTCATCCTTTCTCCGTATACTGTGTTTCTTTTTGTCCATGCTTCTTTGTTTTTACGTATATTCTTAACTATAACCTCACCTAATCATATCATAGCCCTTCTTTTTTTTTTTTCTCTTTTTTTCTTTTCCTCTTCCTTTTGCGTTTCTAGTTCCTATAGTTCCTGTAATCGTGTAATAATCCAATTTTTTTTCTCCGTCACCCTTACCGTCTCATGCAACTGTACTTTTGTATGTTTTTTTTGTACCGATCCCGAGAATATTTAACTCGATGCCACATGCACAGAAAGAGCCAGGCAGGACACGTGGGCCACGGGCTCGCAAGCAAAAACTGTCCCCCTCTGGCGGATGTTGAAAATAATACAGTTCAAAGAGAGCAAGCCCAAGGAAAGATGAGGGGTAGGGGTAGGGTAGGGGGGAAGGAGGAGCTGCTTTCTCCACAGTCCGTGCGTGTCCCCGTCCGTTGTCCCGTGCATCTTTTTTTTTTACCCCACGCAGTTTTCTTTCGTATGCGTGCCTTTCTGCAACATTTCAAGTGTGGCAACCAGCGGGAAGCAAGGGCGGACGCGCTTCTTTTTTTTTTTCTTTTTTTTTAGACCGTCCATCTATACTGGGATCGCGTCAAAATGCTGCATTGGCCCTAAAATGGTCTAGGACCTTACCCTGCCCTTTTTTTTTTTTTTTTGCGTACTATTTGGTACTACCTTGTAGTAAATTTCGACCCCATGGATGGATGGATAGGATGGGAGTCTTGTCAGGAAATATAGTCTTGTCTGTGGAGAACTAAATCTTGGGGTCTAATGATAAATATGATAAAAGTCTACGTGCGTTTTTTTTTTTTTTTTTTTTTTTTTCCTTGTTCCACAAGCATCAAAAAACAAGGGAAAACGGACATGTGTCCCATGATCCTCCACCCCCGGATTCCTGTTCCAGTCCCATGTGAACTATTTGAGGGCTATGCAAACATCAAAGGAAAAAAAAAACTAGACCAACGTACTTTTTATTTAATTGCATTGCATTGCATGACATGCCTTTTTTTTCTTCTTTTTTGATATGGACAAGGAAGAAGACTATCATGCAGAATATGTATTTTTTTTTATTATGTTATGTTTGGGCAGATAAGGAAATAGAAAGGACATGGTAGTAAACTTCACAAGACAAAAGAGAAGAACACAGAAAAGGGACAATAAAATATAACAGGGTCTTGAAAAAAAAAGACAACGTGTACAAAAGGAGTGGGGAGGTAAGGGAGTGAAGGGCGAGCTAGGTTGTTCGTTTTTTTGTGTGTTTTTCTGTAATCAAGATAAACTGATAACCGAATCGGGGCGCTCACTGCGCAAGATAGCAATTGGGGAATGGCGTTGCCAGAAAGAGATATGTACAAGTGTTGTCGGCTTCCCCCCTCCCCCCTCCTCACTCTTAGTCTTTCACAACTTCACCCTTGAGTGGGGGAGGTTATGTGAGGAAAAAAGAAAAGGACGTGATAACAAAGCAGCAAATTGCTAACGTGCACATGTGTGAGCGTCTGTATACGTGTGAAAAAAAAAAAAAGAAAGTACTCCCAAGGCAAAGCGAGAGGGTCGAAGGTTATCTGCATGCACAGTTGAAATCAGTGTACAGTAGACCCGGTAGAACGAGAGGACCGAAAGAAAAAAAAACGCGACGAAAGGATGGTCCCCCCGATGCACTCATGCATCCTTGTTTAACCCTAATCCAGCATCTGTCCGTTCAAAATCATGCTTCTCATCGGGCTGCTCGATCGAGAGTGTTTATCCTGGGGTTTCAACTTGTTGACTGCGTTTAGGTGCTGCTGCTGCTGCTGAGTGTTACTGATGTAGGTGTTACTGTTTGGCTGAGCACCAGCACTGACTGGGGCTGTATCATTGTTCATGTCAAAAGGGTGCTGTCCCGCAGCCCTGCCTGTCGTCGAGAACTTGCGGAAGAGGCTACCGGCGCCGTTGGCCGACGAGGTCGACGAATGGTTATTGATGCTGCTGCCGTGATTGTTCGCCTCCGCAGTAGTGCCGGTGACCATGGAAGGCGACGTGCCCGCAAACAGACTGGTTCTTCGACCGCGCTCGGTCGTCTGGGAGACCATTCAGCCAAAGGAGAGATAATCAACCGACCAATCATACCGATCGAACGTTTTATACATGCAGAAGATATGCACAGTCAGTGGCAACGGGGCGTCGTCCATCGTTCGTCATGCAACGGTCATATGAGAAAAAAAAAAGAATAAGATAAAATAAATGCATTCAAGTTAGTGTTCGTTCAGATATGTTCGTTTTTTTTTTGCCTTTCTCTTGCTGATTGAGAGGTATGTTTATGAACCCAGCATGCCTAAATGTTCGACATCCCACCTCCCCTCTTTCGCCACAACCTTACCTTCGAGCCGATAGTGCCATCGGCGGGAGGGGATCCTGCAATTTGATTCAACTGATTGAAGCTGCTCGAGAACCTGCGATGCAAGACTGGGACAGTTTGCGAGCCTGCCGCGGTGCCCGAGGGCACGCTGCTGCTATAATTGGGAGGGGTCGCGGCTGCGGGCGACAGGGGTGCGAATGCGGCTGAGAACGGTGTGGTAGTCGAACCAGAAACTCCGGGACTGCTTAGGAAGCCATTGCTTGGGTTTGCGATGATGGACGAGCCTGTGAAGGTCCTGGGGGAGGTTGCCGAGAGCGAAAAGGAAGAGGAGAAGGACCGCTGACGGGGGATGGAGATCGCGAGCGGAGTCGCGGCCGTGGTGGCAGAGGTGGACGAGGACGGATGGTCGGCCATTCCGTCCTTGAACTTGACACTGGCGTTGTTGGTGTTGGTCTGGGTATCGAAGGCGCTGGAGATGGACGATGTAGAGGCGGCTCGTTGGTGGGACATGTGTGAAAGGAGGAGGGGAGGAAGGGAGGACGGGGGGAGGGGAGAAGAAAAAAGAAATGGAAGAGTTGGAAGAGGGAAGGGGGGTATTGTTGCAATAGGGAGATACTTGGAGGATGAAAAGAGGATGAGAAGATGATGAAGAGAGAAGAAAAGGAGGGACTAGAAATGAAAAGAATGAAAAGAATGAAAGAAAGAAAGAAAAAAGGAAAGAAGGAAGGAAAGAAAAAAAGAAAAAGAGAAAATAGGAGAAGTACACAAGACAGGGACTGCAGCACCCTGTAGTCTATGTATGCAGCTGTATGTCGAGATATGCGGTCTACAGTAGTCTAGTAGGGACTTGCAGACGGGTCTACGCGTTTGTGTCCCATGGCTAGAATCCGATATGCAACCTTCTTTTTTCTTTTGCGGTCTCCCAATGGATGTACCCAGCCATCGGAACTTTGCCCCTCCACACACACACACGCACATAGACTACACACACATACTGCCGCACCGCCACACCGCCACACCGCCACACTGCCACACTGCCACACTGCCACACTGCCACACTGGCAGCAGGATATATTCCTTCTCCCTCTCTCTCTTTCTCACCTTCTCGCTTTCTTGCCTTCTTTCACTCCTTCACTCCTCCTCAATCTCTCTTGCTCTTCCTTACTCTTCCTTGCTCTTTCTTGTACTTTCTCTCTCGCGCGCGCTGGTCCCCCCTGCTCCCAGGGGTCACAAGGACACACAATCCACAAAGGAAGAAACCCTATTCTGCTAGCCATTCATTTCATTTAACCAACCAACCAACCAAACCAACCAAACCAACCAAACCCGAACCAAACCCGAACCAAGAAAAAAAGAAGCTTTCGTATAAATGTCAACCCGCCTTCCTGACCCACCTCCTCTCCCTCCTCACGCCCAAAGAACTAATGTAGCACAACAGACACAGAATTTACAGGGCAACGTTACTCTTCATCAACAACGCGAGTCCTAACAAACAAATCACACATGAGGTGGGAGGGAAGGAGCTTTGTGTTTTTTGTATTTTTTTTTCTTCTTCTTTAATTATATATTACAAGCAACGTAGTAGGCGAAAAGAACTATTACAAGGGAAAGATAAACGCAGCCATTTTGTGCAAGAAAACTGGGCAAGTCCACAGCGGAAAAAAAGCTTCACTATGAGTGAGAGGGGAGGGGGACGGGGGAGAAAGAAGCTAAGCTTTTAAAGTCCGGCAAGGGCAGCAAGACCGAGGGCGGCAACCGAGAGAACATAGGGCATGTTCATCTGGATCGAGGAAGCCATGGACTTGGTGGTGGTAGGGGTGGAGCCAGCGGGGGCAGATGCACTGGCAGATGCACTGGCGGATGCAGTGGGTGTGCTCGAGGCATCGCAGTGGAGGATGGGGGTCAAGCCGGAGATACCGGCGGTGGCCTCACCGATCTGGGTCGAGTTGCACACAGGGGTGGCACCGCTCGTGCACGAGGAAGCCGCGCCGGTGGCGGTGAACGCGGTCGTGGACCAGTGGCAGACACAGGCACGGGTCGCGGGCTTCTGGATGGCAGCAGCAATGCCCGTAACGTTGAGGTTGGCGGGGTTGAAGTTGTCCGTGAGCTCCTTCAGATCAGCGGCGCTGAGGGTCGAGCAGGAGGGATCCTTATCGAACGAGCCGAACACGCACTGGGTGCAGGTGTTGTTGTCGAAGCTCAGGGCGTTGACGCTAGCGACGGCGACGGCGGCAAGGGCGAGGGTCTTGAACTGCATGTTGACTATAAAAGGGATTGTAAGAAGGAGCTGCGGAGGTGTGTCTGTGACTGGAAGGTGAGGAGCGGGAGAGAGAGAAAGAGAGAGAGGGAGAGAAAGACCAAAAGGTATTTATATGTCTTTTTTGTAGACGAATGGTGGAGCCGGGGGGGGGGGGGGGGAGGGGGTGATAGAGTCAGCAGCAATGAAGTGAAAGATAAATTGTTGTGTTCCGTTAAGTGTAATGGAAGGCAAACGGGCGAATGCATCCAACCTTGTTTCTTTAGAGCTGCTTACTGCCTCCTCCTACATGTACTGTGTGTACTGTGCATCCACAGGGCAGGTCTCCTCAGTCTAATGCAACCTGGATGCAGCCCGGTGCATGCCTGCTTGTCCTGTTGAGAGCACTTTTCTGTTGTTTCTCCATCTCACATTCCTTTCTCCCCCTCTCTCCTTCCCTCTCTACCCCTGCGTATTTTATTTACCCACACACAACAACGTATTGGTTAAGCCTTGTTGTTGTGTATGCGGCTCGCTTATCCGTAAGTAAAAAGAAAGTACCAGAGGGAAGGGGCAGCGTACTGTACGCAAGGACAGGTGCAAGCAACATTTTGACGGGGGTCGGGTATACGCAGTAACGGTTCGTCTGCATTTGCGCCCCTCTTTGTGTGTCTGTATCTGTGTCTGTGTCTGTGTACACTCCACCCACAGACATTCTCTGTTGTTGACCCAGAAAAATTATAATCCGATCGACAGTCTGTGGGTCATCAGAAAACAGACCAACAAATGATGTCCGTTCATTCTTATACATGTTACGAACACGAAACAAGCAAGCCAAGCCAAGCCAAGCAAAGCAAAGCATCTCTTTCCCATCTAGACAACATGTGCAAATATGTGGAGCAAATGAGACAAAAGAAGCAAAATAAGCAAAAAAAAAAAAAAAGCAGACATGCGCAGACATACTCATGGTCAGAAACCTAGGACTGGGGACACGTACATACCTAGGGTGATGTGGGGTGATCTGGCGCCATCCCTTCAATGTCCTAGTGGAGGAAAACTTAAGGCATGTTTTTGTGTGCGATGCAACAAAAACCTGTTGAGCACATACAACTATAAAACGCTAGAAAAAAAAATAAAGGCGGGGGGGCAAGCGAGCGAGCCGCAGAACTAAAACCTTGCGCTTTTTCCACCACACCAGCAGGTCCCCCCCTCGTCGATCCGACTAACATCTAGGGAGGGCTCTCTTCAGTCCCGGTCCATTCACACGCTTCTTCCTTCTTCCTTTGGTCACAATCTGTGAGACGATCGATTCTCTTCCCTTCAGGATGTTGTAGTTCCATGCGTGCGTCTCTAGTGAAACAAAATACAAATAAAAACAAATAAAAAGAAACGAAATAAACATGATCGTGGAGTGGGATAAAGTAGCATAAGCAGCCAGTAGTCCAGTAGAGACTAGCTGGGTAGCCTGACGCGAAAAAAAAAAAGTAATAATAATAATATAAAGAGCCCTGCAGTAATTCACCGCGTACAAGGGGGGATCCTAACCCTCATCCTCCCCAAACATGATCCTTTTGCAAAGCGCTATCAATTATGAAGCTAGGGTTCCACAAACCCCTCATTGGCCAACGGCGCAGTGGCCTGATTTTTTTTTTTTTTGTTTTTTGTGTGTGTGTGGGTGAAAATTTGTTTTCGATGTTCACATGCGTTGCTCAGCGCTTTTTTTGTGCGTTGCGTAGTAGTTTTACATTCCGTGCGTGCATCCGTTGGAGAGAAACGCGTCTGTAGTCTATGCAAGGCCGCCGTAGAAGAATAATTAAAAAAAATAATTATATAGATTTACAGTACATGTAGACTACCGTCCTTTTTCATCCTTGGATATACATACAAATGTCATTATCAAGAAAACTGCCGAACACAAAAGACGTGCGCTCTTTAGAACCATTATTAACATTATTATCCGTATAATAAATAATAATCTGCATCCAACATCCAAAAAAAAACCGTGCAGACGCGTTCATCAGTCTAAAAAAGTAATCGACAAAGCCTGGTGTCCCTCCCTGTAGCCTTCCCCTCACCTTCTTATCTATTAGACCATCTCCTTCGTCGCTGACACAAAGGGGGGGGGACTATGGGAACCAAATGTTAAAAAAAGTCGTCTCCTGCCAGTCGCCTTTTCTGCTCTCGTCTCAAAAAAAGAGCCGACCTAAAAGGGCTTTTTCATTGTCCGCAACGCGCAGCAGCAGGATTCACCACGTTGCTGTGCACATACACCTCATCCATGGGCTCTGTTCATCCAGGCTTTTTCTAAGATCCTGACGCTGCTCCATGAACGTCTTCAAAGATCATGCAATCCAAGCAGGGCATGAGAGAATTACTTTCAAAACAAAACAAAGTGTTTTAATGAGAACAAACAGATTAGAAAATGGAACAGATGTCATTAGAAAAGAAAGAGAAAAGTCAATGATATATCTACAAAGAACTATGCAAGCAAAATGCAACAGGACAGGATGATGACAAGAGGCGAGAGTGCGTTGGAGGATGGGGGGGAATATGTCTCTAAAATCTATAAAGCGATCATAATAGTCATAGTAAACAGCCTCAAGACGTTTTTCTCAAAGGTGACTTAAAAGTCCTCCTCAGAGTCAGAGACCTCCTCGCCACGCTTCTTGGCAGCAGCACGACGCTTCTGCTTGTCCTTCAACTCCTTGCGGGACAACTTGCGGGTAGACTTGACCTTCTCGACGTTACCGAAGGCATCGATCTTGACCTCCTCCTCCTTCATGACAATCTTCTCCAAGTTCTTCTGGGTGTAGTTCTGGCCAGAGACAGTGAGCTCTCCAGCAATGACCGACCACTTCTCAACAGTGACGCTGTCAGTGAACTCGCGGTTGTGGGAAATGATGACGACTCCACCGCCGAACTCCTTGATGGCACCCGACAAAGCTCCGAGAGAGTCGCGATCCAAGTAGTTGGTGGGCTCGTCCAAGACCAATAAATGGGGGTTAAGCCACATGGCGGCGGCAAGGACGACCTTGACCTTCTGACCACCAGAAAGACCGCGGATACGGCTGTGGGTGGAGAACTCAGCATCCAATCCAAGATCTCCCAAGTGCTTCTCGACCTCGACGGCAGTCAAGGAGCGGGTCCAGGCACCAGCCTTGGCGGCCTCCTTGTCGTCAAAGGCCTGAAGGACCTTCTCGAAACCCCACTCCTCCAACTTCTCACGAGGAATCCAGGCGTTATCCTCGTACGAGCGGCCAACGAACTGAACCTCGTACTCGAAGGTGCGCTTGGCCTTGCGACGTCCGTAAAGATCCTCGATCTGGACCTTCTCAATCTTCTCGTTGATCTCCCACTGGATGAACTTCTTCATCTGAGCCTCCTCCTCGGGCGAGATCTGGCGAGTGGCCTTGTTGTTCATCTCACGATCCTCGCCATACTGGTAACGCCAGCGAATGTACTCGTTGGGGGTCTTGTCCAAGTGCTGCTCGACGTGGTGGAAGGCGTGCTGGGCGACGTAGGCGACACGGACGTTGGGGTGCTTGGTGACGTTACCGTCAGTGGGGACGGTCTCACCGGTCAAGACCTTAATGAGGGTCGACTTACCGGCTCCGTTGGGACCAATGACAGCGACACGAGAGTTGAGCGAGACCTGGCACGACATGTTCTTAATGGTCAACTTGTCGGAACCGGGGTAGGCAAAGTCGATGTTCTGGAGCTTGACAAGGGCCTTATCCTTGGACTTGACACCATCCAAGAAACCGGGCTCGGGGAGCTTGAAGGCAATGGGCGAAGCCGACAACTCGTAGTAGGAGCGACCAGCGGGGTACTGCTCGACAAACTTGGACAAGTTACCCTTGTACTTCTTCAACTTGCGGGTCTCGTAGTGGATAATACCCGTGCAGACAGTGTCCAAGAAGCTCGAGTCGTGGGAAACGATCATCGAGGTGACGTTGGTGAGGGAGGTGAGGTAGTTCTGCAACCAGGCGACGTTGGCAACATCCAAATGGTTGGTGGGCTCGTCCAGCAACAAGATATCGGCGTTCATCAACATGGCACGGGCCAACTCCAACTTCATCTTCCAACCACCGGAAAGGGAACCGACGGCCTGCTCCTGCTTCTCCTGGTCGAAACCGACAGACTCGAGCATTTCAATGACGTTCTTCTTATCGAGGTTCTTGATGTTCTCGTCGTTGAAGATGAAGGTGGTGACGGGGAGATCAGCATCCTCAGCCTGGAGGTTGTGCTCGACAAAGACAGTGCGGAGCTCATCGGGCGAGGGGAAGCCCTCGAGCTGGCCCTCGGCAATGGCACGCATGAGGGTCGACTTTCCGACACCGTTGGGTCCGCAAAGACCGTAACGCTGACCACGGCGAAGGTTGAGGCGGGTCTTGTTCAACAGAATCATACCACCATAGGCGAGGGAGAATTCACAGTCGCAGAGCAACTCACCCTCCTCAACATCAGCAACAGCGGCGTTAGAGAGAGCGTTCTTGGTATCGTAGTCGACGTAGTAGGCGTTAAGGTCCGCGGCCAGGGCAGCGACCTCGGCATCAGAGCCGACGACAGCGAGGTAGGGGGCAACGGAGGAGACCCAGGCGTCCTTCTCGAAGTTGCGGGAAGCAATCAACTCTGCGCAAAGGGTCGAGACGTAAGCAAGGAGGGTAGCAGAGAAAGCATCCTCCTTGACAAAGGTAGCCTTGGACTTGAGGACCTCGAGGACCTCGGCGGAAGAGACAGTGTAGGCAATGGTAACGACCTGATCCTTGGAACCGGGCTCACCACCACCGACACGGACCAAGGTGGAGCGGGCACGCTCAGCAACGCTGCGGAGCTCGGGGGAGGCACCGATCTCGATCATGCGGTCCAAGCCGGGCAACAACTTGGGCAAGAACTGTTGAGCGTGAGCAGGGTTCTCGACGAGCTTGCACATGTTGTCGATAATAACGGCGGTCTGACGCTGGATAGAGGGGGTACGCTCAGCAAGACCACGGACCAAGAGGGGGCACATGATGGCGAGGGTGGGCTCCTCGACGGTGGTGACGAAGGTGGTGGCAGCGAGCTGATGAATGCACTCGGCAGCCTCCTCGGGACGGTTGATGCATCCAACCAAGTAGGGGATGGAGGAGATCAAATCGGGGTTACCGACGACGTTGAAGCAGTCGGTAGTGGTCTTGGTGGCCTGGTTACGGACCTCAGGCTTGGAATCCCACATAGCCTCGCTGATAATGGGGATGATATCAGAAAGAGCAGCAGAGATTTGCTACAGAGATGGAAAAAAAAAGAAAAAGTTAGACACACTGTATTGTAATTCCTGACAATCGCCTTGCTGCGGTTCTCATTCTTGTACTCCCGAACAAGATCGAGTTGGACACAAGTATTGATCCTTACCTGAGGAGCGGACTCGGTCAAACCAGACAAGATATCCAAAGCACCGATCTTTGACTGCCTGTAAAGCAAATGACAACAATAATAAGATCGAGTTAGTAATTGAAATGAAGAGCTGCTGAACAGCCAAAAGAAGACCAGTATGAGAAAGATGCTTACCACTTCGATTCCTTGATGGCATGGAAGATAACAGGCAGCAAAAGACGGACGGCATATCTGGTAGGGAGAGCCATGATGGCCTTGGAGGCAACACCAGCGGCCTGGCGGACAGGGGCCATCTTGTCCGTGTAGAGCTCAAAGACCTTGGGCATCTGAGGGATCAAGAATGGCTCGGCAGCCTGACCAAAGGTGGTGGCCAAAGAGCCGAGAGCGAGAAGAGCACCCTCACGGTGGGGGATGGACTTCTTGTTCTCGAGGAGAGGCGAGAGGCTCTCGATGATGGCGACGGACTTGACAAGACCCTCGGACTTGGCGAAGGCGGCAAGGGCGTCGGCAGCGGCCTGACGCTGCTCCGTGTTCTCGGCCTTGACGATAGCATCAATAAGAGGGGCAGACATTGTGTGGAAGGGGGTGCTTGGGATTACCGGGGGAGAAAAGAGAGGAAGGATAGGTTGGCAAATGAGTGGAATGGTGCGGGTTGGATGGAGGTAGGGTGATGCGGAGGTAATGCCAAATCCCAGCAGGTATTGATGCGGATGAAGGGGAGAAAGAAAGGGAAGGAGCAGATGGTGCCCTGCGGCCGGTGTCCTTTTAAAGGGCGGGCTGGCCAAAACAACCGTTGATAAAAAATTTCTTATTGGTCGAGGCCAGGGCAGGAGCAGTCACCAGAGCCATCCCCTGGGCCCTGTCTCGATCAGCATCACCCAGAAGATCCCCCGGCTGTTGGACAAAAGGAAAAAAAAAAAAAAAAAAAAAAAGTAAAGGGCAAAGATAACCAATGGAGGCACGATCTAATGAAGGGCCAACCGTCATCAGGATCCTCATTCGTGGGACCAGCGCACAGGCATCGTGTCCGTGTCCGTATCCGGCAATTGTGAGGCTTTCTTCTTTGTCCGTGCTCAACGGTCCATGTTTCTGTTTCTGTTTCTTATTCTGACTCTGTCTGTATTCAGGGCAAAAGGGCGCTGTGCATTCAGAGTGCGCTTGGATCGCTCGAGCCAGGGGGAAAAGGGCCATTGTGCTTTATTACGCAGGGCATCCATGGGGAGTGTAATTCTAGTAGACTATGCGTTTATCTCATTCCTTGTCCTTGGTGACCATGGGCTCATGGAACATTTTTGATGATACACCAAGTTAGGTTTGTCTGCCAAGTCCTGATAACAAGTGTCCTATGCTTCCATAACATCTGTACAATACTAATGATCGTGCTTTATCCTCGTCGACGATTGATATCCTTGGACTTCTTATGATTGCGTCGAGAGAACTAGAGAGAAAAAGAAGAAGAAAAAAAAAAAAAACCTGTGTGTAAGAGAGAGAGAGAGAGAGAGAAAGAGGAGATTGAACCAGAGATGTGCGACGTGCGTGAGAAAACCATCGGGACAAGGACTGGTTGCGGCGATAGGCGATGTTGAAGATGCCCGCCTCCGGGATGCCCTTAGGCGCATCTGTGCTCTGTACATGTGCAGTACCTGATGTTATCAGCGGCGGAATGTCTTTGGTCGCCCGCAACCGGAGATCGGCCTCTGAACTTTTTTTTTTTTGAAGTGTCCTTGGGGGAGGGGGCCTCGATAGTATTCCTCACGTACATGTATATGTGCTGGATCACTAGCACGTACAGAGGCAGAGGAGCGGCCAATCACAGGCGGCGATGGCAGATAAGGCGAATGGCGGTGTTTTTTGTTTTTATTTATTTTTCGCAGGCAGCAGACAGCAGACAGCAGCAGAGCAGAGCGGTGCAAAGAGGGCGGAAGACTGAAGAGTCACCGCGTATCGAATCAAAATAAAGTCGAGGAAAACAAAAGTCCTTTAAGGTTGAGATGACCCCGCACTTTTTCTCTGGCGAGTTGCCATATATAACCTGCCCCCGCCTCCTCCCTCGCTTTCTTCTTCTTCTCTTCTCTCTTCTCTTCTCTTCTTCTCTTCTCGATTGCTTGCTTGCTTGCTCCTCACCTCACCCCTTTCCCCTCTCATCAACCTCTCCAAGAAAAAGGTAACCATGCGCTTCTCTCTTTGCTGTTCTTGACCTGCCCCTCCTCCTCCTCCTCCTCCTCCTCCAATCGTTCCTTTCGCTTTGCTCCACTATCCTGGACATCGGCGACTGCCCACAATTTACAGGACAGGCGCACGGCTGCATTCAACCGCGATTTGATGGGCGGAGAAGATAAAGAGGAAGGTTCTGGAGGGCATGGTCACATATCGCCCGCTTCACTGAATCCGTGAATGCCCGCATGTGAACAGACCTGAGAAAGGGAGTCACCGTCCAGATGGGGTGGGGGCTTCTCCTCGTGCTTGCTACAATGCCCCACCAAATAAGAGATTATCCATCTATCTGACGTCCCCCGACCGCGATTCCCAGGAACATCGACATGGATCGAACTGGGGTGTTCGCTTTATTTTCTTATGACTGATCTTTTGTCCTCTCTCTCTCAACTTTCCTTTGATCTGCTCAATCAGACATCCTCTCAAAATGGCCAAGATCGACTCCTGGAACGCCGGCATGAACACCCCCCTCCAGCAGGAGGATCCTGAGATCTACACCTTGATCCAGAAGGAGAAGTACCGCCAGTACTCTGGTCTCGAGTTGATTGCTTCCGAGGTAGGGATCGCTGAATGAGACACGAAAATAGGGAGGCAATTTGCAAGCATGAATAATCCCCCATCGTACTAACGATTGCTGCCGACTCGACTCGCTATTACCACCAAATAGAACTTCACCTCCCAGGCTGTCATGGAGGCCAACGGATCCGCCTTGACCAACAAGTACTCCGAGGGTCTTCCCGGCGCCCGTTACTACGGTGGTAACGAGTTCATCGATCAGATCGAGAACCTGTGCCGCAAGCGCGCTCTTGACGCCTTCGGTCTCTCTCCCGAGGAGTGGGGCGTCAACGTCCAGCCTTACTCTGGAAGCACTGCTAACTTTGCTGCCTTGACCGCCATGATCCAGCCTCAGGACCGCATCATGGGTCTCGACCTCCCCTCCGGTGGCCACTTGACTCACGGCTACCAGACCGCCAAGAAGAAGATCTCCGCCACCTCGATCTACTTCCAGTCCATGCCCTACCAGGTCGATGCCACCACCGGCCTCATCGATCTCGACCGTCTCGAGGAGAACGCCAAGCTGTTCCGCCCCAAGGTCCTCATCTGCGGTGCCTCGGCCTACCCTCGTGAGTGGGACTATGCCCGCTTCCGCAAGATCGCTGACCAGCACGGTGCCTATCTCATGTCGGACATGGCTCACATCTCCGGTCTCGTTGCCGGTCAGGAGGCCGAGTCGCCCTTCAAGTACTGCGATGTCGTCACCACCACCACCCACAAGACTCTCCGTGGTCCCCGCGCCGGTTTGATCTTCTTCCGCAAGAACAAGGATGCCAAGGTCGAAAAGGGCGAGGATCTTGAGAGCCGCGTCAACCAGGCTGTCTTCCCCTCGATCCAGGGTGGTCCCCACAACAACACCATCGCCGGTATTGCCGTTGCCCTCAAGCAGGCTGCCAGCCCCGAGTTCAAGTTGTATGCCAAGCAGGTTATTGCCAACTCCAAGGCCCTTGCCGCCACCTTGGTCAAGCACGGTTACAAGATCGTCACCGATGGCTCGGACAACCACTTGATTCTCTGGGATCTCCGCCCCAACAAGTTGACCGGCAGCAAGGTCGAGCGCATCTGCGACATGGCTTCCATCACCCTCAACAAGAACTCTGTCTGTGGCGATGTTTCGGCCGTCACCCCCGGTGGTGTCCGTCTCGGAACCTCGGCCTTGACCTCCCGCTCGTTCAAGGAGGATGACTTTGTCAAGGTCGGCGAGTTCTTGCACCGCATTGTCCAAATCGCTCTGGATGTCCAGGCCAAGGCCGGCAGCAAGCTGATGAAGGACTTTGTCGCTGCCTTGGAGGGCAACGAGCAGGTTGCTCAGCTCAAGAAGGAGGTCGAGGCCTTTGCCACGTCCTTCCCCTTCCCCGGCTTTGAGATCACGGAGGACATGAAGGCCTCCCACTAAAGTGGAAAGTGGGTATAACAAATGATTTTGATGCTTTGCATGCTCAACCATGCGGATCAAATTAGCCCCCTCAATCTTCTCATCTTTTCTGTGCACATTTCGAGCCCGTATCCAATTCTTTCCACTCTCTGTTTATAACACTTTGTTATTTTTTTCCCGCGAAATGGCCTTGTGGTCGGTTACTGCCATACCATTTTCGACTGTACCATAGAACCCCCCAAAAGCATCAGTTACCGATATTCAACATTATCACTAAAAAATAATGAAGTTGAAACACCTAAAAAAAAAAAATGCAATCGCTGTAAAGACCATGACATACAATTAGGATGGTATTTTATTCTATCAAGTCCCACAGCTTATCCTCGGATACCAGCACCGTATTCGCGATTCCATTCCTCAAAGGACTGAAGACTCTGTGGACTGACCGATGGTCGGATCGTCTGCAGCGCGTGCACAAAGTCCTGGTACTGGATCGGTCGTACCTGATCTGCAGGCGTATCCAACAATGTCTCTCCCAGTGACCGGAGTGGTCCCAATGCTGCATCCTTGGCGAGCGCCGTGATGTCCGAGCCTGAATAGCCCTCTGTCTGCTGCACCAACCTATTCATCTCGCTTGTTGAGAGGTGATAATCCTGCCCGCATAACAGCTTCATGAGCAAAGAACGCCGTGTTTCTGACTCGGGTAAAGGGATATAAATGCGCTTCACGAACCGACGCCGTGCTGCTTCGTCCAGTTCCTGGGGTCGGTTGGTGGCGCCCATCACGAGAACGCGGTCGTCAGAATTGGATCCTGCTCCATCAAATTGCAACAAAAATTCGGTCTTGAGCCGCCTGCTGGCCTCATGTTCGTTTTCAGACCGCTCCGTCAATATGGAATCGATCTCATCTGAAGACCAAAAAAAAAAAAAAAAAAAAAAAAAAAAAAAAAAAAGATACACCGAGTGAATGAAGCAGCACGGTGTTAGTAAAAAAAAAAAAAAAAAATATGCAGTATGCTCAGAAAATTATTTGCCATTGGTGCCCATAATTCTTCACTCACCGATAAAGATGACGGCCGGCTGTAGCTCCCTTGCGATCGCAAAGAGCGTCCTGACCAGCTTTTCTGATTCGCCCACAAACTTGGAGGTAAGAGAGCTGGCGCTGATCGAAAAAAATGTTGACTTGGATTCCTGTGCGACCGCCTTTGCTAGCATCTACATAGTTTGGTGTTAGAAAATCCGGCTACCCATAGCAAAGAATCCAGACACAGGCGCAAAGTATGCAGTAGCAACCCATCGTACAGTTTTACCGGTTCCTGGGGGTCCAAAAAGCAAAACTCCTTTGGCGGGTGCTCTCAGTCCAGTAAAGAGCTCTGGCCGCAAGGCTGGCAATATCACGATTTCCTTCAATGCTTGTTTTGCGAATGTGAGGCCCGCTATTATGAATGCGCATCGAAACAACGTATTATTAAACAATACTCAAGCAGCACAAATTGACAAAGAGATAGACTCGTCATTGCCCATGGATTACCAATATCGTCCCAGGTGACAGCAGCTCCGTCGATCATGATTTCGTTCAGGATCAGGTTGGCGAGCTTGGCGTCAATGTTTTTCAAGCGAGAAATCTTGCTCTTTGTCTCTGCGAGAACTGACGGCTGCCCTGTCGCTGTTGCTCCTCCTGTTGAACCTCCAATCGCAGTTCCAGCAGGTCTCTTGCGTCCTCCTGTGATCGTTCCTGGACGTGTAGTCCCTGTGCGTGATGGAGTAGTGAGCCTAGCAGCTGCTCCAGAAGTGCTGGTCAGTGTATGCTGTCCAACAGAACCATTGTTTGGATGAGGTCGCTTGGAAAGAGTCGCTGTCGACGACCTTGAAGCTGTTACAACATTAAACACTGGATCACCGCCCCCAGAATGACTTGAGGATGTTGGGACGGTCCTGCGTATTGAGGTTGGTAATGATTGAACAGAGGATGTTTGGAAAGTCGAGCTGTTGCGCTCGGCTGGTGATGACACCTCTGAAGTGTTTGCCCCGCCAGAGATAGCAGACCCTACAGCCTGTATGGCACTCGAGACTGCGGACGAAAAGAATGATCGCGAAGAAGATCCTGCTGAACTTCCCCGAATGTTCATTTGTGCTAGAAGGTCCTTATCGCTAGACCCGTTCAATCTCCGCGTTAAGTCCTCGACTCGACTCTCGACTGCCTGCAAGTTCTGGCGCATCTTTGGCCCAAGCACCTCAGATTCCCGGAACTCAGCGTCTGTTACATAGCGGATATTGAGCGCCTCCTTCAATGTTTGGATGCCCCTTCTATAGCTTTCGAGCGCCTTTGTATAGTCGCCATTGGTATCGTAGTCGAGGGCCGTATTGATTTGGTGATACGCCTCGTTATGCTTGCGCTTTTGCAGCTCGAGAGGAGAAGTGCCCGGAGATGATGGTTGTGATATTCTGGTAGTGCCGCGACTCGGGGACGAAGCACCTGTGTTAGTGATGCTCTGTCTTGACATGGATCGTTGTGGTTTGCGAACAGGGATGGGCTTCAAGCGCGTACTTTTCCTGTTTGGGATGGCTGGTAGTCCAGTTTCTTTGCTGCTGAAGCGACGATAACAATAGACAATGCTGATGAGAGTAAAGAAGACAGCCAATGCTAAAGCCCCCTGTATTGCGGCGCTTCTTGTTAAGACAAGTGTCTTCCAGTGGGAGATGAACAGGCGAGCAGGTGATGTAGTTGAAGTGATGGGACGAGTCGGCTTGGCAAAGGCCCCCTTGAAGAAGAATGAGAATCCGTCGTGGCGGGCGTTGAGAAGCCAGTATCGCAGCGAGTCGGTGACAGAAGCGCGTTCGAGTTCGATGGTCCTGCCCGGCATGCGGATGCTGAGTGTGGAGTGTGGAGCTGTTCGAGAGCAAAGCAATGCAGGAAACCCAGCTGCTTGGTGGCGGTGCTCAGGGCGATTGGCCGTGACTGTTGGAATCAAACCCGTCCATTATTGGCCAGTTACGGAATCGCGTATCCACCAGCGAATCCCGACGCGGCACAGGGATGTTTTTGGATACCCATCGCGCGTTTTACCGCGTCTCAAGCACGCATCGGATACAAATCCACAGATCTATTATTCGACTTGCGCTGGCTGTGCGCTACAGCAACGCGCAGTAAATAACACAGCTCTGACCTCATAGAAGTTGGCCCCTGCTGTCAATGGGCATCACCCTGTTGACACCCCCGCAGCTGCGAAAGTGAAGGCGATTGTCAGCCCAAACAGACACTACGCCCAGCAATCCTGTTGTATATTTTGCTTAGCGCTCCGCATCGCCCGTTATTGCCGTCATGATGCACAAAAAGAGGTACAGGAGGCTACAGGAGCAATATTTTATTTCTTACCCCCTATTCTCGGCAACTCGTGGAGACCCAAAAAAAGCGATATGGTTATAAAATAGGTGGCCAGATGATTGCCGGCGTAAAAATACACGCGGATGAACAGCGCGTGACAGGGCCATGGCAGAAACCAAGGGGGCTAGCAGCGAGGCGGACAAACAACCCCTGGGTCGTCCTTGCGGACAGCATGATTGTCATTATCCGGTAAGCAGGCCAAGAAAGAGTAATACAAATGAAGTGGCGAGGACGACATACATACAGCACACATTTGTCATCGCCGAGGGGAGGGGATGACCCTTTATGTGCCTACGTGGGCATGCAAGGGCGACATGGATGGCGGCTCTGTCGACCTCTTATAAGGCGCATGCAGCCATGGGGTGGAGCAGCAAGCTGATCACGTCTCCTTGGCTGCTTGGCTCTAGTCTCGGGAGGGGAATAGTGATCTGAAGGGCGAGGGGGCAAAGACACCGCGGAAGCATAGGAGTGGACATGGCCCGGTCGGCCTATGAGAAAAGAAAAACGGTCTCTGCGGATGCTCATGGTCCCCTATTCCCTCAATGCGGACCCTCTCCGATTCACTCATTCGGTCGTCATCTCCCTCGGGCCAGGCGTCGCAGCAGGGCTGTCCTCCACCGTGCACTGCCCTTTTGTCCCCTGCTGGCAGTTTGTGTTGGTGGCGAACAAACCCTCCTCGGGCCAACAAACACCTCTTCACCTCCTCTCCCTCCCTCCGTCTCTCTCTCTTCTTCTTCTCTTCTTCTCTCCTTCTCTCCATTTCCTACTTTCCTAATATACACTCCTGCTGCCCCTGCTCGCTGTCCAATTTCACCTTCCGCCACCAAAATAAATCCCTCCCCCTTTACTCTCCAAAGGCTCTCTCTTCCTCCTCCCTTGAGCCGCATCTCGGTTCCTGCATCCCAGCCCCAACAGCTCCACTTTCACTTCCCTCTCGGCTGCCGCCACCCTTTCTCCAACACCCCTTCGCCTCAATTGCAGTCCTCTTCACCAAAGCAAAATTTTTTAGGCGACAAGCAGCAGCTGCCAGTACCCCATCTTCACCTCTGCAGAAGATCCAAGCGTTCTCTGGTTCAACCCTCACTTGAACCCTGATCCAGCACTCCCACAATGGTATAAAGCGCCTGCAATCGCTCCCACTCATCATTGCCGTAAATGTGCCCAGACCAGGCTAAAAAAAAAAACGGACGCTCTCTGCCACTGCCTTCTCATATAGATGCGATCTGATCCCGAAGAGGAGTATACGCTCCTCGAGAAAATTGGAACAGGGTCTTTCGGCACCGTCTACAAAGCGTAGGTGATCTCTTTTCTTTTCTCCCTCCTCATCACCTCCTGTGGATATCATTTATTCTTTCTACAGTCTCAGACGATGGCAATAGTACTCTTTGCTGCTCTCAGCGTCGCTACATACCTTGGCAAAGCCCTTTGTGTGTGTGTGTGGTTCCCCCCTTTTTGTCCCAGAGAGATTATTTCCACGGGTTGTACACGCAGCAGTCGACAGAGCATCACTTGTTACATTTTTTTACATTTCGCATGCAGATGTCCCGTGTGATGGTATCCAATTCTCCTATTTTCCCCACTGTGCCTCTGTGCCCATCTTTGTCATACCACGCCGGCACAACACGTTTTTTTTTCCTAATATTTATGCGCATGTACACACCAGGCACATCAGGACATACCCCTGGCTAACCGCCAGAAGAAAGAGCATCAAGCAATGCAACGATAGCCCTCTAACTTGTGTATGCAACGCAATTTATACTATCTCATCTTAGAATCCACAATGTCTCGAAGGAAGTCGTGGCCATCAAACAAATCAACCTGGAAGACTCTGAGGAAGACATCAGCGAGATTCAGCAGGAAATTGCGCTCCTCTCTCAGTGCGACTCGGAGTTTATCACAAAGTACTATGGCAGTTGTGTAAAGGGATTCAAGCTTTGGATTGGTAAGCATTCATCATTCTACTTACTTCCCGTGCCGCTTAGGCCAACCATCATCATTAACCTCCCTCTCTATCTGTTAATGTGATAGTGATGGAGTTCTTGGCCGGAGGATCGTGCTTGGATTTGGTAGGCATCCTGGGAACAGCATATTCTTCCATATGTCTGGTAAAGGGAGGTTCGCAAACATGTCACTAACACTCTATTCATCTGTTTGTTCTAGCTTAAACCCGGACCATTCAGTGAAGACCATGTAGCTATTGTCCTGAGGGAACTGCTGCTGGGCCTAGAGTATCTCCACGCAGAGGGCAAGATTCATAGAGACATCAAGGCTGCTAATGTCCTATTGTCCGGCTCAGGCGATGTCAAGCTTGGTAAGATACGAGCGGTGGCCAACGTGTATGCATCATTCACTCCTTACACATTCGACACAGGACTAAAATTTGACTGTTTGGTTATTCCGTGAACAAAATCTTGTTGATAGCCGATTTTGGAGTTGCAGCCCAGTTGTCGCAACAGAAGAGTAAAAGGAACACGTTTGTCGGGACACCAGTAAGTGCTTCCGCGTCTAGACCAAGAAGTGTGTCCGACAACGTTGTCTATCATCCGATCCTCATTCGTTCTTTATTCTTTTATTCTTTTTTTTTTTTTTTTTTTTTTTTTTTTTTTTTTCATTTCTCTAGTTTTGGATGGCACCGGAAGTCATCAAACAGGCTGGATACGACGCAAAGGCTGATATCTGGTCACTAGGCATCACCGCTATCGAACTCGCCAAGGGAGAACCGCCCTTGGCCGAGTATCATCCCATGCGAGTCCTGTTCCTGATCCCGAAGGCGAAACCCCCATCACTCGAGGGCGACTTTTCACGAGCGTTCAAGGAATTTGTGGAGCTGTGTTTGATCAAGAATCCCAAAGATGTAAGCAAAATCGGCGCACTTTGCGCGCTATGCTGCTTTTCGCTTCCAGTCGTTTTGGTGACATATCCTGACCTATGTATCTCTTCACGATACTTTGGATGATATCCAGAGACCAACCGCCAGAGATCTTTTGAAACATCGTTTCATCAAGATGGCGAGGCGCAAGGTGGAATTGCAGGAGCTCGTTGAACGATATGATGTCTGGAAACTGGCCGCTCATCAGCGCGCGGCGTCCTCATTGACAAGGACGTAAGTTATATACTCTGGCCCCCTTTTTTTCGTATGCTTGCTCGTACCATTGTCTAAAGATAAGGATATTAATATCGATATGCTGCTGTGAATGTTGTCTTTTTTAGCTTCAGCACCTTCAATACCAATGATGACGATATGCCGTGGGATTTTGGCACTATTCGCATCCCTGGCCTGGCTTCTGCGGCTTCTACAGTCCGGCGTGCTCCAGATGCGCAAAGTACAGTCCGAGCGGTAAGTGGTTTTTCATCGAGTTTGTTTGCCATATTTTCAAAGTCCAACAGAAACGGAGAAGTTCTAAAGAATATACTCTTCCCACTCCCGCGATGATTTGCAGAGGCCCGGCCGAGATATTGGCAGCGTCATCAATCTCGCTAACCTCAAGGTATGATCTGGATCCCGTATTGCAAAGCATATTCGTTCTTGAATCCGTGTAATATTACGATCCTTACGCGTAATTCTTTTTATAACGACTATTAGATTGATGGAGAGGAGCTTGAGCTGTCAGAGTCGACCTTGGACACCAATAACCCTGGACCTGGAGATATGACAATCGAAGATGGGTAGGTCAACTTGCGCTGTGAAGATGCCTTTTATGCTCCATTTTTTTTCGACTCTGAAAACTAGAAACTAAACACACGAGTTTATATTCTTCTATATATATTATACTAGGTTCGAGACAATCAAGGCTGTGCCGGCAGCCAAGAAGGTCATCAATGAAAACACCTTTGAGGAAAGTCCTCAGGCGGAGGCTGGTCGACAGCTCGCAAATGACGCGCTACTGCCCGTTTTGAAGAAAGTAAGTAACTGAGGGAAAAAGAAGTGGAAAGCATCCGTGGATGCAGTGGTCCCACAGCTGATCTCTAATCGAAACTTCTGAAATCATTAACAGCTCAAGAGCGGCGAGCATAGCGCCGAGGATCTAGAGGCGCTCAGTGTTTTGGAGCATGGAGTTTCAGATCTCAACGACATCAATCCGTCTTTGCTACTCGCCTTCTTCACACAAGCACTCACGCAAATCAAGGGAAACAGCGACCTCATGAAGCAGATCGAAACCCATGGTAGCACCGCCGCTACTGAGGCGATAGGTGTGCTCGGAAATGGAAGAGCTCTGGATGATGAGAGTGAGGCCCTGTCCTCGTCTTCAACTGTGAATACGGACTCGACTGATACGACAGCCGTAGAAGCCGACAAGCCTGCAGCAGAACCGACACCTGAGGTTCGGAGTCCGGCTAGTCCTGTGGCAGAGGCGCTTTATGCCCGCTGGATCGAACATCTCCGGTCCAAGTGGCCAATTGTCGCATGAATTTATGGCAGCGAAGATCCCAAGAAACAAAGCTCTTAACGGACGGACAAGAGTGCCCGCGGCAAATTACATACTTTGAATGCGGCGGATCTCTTTCATTAAGTTTGTCTAATTTTCTACAGAGCCTTTTGTTATTCGCAACGCCATTTCATCCATAATTTCAACAGTGCTTGGGACACTGTCTTGTTTTATTTTTATTGTTCTCATATGCTTGTAGCTCTCTGTGGAGGAGGGGGGAGAGGGAGAAGGAGCTCAAGTAGGGAGAGCAGGTGTAGAAAGTTTACGCAGAATATTTTTGTCTATTAGTTCTTAATGTAGTTTTGCTGGCAATAAGAAAAAACGCGTTTTTTTTTCTAGTGTCATGTGATGGTATGTAGCAGGTCACAAAGTGTAAACAACTTTTTTTTTTTGTTGCACTTGACGGACAGCTTGTTGGACGTTGCCATTGTACGAACTCGACCATACCCCTCCCTCCATCATTCATTCCATTCATATCCCAATGGCCGTTGAAAAGAAAAAGAAGGATCCCGTACTGGCCCTGGTGCCAAAGTATGCCCGTGGTAGCAGCCATGAAGCACTCGAGGGCGTCAATGTAACTATACCTGCCCTTTTTGTACTTCCCCCTCCCCCCCCCCCCCCCATATTCTGTTCCTAGTAACAATGCTAATCAACACTTTGTTTTTCATCCCCAATATCCCAATAAACAGAAACTCCAAGATAAAAAACTCAAGGGAACTATCAAACGGCGGGAGAAGCAGTTCAAAGAGGCGGCGTACAAGGCGGCGTCGTCCGAGATTCTGTTGACGGAGGAAGGCGGGTTTCTGGAACCCGAGGGCATTGAGAAGACATACCAGCTCTCGCAGGCGGCCCTGGGCAAGGAGGTTGATCTGGCAACGTCCCACAAGATGTTCACGCTCGATCTCAAGTTTGGACCGTACTCGATTGATTATACACGCAACGGACGACATCTTCTGATCGGCGGACGGAAAGGACATGTGGCAGCGTTCGACTGGCAGGCAGCCAAGTTGGGGTGTGAACTGCAGCTCAGGGAGACAGTTCGGGATGTCAAGTATGTTATTTTTTTTTTTATGTTGCGGGGTGAAGCAGACTGTGGAGGAGACCGAGGCGATGTTTGGTGTTGATCAAGGAGAGACGTCTTTTTTTTGGAAGATGTTACTGACGGGATTTTTCGCTTTCGTTTTCGTTTTTGTTTTTGATAACAATAGATGGCTGCACAACGAGACGCTGTTTGCGGTGGCCCAGAAGAAATATGTGTATATCTACGACAAGACGGGCATGGAGATCCACTGCTTACGGAACCATATCGAGGTCAACAAACTGGACTTTTTGCCATACCACTTCCTGCTCACCACCATCGTAAGTTATATTTCTTTTTTTTTTTTGCTCTTTTGTGGATTTCTGGATCCTTTTGCAGGAACTTTTGTCTAACGGAACAAAAACTCTCCCTTCTAACGTTTCCCCTGTATTTGCTTGACGTCCTCGACGAATCGCCAAAAAAAAACGAACGGAAAAAAAACAGGGAAACACAGGATACCTCAAATACCAGGACACATCGACGGGAAACCTCGTGGTGGAACACCGCACGAAACTCGGGAAATGCAACGTCATGACCCAGAACCCCTCCAACGCCATCATGCACCTCGGCCACGGCAACGGCACCGTCACCCTCTGGTCCCCCAACATGACGACCCCGCTCGTGAAGATGCAATGCCATCGTGGACCCGTTACGGCGATCGCAATAGGTCATTCGGGCGAGTACATGGCCACGTCAGGACTGGATGGTCAACTCAAACTGTGGGATCTTCGGACATATAAGCCCATTCAAGAATATTACACCCCGACACCAGCATCATCGCTCTCGATCTCGCAACGCGGTCTGCTCAGTGTTGGGTTTGGTCCGCATGTGAGCGTGTGGAAGGATCCCTTCCGGACAAAGCAGGTTTCGCCGTACATGAACCATCTCCAGCCTGCGTCCGCAGTGCATGATGTGCAATTCGTGCCGTTCGAGGATGTGCTCGGAATCGGACATCGGGGCGGGATCAGCAGTATCATCGTGCCCGGAGCCGGAGAGCCAAACTTTGATGCATTGGAGGCGAACCCGTTCCAGACAAAGAAGCAGAGACAGGAAATGGAGGTGCATTCGCTGCTGGAGAAGATTCAACCAGAGATCATCACCTTGGACAGGGGTATGGTCGGCAAGAGGGACGTGGCTCCGGTCCAGGTCTTGAACAAGGAGAAGAAGGAGGCCTGGGAGGCCGCGCATCCGGAGGAGGCCAAGGAACTCAAGTTCAGGGCCCGTGGCAAGAACTCGTCCTCGCGTCGTCATCTCAGAAAGAAGGCCAAGAACATTGTCGATCAGAAGAAGGTATGCATGCAAATTCGCCACTTGGGTGCTCAACTTTACCTTGGCGATGTTATAAAAATAATATGGTGTGCCAAAGATTCATCTTCTGATTTCTTAATTTTTTTCTTTTTTTCCTTTTTTCCTTGCTTAGGTCGAGTTGCTGGAGAGGATCGAGAGCGACAAGAAGGAGCGTGCGAAGAGGAGAATGGGCAACCCAGACGAGCCCGTTACGGCCCTGGATCGCTTCACTGGCAAGAAGAGGAAAATCTAAAGCTCGGGATTCAGCACACACCTCCATTCTCTTTTGTCTACCAAGCAACAACACCATCCACCTCACCCTTCGCATCTTTTTCATCACTCGTAATAAAAGCAACAAACCATAGATTCATACCAAGGAAGCGTCTTGATTTATTACATGCAAAAATCAGGGCGCATTGTATTGTATTGTATTGTATTGTATTGAATTGTATTGTATTTTTTTTTTGTCTCTGTATATTTTTTAAATTCTTATAACAAAACATCGCGACCGATGTTTTTTTCTCTTTCTTGGTGCAATTGAACAAATGAATAAAGCAAAAAAAAGCAAACAACAATATGTACTGTAGGGATACAAAAAAGCAAGAAAGGAAAGAAAAGGGATTCGTCCACTTAAACGACGACCAAGTGCATCAACGACTTGAGTCGGGTCAAGTTGCCGATCCAGGGTGGCAAGAACCGTTCGGAATCCATCTCAACGTCACGGATCTCCGGTGTCTCGAATGAGCCGGCATCCTCGAGCGAGATGGCATCCAGCATCAGGGTATCGTTCTTCTCGTTGGCGGCCACACGCATGGCGATCGCCTTGATCAGATCCGGACTCACGGGCACCTCATAGTCCGCAATCATGTAGTTCTGCACCAGCTTCTGCACCTGTGTTGGCGTCAACATCCAGCAGACATCGTAGATGATCTCGATATCGTTGTGCGATGCCTTCTTCAACTGCAACAGCTTCGTCGCCTGCATCAGGTGCTCCAGCTGCAAAGTGCCCTCGGGCAGATCGTGTCCCTTGCACCACTCCTCAATGCGCGTGATGTTGTACTGGATCTGCATCGCACGCTTCCATGTGCAGAAGTTGCGGCGCATCAACAGGTCGTTGAAACCAGTGACTCCGACCATCTTCAAAAGCTCCGTCATTACCTGGCGGACGACTGTGTGCTCAACATAGTAGCAGCTCATCGCTTTCCAGATCTTGTTGAACAGCATCAGGAGATCATCCATGCTGAAGGTCGGTGCGGATCCGATCAACTTGTTGAAGAACCGACCAGAGTCATTGGTGATGAATCCAGGAAGGGCCTGGCTTTCGATGATCGCGGGGATGATCATCTTGTTGAGCTGCTTCTTGAGTGACTTCATCCAGACGTGGAAGATGTTGTACTCCAGGCACTCGAGTTCGTACTTGACTGTCGACACCAACTGCTCGTACTCGATCCAGTCATAGTCCTCTCCGCAGCGCGCCGTCAGCTCCTCGCGGGTGATCTCCTGTTCGCCAATGCAAATCAACGACAACAGCTCGTGCACGTTCGAGAGCCAGTAGGCACAGGGGATGATAGTATCGTCGCCAACAATCGCCATCGACTGCTGCTGGATCGCCTGCATCACATTGATCATCAGGCGCTCCGACTCCTTGATGTATCCGTACTTCCACATCTGCGTCGTCAAGAGACCGATCATGTGGGCTGGGAACATTATCTCCTTGATCTGGGGCAGGTTCGACAAGCTGGGCGAAGGGATCTTCATGTTCTTGATCAGTCCGTTCAAGACCTCCTCCTGCAGACCCTCCTCGTCCTCGAGGATGCGCATGATCTCGACCTCAGGCTGCTCGATCAAGCTGTGAATGCTTGGACGAGAACGGTTGACACGGCGAGACCAGTCGTCGCCGGACATGGTCTTGGCAGTACGGCTATGGTTATCCAGGTTATCAAAGACGCTGTTGGTCGTCTTCTGGGGCTTGAAGAGAACACCATTCTCAAGAGCAGCAATATCGGGCGTGCTGTTGCTGCGGTTGCGGAGCTTGGGAGCCGGTGGGAGCTTGGTGCCGTTCGCGTGATAAGGAATAGGCACAGCAGGAGGGAGGGTAGTAACGATCTTGTGGGGAACTTCCTTTGCAAACGAGTAAGAGTTCTCGTACTTGTCGATCGTGCCCTGAGCCAGCTGGTTATGCATCGACGACGCCGTGTGCGACTGAGTGGCGCCGTTGCTCGTAGGAGGAGCCAGACCTTTCGACGTGACTGGGAAACTTGAAGTGTCGCGACCAGTAGCCTTTGACAGCTGTGCTAACTGCTCGCGGACGTATTGATTTTCGCGTCTCAAGGCTGTCACCGTTTCCGAATCCTCGGGCTTGACCTTCGCTTGCGCGGCCAGCTTCTGAATTTCTTCTTTGGTCTTTGCGAGGGATTCTGTCAGCTTGGTAATCTCTTGATCCAGCGTCCGGACCTTCTCGACCGATTCGTTGTACTTGGACTGCAGCTCCACGTTCGCGGCCTTCAATGTCTCGAACTCGTTCTTGGGCACAGTAGGGTTCTCCGCAGCAAGGGCAATTTCCTTCGACTTGGACTGTTGTGATAATTCGTACTTTTCTTTCCACAATCGGACCTGATTTTCGAGGCTGGCCACCTGGGAATCGAAAGTTTTGTTCTGCTGATGCGCCAGATCCAAAGCCCGCGTCAGCTCCACCACTTTTCCCTCGAGGCGATACGAGACTTCCTTCAGGTGGTTCACCGAGCGTGCCTCGGCCTTGAGCTCCAGGAGCATCTTGCGGGCCTTGTTCCTGCGGACGCACGACTGCACCAACACAATTGCGTGGACCTCCTTCTTGTATTGGGCACGCGCCTGCATACCGCGCCAGATCTGTTGGATCTTGGTCGCGCCATTGGTCTCGCGCATTTGCTGGAATGCAAGACGGGCCTGCTTGGCGCGGATGAGGCATTGCAGACGAAGGACATGGTTGCGAGCCTCGACGTACTTCTTGCGCTGAACGTAACCGCGCAGGAAGGTCTGCAGCATGACGGCAGAGCGTTCCTCGCGGAGAGCACGGACTTCCTTCTGTGCATTGACCTTGCGAGCGAAACTCTGGATCTTGATGGCAGCACTGCGCTGGCGCAGGTACTTCCTCTGGCAGATGAAGCGGCGTGTGTTCTTCTGGATCAGAGTCGCGTACGCGTTCAACTTGTCGGTACGCAACTTTTCCATATAGGCCAGGAGACCAGCGCGGAAGAAGATCTTGGTAAGACCAACCTGATACTTGTCGGCCTCCTTGATGGTAGCCTCAAGAATGGCAGAACACATCTTTTGCGTGTCAAAGCCCCAATGCTCAGAGTTGACCAGCATGTAGTAACGCTCCACAAATTCTTCAAAGGACCAGCGCGAGGGGTAGCCGGCACAACTGATACGAATCGTCTCCAACACACCACAAGCACGCAGCTGGCCCAAGACCATAGGAGCATCGAAGGCCCATGGCTGCTTGGCCTCATTGGGCTTGAGACAGCGAATGTAGTGGACATTGGTCGAGTTGATCGTGTCCATGAGCTGAATGAGCGAGCCCTTGAAGATCGAACCGAGAGTAGGCTTTCTGTTGATAACACTCTTGCGCTTATCCTCCGTCAACTACTCAATGGAGATGAAAATATGAATTGTAAGTTGAGTAAAGAATAATGATAAAGAAACATTTTGCCACCGTCTTTGCAGTCGCTATCAACAGAAATAACTTACGCTTCCACCAGCACCGAGAGTAGCACTCGTCATGAGAACCTCCTCCAAGAATTCGTTGTCAGAGTTCTTGATCAGGTTCAACAACTCGTCAGGAAGGGTATCGCGATTCTTTTCGAGGAATCCATCGCAGTCGTAGGTGACATCGTGGGCATAATGCGAGATAGTGAAGGCAGAGTTGGAGAATCGAGGCTTGGTGAACCACTTCTTATGCTTCTCAGTACCGAGCTGGGAGAAGAGCTTGTTGCACCAGCTCTGGTCGGAACCACCGGGCATACGGGATTCCTCGTCCAGGAGCGACAGGACTCCCAGCTTGCCCTCGATCATCTCGATACATGGCTGATTATCACTGAACTCAATGAACTTCCAGTCGATCTTTTCACGGACGTACTCTTCCTGCTCCAGCTTGAAGACGTGCTGGTTGAATTCCTGCTGCAACTTCTCGTTGGCATAGTTAATACAGAACTGCTCGAACGAGTTCTTCTTGAAGTGCTCGAAACCATAAATATCGAGCACACCAATGAAAGAGTGGATTCTGCTGGCGACGGCTTCGCTGGAAAGACTGGAGTTAATGTTGTTGACCAGCCAGTCAAACAGAGATGAATAGATATACTTGGCTACAGAGTCACGGACGATCAAACTCTGCTCGGGCTTCAGGGAGGAGACGATCTTCTCAGAGCGAGTCGTGATCTGCTTCTTGACTAGCCACTTCTTAAACTCTGTGAGAGGAATGCCGAGGACACGGGTAGCGGTGATCAAGGAAGGATCTTCATCGGCAATTATGGCGTCGGTACGACCGGTGACTTGAATGTTACCGATGTGAATAAGAGCAGCCAAGAGGCGGAAAATGTCCCACTGCGCCTGAACAGAGATACCGATCGTCGAGAGAGCGCGTTGTGTAATCTCGAATTCGGCAGCATCGTCGACACCGTTGATGGTCTGGACGCCGCCCTGATTCAAGTAGCTGAACTGTTGGATTGACTGGAGGTCAAGTTCCTTCTTCTCTGAGGGGGGCGCACCAGCGACGAGCTGGTAGAAGATATGGTAGTTTCGCTCATGCTCAGGCTGGTAAACCAGACGGGATCGCTCCAGGAGATAGGTTCTGATCTTGGCTCCGATAATGTTACGCTCCTTGTCGAACTGGATCTCTGTGAATTTACCGAAACGGGACGAATTGTCGTTACGGGTCGTCTTGGCGTTACCGAAGGCTTCCATAATTGGATTGGTGGCCAAGATCTGCTCTTCGGTCTCGCTCATCCCGGTCTTGGAGGCATCGACACCACGTTCGCTGTCGTCGGCGGTAGCAAAGTAACGCATGATGAACTTTGCGCTAACAGTCTTACCGGCACCACTATAGAAATGAACAATGTGAGGATTAGTAAAGTGTGAAAGGAGATGCAGAAGAAGAATATCAGGAAGTCTGAAAGAGAAATCGTTACCTCTCTCCGGAAACGACAATAGTCTGGTTCTTTTCGTCGCGGATCATGCAACGGTATGCATCCTCGGCGATGGCGAACAAATGGGGCTCTAGCTCACCGCGTCTCCTTCCAGAGTAGGCCTGGATGATATCTTGAGTGTAGAGGTTGACACGTGCGAAAGGATTGGCTGCGATCAGGACAATTCCGGAGTATGTGTAGATGTTGCAGTGCGAGTAACGCGTTCTGATGTTGCTCAAGACTAAGGTAGCAGAAGATACATGGTAGGTGATGTTAGCGGGTCGTATCATGACTGGGAAATCGCAAGATTGAAATCGTCGGCATGAAGGGCTTACCTGCTGGTTCGTTCAGATATGAAAGATTCGTCAAATCCTCTGTGCCCTCCAAAAGGGGAGGGTTACGCATGGGTGGGAGGATGGCATTGTTGGAATCTTGGATCTTGGTGAGTGTGGACGAGAAGACATGGTCCTATTAAGTTGTAGCGTTGACAGGTCGTTTTTTGTTAGAAAGATGAATTAAGTATGAAGGAAGCATCGAGGTATTCACTGTGAAAATCTTGTTACCTTTCCATTATCGTCCACAAAGGTCATGGTGACCTTTCCATCAGCGGCGACATCCTGTGTGTTCAGCGTAGCACTGATCCAGCCCTCCTTGTCATCTGTGAACCAGCACTTTACGCCCTTGACATAGGTATCCAGTGACATGTTTGGTGGCAATCAACGGTCTAAAGGATTGGGGGGACGGTGTTTATGAGGTGTTAAGGTCTTGTTCCGACAGGCGGTTCATTCATCAAAGGGTCATCGAGTCGTTAGGCGTTTCCAGGGATCATCAAAGTCGTCAAAGTCGTCAAAGCCATGAAAAAAAAGTTCGAATGGAGTGATCGTTAAAGATATGGAGTCGTAAAAAATAAATATTCGTTGAAGGGGGGAAAGGTTGTAGTGGTAAAAAAAAAAAATGTTTAATTGGTGCCTTATCAGACCTATGATAGGCCCTAAATATAAAGACGCATGTCGGGAATAATCACAAAATAAAATAGAAGGCAGCATCGACGGGAAGACGCAGTTTAAATATACGAATATGCAAGAGAAAGCCGACACCCGAATGCTGCTGTCCAGACCACCTGGACATCGACACCCATAGCATTGCACAACATCGCAACGCATATGTGTGGAGTAGTCGATCACGGGGCAAGGAAAGCTGGGGCAGGACAGGACAACCACCCACATTACCCACAGAACTCTTCAGCCTAGCCAGCGACTATGTTGAACCACATCTTCACCTGTCAGCTCTGTGCATTAGACGCTCCCTGTGGTCTTTCTTCACTTCCCCCTAAATCTGTTTTTTCTCTCTCTCTCCTGCCATCTACGGGGGTCGATCTTGAAATGCACAACAAGTAAGACAGCAGGGAAAGAAACCTGAAGACGTATAGGTAGGAACAATGGGAATCCGCAAGACTGTATGATGTATGCAAAGGAAATGACTGGTCAACCCGAGCCAGAGCAATTACTGCTTTCCCTTGTCCTCTATACCCCATCGAAGCATAGAGTATTGGCGAACGCGATGTAGACAACCACAGAACCGTCGTTGTGGAACTGCTTATGTCGGATCAACGACAACAAAGAGACAATGAAAACGGAATAAAGAAACGACCAAACGACCAAACGACCACCTTCGAGAACTGGAATCACCCTTTCAGAACAGAATGAGAACCCTCTTTTTTCGGTCATCCCACCGAGTCAAGTGCCCTGAAATGAGTCGAGGGCACCATCCCACATTTCTGTGGCCAAGATGATGAGCACCCTTAAAGTTCCCTAGTTTTGGTTGTTGTGCTCACATAAACAGGGAGAATTGTGGCGACGGTGTCGTGCAGGGGAGGGGAGCACAAGGCCATGCGGTGCACACACACACATACACATATATACACACACACACACACACGCACACACATACAGTTCCCGATTGCCACGTTTCTCTCCACGTTTTTTGCTCGCTCCCTTCTTTCACGCCATCGCCAGTGGGCGACAGGCAGCAACAAGACCCTATAGCTTACCTATGATGCGGTAAATGCTGACGGATATATAAAAGGTGAAGTTACGCCAGGAACACACTGCAGTTATGTAGACAGAGTGTGCTCTAGTGAAGCGTTATATAAAAGGGAAAAAAAATAAAAATAAAGAACAAACAAGAAGGAAACGAGATGAGGGATGAAGGAGGGGAGATGAAGGAGGGGATGGAGAGGAGGAGCTGAAGATGATGAGGGTCGGTGGAAGGGAGGCGAAGGGTGAGGGAGAAGGAAGAAGAAGAGGAAGAAGAAGAAGAGAGAGAGGGAGGGAAGGAGGGGCGGAAAAAAAAGAAGGTTTCCCCTCCTTTGTGTTTACTTACCAGTCAGTCAGGCCCGTTCTAGCGGTATCTCTCGGTGGCCCTCTTTTTCCTTGTGTACCGATTTACAGTCAATGTGTGTGTGTGTGTAACGAACGAGTTTTTTTTTTTTTCCCTCCTCCTCCTCCTTTCTCCCTCCTCCTTCTTTTCAAGTAGCCGGACTGGGGAGCATGGAATTGTGGGCATCCGTATCGACAATGACAATGAACAAGACCATTGGACAGGACCATTGAACAGGACCATTGAGCAAAGCCAATTGAGCAGGGACCATTTGGACATGGAGTAGGCACAGGGTTTGCCTGTGTGGCGAGTAAGATCGGGCCCGCGAGATTGCAGACGAATCAGAGGTGGCCGGTCCAGGGGGAGGAGGTCCCTGGACCAAATCTTTGACAGCCGTTAAAAAAAAATATAAACCTACTTTTGTACGTGTTTTGCAGCACGTAAGGTTAGTGTGCAAATCTTGTCTGCACCACATGTTGTACTCGCAAGGCTAACAAGGCTAGCAAGGCAAACAAATCAAACAAGCATGCAGATGCACTACCATAGTCTAACACCATGCAGGTTATGTTGCGGACAAACGGGGACCGATTCTTTACTCGTGTCAACAAAAACGTATTTACAAGATCCGCTGGTAAATAGGAAACGAAAACAAAAAAGCAGAAAAAAAAGGACTGAACGGGTAAAAGGGCACCCAGCGACTACTGTTGTAAGCAAGTCAAGTCGAGTCCTTTAAATGTCCTTCTTGACCTCCGCCGTGGTACCCCTCAGCTTCATCTCCATGACATTATTCTCGTCCGCCAGGCGGAGATACTCCTGCTGCTGCTGTTTGGCCTGCTTCTTCAAGTTCTCAAAATCACGCTGGGCACCTTCGTGGCTGGCAACAATCTCTGACAGATCCTTGACCTCCTTCTTCAGCTTGGTCTCTGACTCCAGCACGCGCTCATATTCTTTGCTCTGCTGTGCTGCCTATTTGGTACAAGAAAACACATGCAAAGTTCCGTATGTTCAGGAAAGCGTCTTTTTCCTCGTATCAAAAGTGACGACTGACGATGTGTGACAGGATGAGAGAGAGAGAGAGAGAGAGAGAGAGAGAGAAAAAGATGACAAAGCACGCTTACCTGCTTCTTAACAATTTCCATCTTTTCTTCACTCTTGAGAAGATCCAAGATCAGGAAGAAAGTGCGGTTCAGGATGAGGGACAGGAAGAGCGTGAATCCAGTGAGGTACCTATCACACAGCATTTGGCAGACAGGGCCCTCAAAATCAGTCCAACTGAAGCATTCGGGCGTAATGACATTGCTTTCGGCTTCGAAATTAGTAAGAAAAATAAAGCTACTTACATGTTGCGCTGAGCATAGAATCGACGGGCGGCAATGCTGGTCTCTGCTCCCTGAGCATGATGAACAGGTGGGGTGTTCTCGGTGATTACTTCGACCTTGATGACACGGTTGAGAGAGTCTAATAAACCCCAATACGCAGGATAAAAGATATTAGGAATTAATGACATGTTTGTGTTCTAAGCATGATGAAGAGACCACATGGAGTTTGTCTAGTGATGATGCTGCGTCGACTGTAAGGAGGCATAGAGCAATGAGATACATACCGACAAAGAGGATGAACACGAAACTATCGAGTGCAATTGATCCGAAACAAAGATAAAAATATGAGTTCAGCGATCCAGTCATGTCCGCACGAGCTGCTGAAAACGCCACGTATTTGCAATCACTCACATGAATACGATCTTCATCACATATTGAATGTGGCCCATGAACGGAGACTCGGCGAGGAACTTGAGCACTCCTCTTCTCCAATTCATTGGCAAGGGAATCTGTTTTATAGTTGATAAGGGTCATATCACGGCGATGTTAGATTAATATCGCGTTCAATTTACGAGGCTCTGAGCAATATACACTGCGTGTTCATTCGAATCTTACGATCAGGAGGATGAAGACAATCATCTAATCGTTTGAAATGAGCAAAGAAAAAGTCAAAGTCGACGCCTGGTTAGTGGTAGGTATGAACAGCAGGTGGTGCTGGTCCAGAGTGGGGAGAGTAGCATAAGAAGTTCACTTGCCTCGGTCATCAACAGGGTGAAGATCATAGTGTAAGGCAGCGACATGGTGGCAAGGGCTGTGTGGAATGTGTTTAAAAGCGGTGGTGGTGGTGGGGTGTGGGGTGTGAGGTGTGTTGTTGGAAGGAAGGAAAGAGAAGGATGTGTCTGTATGGAGCCGTCAAAAGGATGGGAGGAAAAGTCTCAGATATCGCATAGAAAGTGGTATGCCGTGTAAAAATGACACCGGCCAATTATGGCGCGTCATTGTCTCGTGAAAAATGACTTCACCATTTCACGAATGAAAAAAGCGCGTCCTTTTCTCCTGGTCCGTGTTCATCCCCTAGACCCCTAGACGGCCGGTGATTGTCTTTTGTTTGATACAGCGATATGCGGCTGGTTCCTGTCTTGCTGCTGCTCAGTCCATCACAGTGCCGGGCTAGCTCTATGGGGACACAAATGAAGAGACAGCTCCATCAACATCCGATTCGATAGGGTGCGCTCTTTTTATCCCGTGCCTTTCCTATTTGGAGCATCAACAGACTTCCCCCTCCCCACACAACATCCACCCACAATCTTTCTCTGCTTCTTCCCTTGCCCCTTCATTTGACTGGTGTGCCGCCTCTTTATCTTTTTATTGCGTGGATGGTGTCATTGCGAATAGAGGGCAACCACGGTTCCCTGCTGCTCAGCAGTTGCCACCAACATTAATTGTGACTATTTTTTGGTATGAAAAAAAGTCGGTCCACCTGCTCTCTTGCCATGGGGAAAAAAAAAAGTTTCCCTTCCACTTCCGCCTGCGCCCTTTTTCTTCGCTCCGTCTTCTCTTTTCCTCCCTTCCACCTGGACCTTCTCTTCCTATTCTTGGTCAGAGATCCATCCTTGACCTCACACTCCTCCTCCTCCTCCCCATCCGCTTCCCTTTCGCCAAACTTGGCCTGCCCCTCGTCTCGTCTCGTCGTCCTGCCCTGTCTTGCTTATCCCCTGCCTATAACTGTCCTACACCCTTTCCAAACTCACTCAAGCCCTTCTTCCCCTACCCTCATCAGACAACACCAAAGTCAGACGTATAACCGCAGCAGCAGGCTTCCTTTTCCACAAGCATTGTCGTATCGTCCATTTCTACCACTCGCCAAGAGCGACTCCCACAGCCCTCTTTCCCCTTGTTTCCCCCCGCTCCACTGTCCTTTCTCTTTGATTTCCGATGGGAATCGTTTACAAGAAATCTCTACACGGCGAAAGCGACGAAAAGATCCTGGTCTGCAACAACTGCAAGACTCACTTTGCAACCTACGACCAAATCCTCTCCAAGGTACAATTTGCTTTCTGCATACATTGCATCCCCTAAGTGAAAGACATGTTCTCATTCTGTGGTTTATACCCACATGAACGTGAACATGAACGTGAATACAAACATGCTGTTGCTAGTCAGCGCGACGGACCTGACGGTACGAGAACAATTGATAAAAAAAAAAAAGTCTTATTGACTCGTTTTCTTTCTCCTTTTCCTCCTACCCTAATGCTCGATATATGCTTTCGCGCACATGGCACTCTTAGAACTTCCATGGACAGTACGGAAAGGCGTACCTCTTCAACACTGTGTAGGTCTCATTCTTTCCGTTCAACCTCGTGCACAGTTTAATGTGGGACTGTTTTGATGGGCTAATTCCGATTATTTCATGCTACTGCTTCCTGTTCCTTTTTTAGGATCAATGTCTACACGGGCGAAGCCGAAGACAGGTCCATGAGGACAGGGCTGCACACTGTCCAGGATATCCACTGCGCCGAGTGCTCGACTGTTGTCGGGTGGAAATATGTAAGCACGCTCTCTGTATCTCTTCCTGGCGCAAACGAAAAGCATTCGCATTCAACAGCATCAGTGCCTATTGTAGCCGGCTCTAGTGCCCAGGGTATATCTCGATTATACTCCCCTCGTCGTGATTGGGAGGGATTATTGGATCATTTTTACCCTTCAATCATAAGGCTGACCAGTCCACGCTGCTCACTCGATCGCTCCTCCTAATGACCACATTCTGCTCTCGCTGTTCTCGCTTATCAAATTAGCTCGTGGCCTACGAACCAAGCGAGCAATACAAAGAGGGACATTTCATTCTAGAACGAACCCTGCTGCACTGCGTGTGAAAGTGGAAATGCGACAGGAGTGGGAACAGGAGCACCGTAGCCCCTAGACCAAACACTTGGCCTACAGCTGTTTTTTTTTTATTCATTTGCCATTTCAACATACAGTGCCAAGGATTAACATTGGGCACACTTTGAATACGTATGTCAGCACAGCATATATACACTCAACAACGCTTTATTTCATTTCTGTTGCTTCCTCGCTCCCTCGTTCGTTTGCCTATGGCTGTTTGGCCTTAATAGTTTCGCGTCTGTTCTCTCTCTCTCTCTCTCAAAAAAAAAAAATCCAATCCGTGCCAAGGTATCCAGGAATAAAATGATGGATCGACAATCTCGCCACATTTTTTTTTTATATTTTTATATTTTTTCAGAACATTACTCGCTCATTCCATAACTCGAACAATGGCTTCTTCAGTTGTTTCTTCTGTCTGATTTTATTTTATTTTATTCAGCATAAAGCTATTGTCCTTTCTAGGTCAGAACTGGTAGTTATAAAACCGAGGCACCTTGTTATCCTGTCAGCATGCAAGGACGTATTATCTAGATAGGTATTCAAAAAATCATCTCAATAAAGACCATACCACTCCTTTGTTCATAGCGCTATTTTTTTTTTTTTTGCTTCCAACACTCTCGGTAATCTACAAACACCGCGTTCTTTATACTAGGGTACGTGGTAGTCGCTCTAACGATCTATTCCTGCTACTTATTCATTACCCTGCAGTTGCTTTTCTTTCTCCACTTCATTAGGCGACGTGGATTGTCATGACTCATCAGTATACAGGTCTCTCTCATCCTCCCTTCGACCCACTTTCTATTGTGTGATGCAGCAATAGCACCGTATCTCTTATTTTATTATGGTAGTAGGGTTTGAATAAAACAACAGGGATATTAAGTAATATAATATGTAGTATATGAACAAGGGTGACAACTGAAAGAAAAAGTGGGCGGAGGGAAGGAAGGGATCTGGTTTCTTTTCTCTTTTTTTTTTTTTTTTTTTTTTTCTTTCTTTCTTTCTTTAGACCATAGCCATCAAGACGGCACCAGCGCCCGCAAGAACGACATGTCCCCATGAAGAACCGAATCCAGCGGCGGCAGCGCTAGGCTGGTTCGTTGGAGAAGTAACGGCGCCAGCGGAGGGGGTGGTGGTCGAGTTCGAGACATTGATGACCGCAGCAGGGAATCCCGTAGTCTTTCCGTTCGCGTCGGGGACACTGGTCCAGTTGTTCCATTCGTTGTTCACACAGTGCTGGTAAACGTTCCAGTAGAGGGGGCCAGTCATGGCAGGCAACTTGAACTGGAGGCCGAAATCCTCGTACATGCTATCGAGCAGTTGACCGTTGGACCAGGTCACGGATCCGACGGTGGTGTTGATGGTGCCGTCGGGAGTGACGATGGGCACGTCCAGGGGAACCATGTTGATCGTTGTGTTCCAGGGGAGGACCGCGTGGGGCTTGACGGAGGTGACGCCCTTGGGGATCTCGACAATGACCAGGTCGGTGCTGTTGCCGTTGCAACCGTGAGGGACGCGGAAGTTGGTCTGGAAGTATGAGTTCGAGACGGCGATATTGGGGTTTGCGGTGACGTGGGCAGAGACCGAGGGGGCTGTGAAGAGAATGGTCGAGACGACGGCCGAGGCGATGATGGAGAACTTCATGGTGAAAGAGAGTGAGAGAGAGAGGTGAGAAAGTGAGGAGGGGTGACTGAGTGAAGAGTGAATGAAGACTGAAGAGCGAGGGAGAAAAAAAAAAGAAAGAGGCGGCGGCGGCAGGCCCTCTTTATATCCAGCAGAAACAAAAGGTGGTATTGTGGCCACGAAAGATGAAAAGAAACGCTGTGGAACTGTATGTCACTGTACGCGCCTCAGCGGGGACGGAGGGAGGAGTGGGGGGAGCCTAAAAAAAATGTCAGAATGGACAAATGTGCTAGAAGCGTGTACCGCAACAGATGGCAACGATTCGCTCCTTCTTGTCAAACTTTAAATATCGAATCTTAAACGTTTATCTTCGCGATACCCCTGGTAAAATTCCTATAATGCCTTTGTGGATACTGACACCACACTAGGCAGGCAGGCTAATGCTTATAAACTCATCCTGAGCATAAGCAACTATACGTGCCCTCACATGGATAACGGTTGAACGGATCGAACGGGTTGCACTGTTAACGGCCTTCGATATGACCACGGGCTGTAGCGGGCTACCGTTGTACACCATGTTGGTCCCCCCCCCTCCTTTCCCCCAGGGCGTGAGTGAATTCGAATACCAAATGACTCGCTGTACTCCAGACGTGGTATTCTCTGTAACCCACCGAGAAAAAGATTCCAGTGCACACAGTAGGACGAGTGAGATTGAGGCAACCAAATCCGGGAGAGTGCAAAGAGTACCGCGCCCATCTTGACAGGTGCATGTATTAAATGATGGCGGTCCCGAGTCAGGTTCTGACATCTTTGACAGATTGGAGCCTATTAAAGTTTGACACTTCTTTTTTTTCTTCCCCTCAAGTTATTCCAGATGCAGCTGTCAAACTCAGTCCAGGGTTTTTTTGTTTGGAAGGTTCTCAGCCGCCTGGGTCGGATTTGGTTTTCTTGACTCGGGATAACAAAAAGCTGATATTCTGTGATTGAATTTTGACAAAACACAATTTGGGAAAAGGGCGAGGGGGGCGTACCCTTCGGTCCTGTCAAAAAAAAAAAAGATAAGAGCAAATGGCGTCGCATAGCATCGTAGACTATGTCAGGACAGAGAAATGGCAGGCAGAGAAAGATAATGACCAAAAAGTGTCTATGGAAATATAGGCGGAGCAAAAGAAAAAAAGAAGGGGCCCGGTTCAGGCGTTTTTTTCTCGGTTGTTTTTTTTTGACATTATTCTATTCTTTTTAAACTGAATCGAATGGTGCTTTTTTTTTGACGTTCTTCGTCATCTTTCTTCCACCTCGTCTTTCGTTGTACTGTATAGACCACCACTGTCTCTTAATCCAGCTCATGCAAGCGCTCCGCTGCAATAGAACCAAAGGCGTGCATTCGATATTCAATTGGTTAGTGCTACATGTACTTGTACTGAACAGAAGAAAAAAAAAGAGATGCGAGTCGAATATACAATGAAGCATGTATGTCGCCTTTTTTTTTTTTTTTTTTTTTTTTTTTTTTGGTCCGCGCCTGTAATCAGTAACCATGAAATAGGTCCAGACTGTTATAGACCGGTCCGAACGTACGAGCGCCATCTGTGAAATATACATACCTTCATATGGTACTCGGCGCATCATCGACGGACGGTTCGTTGAGCGAACTTTGATAAGGCTGTCAAAAGGTTGTCAAAAACGCCACGGGGCTCTTCTGGTAGAGCAACGGACACACCTTTGTATGTCGAGCTCTTTCCATTGCGTTGATATATCATCCGCGTACACGATCAGTTTGATGTTTAAAGGTGATTCTATCTTTTATTTTATTTTTATTTTTCAAGTGCGTTTTGTTGTTGTAAAACTCCAGCAAGGCTACACCGCACAGATGATCGGCACCAAGTACTCAGATATGAGAAGAAAAATAGCATCTAGGGGATCAGATCATTTCATCCGATCATCTAATCGGCATTGTCAATAGACTATGCCGAGGCTACATAGCGATTCGGATGTGACGATCGAAGGTTATTATATTTATTGAATAGATGAGATGAAGGCAACGAAAGGTATATATATACAAAAAGCGGGAGACCTTTTACGGTTCTCTATGGACACTATAATTTATCCGCAGCCGGCGCATCCGGTGCCTCCAGAGGTGGTGTTCGACTTGACCATGGTCATCGATCGCTGTCTCGAGAACACGACCGATCCGACTGTCAGACCAAGAATGACCGCGAAGAACAATGGCACGTTAAAGGTCATGGTCACCAACATGAGCGCATAACCAAGCGTGGTCTCAATGAAGGTCAACACGGCGCGGATCAAATTCTGCCAAACTTCCTTCGCGGTCCAGGGCTGGCGCCAGATATGGACCCAATGGAGCAGAATCGAATTCGAGAGGCCACCTTTACCACTGTTCGTCAACGAGACTGAAGAGTCTGACTTGGCAATGTCCTCAAACTCGCGTGCATTCTCCTCGGCCCATTGAACCTCGAGACCGTTGTGATAGGTCTGGATGGTCTGGAAGAAGAGCGTCAGGAAGAAGAGGGCGAACCAGGTGCCGACATACTGGCTCTGGTTCCGGGGTACCCATTTCTCGAACAGGACATAGTCCGAGAAACCCAGGTGGAAGTACATGCGCATCGCAGGCGGGTTCATGTCGGGGCTGCCCACACCGGCCGCACAGTACTCGGACGACTGAAAACTCAGGGACGAGGCGGTGTCTGAGGAGGCCGAGCACATTGATTTCCAGGTAGCGCACTGGTTCATGTCAGGCATGGCCTTGCACAGGATCGCATATGTGCCCAAGGTGTCACAGTCGGCAGCGTAGGCACCGGGGGCAGGCTTGGGGCATCGTTCACATCCAGCCATGTCCATCTCTGTGCAGATGTCGATGACAAGTGCGGAGGCGTTCTTGGTCGTGGGGAACGAAGAGATCATGGGGGCCTTGGAACAGACCGCAGGACGGGAGGCCGAGGAGGTCTGGTTGGCGGCTGTGCCGCAGAGGGCGACATAGTTCTTGCAGTTGCCCATGTTGGGCATGTCGACGGCGCAGATGTCGGCGAGGACAGAGAAGGGGGTGCACCATTGGTCAGTCTTGGAGGCAGCTTGGCAGGATTTGTAGAGGGAGCATCCGGGCATGTATGGCATCTGGGTGCAGAGGCTATCGAGATCCGTCTGGATGGTTGCGGCTGGCAACTCGAAGGAGACACAGGAGGGATCCGAGGGAGTGGTGAGACAGTCCACACCCTGGGCTTGAACTTGGGTCCTGGCGAGGGCCAGGAGAAGCAGCAGCACCGAAGAGCTAGTCTGGAGGAATGAAAGTGGCTTCATTCCTGATGTGTTGGGTCAGGGAGAGAGAGAGAAGAAAGGACTGCAGGAGGATTTCTCGAGGGGATCAAGGATCAAGAGAAGGGGAATAGAGGGTGGTTCTTATATGCACTCTCTTTTTACTACCACTAACTACGGACGCACCTATGTCGAGGTATGGGCGTGAGAGCGTTGTTCAACGTTGATGTCAAAACAAAGAGAACAAAAAAAAAGGGATGCGCCAAAGGAGGAATGAGGATGTCAAGGGCGATGAGGAGGGCGTACAGCAGGAGAGAAAGGTTGTCAAACCTGTCAAACTTGTCAAAAAGGAGCTAGGGAGGGAAGGGAGTGAGCGGCGCGTGTGTACCCTACAAAAGGAGAGCCAAGGAGAAGGAGAGGGAGCGAAGAGAGAGGTGAAGAGAGGGGAGAAGGGAGAGGAGGGATGTCAAGCTGGGGGTATGAAAGGGAACGCGGCGTGGCGTTAAAAAATAAAAGCGAGACAGAAACTCAATAATTCTATTCTGTCCCAAAAAAGATGGATGGGAAAGACTAGAAAAAGGTTCCTCAGATGGGAGGGCAGAAAAACTTTAAAAAAAGAGTACCTTTCGGGAATGTCAAAAATGGGATAGGAGGGCGGTCTGTCAAATTTTTTTCATATAACAATGGTATTGTATCCAATTCATTCAGTCGTTCCACCCATCGAACCACAACCACACTGCAGCAATGTGTGCATTTTCATCTGCACACAACGACAGCGCCTTCTTTGGTCTTGGATCTTCCTGTCCTTCTATCGGGGGTACCTTCTCCAGCACAACACATGGCGTGAGACACCATCAGCAACGGTAGTCTACCGGCATGTATGGTGCGGGGGCACCTGTCAAAAAGAGGCCCGAGTGGCGGTTAGTGGTCAATGAATGGAGCTGAGGGACACCTTCTGTATAAGACACTCCTCCTCCATTCCTTCTCTTCTCCACTTCTTCCTTCCTCTCTCTCTCTCTCTCTCACTCCAGCTACCCCCTAACCATCTGCTCCTCCAAGACGATACAATAAAGATGCGCTCCTCGCTTTTCCTGGCTGTTGCCTCCGCTATCATCGCCTCCGTCGCTGCTCACGATGGCCCCCACGATACCCCAGAAACACCCTCCGTCTGCTTGACCACGCCTTCCGACGCATCCTGCTCGACTTACTCCATCCCTAATGCCACCATCACCGATGCCATCGCCGATATCTGCAAGACCTCGTCCTTCCTCCCTGGATGCTCACTCAACACCGCCTGCTCTGCAGACTCGACCCTCAATGCCACCTACTGTGCTCCTTTGTCCATTCTGGCCACGCTCTGCTCCGCTCCCGATGACGGCGCCCTCACTGGTGCCGCCTGCACAAAGACTTACTCTGTCTTTTGTGCCTCCAACTCCTTGATCCCCGCCTGCAAGTCCCAGCGTGCCTTCTCCGGCCTCCCCTCGGGCAAGGTCGTCACTGGAACGGTCTACTCAGTCTGCCAGGAAATGCCCATGATGACCGACTGCAAGATCTGTCCCGGCCCCGATGCCACAACCGGCTACAGCATCTGCGACGAGGTCAAGGCTTGGAAGGGACTCTGCCTGAGTATGCCCGACATGACCCAGTGCCCCTCCTTCAACACCATGTGCAAGAACACAACCTTTGCTCCCTTCTGCGATGCCAAATACGTCTCCCCCAGCGGAAACAACGGCAGCACTACCACTACTACAGGGTCTAGTGCCACTCCTACGCCCAATGGCCAAACCAAACCCAGCAGCGCTGGTGCTCTCGTTGGTTCCTGGATCATGACATCGCTCCTCGCCGTCGTTGCAGGCGTCTCTGCCTTTGCTCTGTAAAAACCACACCCTGTATTAATCTCTTTACACATAGTCTATAGTACAAGCACTAATAATACTCATTTTCATACCAGATTGTATATTGTTTTCATCTGTGCTTTATTGCTGCTGTTGTCTGGCGTGCAAAAGAGTTCGGTATCTATGCCTATCTGTAAGGCTTTCGAGGGCACCTCTTTTTGTTGACAAAAGAAAGCCGAATGTCGCTGTTGACTTTCAATCTTGGGCTTAAGTATGCCTCGAGTCTATCCAGGTTCTGGTGAACATTGTTGTCCTTAGTGTTCTCAGAATAACGGGCAGTCGATAGAGGGTGATCGCTTCCGCATACACAGGTACATCTTGCCATCTGACCCTGGCTTTGGTTGTCCTCGTCTTGGTTGTGATGGATATGAAACGAAACACAGTGGTGAGATTCTCTGCCGCGGATGTATCCCAGTTGAAACGCACCGGCAAGCAGAATGGAGTACCCAAGGATAATGGTGGGCATACAGAAGGAATGCCTTGACATGGCGGTCATTCTCAGTATATGGTCATTCATAGGACAGTTGGCTGAGGAAGAATGGGAGGGTAAAGAGCGCGAATATCAGCAGCAGCAGGCACCCAATATCTTTTCATCAAATCAGAATTTATCAAGCTTCTTTCCTGCGGATGTTGGCCTACCGTACCTTCAAGCGCTGCGTCGCGTGTCGACTTGACGCATTGATCCCTCATGCTGCGACCGCTGCGCATAGAAAGTCAATACTGACGCTTAGACATGGAACCACGTACTTGCGCATGAAAGACCCGAACTCGAATGACGACAGTTGTTCCCTTTTTTTTTCGTTTTTTTTTTTTTTTTTTTCGTTCAGTCTAAGACACAGCGCGGGCCTGAGCAGTGTGGGGTTAGTCTCATCTGCGGCCCAGCCAAAGAGAGATTTTTTCAAGTCGTTCAAGGAGGGAAGGGTCGAGGAGAGAAACAGGAGCGGGATCGCTACTGCTGCTATGGGAGCAGAGGTTCCGTTACTACCGCTTTCCCTTCTCTTCCCTTTCTTTGTTCCGTTCCATGCCCCGTCTTCTTGAGCCTTTATCTTGCCTCTCCATCCAACAACTTCCTGGCGCCCTTGGCTTCGGACTCCATCTCGCTTCCCCCATCGTCTCCTACGCACCTTCCCCTGGCGCGCCTCTTCTCCTTCGTGTCATGTTAATAGTGTTCTTCACATCCATCTCTTACCTGTCCTCAACCCCTTTGCCGCTCTTCCATCTCTCCACCCCTCTATAGTCACTGGAGCGATCGCTAGTCCTTACAAGGAAACCTGTATCCATCGTGTCATCGTATCTTCACAAACCACATCATGAACCAGACCCAGGCTGCGCTTCGTGCCTTGCCCAGTGACCTAGTCACAAAGCTATGCCGCTCCAAAGTGACCAGACTGTCGGTAAGCTACCCTTTCGGTTCACAATGGTATGTGAATGCACTTTCAAATCGAGGGCATCCGGAACGGACTAATGAACACCCTGCTTGCTTTATGGAACATAGCTGAAGCAAATGTATGCGCTGGGAAGGTAACAACACATCTGATATCGGCGGCGCTGATACCTACCCAGCACTTCTCCCATAACTAACCCATCGCCTCATCTCGCACTGGACAGACATGTGCTGGAGCCCAAGAACCACAATGCACTGGTGATCCCAGCTCTGTTTCTGCACCAAGAACTGCCCATTCGACTGTCCCATGCGCTCAACATGCTGAACTCGAACCTCCTGCCCTTCAACATGTCGGAAATGCCTACCTTCCAGCACATTGCTAGATCGTACTTGGAAGATATTAGGTAGGTCTCTGTCATCCACTCTGCTCCTCGTCCCCTAATATCTTTGCCCCCCCTCCCTTGGCTGTTATGCCCGCTTTTTTCTCATCAGCATGGCGAAATGACACTTTCGGACAAAGGTGCTGCATTGAAGGGGATGAATGGTGGCATTTGACGGTGGCCTGGAGATGATAGTATTTGTTCTTTTTCTCCACATTCTCCTACCACGGTCAATCTACTTGACCCCCCCTCCCCCTTTTCACATCATGTTTTGTTCCACCTCATTCTCAACATATCCAAACCCATGCCAGGTTCCAGGGCTGTGCCATATACTATTCTTATATATTTGTTCTCACACTATCTTGTACGAACATGATGTAGTTTGATCACGCAGATGCCCAAGCCGTCGACACCTCAGCTTGAGGAGGAATTCACGGCATTGCTCCGGAATCTGGAGCAGCGACACAAGGTGAAGATGTTGACCATCAGTCAAGGGTTCAAGGAGTTCATGAACTCCGTGGCCGCGGCCCAAGGTGCTGGTACTGATGCTGCCGAGATTGGTCATTGTGGACTGCATTTCAACCGCGACACGAACCGATGGACGGTGGATCCACAAACGGACAGGGATATCCAGACATTTTTCAATCGGTTTTACACCATTAACTTGGGTACCCGCCTCTTAATCGGTAAGTCGTTGTTATTCCTCCCCCTCTTCCCCCTCCTTCTCCCTCTTGGTGCTCTTGGCCTTGATGCACTCCCACTTTTTTTTTGGTGCCTGACGGATTATTTCCTGCATAGCCCTTAGTCCGGAACTGCGAAAAAAAAAAAAAAAAAAAAAAAAAAACTAGCGGTGCATACCATGACATCAGACTAACCACCAAAGGAGCAAAACGCGACCAAACCAATAGGTGAGCAGCTCGCACTTCATGACCGAGGACTAAACCTCGTCCAGCGTGTCCATCCTCTCTCGATCTCCAAGCGCGCGATCCAAGATGCGCAGCGGGTGTGCTCTGCCCATTATGGCCAACCTGCACCATCGGTGTTGATCCAGACCCCCAATCCGGATATCTCGGCAACGTACGTGGAAGAGTTCCTGCATCGCAACATTTTCGAGCTCCTCAAGAACGCCATGCGCGCTACCTGCGAGACGCATCTTCAAGAGGGTGCGCCGGTCTCACTCAGCATGACTGCTCCCACGGGGCCAGCGACGGGATCAAAACTGCCACCAATCACGCTCACGGTCGTGGATGGTGAGGAGGACGTGACGATCAAGATCGCAGACCAAGGCGGTGGATTGGCTCTGTCCGAGCTGGACAAGGTCTGGAGCTATGTGCATTTCGCCAATTCGACAGCGGCGGCCTCTGTTTCGCGGTCGCAGAAGGAAGGAGGGGTCTCTGCGGGCACTGTGGCGTTTATGGGCGGACTGGGGAGCGAGGTTAAGGATTACTTGGATCTGCCGCTGAGTGGATCGGGACACGGGTTGCCACTGGCCAGGCTGATCGCCAAGTATTTCGGAGGAGATTTGTCCCTGTACTCGATGGAGGGCCATGGCACGGACTCGTACCTTTCGCTGTATCGGGATGTTGACCATTTGGAGAATTTCCCGGAAGTCGACGAAGAGATGTTGGCGGAGGTGGATGTGTTTGTGAACGAGCTTCTGGATGAGTGTGTTGGTGCGGAGGAGTCGAGCGTCGTTTCTGGATTGCGACTCAAGGCGCCGCTTCCAACGCCGGTAACGTCCTTACCGTCGAGCATGGTTCTTGGATTGAGACAGAGCCAGGGCCAGGCCAACGCTTACAGCAGCACCAGCACCGGCAGCAGCACTAGCAGCACTAGCAGCACTAGCAGCAGCAACAACAGTAACATTAAGAGCGCAAATATGCCACTGGATATTGGGTCGATTACTCCTCGCAGCGGCACGACTTCGCCCGCGTTGTGAAACGCAAGCATGTGAAGATGAATTTAACAAGGCCGAACCAAAATGGGAGGCGTCAACAGATTTCTTTCTTAAATGAAGCTGTTTTGTCATGGATGTGAGCCCTGTCCGGTCGGTCCATGCCCTACGGGCCTATCGACAGGACCTCGCAGGCAACGACAATCCCGTGCAATTGACAACACACGGGGTCTGCAAAAGTAGCCAGCGGAAATAGCTTTCAATATGAATTCATTTTTTTGAAATTGCATAAGAGTTCATTGATGGTTGTGGCATCGTGCACACTGCACCGCTCACAGGCACGGGAACGTGCCATCTATCATATGGGTGACACATGCTACGCAGACCTGATCACAGAGAAGGAAGAAAACAAGAAAAACAAACACGCAAGCTATATTACAATGTGGGAGAATGGGATAATGCTACAAGGGATGTCCTAACAGGCATCACGAAAAACAAATAAAGAAAAGAAAAGGAAATGGATGCTTTTTCAAAAAAAAAAAAAAAAAAAGAAACTGAAAATCAAGAGGGCGGCGCCTGGTATGCGAGTTCGCGTTGTCGTTTGTTCCTCATCGTTAATCGTCCGTTATGGCCACTGTCGTTGCGAGTTGGGACCATTTAGCGACTACATGGCACTGGATAGATGTGCGGAATGTCCTGCAGCCGCTGATCATCCAGTCCCGAGCCATGGACATCATTTCTCTGGTCCATCAGTCTGGACTCAAGTCGGCTTGCCTTCTCTTGTAACACCCGGTTCTGTCGCTCGAGCTGCTTGATAAAGTCGACTGCCTTGAAGAGGATAGTCGACTTTGAGCTGTTGACGTCCTTCAGGTCCGGGATGATGTCCGTCATGTCCTTGAATCCGTTGCGGATCGTATTCCGTCGCTTCTGTTCGGACGCGATATGGTTCGCTCGCTTCTCCTCCTCCGTCAACAGTTCCTTGTAGGGCTTGCGCTTTGTCGTCGCCATCGTGCCCTGCGTCGCCGTCGTCGCCGCATCGGACACGGACCCATCTGAAACTGAGGTGTGTCGTTCTCGGCTGTCCTCTTTCCTTTCCCGTGACCGAGAGGGCGACGAGGGTGAGGCCGACGACGCTGGGTGCTCGTCCTCATCCCTCTTGTTCTTTTTTGAATTGTGAGTGCCGTTGTTGCTGTTGTTGAGAGACAGTTTTGAGAGCTGCTGAATTGGAGTCGACATCTTGTTTGATTCCTGACTGAAGGACATGCCGCGCCTTGTTTCGGTACCTTTGTTGGATTTGCCGCGTTTGGTAGGGTTCGACATGGGTGTCGGGAGGGTATAGGAAGGAGAGCCGGGCGAGACTGGGGATTCGCCCTGGCTGAAATGGCCAGGGAGGGAGTGTGAGCCACTGAAGCTGGACTGGGACGAGGGCGAGGTCAGGTCAAAGTCCATGGAGCTGTTGAGCATGCTCGGGTTGGCGAGCGAGGAAGATGAGGATGAGGTCATGTAGGCGCTATCGAGACTGAATCCGCCGGGCATGGTCTCGGGTGTGAAGAGAGGGAGATTGGGCAGGTTGGGTATTGTGCTTGGGTCGAAGGTGAAGTCTTGGTCGACGACCAGCGTGTCCAGGAACTCTGAGAAGTAGCGCTGCTCCGAGGGGTTGAAGAGCTGCATGGATGGATCGCCTGTAAGCGGTGGTGGGGGCGAGGTAGGCAGATTGAGGAAGTCTTGGTTCGACAGCTTGAAGTCTAGGTGTGTTTGTCGCGAGAGGGGGCGTCGATGCTTTCTGGTTAGTTTTCTGAGGAACACCGAAGTCTGGTATTCGGAGAGGGAGAGGGAGGAGAAGAAGGGATGCTTACCGTCGAATCCGAGGGGCTCGCCAAAGAGGCCATGGCTCGGGGGCGCGAAGGAGAGGGGCGATGGGGGTCTGAAGCCCGAGTCGGTGTTGAACATGTTCATGGCTGGAGAGGGATGTCGCAGGGAGGGCGGAGGAATGTGGAGAAAGAAGAAAGAAGCGAGGGGTGTGGCAGGATATGTAGCTAGGCGGTGCAGGGGTGCAGGTGTGGGGTGTGGGGTGGAGATCGGAGATCTGGATGGGAAGCAGGGATCCACGTAATCAGGCCGGGAAGGAGGAGAAGGAGGGATGGGGATGGGGGAGACTGGGGATGAGGAGGAGGGAGGAGAAGAGAGGGAGGAGGAGGAGGGAGGGGGGAAATAAAGGGAGGCCAGGGAAGGCCAAGTGACTACTCGTCCGCTTTCCGCGCTCTGTCGGTGTGGCTGCATACAGCGACACACCCAGAACCTAGTGCAAGGCGGGTTTACTGAATTCAGTAACAGTAAAGAGTAAAGAGTAAAGAGCAAAGAGCAGCTCAAACAAACACATACACAATAGTCTACACACACCATATCCCATGTTTCGATGAGCCAACTGATTGGCCCGCCCTTGGATCGACAGCATCCCCCCAGGTATAACCGCCTAGACTACAGTCACCTATTCTCGTCTCGGTCGCGGTAAGCGCTCCTCCACTGTACATCCGCAGGTACATTCCATACAGGCTGTCCCCAAGGGCTCATCTTTAATCATTAATCTCCACGCAATAAATATATCAATCCTTTGTCCTAAACCTCACGCGACTCCAGCTCGCTCCGGCCTCGTCTACACCTTCGTCTGCATCTTCGTCTGCACCCTCGCCTGCACCTTCGCCTGCAACTGCAATTGCTCTGCAGCGGTCATGCACCGTCCTGCGTAAAGATATATCTCCCTCCACTCGGAATGAGGTCAGTGCTGCTCTCGCTCACCATCTCTTATTTTCTTTCTATAAGCTGGCTACCATTTCCTATGACTAATGTCCACCAGATCGAGCTCCCGTTAGCTTTCTCAGTCATTTCAAAAACTTGTCACATAATATGCAATCCCTTGGAGGTACAAAGGAACAGAGAATCTACCTTGTTCTTCCAAACTGATCGAGTAGACTACTTTACCTTCACTCCATCTCCCGCGTGGAGTATTCACTTTACCGCGCTAAACAACAACAATGCAACCCAAACAAAAATAAATAAACACAACCAGCCCTAAGCTACTAACAAGTCCTAATGTTGGTTTGACGTGGCATGGCATGGCAGACAATACAAAGGAATACCAGTAGACAAGTACTCGTCGCATTGCAATTTGTGGGATAAAAATGGGACCTCTCATCGCTGTCTTACCTGATTGGCTGAACACAAACCGCGGGCTCACCAGCGCCATACCACCCTCAGCATTTCGTCTCAGAGGAAGGACCCTCCTCCTTCTCCACAATAAGGCTCCCTAAATGCAAATCACCCCTCTCGCCTCTTCTCTAAGTGCACCCTCCCCTTCTGCGCCCAGCGCAGACGAGTGCGCCTCCAATGGTCCGATGCTCTCCATCCAAACACCACTTGCATGAGGCCGTGCATTAATCAACCTGTCATCCTCACCTTCGACAACTGTCTTGTCGGTCCTCCTATCCTCAATCTCTTATTGTTTCACTCTCTGAATCCATCAGCGAGCATCCGCATTCATAGTTGCGACCCCCCTTCCTCCCGCGCTCGGCTCACACACTCGGCTGCGTTCTAAACGCATATCTCAACCTCAAAATGACTTCGACCATGAGACAGCCGCTACCGCAGCTTCGTATTATCCAGCAACAATTCGATCGCCCAGACAAACGGCGCTACTCGACCACAACCTCGTCCCAATCTGCCGGGAATGGTAGGCATCCGTGGTTGCTTAGCCCAATACATTCTTTTTATTAATTATAGCCTATTAAAATTCAACTGACACAGGTCGTTTTCATTTCTTTTCGGTCGTCATCAGCGCGCACTTCGAGGGAAGATAGTATGGATGGATGCAGTGGCCAGCTGTCAAGCGGTGAGGGCAGCAGTCAATCATCAACTTCAGAACCACCCAACAAAATCCGGAAGAAGCCCGGCCGCAAGCCCAACCCAGCATCTCCAGCCGTCAGAAAGGAGCAGAACAGAGCAGCCCAACGAGCGTTCCGCGATCGCAAGGAGAGACATCTCCAGGAGATGGAAACCACCATCAGGGAGCTTAGAGAAACTAACTCTCAAATCACCCAACGGTCGCAGCAGGATGCACAGCAGTTCAAGGCTGCGCTTGAGGCACTACAGAGTGAGAATTATTATCTGCGCCAAGTCGTGTTTTCGTTCGAAACGGCGTTGAGCAAGGGCGGACACGTGACAATGCTCCACGAGGTCAAGGCAGAGCTCTACCATCGCCACTACGAGAAGCATATCACGAAGAAGCCAGCAGGAACAACCTCATCAGCTCGCAACCTGCAACCGCCTTCTCCAACCATACCGTCCATCTTTTTACCGAACGGCAACGTCCCTCTCCAACTGAACCTGGAGAAGGCCTCACAGCGAACCCAGGGACAGATACTCGGCCAGGCAGTAGCTGTCACTTCATCAAAGTCAGCCATCCCTTCGGTCGACACCACCGCATCACCGGCCTCGCAACCTCACTTTCTCTCGGCAAATTCCCCGTCGTCCTCGAAGGCCCTGTCTTCAGCTCTATGGGACGCATTTGAGGATTCTCGGGACGATACCATATTTTCTGTGAACGACAGCATCCTCAGCAGATCAACATCGCCACTGTCGCTGGCACACTCAACCAACGGTAAACTCGTTAAATCGATCACAGCGTACGAACCCATGTCTGTGCCACGACCTTTCTTTACCGAAACAGGCGCCTATCTCGCGAAGCGGACAGAGTACACCAAGAACGGCACCGTATTCGATGAGCTTCAATCATCACTTTTCCCACCAGGAACGCTTCAGTCGATTGTCCATACGGGACTGGCGACGCCGCTGGAAATTGTGAACGACATTTCACTACTGGATCAGTTACACGACCGTCGTCCTCTCCGAGATCCTGTTATTTCACCCGGTCAAGCTGCCATCACATTTTCCGCCTCCCCCATCGATTCTTGGGCAAGCGCACCGACGTCGATCTTGGATGACGAAGACAGCAATGAATTTCAGATTGCATCGATCACACTGGGACTCGACGACGGGCTGAAACAGGATGTGATCCCGAGCGTTCGTCTGCAGCTCGAGATTCAGGTCTTGGCATCTGCACCCCCCGCTGTGGACCCCAATATCGATCCCAAAATCTATGCTCTTCCGCATGACCTACGCATTGACCTGATTCCATGCCCGAGACTGCGTGCGCAAATGATTCTGCACCAGAAGAGGTTTGATGTGGATGAAATGTGTCATCTCTTGCTCAACGGCGCTATTTGCCACGGTCATCCTCTGGACCCAACCAGCTGGGAGCTTCCGGAGCCGTTCTTTGATCGATATGGGTTCCTACTGGGAGAGGAGTTGTTGGAACTTCGGAACAAGGTTTGGCCAAAGAAAGATGAACCCTTGCCAGGTAAGGTTTTACGGGCTTGGATGGAAGAAAGATATGCATGCATGCTTGCTTGCTTGGCTGTGGAAGGAAAGATGGATATGTATATGTGTGAATGTAGCTAACGATAAAAAACATGGCTATCTATTGAAATTAGAGATATCAAAGGCGCATTAGAGAAAAAAAAGAAAAAAAAAAAAAAAAAGGAAGAGCGCGCAAAGATGCTTTAAGCGCGTGCTGGGCACGCCATATACTTCGATTCCGTTTCTCTATGTTATTTATCCATCCATTCTGTTGTATTTTATATGTTATGCACAACCATACTACCAATACCTTCTATTCATCCCTTCATAATCTAAATAATCTAATGTACATCATCGATAAAATATTGTTTTGAGCTCGACTCTGCCAGACGATAAAACGACGCGTAAAGGCGAGGTGATATCCGTATTCATAGCCATAACATGTCTTCAATGACTCCGCTGTATCAACAAAGGCTGGAACAAGTACATCAGTTTTCTTAAAGTAAAACTCGCTCACGCAAAGGACAAAAACAAAGAAGCCAAGTAGAATGCCATTCATTACCCTAGAGGAGAAAAAAAAGATATCCGTTCAAAAGAAGTGCCCCAACTCGGAGTTGAACCGAGGACCTTCCCATTACGAGTGGGACGCTATAACCACTAAGCCATTGGGGCGGGAACCAATCAAGTTCTTGATGCTCCGATTGGTGAGTGAGATTTTAATCCTATTGATTTCATCCAGATGCAAATATAAATCACGTGATCGTATGATCACGTGATTCAGGAACCCTCACTTACTCGAACTGGCAAAAAAAAAAGTGAGTATAACTGGACCCACACTGTCCGTGTGGTGCGCTGCTTGCCAACCATGCAAAAGGGAGTTGCCTTAGCCCCGTGCTCGGCCCAGACATAGCGGACCGGACGCTGCTGAACTGCTTGCAAGGGAGAAGGCGGTTGACAACCATGGAAGGGATGGAGAAGATGCCCTTTTTGTAACAAAGAGTTTTCGACTTTTTAACACGCTGATGCAGGCCGGGAGAATGTGGGTCGGCTCTATATTGGTGGAAAGGACGACTGTAGTAGATCATTGCTAGTAAGATCTGATAGATTCGCAGGGTCAATCGACTCGAGAGACAAATAAAGAAACGATAATTTTGTTTTTTTCTTTTTGAACGGGAAATTGTCGAGGGTCGCGTGCTGTGCGATGAATGAGAGGAATACGACGCGTCACTTTGCAATATGAAAAGATGTTGCCATCAAGAGGCTTCTTATCCGAAAATGAGGCGCGTCTTTGCCGCATTAGAGGCGTGCGCACAGGGGTACAGGGTTAGATCACCAGCTGAGTGACAAATCCAAGGTGACCGTTTTTGCGTGGGGCAGGATCGCGATAACCTCCCAGACAAGAACGTTCACACACTCTCACTTCGTAATAAAGAGCTTTTTTTTCTTCTCCTTTTCCATTCCATTCTACATTCACTCCATTCACCAACCGCAATGTTCCGCCTGATCACTCCTCTCAAGGCCGTCTCCCGTGCTGTCCCCGTACGTGTTCTCCACTTCTCACTTTCTTGATCGCGTCCCAAAAAAACAGCTCATTGTCTTTATGGCCGTTTGCTTAATGACAATTGCTATCAGATCATTCAATTGATCAACATATCTCCCGCACACATCAAATAGAGACACGCCTACTCCACCTCCACCAAGTCTTCAGGCGGCTCTAGTAAGTTACTAACCGTTGGTCTGCCTCTCGGTGTCGCTGCTGCTGGTAAGAAACCGATCCCATATACCTCTGCTTCCTTCAATCTAGCGCTTTTCCGAGTATCTTTGCAATGTCGTTTGCGGTCTATACTCAACCGAGGTTTCATGCCTCGATTATCTATCCATGTCTTTCCAGATCCCACTCACTCACTCTCTTAAACTCCTACCTTGTGAATTGTGGGCCTTGCAATATTTGGAGTCAAATTCTGCAAGTCGTGCTCTCTTGCTGATCTGACGCCTTCGGCTCCTCAATTTTGATTTCCCACCCTTGTGATATAGCCGCCTACGCATACTATGGGGACAAGCTAGGAGGCGCTGCTGCTGCCGCTGCTCCCAAGGCTGAGGCTGTTGTCGCTGCCCAGAAGGAACCCGTTTCCTCTGCTCTGGATCCCAATGCCTTTGTAGACTTCAAGCTGAAGGACGTCAAGAAGGTGACCCATAACACCAGCCGCTTCACCTTCGAACTGGAGGAGGATCAGAATCTGGGATTGGATGTTACCTCTTGTGTCGTCACCAAGTTTATCAAGGAAGATGGCAAGCCTGTTATTCGCCCCTACACCCCTACCTCCGACAAGAACCACACCGGCTCGTTCGATTTTGTTATCAAACACTACGAAGGTAATGGCTTCATAGGACACGAGACCGATCCGAAAACTCGGCAGCCCCGACGTATTTTGTGTTTCCTCGACACCATTGATTTTCACAGTGCAGCGGGAAATCATCTATCCGGCACGAACGAAACATGATATCCATAATTAACGCGCGTCCTTTGGATGATATCATAGGCGGACCAATGTCTACGCACATTCACAGCATGAAGCCCGGCGACACTCTTTCTATCAAGGGTCAGTATCTATACACTGCACAGCACGGATTTATTTCCATCTATTTCTTCCACCACAGCGGGACGGAATACTTATCACGGATCGTTTCTTGTTACATGGATGACCCATGTCCTCTAGGTCCCATTAGCAAATACCCTCTCAAGGCCAACCAGCACGAGACCGTTAGCTTGATCGCTGGAGGAGCCGGTATCACTCCCATGATCCAGATCATTAGTGGACTCCTCAAGGACAAGACTGACAAGACCAAGATCAACCTGATTTATGCTAGCGTCTCGCCCGACGATATCATCTTGAAGGACGAGCTCGATGATTTTGCCAAGGCACACCCTGATCGCCTCAAGATCACGTATGTTGTCGACAAGCCCGTCGAAGGTTGGAACGGCCCTACTGGATATGTCACTAGCGAGTTGATCAAGAAGTCCATTCCCGAAATTGGCAAGGGTAACACCAAGGTCTTTGTCTGCGGACCCCCTCGTAAGTTATCGAGTGCAATGATCCTTGAATCTATACGCTACAAATAACCAGCGTGCTATTATGTTGATGAAGTATTCTCATATTGTCACGCGCTTCTTATTCGGACCTCTTAGTTATGATGAAGGCCGTCAGCGGCGTCAAGGGACCCAATTTCACTCAAGGCGATGTCGGTGGTGCATTGAAGGAGCTTGGATTGACCAACGACAACGTCTTCAAGTTTTAGAGACACAGCCCGCAAGAGATCCCAGTCTCGTAGTCTTCGTAATATAATAAACATTCATGAATACACGAATTTTAAAACCCTTCGTCTCGAAAGGGTTTACACCCTACCTCACGCTCATCCCTACGACACAGCACTCAGCACCTTTGTCGCCACAAGCATCACCCCTGCTCTTCAGCCTGCTAATGAGGAACACTCGCAGGTGAAGAAAGTAAACCAACCACAATCAACACCATGGTGGATTCCTTAGAGAGCTCATCCGCTCTCTCAAGAACGACCGAGACAACAGTAACACATGTCAATGGCAACTCTATACAAGGCACTTCTATTCTGGAGGTTAGGAACGGGCAGGACCCAGGACGTGGGCGCGGGTTCCATCGTTCGGACAACGTATCGGACTCTGATAGTTCCAGCAGCGATGATGGGATCGAATGGGACAATTCTGGGTACTATACTTCAGAGCACACCTCGGAGGACGATGGTGGCGATGGCTACAGCTCAGACGACGACGCAGAGGACGAGAGCGACGGAGCATACGATGAACAAGATAGGCAGCGACTTTTAGCGTCTTCGAGTAAGGTACGGGTTGGGGGCATGGGCGTGGGGATGCGAGTCGGCGAAACAGGCACAGGAACAACCATTGGACTTGACTTTGAACGGGATAACATTCAAAATGACGGGGACTATGACGTCCTGCCATTGATGAATGTTGGTAGTAATCTCTCTCGACAACGTCGTAAAGGCAAATCAGGAGGAGACGGGATAGGGGGCCGGAGAGAAAGGTCGAGGAGAGGAAGCCAGAGGAATCAACGCAGGTCGCTACACACGGTCGTGCCTGTCTTAGGGCAAGGCGCCATTCGAACAGAGCAGGAACAATCGATAGTGAAGAGACAGCTCAGGATAGAGATGTTCTGGAACGTGTTTTATGTGTTTGCATGGTAAGAGCTCTTCTTGAAGGATTCACGGTCTTGATGGCCTCACAGGGTGTTTTTATGCTGAGGTCAAACGCGCCATCTTCTGTTACTAATGTCTGCTTTACGTTTTTGCTAGGTACGGATGCTCAACATCCTTATCATTCTACAATAAGTGGTTGTTTTCGCCACTCCACTATAACTTCCGTTTCCCACTTTTCACAACGTGCCTCCACATGGTAGCAGAGTTTGTGCTTGCATCCCTTACTCTCATAATGATCCCTTCCTTGCGGCCAAGCGCAGCACCATCAGTCAAAGATTTCGGGTATGCAGGAAACAGGTTTTTTATATGGATATTTGCAAAAGGACGGATGCTTTCAGGATTCTGTTGACACCAATGGACTTTACCTTTTTTTGCCATAGAACAAAGATCATGCCATGCGCGGTGGCATCTGGTCTGGATATTGGACTGAGCAACAACAGCCTAAAGTCGATTACCCTCGCCTTCTATAGTAAGGATTATGTTTATCGACAATGCGATCTAGTAGTACAGGGTCTTACAGTAGGCTTTATCTCTTTTCTTTTCTTTTCTTGCCTTTTTTTTTTTTTTTTTTTTTTGCTGATAGCCATGTGCAAGTCTTCGTCTCTTGCATTCGTGCTGCTGTTCGCGTTCGCTTTCAAACTGGAGAGACCAACCTGGACCTTGGCAGGAGTCATCGGCGTGATCTGCGTTGGGTTGTTCATGATGGTCATGTCAGAGGCGGACTTTGTGCTGATCGGGTAAGGGTCATCCCTTGCGTGGACTACTTTCGCTTTGTTCACAAACACTCCAAGAAGGAGGAGTCTTAATATTCGCAATTACTTGGAAACTAGATTTATTCAAGTGATGCTGGCGTCGGTTCTAGGAGGACTGCGGTGGTCCTTGACACAGCTGCTGCTTGAGCGGACGGATACGAAATCGGGCAGTCTGGCCAATCCAATCTCGACCATCTTTTTTCTCTCGCCTATCATGGGAATCTGTCTCTGTATCGTTGCAGGGATGTTTGAAGGATATGGAGACATTTTCAGGTCCGAGTTCTTTTCGACAGTAGGATCGAGCTTTGGCACCTTGAGCTTGTTATTCCTGGGAGGCATCTTTGCATTCACTATGATAGTGGCAGAGTTCAATCTGATCGCCAGGACTAGTGTCGTGTCATTGTCGGTCTTGGGAATCATTAAGGTATGCTGAATTGTTTTATCTCCGTCGTTAGTGTTTGTGAGCCACAGATAATGCGTGGCCGCTAAAAATGTCTATCTGCATTCAATAGGAGGTCGTTACCATTGTGATCTCTTCGTTGGTTTTCCATGACCGGCTCACAATCATCAACATCCTGGGACTCGTTGTTACACTCTCAGGCATCGGTTTCTATCACTACATGAAGTTGCACGAGCTGAAGTCAAGGGCAAGGAGGGCCGCTAAAGAGATTATGGAGCTGAATAGTGCTTCTTCTACGAATCGCATCGATAGAAGCGTAGACCTTGCACCATTCCAAGATTACCGACGGAAACGACACTCAGGACGATCAAAAGGTAGATCGGGGCATCGATCTCTTAGAGAAGAGGCGCGGAACAATGTTGAAATAGAGGGGCGAAGAGCAGGATCGAGCGAGGGCCTTTATGGCCGCGAGCTGATGGGGCCCAACGGTGCGGAGCAAACTGTGGGGCGCAGTCAATTGATACGCGACCTAGATGGTACTTCACCAACTAACCTCAATAGTTCATAGAATAGCAATATATTAATATAATAATCATCGAAAGTAGTAGCAACAGGACACAGCCTGAAGGCATTTGCATAGATCTTCAGCATAAGAAAGGCAGCATCATGAAGACGCGTGCAGAATACGCGTGCAAGATACGCGTTGACATGCGCGTGTGTGCACTATAGCAGCTGCCTAAGAATAGATGATGCTCTTGAAACGTGTCACTACGCCTACTTCCTTCGTGCTCGACCCTCGAGACGCTCTCTGTTCTCCTTTCCCACCAACTTGTCGACAAGACTGCACTTCATCGCTCAATTGATGCCTCGGAATGAGTGTAAAACCTGACCCTGCTCGGGCAACGTCTCCTCCATCAGCATCCACACTCCCCGCAACAGTGTCGCCCATCGCACAGGTCCATCAGCAACCCCAGGAACACTCTGCACTTCCGCTCCATCGTCTAGAGAGCTCCTCAACCTCCAGGACAGGGACACCCACCTTTGCATCAGGATACAACCTCCCCCACTCCTCTGAAAGTGGCGATTTTCGTGCAAGTCATAGCCCCTTCATTCCAGACGTGCCCGTGAACGACAGCAATACCTACACTGGACGTCCTGTACTTGATTCCAGTCGTCGCTACTCCAGCGGATACCCATCGATCGCCTTAAGCAGCGTCCAAGCATCCCCGACATCTGGTGGTTCGACTCTAGCCAACAAGCGTCTATCTAAGTTTGGCGGTCAGGCTCTAACACTTGCGCCCACACCAGAATCGCCTTCTGCCGGCCAGGTGGCGAACACGAACACGAGTGCGATTATCCATACACCCACGAGTGCGACCATCCATACGCCCACAAGTGCTATACCGACAGCAATTAGGAGATCAATAAGTGGATTTCACACCTTCGTCCCAGACTTTATCAATTCGCCACACGATCCGGATCATAGTTCATTCAGCTCGGGCCTACAATCCCCTGCCTTTTCGATCTCATCCTTTTCAGGAATCATCCCGAGCTCGAATTCTATATCGAGCATTCATAGCGCAGGACAGTCAAAACCCCCGGCCCTTGAGCACAAACATCCTATCACTGTTAAAGACTTTGATAGCATTCTTCTTCTGGGGCCTTCACAGCAGGCAGCCATCAAGACACTTTGTTCCAATAGGGTTCTACGTAGGATTGATACGATCGGGTGGTACTCGATACTTGGCGCACAAAAGTTTCCCACGATAATTTCGAGGTATGAGGACGCAGCAGGAGCAATTTGAGGCCCTATTTCAGATGATCATGGATGCTGGAGCAAAGGGTGGATTCGCTGGATATGGTTCTAATGTTCATCACACATTGTACTACAACAGCCAGGACGCATACGATATCGAAATGGCGACAACATGCATGGCGATCGAGTTCGGTATGAATTTTTGGATTGACAAGTTCTGATCAAGCAAAGGATATAAGGACACTATTTGGGGCCTGGACTGACACCATGAAACATTGCTTTAATAGGCGCTAACAATGCGCAGACACAAAACTTCAACACACTGGTGCTGCAATTGCTTTCGCAGATAAAGCTCATCAAAGATCGGGATTACAAAGGGTAGGCTGAATATCATATATGATTTGATCCGCAGGTCGATCACTCAATAGTACAGCTAACGCGAAGCATTTTTTTCTTTCCATCTATAGCGATATACCCAGTCATGCCTACAACGCCTTGTTCCTGACGAGGATCTTTCTCAACCATTTCATCTCCCACCTTTCTTCTGAAGAGATGATTTCGTTCTTTGAAGGTTAGTTGTGAATTACTACGGGTGCGGTTGGAGCGTTCTCGGATATTTAGCCCTAACTGCTATGACATCTCTTCTCTTACAAGGATCCGATCTGTCGGCTGAGGCACAGTTAGAAGCTCTGGGAGTTGTCTCATTTAAAGGATGTAAGCTTGGGGTAGACCAGGCATTGGTTTCCGATCCACGGTCCTATGCGGAGCAATTGATTCAAGGAGTAATAGGCATTATCCTCAATTTGGACGCAGGGTAAGGCAGTAGGAAGTAAGACGAGTCAGCGCGAACTATGCCAGAATTTCTTAAGATGCTGACCATACCTTCTGTTGGCTAGATCATCCCCCTCCGCATACGAATTTTACGAGGAAGCCCTCAATCTGATAATCGTAATGGCGTCCACTCAACTACAGCACCCAACATCGGAGCCGAGCGAGAAGAACTACTTTTTGAATTTGGTGCTGGAGAAGTTCAGGTAAGGGCAGCCTCTTATACAAGCGCGATATTGAATATATGCTACCGAAATATAGAACTTGATTACTGATCATCGTCCACATTTTCTGGATCTAGTCAACTAGCGGACCAATTGACCCTGCGGCTTCTCTGGAACTTTACAGATCAACGGCCAGGTCCACCATTGGCAGGAGGACTTGTATACAATGCCTACAGCTATTTGTTTGCAAAAGCAGGATCGTCGCCATCTTCAGAGGCGCATCCTATAGCGGACAGGAGCATTTTGGTCCTGCTACTGCTCCATTCTCAGGCGAAGGGAAATCCTGAATGGGACGCATTCAAGAGATCCATCCAAAACATCCGCGACGAACGAGGTAGAGATATTTTTCTTTTTTTGCTTCTGCGCTGAGAAATGTTAATACGTACATTCCGCTTGCAAGTGATCCAACACTTTCCTACCGTTTATTTCAACTAGGTCCCATGGCTGATGATGTAAAGGACAATATCATTTTCACTCCGTTCCGCAAGATTTTTCATGTTGTTTGCCAGTACGCCAATGCTCATCATTTGTCGGTGCTGGAGGTCCTTTCTGCGTTGCATTCATTCGACAAAACTGATCTCATCAATGTACACCCGCATAATATTTAGGCAAATTCACTGCGAAGAGGTCTGCCTACTCCTGCATGTGCTGCTCGTCGAGAATACGTACTTCAGGACATATGTTTTGTCACGGACGGACCCGGAAACCTTGGTGAGTAGCTGTTTGATATTTGCAGATGTTCATCTAGATGCGATATATGGGCGTGTCATTGATTTTTATGTTACTTTTGTTGCTTTGTAGTATCTTCCTATCCTCCGCATGGTCTACGAAGGCGTCGAGGGCAGAACAAATTACTCGCAGGTTTATGTCCTTCTGGTGATTTTGCTCCTGTTCAGTCAGGACGACGTATTTAATGAAAGCATTCAAAAGATTGTAAGTCGCCTGCCATGGTTATCTTTATAGCATGCTGTTATTTGACCGGAGCCCTGCATGCACAAGTACCCTTGTTGCTAACGCCTCATTTTTCGCTTCTTTTCACCAGCCAATGACGTATCAGCCCTGGTTTACCGAGAGATTACTCAAGTCGATTTCGCTTGGAGGACTGGCTGTTGCAATTATTATTAGAACTATTCAGTATAACCTGGCACAACACAAGGTACTATTTTTCGAGATGAACAAGTTGCCTACATGTGAGGTGATATCGGATCTCAACTAACACTTTTTTCGTCTAACGCCACGTTCCAGGACGTGTACTTTCACACAAATTCATTAGCAATTCTTGCCAATATGTCGAATTCATTACAGGACATGCATCCATACGTATCACAACGGCTAGTAACACTGTTCGATATTGTTGCGAGGAGGTACCAGAAGCTGGTTACTAAGCACGCGCAGCTGGATGAAAACATTGAAAAGGTAGGCAGCGTTTTATGCAACTCTACTATTATGTACTCAAGAAATATTGTACTGCAAGGTCTCCCTAACACCTTCTTTCTTCTGTTTTTTCTTACTTTGTTGACAGAATGCTGATGTGATTATTTATGGCGATATGGTGGTATTGGTCCTGGAGATCATCAACTCGACCCTGACCCACAAGCTGAAGACCAACCCGCAGCTGGTGTATTCGCTCCTCCACAAACAGGAGATGTTTGCATATTTCCGTAACGATCTCAAATTCAAGGATCTGATCCAAAACATTGAGCAGGCGGTCAATTACTTTCAACAAAAGGTGTCCGAGGCCAACATCAAGGCTCCGACACCAGAGGAGGTTGCACAGGTGATCCAGACAGCGTCCAGGACGTGGCCTCCTAACCTGATGAAGACGTTTCCGGACATCAAGTTTGAGTATGAAGAGGAAGAGCAGGCGAACGAATTTTTTTGTCCGTATGTCTGGTCGCTGTTGTACCGGAATACGTTTGTGTATTGGGATGAAGAGAAGGCGAAGATTTTACATGATTATAGAACGGTGAGTTTTTTTTTTTTTTTTTGCGCAATATGTTTGTGTGTTGGTTTTAGCATGGTTGTGTTTTTGCAGATTTACTTATTCAATGGTTTAATTTTCATTATCTTTTTTAGGTGATGAATGACGAGAGTGCCTTCGAAGGCGTGCCAACTGGGGGTCAGGCACCCCTTCCATGAGCGATCAAGATAGAACACGCGATGGGAAACAGACCCCATGGATCACGGCAGTTCAATAATGGTAATGATAATGACATAATTAAAAAAAAAAACTCTCTCTCTTTATTGGTAATTTTACGTCAAAAATGGAGCGTATATCATTTTGAACAGGCGTTGTATGCAACTTCAAGGAGAGGGGGGCGTATCGTAATAGCAAGAGTGGACTGGCGTCCTGGTTCTTTTTTTTTTCCTCCGCAGGTGAGCAACAGCAGGATCAATCACATGGATGGCTGTATAACTGTAGCGCAAATGTTCCGAGAGATGACAGAAAAAAAAATCCGGTGTTCTTGCAGGAATGCTGAAGAGATAACTCTTAGAAGCAAAAGATTCGTAGCCCCAACCTGTTTCTGAGTGATTGTATCTATTCTGGTTATAATCAGGAGTAGGAACTAAAGTGCGGGTCAAATACAAACAAACAATGTACTATTTTCTCGATTCATTCGATATATTGATGCTATATTTTTTTATTTATTTTTTGGAGAGGGAGACGTGAGTATGCATTCTCCCTAGTAGCGATTCTTCGGTTGGTACAGACTGAATGCGTCCGAACGCACAAGGCACTTGTTTTTTATATACAGATTGTTATTATTATTTTTCTTCTGAATCTAATGGGGGGTAGTTGTAAGACGTTATGCAATCCGGCATTTGCTTGCGCTACAATGTTATAGGACAGTGCTCCTGAAACGCGTCGTATCTTCTCAAAGTGAACTACGGGCGGTACAAACAAAAAAAAAAAAAAAAAAAGTGCTGGCCTATTAATACGCTCAAGTGTGGTTTTGTTTTGTTTTGTTTTGTTTCTGTTCTCATTTCCTACGCGTTCTGTAGCGTTTGTTTAAAGTGAACAATGAGTGAGACGACGAGAAGATGTACTCGGTTTATTTATTTATTTATTTATTTTGGCGCAATTCAGGGCATTGCTGTGCTTTTGCGAGGGAAAAAAGCTCGTGTAAAGAAAAACCAACTAAAGCAAATAATAATGCGCAAGAAGAGAGAGAGAGGGAGAGAGGGAGAAAAAAGGTAACTAGTCTACTAAGGGGGTTGTTGTTTATTCTCATGTACATCTTGCATCAGCATCGCAAAGGTGTGAGTGTGTGTGTGTGTGTGAGTGTGTGTGTGTGTGTGTGTGTGTGTGTGTGTATGTGTGTATGTTCGTGCACATTTATGTGTACATCCCATAGACTTACATCTCTAGGGCAGTAAATACTTCAAGACGCGTCAGATATTAAGACATAAAACAAACGCGTTTTTTCCAGAGAAGGGAGATGGGGGGATTGACAAGATACAGTAATCATAAAGGCTGATAAAGGCGAGTTACGGGGTAGGATATACAGTGCACGCACATAGATTAATGATGTGCGATGACGTCTGCACAGCATTGTGATATGACCAATAACATACCAAACGTCCATAAAAAAGAAAAAGAGAAAGAGATATCTCAAGAAGAAACGCTAGCGAGTACACCGTTAAGATAGATCAAGTATTTTTTTTTTATTTCACCAGTGAGATAATCTACAAGATCCATTGTATAATATGTAATGTTGTTTCTTAGATACACTACACGCCATTATGGTGCGCTCAGAATGTGCGGGAGCCAACCCAATAATCTACTCCTCGAAGAACGGAAAAGAAGACTAAGCAGCACTTCAAGCCGAACAGATCCGAGCGATGACGGTCGCAGCTTAGCAGACCTTGGCGGTGACGGTGGCAGTCTGGCAGAACAGAACATTGCCGTTGCCGTTGGTGGCCTGGATGACGAGAGCAACAGGGACCTACGGATTCAAATAAACAGGTTGAGCCATGTTAGGCATCAGTGGTTACCTTCGACGGTAAGCGTTCTTTCAGACATTTTCCAGCTTTCAGCTCCTTGAACTTACGTTGGCGGGGGCGGTCGTCTTGACCAAGACGCAAGCAGTGATGCTGGTGACCGAGGTGGCAACGGGGCAGGGGTGTCCTGAAGCAGCAAGGACGGTGCAGAGGTCCTGGTTGTCGGTGTAGACGACGCGTCCACCGTATCTGCCGGTGATGGCAAGCTTGGCACCAGTAATGACGGGGGTGCTCAGGGTTCCGGTGACGGAAGCGCAAACGTTCTGGCCGATGCAGAGAGGGTAGGGCGAGACCGAGAAGGCGGAGACGGTCATGTCGGTGGCACCAGTCGCGCAGTTGGTGAAGGCGGGCGACTGGGCGTTGGCGACGGCGGCAACGACGAGGGCAGCGATGGCAGCGAAGAACTTCATGGTTGGTCTTGGAGGGTTGGGCTGGGTTATTTTTCTTGGAAGAGAAGAGAGATGTTGGCTTGGTGTGTGGTGAAGAATAAAAAAAAGAGAAATCGGGCAGACCATCGGCACCTTTTTATAGAGAAGGAAGTGGGGTTGTTCGTAGCGAGGCAAGGGTGTTCGAGGGTTCTAGATCCGCGCATCTTTGTGTTCTTCGATCGCAATGGCGACGGTAGAGTTCTCATAAAGGACTGGCTGAATTGATGGATGGTTCATTCCAAGGATGCATTCTAAGGTTGTCATCGAGGGATGGCTTCAAGGAATATCTCAGAAAAAAGCATGTGTGAATGACGGTTTGTCAACAAAGGGCGAGGCTCAAGGAATGAGAGAGAGAAACACAACCGACTATTTTGGAGATCCGTATAACGTGGAGTAGAACCACGGCAGAAACAGAGAGGCGTTGTTTTTGTGTCGCGTCTGCATTAGCGGCGAAACGTGCGAGAACAAGAGGAAGGATAGAGAGTGCGCGCGCATTGGAGTGGCACTACAACAAAACATCGCGGTCTACAATTACAGTTAAAATTACGAACACGAACACAAAATTACAGCGACTCCATTGTACCAGACTAGGTTGTACCAAACCGCCCTCTCTCCATACAACAATAGGGATGATTTATTCAGGGCTGTTGGCTAAAAACCGGTTACGAGAAATATGAACTAACAGTCATTTCGATGTGATCATCTGTACAATGAAGCACAAGTCTTCGATCTTTTGTGTTCTGTTGCAGTTTCCTCCCCTCCCCTCCCCTTTCCAGACGGGCCATGGGGGTTGCCGAAACTGAGCGAGTTGAATTGAGTTATAGGAGCTTATTGTTTATATGGGTTCAATTTTATAAGTCGTGAATTTGTTCGTCTAGTGCTATAGTCAAGGCGGAGAGACGCAAGGACGGCACAATGCACTGCCAATTAATTCATTTAACTTGTTAATAAAGGAAGAGATGTTGTGGAGGAGATGCAGACTTGGGCAAAGGCTCTCAGATTTCTGCTGCCGATAAATACGACTAACAAGCACAAATAAACAGATAAGTAAACATAGGGCGCAGAGAAGCTGGAACACGGGAAGTGGGAGTTGCGAGCGAGTAGAGCAAACAATATGCTGTACCACCGCGACCATGTCTCCCCTCCCATCCTTAAGAAAAACAAAGAACCACAAAGAGGCGTTTTTTTTTTCTTCTAGACCCGAAAGGTTCACGAGAGTAAACATTAACGTAACGAGCATGCTCTTTTTTTTTTATAAAGTATCATCCAGTATTACACATCCGTAGGTCTTGAACATGACCGAAAGACTTTTTCGTGCATGTACACAACAACAACAACAGTAGCAGCAACAACAACAACAACAACAACAACAACAACAACAACATTGGCAGCAATATATGTGTAGTCAGCAAGTATGCAGGTCGCCTTCCCATCCTCGTCCCTATGTGCCCATTTGAGGCCATTTGACATCATGGACATGCTTACAAAGGAATAGAGAACAAAGCAATCAAATGCCCAGAATCAAGCATGCCGCCATCATGGTCGAAATCATGAATAGTAGATGCACGTTATGATCGGTGGATCAGAGACCAGAACGAATAGTGATTCTCCTTGAAGGAGGTGCTGGTTCCTAGTGGTGTACAGAGTCTTTTTTTCATATCTCCAACCTCGATATGGGCCTCGAGTTGGACGGTCGAAGGAATTCCTGCCCGGCGTGTAACATAGCCATACGGAAAACACATTTTATTTCTCCACGTATTTCAGGGAATACACGTTTTGTGGAGTGTGTGGGAATCATATCTTATTTTTTTTTTGCTGCATGGGGCCTCACCAAAAGGACTAGGGGATGAGCTCTCTGCACCGGTTTGTACGGGCGGGATACACTGAACTCTCTTGCTGTGACATGAGCTGCATGCATTCATCTCGTCGTGTTACAAACAGACCTGTTGGACGCGAAAGGTCTCTCTTGAATTTTTACCCACTCGTTCGACCGTACTATAGTCTACTCGATCATCGGCGGCACAAACAAACAAACAAACAAAGTAGAGAAAATGTCTGCAGCCCCGTTTGCAAACACGTATAGTTCGGGAGGTTGTGCTGCCTCTATTTGCACGGGCTCACCTCATTGTGTTCTTAAAGAATATACGGCATAGATAAATGTAAGTCTTTCATGACCTTTAACAATCGTACGATCCTTCTGCCCCTAAATGCACCACATTGCTCGTAGGGCGCGAGGCATAGTCTACGCTCAGCTCCATAGAAAAAATAAACATAACAATTATCCGGGTGAGCGCACGTTCATATTGGCTTATTCACGGAAGATTGTATCTATTTCACGCGCATCATGGAGGGCTAATCTATCCGCTAATCCCCGTAGAAGCGCCTCGTGCATAATCGACTATATTGCCATCGATTTATTTTAACCCATTTGACAGACGATACTCAGTAGATCAGAAAAGGTGTTTGGGAAAGAGGAAGGAAGGCCAGGCGCAGGATGTTTACGTCGCTGCACATGCTGTCTTTGTAAGCAATATGTCGACTGATTGGCAGTGTGCTTGTATTGAAAAAAACAAATCTCCAATAAGGCAGGAGGGGAGGGAAGAGCGCCGACTACGACTGAGGTACTGAGGTTAAACTATGGTTGGTGAAGTCGTGCCGAACGGCGCGTGCAAAAGTATACATAATGGCTTTATTGGATATTGTACGCTTGAGGTGCGGTGATTTTTGGTTTTTCTATGTGCAAGTAAATACAAGTGGGTGCTCATGATGCTGCTAACACAAGCGCGCAAACGATTACGAGCAAAAAACTTTTCAATCCTCGTCGGGGCAAAAATTTCGTGGAGGCGAGCGAGCTGTGTGTAGTGGGGGGATCCTCAGTATCGGCATTATTTTCTCCATTGGGCATTGCTCCACCCACATAAACAAGGTTCCTCGCGAGGACCTTTCTATGGAACTCCAAAATCTGAGAATGTCCCTCGAAACCCAGATATCCGTCAGATGGCGACGCTGGATAAGGTAGGAGCGACATTCCTGCCGAAGTTGCAATCGTATCCGTCGTTAGCTGCTCGTTGAGACGGAACTTTGTAACGGTCTTTAAGATCATGTCAGACAGCGTCTTGACCGATATGGTCTCCTCTAGAGATTCTGAGAGGAGTAAGGCCATAAGTCCTGCAACATGAGGTGATGCCATCGAAGTGCCGCTTTGGATCCGTGCTGCTGAATTGGAACCTGTCCAAGCAGAGACGATATTAGATCCTGGGGCGTAAATGGCAACACATGGACCCCAGTTTGAATAGTCGGCTACTGTATCGTCCTCGTTTGTCGCACCGACTGTCATAGCCCCAGGGGTGGACGCGGGGGAGAATTGGCAGGCATCCTTGCCATCGTTGCCTGCAGCGATCGAAAAGTGGATGCCTAGTCTCATGGCTTCTTGAATCGCAGCGTTTGTTGGCTCGTTGTGTTCAGCACCTAGTGACAGACTATAGGGGTTTTACACGATGGATATCAGATTTCGCGATAACCTATGGCTCATGTGACAGGAGAGCTGTGCATTTGTCTTACTTTATAATGGAGCGCGCTCTATTCCCAAGCGACACATGTCTCTTTACAACCCACTCAATCGCTCCAAGAACGTTTGAAAGCCTTCCAGCGCCAGCATCGTCCAGGGCCTTTAAGGAAATAATCTGTGCTTCCTTGGCTACTCCGTATGTCGATCCAGCGGCTAGAGCGGCCACAAAGGTACCATGTCCATTCCTGTCTGACACATCATCGGTACCCGGTATAAATGCTGGTCCGTGCTGTGCTCGTCCCCCAAAGTCCTCGTGACCGATATTGACGCCGCTACCCCGCAAAAAAGAAAAAGAAAGGATTAATAGCAGCCTGGAAATATAAACATAGAAAGTATTTACATGCAAGGATATACCTTACGTGTCAATTACATAGATAGTAACATTCTGTCCGGCCTTCGCTGGATAATGATAAAGGCCATCCAACCGGTCGGCCCTTTGATCGATTCTGTCAAGTCCCCAGCTAGGCGGATGCTTTTGAACGCGTTCATACATCGTTATAGGGAGGTCCGGGATTAGATATTTGATTTGATGTGTGTGCCGTTGCTCCTGAATACGTGCTGCAGTTGTAGGATCCATTGTGGTGGAGTACCAAACGAGATCACCCACCGAGGCAGAATTGACCTTTTGTCCAGAGTCCAACTCAGTTGTCTGTTCGGTGATGAATTTGAGCCATGCTGAATGCTGCGTTGGTTTATTTTCCTTAGTAGTGCTGCTGCAGCCACTGCTGTTGTCAACAGTTTGGCTTATTGAGGAGAATGAACACGTATCTGCAGATGCGATTTTAACGATATCTGAAGTAACCCCTTGATGTTCTGGGTTGTCGGGATCTCTTCTAGTAGGGTGCATCATGACAATATATCGACATCCTGAAATATGATCTGTTGGACAGCGATCTTTCTCCTGAGCTATATAGAAAGCGAATATGGGTAAGAAATAGCTCGAGTGAGCTGCAAAATCCGAGACACGGACATGCAATCGAAACTTACTCTTGAGTGGCAATGTCGCTACGCCCGTAATTATGGTGCACAAAAGGACAGCGATTTTCAGTATGTAAATTTTCATGATGAATGAGCCGAACGAATGAATGATCTGAATCAGAATGGCGATGAGTGGTCAACGTCGACATCTTTTGGACAGCGAGCTGTATAGCGTTTACTTTTGAGTGACCAGGCGGCGAAAGCGTCAGGACCTGAAGCGGATGACCGAGTCCCCCTTTGTGTCCTGGATCGCGATCTCTCCGGATGCTGTGGACAGTTATTTCGGACAATCGTCATTTGCACCGAACCAACTCCCAGTTCCGACTAGCCCTTTCCCAAGGAGAATGAAAGCTCATTTTTGCCCGCATCCAGCGTTCCAGAGATGGGACCTCGCTGACGATGCCTTGCTTGCTGCAAACGATCGTGACACAAGATTTTTGAGACGAAGGTGATGGATGACATGCAGCTGTGCTCTTACAGAAGTACCATCATTCGGTTCGCCACCAAAGCGAAAATAAAGAAACGTGTCCGCGATGTGCCATACTTAGAAAGCTCGTGTCTCGAGCAATGGACAACAAGAGAAGCTTGCGTTGATCCCCCTACTAGCACCGAGTCTGCCAGATATGTTAACGCTCAAGTCAGTCAAGGAGAGCGCAAGTAGTCGACTAAGGAGACTGACACATGTCCTGAAGGTACCTGCAGTTTACTGCAGGCGTCCATCCATGATAATCTGCAGGTATCGCAAGTGAAATAGGCAATGGTACTTTATCTTATCTGTTTTTCCTTCTGTTGGGCAGTTGGAGTTCCCTCTGGGGCAATGCAGGAGGAGGAGAGATGTCTGATCCTGAACCTTTATCTCTCTTTCATTCTCTCCTTTCTTCACAGCCCCGCTTGGTCCATGGTTCCTGTCCATCCTCAAGTCATCTCAGGCGGTGGAATAGCGTGGAGCGGATATACTATTGTAAATATTGTAAACCATTAGACTTGCACAAAGTTCTGCTCTCCGTGGTGCTGAGCGGCTCTTTGCACAGTCGAGCCGAATGGATTATGTGCAAATACGGTAGGGTCTATGTAAGCGTATTTCTGGACACAACCCACAGAATGCCGCTGCTCACAGGTTATAAGAGAGCATATAGTCTTTATTCGACAGGCCTTTTATCCCTCACAGTAAAACAGCTTGTGATTGATTCAGTTTCAAAATAATATACGCAGCCTGGTGAAGCACCGCATGTCCCAAGCAGGCTGAGGAATGCGGTTGCATGCACGCGGATGTATATATAGATAGCCGATGCTATACTTCATGTCTTCTCCTGGTCACCTTGTCAGAATGCACAGCTCGGCACTGTGTCCGCCCCTCCCTCCTTTCCTCCCTATATAGTGCCCACATCCCCTCCGGCTTTGACGGAAACTCGATGGTGCGTGTGGTACCTCCATACGTACCTGAGTCTCTTGAGTATTGCTTTTATGTTCCCCAATGTAGCCTGGGATCGGTGTTTGCAGTCCGCAGGTGGGGTTGAGAGTGCGAAGAGAAATTAAAAAAAAAGACTCGCTCCTATTTTTGCAGTGCTCAGTTCATTTCATACAAATTGGGTATGGATGTGTGCTATGGGTCTGTCGTTGCAGGGCACCCGATGAAGAACCAAGCCTGTTTCTTATATCTTCGTGCTCCCTCTGTTGCATGTGTCCCTAACGCATGCCCTCTGACTATTATTTCTTTGTCGCCCAATCTCTCTTTGGCTGGTCTGCCGTTCTCTTCTTTCTCTTTCTCTTTCATCTCTTCTACCCTCATTGTTCGTTCCTATTCCCTTTCACACCTCTCACTTCACGCTTCACACCTTTCATTTCCCAGTCCTAGTCAGTCATAGCCCCCCCTTTCTACCCCCTCCTCTCGTCCCCCTTCTCTCTTCCCGGACTCAGTCTCCTTACCGCCGATTTCCCACTCCTTCCCTTTCTATACATCTCCTCGTCCATCCCCCGCTTGCTTACATTCTATCCATCTAAAGACCTGTTCTCCTCCTTCTCAACCAAACCCTTCTGAAAGTTGGGAGAATCACCACTCGTCCTGCGCTAAATAATCATCTAGCCCATCAATACCTTCTGCTTCAGCTCAGCATCTTCAACCAACACCAGCCTTATTTTATCTTTGTTAACGCTTGTACTTGACGATTATGACCTCAAAGCATTCCACCACCGCCTTGACGAGTTCTACAACAACGACTCTTTCACCCGCCATGTCCATAACACAACCATTCACGCCACCTCCAACGGGATCACTCGCCGGGAGGCACGCTATCTACCGAGGACTGAGGAAAAGCTCGATGGAATACACGTCTCTTACCCACTCCAGATACCCTGAGTCAGCCCACATGCTCAAAGGCGAAATCCTGATCTCTGGCCAGCAATCAGGATATATCCAGTACACGATTGTCCTCGACCACGAGTGGATGACCAGGAAGGTCAAAATGTCGTCCATGTTTGGCAACCAAGAAAAGCGACTTGTGCTCGAGGTTGATCAAGATCAGCGGTGGTACAAGGTGACCGAGCACCGTCTAGCACGGACTAGAAGTTTTTACCGATCGGGTCTCTCTCAATCCCAGGCCACTGGCAGTCGCTCTAGTAGCGCCGACAGTCAGTGCAGCATGCAGGATGCAGATGCCAGCCTCTCAGATTCCTCAGCTAGCTGCTATTCCTCGTCGTCCGACTCAGAGTGTTCAATCCCGTTTGAAAAGATCAACCTTACGTGGACCCCTCCGCCCAAGGGAACAAAAAGAGCTTCCAAGAGATTCTCGTCCCTCAACCCATTGGCCTCCAAAGCAACGATAGCGACAGCTACCGCTACAGCGACAGTGATGACAACAGCGACGACAGTAAACTCCAAATCCATAGACTCGATTTGCGCGTCACCAACTAGTGACATGCACCCTGCACCGAATTCAACATTATCTTCAACAATATCCTCACCTATGACAGTATCAAGTGCACAAGCCTCAAGCCCAGTAGTGGGATTTGGGCCCAAGACTCTTAACAGGACTATCTCCACGTCAAGCCTTACGGGACCGAAAAAGTATGAGCACCTGCCTCAGCTGGACGGCTGCATCAACCTCGATCTCGGTTACGATGTAAGCCCAAGCACGCTACTGTTTCCTCTCAAGCGGATGGCCCTTTGTATCGAGCCAGAAAAAATGCGCGAACATCTGGAGAGTATTGAGTTTGACGAATCAACGACCGAAAAGAGCGCACTTGTCTCCTTCCCTACTCTGGAGCTACGATCAGTCCAGACACATGTGGCATTCGCAGGACATGGCCATAAGCCAAACTTTAGCGTGGTCGAGTGTTGGCGGGAGGAGGAGGAAGATTCGACGTTGGTTGAGGTAGACGGAGATGGCCTCGTAGTGTGGTATGGACACCATTGGGCCAGAATCCCGTCCTCTTAAAAAAAATTATGAACCCGCTCCACGCGTTGGTGACATCAGACCCTCAATAAATTCTCTAGCACATGTCTTGAGCACTTCTACACACTTGTGTCCCATCCCATATCGGGTACCCGTCGAATCACTCCACCGGAGGAAGCCAAAATGCGCACTTGTAGCTTTATGACCGTGTCTCGGAAGTTCGTTGGATATGTACAAGAGGAAGCGCGCCATTCATGGAGCTATGCATTATTACGTCTTTCAAATGATAGGAATTGCTGCTAGGTTTGGTGGCGCCTCAATTTCCTTTCGTGGCTTGCAGTAGTGGAGCTTATTGCGAACAACAAGGTTTCCAAATGTTACATAGACTAGTTCATGTGAAAATACGGATGTGAGCCGCGATAGAAGGTAACGTGCATCGAAAGCGCGGAGCCAGCTAGCGGATCAAATGCCTCCGATTATCTCGAAGCTGAGGTGATACGATTCTAGGGACATAGATGAGATGACATCGCGGCAAATGACAGGCGAGCATTCAATAAGAAGAAGCTAGTAGGGAGCATTCCAGGAAAACGCAATCGGACAGATTTTTTTTCTTTTAAAGGAGTGGATGACGGCCGATGCATGAATAAAAGGTCGCAGAAAGCACGCTAAGGCGATTTAGTCCAAATCAGTGCAAAATACGTGTGCAGTATTGAGATGCGAATAGAGCCATGCATCCGTATGGTGCCCCGTCCAACAGAAAGCTTGATCCAAATGACAAAAAGATGACGAGTTTTGAAGAACGTGCCAGTATTTTATAGCGACCAGTATTTGCCAAGATCTTGTCTATCAATTTCAGATGTTTGTCAGTTAACACCAACTCCTATCTCATGTTTCCAACCAGGACTTGCGCGACGAGTAAATGACTTCAACAAAGCACAGACCTGCGCGCGTTAGGCTAGCCGAAAACGGACTGGACGATGATGACGATGGTGATGATGATGGGTCCGGTTTCCTCTGGATCCACAGCGTTGGTTTCCGGCTCTGGATTACTATTTCTGGATGGACAGAAAGATGCGGATGAACGCATGCACAGCAAGGGAAAAAGAGAAAAAGGGAAAAAAAGAGAGAAAAGAAGGTTTGCGCTTGGGCACCATCCATTTATTGGGCTGGACTGAATGAATTAGCCTCCACAAGTGCCGGTGCAATGACGCACGAGCGGAGTCCAACTGCCTCTTTACTCTTTGCGGTCTCCGCACTGCCGCCGACGCTGATATTTAATAAAGAGAGGGTCCTCACCCACCACTTCCAACTTTTTTTTTATTTCCTCCCCTCATTCATTCATTCATTCACTCATCATTGCAATCGAGTTTGTCTGCCGCACTGTTATCTTTGTACTACCTACCCTGCCTGCCCTCTATTTCCACACCGCATTTCGCCCAAATCACCAGTAGCATGAGCTGAGTCTGTACCCTCCCTCCCTTAGACACAGACATGAGCCCCACGCCACCCGTCCTTGCACAGCAACACCAACACCGCCACCACCACCAGCCTCGTCACCAACATCACCATCACCACTGCCATCCCCACTCACCCCCCCATACCAACACCATCGGCAGTGCACCGTTTGTAGGCCACCACCCCGTATCCTCTGCCTCTGCCTCTGAGTCAACTACAGCCATCGCCAACCGCAGCTACTTCGACAGAAACAGCTCCAGAGTCCCTCCCGCAGCTTTCCTCACCTCAGCTGAAGAAGAAACCTCCTCGACGGCCTCTCTCCAATCGCCAGCTGCAGCGTCCTCCCCCTCAATATCGTCATCGTCACCTGCCCATTATCTCCATCCTTTCCATCCTGATCCCGCCCGCCAAACCACACCGACCCAACCTTCGAGCAAAGCACACCATACTCCATCAGCCAAGCTTCCATCCCACCGACCATCCCACCAACAACCTCGCATCCCAAGTCGCCTTCAACGGTCCACGCCTCCACTAATTGCACCCGATCATAACTGTCCAGAATACTTCTCGTTTGACCTCAAAACATATTCATTCAACCGCAATTCTACTCCCAGTGATCCTTTCCAGGGAACTGCCCCTCAACAACAAACCCAAACTCGCACCTCTGCCTCTCCCGAGATTCGTATCGCCACAGCCAATTCCCCAGCCATTTCACCCTTTGTACTGCATTCGAGCTCTTCCAGTGCTTCAACACCCTCTCCTGTACGTTCTCAAGGAGTCTCGAACCACAGCAGCTGTTCTGCCACTCATAGCCTGTCAGCAATGCCGCCGGTGACACAATTTCGTCAAGGTTCAACTAACATCGGGCCCAGTCCTTCATGGGAACCGTACCCAAAAGGCGCTGTGGTCAGCCGTAGAGAATCTCTACACAGGTCCCCCCATTCACAAAGCTCCCAGTACTCTCCGTCCTCACTGTCATCATTCAAATCGCCACCGACCTCAGCTCCTACGCTTCTTCCATCCATGACACCGGTCTCCCCTGCTCTCGAAGACCTCAATTTGCAGGAGATGAGCGGAAATACCGTCTCTGAATTGCTCGAGCAGGCTTTGAAGGTCAACGGGGACAAGAACGCCGTCCTGCTGTTGGACATGCGACCTGCGGTGTGTAAAGTTGTATCATCCATCAAAACAGCAGTGGGCGTCAGTGTGTCGAATATGTTACTGAGAAGGCCAATGTACTCGCTCGACATGTTGACAGAGCAGTTGACTACCCAACGAGAAATCCAAGCGTTTTCAAACTGGAGGCAGTTTGCGAATATCGTACTTTTCGATGCTACCGGCACCGTGCCTGCCAAGGGAACCCCCATGTTCTGCATAGCTCAGAAGCTCCGCAAGGAAGGTTACTCAGCCAGATTGGGTTATATCCGCGGTAAGGACATTCATGTGTAATTCTGTTTGTTTGCAAGAATGATCTGCAAAAATTAGAGTTAAACAAGGGGAGGATGACGACGATGTTTTTGCCGATTTGATTCTATAATGCAGTCTGCATTGCCCGTCCCTTTGTTTGCTTCATGCGCATTTATTTTCGAGGGTCCAATGTAACTTACAGATGCATTTTTGACTTTCCCGATAGGTGGATATAATGCGTTTGCTCATGAGCATGCATCTCTTTGCTGTTGCTCCAATGATGGCAGGACCCCAGGAAAACCAGAACTAGGGTCCAGGGGCAGTAAAAGATCGAATTCGTCCTCGGAAGCAGTGCCGAAAACCACTTCGCCCTTTCGCAGCCGTCTGCACCTCGGATCTTTGCCCAAGATGATGATCAAGCCCACTGAAAGCGGATCGACTGTTTGTGAAACGCCCATGATGGAAAATCCGAACGTCAATCCACTATTTGAGAGCGTCCGCCAAGCAATGGGTTTAAACACGAATATCACGGAGGAGGTTCCTGTTCGATTCCCACCAGATTTCTCGCTGAATAGCATTCGAGATCGACTTCCTGTCTGGCTTTTGAATGCAATCGATATCCGCAGCGGCAAAAAAGTGCTTGCCGAATACTTTCAGGTATGAGCATCAGGTCTAGCGAAAGGAATCTTGATATACCATTTCCCTGGACGCAGCGCAATCTTCCTAACTATGATATTCTATCTTTATGCTTTAAATCCGTGAATAATAGAAAGTGGAGATTGGTGAAAAGAAAAGACTGGCCCTGCTGACGGCACCCCAAGAGATGCGGTCTAACAGGACAACGGATCTCAGCATATGCGCAGGATTGGAGAAGGGCCTAAAGAACAGATACAATCATGTTTGGCCCTTCGACCACACTCGTGTTCGGATTAAAGAGTGTGAGAACGGAGAGGACGACTATATCAACGCCTCGTTTCTAGAGCCTCCATTTGGCCAAAAAAGATACATTGGCGCCCAGGCACCATTGCCGTCAACATTTCAAGACTTTTGGAAAGTCATCTGGGAGCAGGAGTCTTGGGTGATTGTCATGCTCACGCGCGAGTTCGAGGCTGGAAGGGTAAAGTGCCATAAGTATTGGCCCACATCCGAGCAGCCAGTCATGGAGCTTGGCCCTCTGAGAGTTACATTCCTCAGCGAATACCGTGTCGAACCCGACAACGACTCTATTCTCGTTCGACACATGCAATTGCGCCATTTACATCGCTCTGAGGACTCGGTGCGGGTTATTACTCAAATCCAATACACTGGCTGGCCAGACTTTGGTGTCCCGGACACGCCCATGGACGTCCTCAAAGTGATCCAGCTCGCGAATGACCACGGTGTCCCAGCATCGGCAGGCCCAATGATGGTTCACTGCTCTGCAGGATGCGGCAGAACAGGCGCCTTTTGTGTCATTGATTCTGTCCTGGCGGATCTCAAGACCCATCCCGAGACCGTTATGGGTGAGACTGATGTTATTTTTGCCTCAGTGAACAGACTGAGGGAACAGCGGCTTTCTATGGTCCAGTGTCTACGTCAGTTCGTGTTCTGTTACGAGGCCATCCTTTGGCGCCTGGCGGTCCCATTGACAAGGAACAATAATCGACTGCAGTTGAGTCTGCCCAGGAAGGGCCTTGTTCCACAGACGCCCTCTTTGTCGTTCCCTAGAAGAATCTCAATCACACAGCCGGCACTCTCGAGAGGAATCGCCCCTGCAACAACAACAAACAAAGAGTTTTCGTTCTTTGCTTGACCAGTCTTATCATGTATAGCCCTCCAACGATAGTCAGATTGAATCTGAAAAAGAAAGAAAAAAATAAAAAGAAAAAGAAAACGCATTCCAGTGCTAATGCTACCTCCATATCAATGGAGCAGGGTATTACAATGTTTTTCTACAGTTTGCTGTGAGAGGGATCTTCATCCGCTACAATGTTTAGCCATCCCTTCATCGTCACCATCCTTCGATTTCGCTCCAGATTTAACTTTTTGCACAGCGAGCACGCCATGGCTTTTACAGACACCGGTTTGGCTTGTACCAACCTCGAGTGTTACTCCCCACAGTCATTTTTTCATTGTCATCCACATCCTATCTCGCTTTCATCGCCCTCAATATCCTCATCATCCAGACCCCGGCTTTCTGTAAAACGGAACACGGCGTTGTCTTCACAGGCATCAATCTTACCTGGCTCCGATCTCAGGCGTTTCCTCTTAAAGCGCATTTTTCCAGGATCGTCAGTGCCTGCCATCAACTTTATATGACACTCTAACGCAACCAAGGTAAGGTCATGCCCGCATGCTACGGACGGAAAGCAAAAAGACAGGGCACTCATAGCCTCTGCTTTTCCCGTTGCAGACCGCGCACCGTCGCAAGAAGAGGGTGCGACATGGAGAGGGAGCTGATCAATAAGATGCGAACAGGCAGGCTGAAAGTTGTAATACGAGGCTTTGGTTGCTGTGGATGATGTCTTTGATAAATATGATATATAGATTGTCAAAGCCCTGTCCTTGCCTGGAACCCACGCTACTTTGCTGAGTAGATTACATCAGACCTTCGATGAATCCTCAATGAATTGAACACCAAAGGCCAAACAGTAAATATTAGAGTCGTTTCAGGAAACTATTTATGGACCGGCTCAGGGCTTTTGAGACATGGAAGTGATTCGCCTTTAGATGAAAGAGCTTTTGATATCAAAAATGAAATGTGGAAAATTAAAGCTACGAAGGCTAAGAGGCCTCAACCACCTGTTCCGTCCAGACTCCAAACTGGGCTGGCTCGCACGGGGAGCGAACCTTCATTTCTAGGCCACTTTTATCTTACTCATGAAACTATTAAGCTATCTGAGTTATCACACCCCTGGTCGGGGTTATAAAAACCTCTACCGGGCGTATAATAACACGCCCACCTTGACACGCACTGAGAGATCTCGTAAAACATCTCAGAGCGACGGATTCGGGCAAGAAGAAGTGCTCACTGTCAAAAAGACACAGCTCATTGCATACGAATTCATTATCTGCTACGACCTTACTGCCCACAATATCAAGGACATCGACACGTTGTTTTCATCTAACTACTAGACTTACTACGATATCAGTTTCATCCTGACATAGCTACCATATTTTCCATCTCCACCATTCTGTTCTCAACCCAATAGAGGAAGTATAGAGTGTGCCAGAGCGCTATGCGGGGAACAAAAATGATGGATTTCGACAGGTGTTGAAGAAGCTTGGGGTGGACTTGAATAGACTTGCAATATCATGCCCTGCTTTGACGAGCGTCCGGTTTCTACACAACCCCACCACCACCACCAACTCTTGGAGTTCGTCGATATCTATGGTTCCAGAAAACGGAGATGACGAAGATATGAAGGCAGGTAATGGTGGTGCGAATAAAAAAAAAAGTCGGTTTTGTGTAACAGTTTGCACACGAAGAATCGGCGCCGAAGAGGCGCAGCCGCAATGTTCGCGTCTCTCCTTTTTTTTTTTTTTTTTTTTTTGCTCGTCCTGCGTACATCCTATTTTGTCCAAACATGACAATCCTCGTCATGTCATCGGATTCTTCAATCCTATCGACTCATTCCATAGAGAGGGAGTGAACAAATACCTGGTCCTCAGCGTTTTCGCCCCCTGTATTCAAGATATCGGTCCAGTGGTTTTCACATCAGTCCCTTCGTTTTGTGAGCGACGCTCCTCAATAACCACATTTCAGCCAAGAGGAAAGATCACGATCCTGCGATTGAAGGAGACCCTTTCCCCTCCTTGACTGCGCTGGTTCAACCATGACTTTTGTAAAAAGCTGCAGAGGGCTTAAACGAGCACATGGCAGTGATGGTCTCAACTTTAGTTGTTCAAGCTCTACAATATACACTCATTTCAGTTTCCTGGTCATTCCCGATCCTGTTTATTGAACAAAAAAATAATGTCGGGTTTATGAAGCAGATAGTTACAAAGGTCGTGCATTTCGTCATGAGCGAAAAAAAAGCACTTTTCAAAAGGAGCCTCCAGCGAGAGTCCTATCAGCGAAAAGAAACCAGCTGGGAAGGGAGGTTTTTTTTTTTTTTTTTGGCAGGTTTGAAGGTTCTCAAGGAGCATCACAGTTTTAGGTGGCTGAAGAATATCAATGAAAGAGGATGTGGGCTATACCTCCACACCTCCACAGCCATGGTGTATATCTATTAGATAAATTGCTAATATATAACACGACCTATTATGATAGGAATACGGCACTGACTCTGGTGAATATACGACAAGGGATTTAGAAATCGCCAGGAACGCCATTAACACACCAGTCGCAGATAGTGCGCCGAATTCTGTGCTAATCCATGCACAAGGAGGAGGACATTCGCACATGTACCAGCCACGTCGCTCAAAGCCAGCCGAGCAGACGTACAGAATCAGTATGATAGAGGGGGATCGTCAGTATTGAAGAGGACCAGCAGCCGATTGTGTCGTATGTAATCATGGAGCTTTCAGCTCTGACTCAAAAATATACTGTTCGCGGTAAGTTGAGTTGGGTGCTATCGAGTGCAGCTTCCTGACATACATTTGAAGCACCTGGTGCTGAAGGTACTCACTTTTGGTTTCATTTCCATTTCCTTTAGATAGCCAGCGGGGAGCTCTACCATAGATCCTTAGATTTGAATGCTAATACAGGTCCCAGGCATTTCGATAATAGTCAAGTGGTTTACCAAAAGGGCCTCGGTTTTGGTGTACATGTAGACCAAGTGTTACAGGTCGCGACAATGCCTCGGGTCTCGCCGAAGGTGCTAACCAACCCTAGAGATGATTCAGTAGCAGCAGCAGCAGCCGATCTAGTACAGTCTTTTCGAAGGACCATTTGCATTTCTTGTAAAAAGCGAAGAGATCGAGGCCAAAGGCACGGAGGTGGACGAACTCAGAAGGCCAAGAGCCGGTCAGCAACGTGACACATCAGCTGTCGCATGCGGTCTGGGTAGCAGACAGTGGCATACGTAGACGGCCGCCTAGTGGACCATCTCCAGGGAAAAGTAGTGTTGACCGAGATGAGAGAGGAAGGAGGATAAAGTTCATATTGGCCCGTGATCTTGACTAGAAGACAAGACCTGTATTGGTGACACAAAAAAAGCGCACGACTCCTCCTGCGTGGGGCGTTCCTGCATTAGGATGGTCCCGCGTGGAATGTTCCTGCGTGGAATGATCCCGCGGTGGGAAGGGGGGAAAAAAGAACGACCGACTAACTCGACATTACGCAGCTGAGTAAGTATACAGAAGGGATGAGCTAATCGGCGTATACTACGTTCTAAGACGCAACTCAATAAAGTACCGAAGAAAAAAAAAGGCGTGCAATACTTTATGCAGTACGAGTGTGGGCCAACATATAGTCTACCTCCATTGTCTATGCATTGAATGCGATAAACGAGGCAAAACGGCTTCATCATCCCACCTACTTACGAGTTTCAAAAGAGGTCCAGTTTCCGATGGCGCAAACGATAACGGCGTCCCTGCTGAATGAGGCCACGCACAGCAGAAGAATTGGACGATGTGAATGAGAAAGAGATATGGGCTCACATACACCACGACTAGTTATATATCTGAAAGAAAGCTGATATGCCGAGACAGAGGCATGATGCAACAGGCGGTGGGAGGAGCGCAAACTTCGCGACAAAGACCATCTTCGCTATGCCGGAGAAATAGTACCACGCAAAGTCCTGTTGCTCTCGGTAGCTTTGTCAGTGAAGTTCACGAGCCACGCAGCGAAGGGCCGTGAGGATCCAGCGCTTCATGGGGAGAGCAGTAAGTTATCGCGCTACCTATTTTTTTATGCTTGTTCAAACATCACGCGTTGCAGAAACGAAAGCTAGTGCGATGGTTATTTTATGCGTTAATACCTGCCCTTCAGACGACTTCTACAGAAGGCAGATGGCGTGGTCAATGCAGGAGGCGCCATATAATCAAAGCCAACGACGTCGAGAAAGGCAGGGACCCAAGGTCACCCCAATCCTATTGATTAGAACCGCAAAGACAGGAGCCGGGAACCGTATCGGAGGTCATAGTCGACGAGGAGGCCTCAAATTGGATGAGGATGTCATCGACAAGTACATGACACTTAAAGCGCGCGACTTTGCTTTAATAGAGTTCATCAACCAAAGTCGCGGCACATCACCAACGGTGCCGTGAGGTTTGTAAATGTTCGCGGCGCGCTGGAACGCATGGACCTGAGGTGTATATCTTTCTAGGTGGGCTACTACACCAAACTCCGAGAATCCCAAGCCGCCTTGGCTATCGCCATTTATCGCGCGCACGTTTTACTCGACCACAAAATGCGGCCGCCATTTGCGCGTACAGCGTTGGAGTCGAGTATGAGGGTCCCTGATGTCGGCGAGGGATGTATAGGTTGTAGTTGATAGAATTAAATACTAGTATTCAGAAAAGAAGAAAGCGCGTGTTGAAGAGCGAGGGGACACCAAGGTTCTGAAAGGGCGCGTCTCCCTCCAAAAAAGATCCGCGTACGATTGTTATCTATCTATCAGGATTTTAGAAAGCCAAGTCCTGACCCTGTTTGCCTTGTCTTTGGCCATCCCACCCCTTTAGAGGGACGGAATCTTCATTCACAACTGTCCCGATCTGTCGTGCCCTCTGTCTCCTGCGGCCAATACGATTACTGCCGCCGCCGCCGCCGCTACTGCCTCTATTTCCTCCGTTCATTCTTGTCGGCGCTCCTTTATCTCGCACCCTTCGTTCTCCCCGACACCGTCATCTTCTCCATCTACAGAGCTTCATCTTTCGGACCCATTTACTCCTAATCCTTCGATATTTCGACCCCAGCTCGGCTCACACAGCACTAGCAGAGGTGCCTGAGGCGATATAAGACAAGTACAAGTACATGGTTCTCTTCTCTTATAACATGTGGCGCTATGCCCTTACATACTTTGTCTGTTTACTTGCATGTGCACTGTACTTAGGATGCCTGATTACCGCCGCACAGGCATCGTCAACTAGCACCCTGCGCTCTTGCCCCTTGTCTTCCCAGTAAAGGATTCTGCGACTAGCACGGTCTAAATCTGCATACAAACTGTATTGTCCAAAGGCACTTGCAACTCACCCCTTCTTTTTCTTTCTCTCTCGCATCTCCCATTCGGTTACTTATTGTTTAGAGGCAAGTTTAAATCACCTCACCTCTCCCATCCGCGGGTACTTGAAAGTTCGATAGCCTGCTTCCTTCTCCCCCTAAAGGACTTGGAGCTCCAGGACCCGTAGACCTTTGTCGAGGAAGAGCGCACGTATTACAATTAACAACGTTCGCCACGGAGTGACACGCTCACACCTTACCTCTCTTCTACAGTCAACACCCTTCCTTGTCCTGCTCTGCCCTACTACTCCCTCTTGTTTATTTGCCAATCCCTTGTGCCACATAAGTTTGCCTCTCAACTCTCCTCATCTTCACTCACCTGTTGCCAACCTTTTTTAACACCTCAACAGCAGAGGACAACAGTAGTAGCAGATACACGGACCAGGAAACCGCAAGGGACACTATTCATCACTCAACGCTGACATTGACCAGCACCATCACTCCGCACCCAAGCAACCAGCCAGAAAACGAGTGTACCATTCGACCTCCCTGCAATACCGAACTTTATTTTCTTGATAAGAACTTCATTTTTCAACAGAGTAGCAAAGCTGCGACATGGATCCTTGTGCAGAGCAGGCAGTGAGTGCGGAGACGCTACAGGATAGACAGGTCTCGCCATACCCATCCACCCTTGCGATGGATAAGGCAACCTTGGAATCCACGTCGGTTTCCACTGAGGTAAGATTCGCCGTATCCTCTCCTCCCATTGGCTTACCGAAGTTAAACGCGACACGACAAGCACGCGTGCAACACGCTCTCGGGACCTGTGTTCTACAGGGCGAGCACAACCACAGCCAGAACTACATCGATCCGAAAATGCGGCCCAAGGGATTCAGCAATAGTCCGTGATGTCCATGCCTGGTTCCACAAACTGACAATTGTCCTTTGCACATCTCCCCCGCCACCCCCACCACTAGGCCAACTCCCGACTGTCGTTAGATGTGAATGCGTCATTGCAGGGCGTAAGTGCCAGGCTCCCTTCTTCCCTCAGTACTTCTTTTCGGCACAAGTTGAGTGATTTTTGTGTCTTTGAGCGTGTGTGGCAGACGTCCGTTGTGGGTTCTACAGGAATGACCAAGCGGGATCTCAGGAGAGTGGATGCATGGGGATGACATGGACATGTACGGCATTCCAATCGTGTTACTGGAACTCATTCCCATCTCATCTCACCCGCCCTGCCCTTAGCCCTGACTCGCCACAAGAACTGTATCTCTATTATCCCTTATTCTATTGCTCTTTGTTGACCCCTGATTTTTTTTTTTTTTTGGCATCTCCCGCTTCTGCGCCTGCTTTTCTCGACTCTATTCTCACCTCTGACCCTGCTCCTTGTTCCTGACCAATTGCGCTATTGCTCTGGCGTGTTAACGATGACTATTAGAGATCAGGAACTGCCATCGCAAGCGATTCCCAGAGCTTCAAAAAGTCTATCCGCCCCAACGACGACGAGGATTCGCCCTTATCACCCCCAATGGCATGGTCTAGGGAGGGCACTAACGAGGAACTGTCAAGGTACCAAGAGCTGCAGATGCGACAACAGAACGAGGGACAGCATCGTCCTCAGACGCAGGTCTTCGCCAACCTGTTGGCAGACTCCACGCCTTCAACCAGTGCTGGATCAGAGGCCGGTTTAGTGGGAGCGCTGAATTCAATGGACTCAAACCCGACGCGTACGCATTTACCGACCTTCCAGGATCCACAAATGGAATCATTGTCGAGCACCAGCGCTCCAGAGAAACAGCGGCGCTCGTCACGGAAATCATCTTCTCCGGAACAGCCATCGAACTCCCAAACCGATGTGTCTGACAGAAGGAGGGAAAAGACAAGGTCCTCCTCCCGACCTTCATCAAAGACCAGCCGTCCCAAGGGCACAGCAAGGACGCCGAACGAGGGGCAATATAACTCAGAGGACTTGTCAACGTCGCCTGCTTCCGCCGTCAAGTCCGACCACACAGCTTCTTCTCTTACCAGCCCACACTGCCGCTACAGGAGCTCTGGGTCATCAGGAAAGAAAACGCGATGCACCTGTTCTTCGTGTCAGCAAGAGAGACTCAACACAACTTCTCCACAGCGCTCGTATCGATATGGACAATATCTCGGAGGGAGCGAGCCGATGCCCATCTATGCGGGGCCTCTGGGACTAGGGGACGACATACCTTCGCCAACACCTTCGCCTCCAGCCCCCGGAAGGATGAGTATCCATATGGCAATGGGCGGGTGTTCACCTATAGGGTCACCTACGGGTTCACCGCTTCTGGCAATGCATCATTCCACGTTCCTGTCAGTCACCACGGGGCCAAGAAGCAGACCTGTACGCGGGAATTTACAGGAGAGCCCCATTGGATCGACCTCATTACTCATTGAGGACGAAGGCGCGGTTTCCAGCCCGCCAACTAGCAGCCATCCCATCATAACAGGATTTCAAAGCCAGGTGCGCGACCTCAAGCCCAGGAGTAACAAAAAGAGTCCATCCCGGGCGATAACCCAGACTGAGCTCGGGGCGACATCCATATCGCCCTCTCCATCCTCCCCATCCTCGCCCTCGTCCTCTCCCTATGCCCCATCCTCTAGAGGATCGACTTTCCAAACGGAGACAGAGAGAGATACGTCACCTTCGCTGTCCCCATTCTTTTCGAGTAAGCGCTCCTTCAGCCTGCCCAAACAGGGATCGTTGTCGTCTGCTATGTCGACGTTCTCAACTTCACCTCCGATGCGTGCAGATACTTTGCATACCCATAATATTCTACAACAAAGTACCTCAGTGACCGACAGCGGCAGTTCAGCCTACGGGCCCAAGCAGTCCTCGACATCTGGGTCGACCGTCTCAAACACGGATTACCCCCGCCTCGCGCCCCCTGTGGTACTCGTTCAGTCCCCAACAACAGAGTCACTCGTGGGGCTATCTGAGGCAGCATCCAGAATAATACAGCAGGACCAGGCGGGAGACCACAGTCCGCTGTTATACTCTTCAGTCCTTGTATCATCCACGACGACAACGGCGACATCCTCATCCGCCACTCCTTCGCCAGCTTCGCCAGCTTCGCCCAACCTTTCCCAACCTGCAAGGTCGCCATCCCTACAACCATTATCGCCCGGAACGCAACATGGAGCGGCTGCGACGCCTCCCCTGAGTCCTTCTCGTAAAAAGGAAGGACATCAGCAGTCTACCCATTCGGGGTTTGAGAAGAAAGGTGAGGACCTTGGTGTAAGTCAACACTGCTGTACAATCTCAGGTGTAAATACTAACCCTGGCCATATTCGTTATTGGTAATGACACCTAGAATTTGAGTCATGGTCCCTCAACGAGCAGATTCAGGATCGCGTCGTTAGGACGACTCCTACTCTTCACTACAAATCTGCCCTCCTGTCTGGTGGCACCAAGGACAAGATCCGTCATAGTCAGTCGAGCCAGATCCAGCAACCAAAGGTATATTCCCATCATAAGCCCTCGAGTACGTTGGCGGAGCAGCACCGGCAGCAGCCATCCCGCGAGCAACAAAATCGGTCATCAGCATCAAGGACGAGCCAGACAAAGGGAGCTTCACCAATAGAGCCGAGTACTTCTGGAGGGCAACAGCAGGCGTGTGGACAATCCAGTGCGAGAAAGTCGGCCGATTGGACCCTGCAAAAGCCAACGGAATCACAACCAGGCATCAGGGCTGATGACGACAAACATTCTGGCAGTCCAGGCATTGTGTCGGACGGGACTTCTTCAGCGCGGAGGAAGCCTGAAAACAATGGCGCGCCTGTTCACGTCTTGCGCAAAAGCCGATCTGCACCGATCCTAGCCTCAGGACAATTGTCATGTAGGTGTCTAGATGTGAGGGTAAAAGGTGCCAGGGGAAAAAAAAAGCCCTAACGAAGAGTTGGAAACTGACCTCAACCGTTTCATCGATCCCATACAGATGCCGATATATTGAAGTCATCCATCAAGGCGACCTCGAGTCCTGCACTTCCTACTAGCGGCCTTACATCTCCAATATCTCCAGCGTCTCCAGAGCCGACCATCTCCAGGACTTCGTCATCGTCTCCTTCTCCCCTAATTTCCACCTCAACATCCGGCACAGTATCACCCACAGTATCACCCACAGCTGGTTCCTCGGCAGATGGCGCGAGTTTCAGGAGTACATTGACCATGTCCCTTACCCCGACTCGTATAATGCGATCGTCGAAGCGGCTCAGTGCACTGAACAGCAAAAGCGACAACAATTTGAGGGCGAACATCGATAGAAACAGCATGTCGGCACCGATGGCATCGCTTTTGTCATCCCTTAAGCCCATCAATGCAGCAGACATTACTTCAGCATCAGACGGTTTGAGCGAGCCGAGTCCTTCAGAGTCAGCGGAAGGATCTATGGACGAGGTGACTAAGTCAAGTGGATCGGCCGACGTTAAACATTCGACGTCAGATGGTGAGGACGCCTCCGAATGCAATCTCTTGGACGAGAAGGCCATTCAGAGCGAATCCGACACCCACGCCACTATCGTCCGGGACTCCGTTGAGATCATAAGTTCTGGGTTGTCATTCTTCAGGCCGTGCGAGGAGTTGGAGAGAATACTGTCCATCCCAGGAGCCACTGCTCTGTCTCAGGACGCCATTCCTGGATTCCTATCAGCGCCTGAGCAGAAAGGCACGCCCAAGAAGATGCGGCCGTTGTCGGACCCCGGCCCAGCCGTCGTTAGATTGAACTTATCAATCGATATGAGCATGGAGACGTTAGCGAACGCCTCAGTCGGAAGTGCTTCAGAGGAATCGCCGTCTTCATCAGTCTGCGTGGATCCGGGTGCGGACAAAAACGACAAAGAGAGCGAGTCAGCAGAGGCCATAGAACTGGACGACTCATTGGGGTCCAAGTATGATCGGGTCAAGGAGGATCCGGGGTGCTCGTTCCAGCAAGAACTGGGCCTGCAGGAACAGGACGAGGACGAGCAGGGTCCTCAGCGGGAGCAGGTCAGTGGAGGGCTCAGGTCACATAGGAGACGGATCAACAGCTCTGGAGGCAAGAAATTGCTTTTGAAGAAGAAGGGTAGCCATTCGAGCCTCAACAACAGCATTCAGCAGCAACCCGAGCAGCAGCAGCAGCTACGACCGCAGTCGGAGAACCATGGCAGCGAAGTCGACAGCTCGACCGATTCCTCAGCGAGGAAGTCTTCAGCGAGGAAGTCTTCAGCGACGCCAAACGATTATGTGATCCCCCCCTTTTATTTTCCTATGGGTAAGCCTGTGGCAGCGACGAAGCGTCGTCAACGTGTTCACAGTGCTGTGGTATGTGCCTGAGCAAAAAGAAAAGAAGAATCACCGCCATTGTGAATAGAGCCAAACGTGTTCCCGGCCGACTGACGAGTATTTTTTTTATTTATTATATTATTATTATTACGATTCGTTTGGTTCATTTAGATGAAAGCCAAGGAGATCTTTGTCGTGACCGAGAATGGATCTATAGCCGAGGACGGATTCGTGACGATCACCATGCAGTGCTGCGAGTTGCCGCGGTACATGAACCGAGCGTTGTTTCGCAAAGTGGACCTTGCTGGAAGCGGCGAAGTCCGGTTCCTGGAATTCGAATGCGTCTGGGAGTCACTTGTAGAGACCTGTCCGGACGAGATCTCGATGGTAAATGGTTGCTGCGGTACATATATATAATTACAAGCTCTATTATTTAACCTGCTAAGCTCGTTAACCTTTTTTTTTTTTTTTTTTTTTTCTAGATCTTCATGATACTAAAGCAGCCGAACGCGAACGTTTTGACGCCAACGGACTTTGAGGTGGTTCTGCAGGACTTGATTCTGTTTCATCCAGGGCTGGAGTTTCTATCAGGGAACGCCGTATTCCAGGAACGCTATCGTAAGAGGATCTCTCGTGTCTCGATTGAAAAAAAAAAAAAGGGGGGGGGGGGGGGGGGGTTTCTATTATGGATGGGTGTTCTTGTTTTCAGAAAAACAAAAACCACCACTACTCTAATTAAACGACTACCTCTCTCTTTCTCTCTCTCCATAGTGGAAACGGTTATCACACGAATCTTTTACGATGTCAACCGCCGACATGGCAAGATGACCCTTGCAGATCTCCGGAGGTCGAGTTTCGATAAGACGCTATGGAAACTCGAGAACAGCGACTTGAACCAGACCGAAGATTGCTTCTCATACAAGCATTTCTATGTGATCTATTGCAAGTTTTGGGAACTGGATCAGGATCATGATCTGATTTTGGATGAGCAGGACTTGGCCGGTTATTCTGGAGGTGCTATCTCCACAAAGGTCATTCGGAGGGTCATGCAGGGGTATGGGAACGAGACGGGGATGTTTATGGTGCCGGATCAGGAGCCGTTACTAGAGCAGCAGCAGCAACAGACTCTGTTGATCCAACAGCAACATCAACAGCAACAACAAATGGCTCAGAATCAGTTGGCTGAAGCGTCTGTCGTTGAAATTTCTGGAGGTATCAAAAACCCGATCTCATCCGGCATATTGGACGCGGAGGCTGGAATGGTGACCGTAGATCTGAATGAAGAGGAACATCATGTACTGAAGCGGTCTGAAACCATGACGCTTTCAACGATTGATATGTCGTCCGTAACAACGGAGGAGGTTCCGACCACAGTAGCCACGACAGTGTCATCTCTCGTGTTCGAAACAGCACCCTCTTCGGTATCGACACTGTCAGCATCTGAATCCATAACGATTCTACCTCAAAGGAGCATACCCCCGGGCCCCGGAAGCCAGTGCCATCCACAGAATTACCGCATGACATACAAGGGATTCATCTGGTTCCTGCTCGCGGAAACGGACAAGCAGACGACGACGTCGATCGAGTACTGGTTCCGTTGCATGGACTTGGATGGGGACGGGATCCTTACGGTCTTTGAACTGGAGCAGCTGTTTCAGGAACAGGCCGCACGGATGGCGATCCTGGGGATGGAATCCTTTGGGTTCAGGGACGCTGTCTGTCAGATGCAGGACCTTGTCAGCCCCAAGGAGATTGGCCTGGTGAGGCTCTCGGATTTGAAGCAGTGTGGGCAGGCGGGGCCGTTCATTGATCTGTTCTGTAACGTGGTGAGGTGGAGATCGTTTGAGGCACATCAGCATCAGATCCGGATGCGGCAGCAGCAGATCGCGATGCAGCGGGCTGCGGATGCTGCTTGGGAAGAGGTCGCGACAGGTGAGGATCTGTTTGATGACGAGGACGGCGATGAAGGCGACGACGATTTCGATGACGAGGACCTGGATGATGACGATGACGATGACGAGGATATGGAGGGCGAAGACGAAGAGACGGATGATCTTGAGGATGCGGAGAACGAGGGCAGCACTGGTAGCGGTAGTGAAAGTGCAGAGCCGGATGATGAGGACCTCTTGGCTCGGAACTCAGAGTTGAGCGAGGAGAGCTCTTTGAGCAACACGAGGATGTCAATGGATCCGAGCAGAGTGAATACCACATCTACAACAGTGAGTGCGGTGAAGACGGAAACGGGAGTTGTGTCCTGTGTTGGTATCGGTCTGGGTGTCGTGATTATGAACGATGTTGCTCAGGGTCTGTCCCAGAGCCTGGAGCAGTGGCGGGGCGGAGACATCTCGGAACGGAGTACGGCAACAGTCAAGACATTGAAGCGCAAGCGAGCCAAGGAAAGGCGGCGTAAGCGAAGACGTGCCATGATGAAGCGTGCGCTCCTTGAGGAACAGCGCAAAGAGAAGGCACTCTTGGCCACGATTCGGTAAGCGCCTTTTTTCATTTCCTGGGCACGCAAAGGACTCTTCAAGAATGTAACTCATAAAGCATTGTGCTTATTTGATTTTATTACATTGTTCGAATAGCGAGTCGCCGTGGATCGTTTATGTCGAATCCGAATACGACAAGCTGGTGACGATCGAGCGACCACAGAGCAGGACCGGTTGGGAGGAAGGAGAAGAGGACGATGAAGAAGAGGAGGAGGAGGAGGAAATGGATGACGAAGAAGAGGAGGTGATGGACGAGGAGGACATGCTGTTGGAGGAAGGTCACAACCCTGCAGCTGCTCAGCAACTGCAACTTCAACTCCTGCAGCAGCAACAGCAACAACACCAGATACAGCAGATGCAGATGCAGATGCAACAGCACCACTACCGGCACCAGTACCATCACCACCACCACCACCACCAGCATCATCATCAGCATGTGGTACTGGCACAGATCGAGGCCGGTATCGTCGACGGCCAGCTTCTCGTGGAAATGGACCAGATGCAGGTGAAAGGCATCGCTGGCGGTTCTGTGAATGCCTGTGGCCAAACTGTATCGAGGTTAAGCTTCGAGTTCGGACAAGACTTTGAGCAAATTCCCGTGGATTCTGTGGGGAACGAACAGACCATGGCAGCAGCAAGAGTCGCCGCGGGCACCAATTCACTCTGAAAACGGCTATAGTTCTTGTCCGCACGTTATAACCACCATTCGCTACTATTATCATTGTTACCAAAACGATCCAAGAGTATAGATAATATTTGATGCGCAATCAAGATGAAAATAATGCAATATATTGATTTTGTGTACAAAAAAAAACGTCTCTGGTATAGTAAGGATGAACGACTTATTTCCTCTTGCGGCCCTTGGAGTTCGACTTTGCTCTTGAGGATGAGTGACCTGTCGATGTGGATTGTAAAGACTTGTTGCTGGTCATAGACAAGCCCGATATACTGGTAGATGACGATGATAAGGTCAAGGCGTTGGGGGTGTCGAGAACAAGATCCAGATCCGGAATAGAGTCTGGTACGGTCTTAAGACTGCCGAGCGACAGCAGCCTCTGTTTGGAGCGCTGCATCAGGATAGGCGAAGTATATGACGACGATGACGCAGAAGAGTCCGAAGATCCTGTGTTGGGTGATGGCGGTGTCGTCGAATTGGGTGACGAGACAAATGATCTCCAGGGGCGGTCCTCATCATGGGAGTGAATGCTCTCCGTATCAGACATGTCCTCGCCGTGCTCCAAGGAACTTATTCTCGATAATGCCGACATGGCCTTGGGCTGCTCCCTGAATAGTTCCGCATACTCCTTTTCCGTGATAGCTGCCAGATCCACCCGACTCGAGTCCGACGATACATCCGCTTTCAGCTTTTTGCCCATGCCCTCTTCATCGTCCCAAGTGCCCAGCTTCTTCTTCAACAGGTTTCGGAAACCAAGCTCGACAGCCTGCAATGAAAGACTGGGCCGTAACTCTCCACGATCCCTGCCCATCTTCTCCTCCTGAGTCTCGACTTTCTCATATAGGCACATATACGGGTTGGATCTCAAGACGTGATCCAATGTTACCGACTCAACTGTCTCATCCGAGATCCTGAACCAATCCTCCACCCTGCCGCTGCCGCCATAAAGGGATCCAGCCCTCGATGCGGTCATAGGATCCAGCCCTAATCCCACAGCTCCGACCTTGGACTGCATGTTTTCGGGTTTCCGGCGATAAGCGATGAAATGGCCATATGAATGTCCGCCGTAATGAACAACGATTGACTGCAGCCTGTACAAGACCCTTGGTTGCGATCGCTGGCCCTGCTCATCCTGCTCCTTCTGCTCCTTCTGCTGGTTTTGCTGCTGTTGCTGTTGTTGTCTCTGTTTCTTTTGCTGTTTAGCACGTTTGTTCTTTGGAGATGGCTTGGATTGTGCATCGTGGCCCAGCCTCTGCATATCCTGTTCAGAGATCGACATGGGCAAGTTGGGTTGCGTCAGAAGAACTCCAGTGGTGCAAAAGGGTGAGACATCCAGGTACTCTGGGAAGTTGACCTGGCAGCTGTTTTTGGACACTGTTCCGTAGTTGGAGTATTGCGAACGAACGAAATGGAGGCAAAGAACTGGTGGCGGCTTCGCCAACATGACTTGCTTCGTACAGTGCCGGGAGATGACTCGCGTCAATTTGATATCGGGCAGCGCTTTCTCTACGTCTGATTTGATGGCCGACTCCAAAACAGCTCTTTGTTGAATTAATTTCGACTTGAGCGCCATCCTCTCTCCTTTCGTTTGCAGCTGTAATGGACGCCTTGCCTCCGCCATTTCGTCTTCTGAATCGTCCAGCACGGAACTCTCACCCGTCTCAGAATAACAATCGCTGCTCTGTTCAGAAAGGGAGCTATCCAGGTCCTGGTAGACACGTCGCCGCGAAATCTTTGGTGGTTGAGGAAGCTGGTGACCGTCGAGTTGCCTGAGTTCGTTTCCGACCCGCGTCAACGTAGCATTCAAGGAGCACTTCCGGCAGACTACGTCGTGGAGGGATTCGAGATTGATATACTGCTTGAGACAGTCCTCAATTGTACAAGAGTGATACGAGGGAAGCGATAGCGAGAGGTTGTCGAAGGTGAAGTGCCGAATTGCCTCCGTGTATCCGCATTGCATGCACGACAGTCGACTCGCCAGCATGCCGATCATCGGGTTCGAGTCCATTTTCCTGACCTGATGCTGGTTTGGTTTGGGTCCAAGCCCCAAGAGCTGCTTAATAAAGTCCAAATCTATCAATGGTCGAGTTGCCAGCGATCTCTGAACGGCCGCCTCCTCAGAACTCAGTGCGCTGGAGATCATCTGAAAGAGCTCCTGTGCATCCTGCTGCTCCCTGTTCATGATATTGGTATGGTATCCTGAAGACTTTGAGTCTTTTGCTCGCGATGCCTCTAAAGCATATACAATGGCCCTGGGTCGGAAGGACTTGTGCGTGACCAATGGGTGCTGAAGCGCTATAGGATGCCAAAAGTAATGAGCAAGGCCGATTGATGCTTGTTAATTTCGGTTATGTAATGATTAATTACTATTTGTTTGCATCGTTGTTTTCCTGTGCTCACCTTCAATAGTATCAAGTAAGGCCTCTGTGACTTGAACATCATCTTCGTCCATCCGCAAATCGTCCGAGCGGCCCAGAATGGATTCCAGATAGGGCGACAGTACTGAAAGCGCTGATAGTGCCTGCAGATAAAATAAATAAAAAAAACCCCCCTCCCAACTCGTGTCATTATCTCTGCTCTCCTAGTTTGATACGAACTCTCTCAGACTAGACGCCTCTGCTTCATACCTGCAATACAGAATTGAGAAAGCAGGAATTCCCTGTGTTGACAAGACCATGGACATAACGAGGAGCGAGTGGTGTGGGGGATCTGGCGGCGTCTAGTGCTGCTGATATCCCTACGTTCGGAAGAAGAGAAGAGTTGTTTGATAAGAGAAATGCCCCATAGATCGCATAACAAAGAACAAGGGCTATAGCATAAGCATCAGTGGTATAAGGTTCGCCCATACCTTGATTCGCATCGCCATTGCGGAGTTGGTGCAGCTGAGCTCGGCTTGTGATCTTTGCTCGGTCTGGTAGGTTGGTTCTGGTGGCGTTGCGGTGTTCAGGAAGGGGATATAAGCTTGGACCTCCAAAGCCCGTGTGAACGTTGTCGCTGTCATGGTGGTCTTCAGGCTCCCAGCCCAAGAGAATCCGCGCCAGGGGGTCAAGGACACGAGCCTTATAATAAAAGAGTGTGCTCAGAGTCTGTTCTGAGGAGGGTAGTGCCTCAAAGGCGGTGGTTAGATCAAAGCCCAGGGCTGATTCTACAAGACTGAGGATCCACTGCTGGTGTCTGTGTGGCAACAGGAAGATGATCGAGAGGACGAGGATGAGGACGGCCAGCGGTGGCGGATGGAGCAGGTTTTGCAACATCTTCTGGAGCCTCATCGAGGGTTGTGGTGATGATGGTGACCTGAACCTGGATGCTGTGGCTGAAGCAGCTGGTGGTGCTTGTGATGAATAAGTGTTTGCTGGGAAGTGGGGAGTGGATAGGTGGTCAAAGAGTGAATGAGTATCGCCCAAGACGACAGGGAATGAAAGCAAGAAGAGGGTGAAGGAGAGGGGGGTGCGAATGAGCTCAGAGTGTTGCCATAGAGGAGAAGAAACAAGAAAAGGGGGAGGGGTATGGAGGGGTAAAGAACGAGAGGAGGAAGAGGAAGATTGTAGTATCTGTTGTGTACACTTGATGGAGATTGATGGTGGTGGTGGCGGTTGTGGTGATTGATGATGATAAAAGAACGGTCGATGTTGTTTTCTGCTTGAAGAGAGCGATGATGGGCCAAGCAGAGGAAAATGTCAACGCAAAGCAGATACGCACACACACACACACGCAAATGCAATTCCATGTTTGTGTCAGTCCATTTCTTTTTTTATATTTAAACAGTCCTCCAAAGGCGGAGGGCGGTGAGTGTCACTGCGGACATACACTGCCTCCTCCATGCCTGCGGTTTGTATGTATATCTTTCTTTACTTTATCATTTTATTCATTTTATTATATAAAAAGAGAGGAGTATCGGCACCAGTAGTCGTCGCTAGACATGGAGCCCGTCCCCAGGCTCTCGTCCATTGACCGGCTTATCTCGTGCGCCAGGAACGGTTCCCCTTAAAGGAAAAACCGCCCTGTTCGGTTTGATCTTCGCTCACCCCTGGATGAACCAGATTCTCTTTTCAGAAAGTAGCTCAAAACACATTCTCACGAACATGTTCCAGGAATAAGCAATGGATACAAAAAATAATAATAAACACCGTCGTATTTTAAAGCCCGGCTGCTCGCTCCATCATCACAAACAAAGTGGGACCTGTTTATTTTTTCATCTCCCAATTTGAACACAGAAACCCGCATTCCAGAAGCAGTCCATCCATTCTCCTTTTCTCCTTCGAGAACATCCAGAAAAAAAGGAACGCGTCCATGACAAGGCGTGGCATTGGTTATGGCATGGCATGATAGCATGGCACAATTGAGACTCAACTGAGGATTGAGGGGGGATATTACAACTTTTTTTTTTTTATGTAGAAAAAAAAAAAAAAGTGCTCATCGTCTATTACATTAATCGGCAACCCAGGCACCGACACGCTTCACATACTTGCCCATGAGTTCGCCCAAATCACGAACCACAAAGGCACAGATAACCTGATTGAGGACATCACACAGCCGACGTAACCTGTTCACGATCTGGATATGGACCTGGTACGGTGACTGTGCGTTGTAATGCCTCAACATCAACTCCAGGATGTAGCTCGACTGGAACAGCCGCACCACACTCTCCGTATACATCGACGTATCCTCACTAGCAGAGATAAACCAAGAAGCGAATGAGGTTAGCAAACTTGTCCATAGCAAAAGGCCTTTTTTCAGCTGAGCATGTGCTTCGTCGCAAGAAAGCAGCCCCCCTTACACTTTATCGCTTCCAATCGACTTTTGCACAGTCTTGGAAAAACTCTTCCACTGGCTCTTCAGTCCTCCGGTACCAGCATCCGAACTGCTCCCGCCTACAGATACGCCGCCCTTCTTGCCGGACTTGTCTGAAGAAGTCGGCATCGGCGGCTCCTCACCGCCATTCCACTCATAGTTGTTGCTCCCATAGATGCTCGATGCTCCGTACACGCTCGATGTTCCATACACGCTCGCATTCCCGCCCGTCACAGGACCCTGCATATCCTCGCTATAGCCCTGATTAGTCGAGATCGTTAGGTTGCCGTTCTTGCCTGGTCGATGAATGAACGACAGCTTCTTGCTCAGCTTCGACTGCACCTGATGCGCTGCCGTTTCCAGACTCTCCAGCTCCTTGAGGACCGCCATCCGCTCCCCATCCACCTCCGGACCGCCCTCGACCAAGAGCGTCAGCGCACCGCTCTGATATTGTTTCGACAGTTTGTTGAGGAGCGTCGACATGGTCTGGCAAGCACTCATCTTCGTGTCCGCAGCTGGCAGGCGGACCAGTGACTGATACCAAATCGCCCTTGGCACATACATCCGCTTCGTAAGGAATCCTCCCGTCGTCATCGTCTGCTCCAGCTTGCGCATCAGCCAGAAACAACGCAAGTAAGGGTCCGAAGGTGGCGGTTCCATAAAAGGAGGAGGCAGGGGCTGCGAGGGATAATATTATTGAATAATAATAAAAAAAAAAGTTATTGAGAATAGCCTCGTTACACAAAAAAACAAACCAAACCAAAATACACACACAAAGTACAAAAATACATTGCTGAGGCAGCACATGTCCCACTTTCCCACTTACAAAGTTCATGCCTGCAAACGGATCATCCATGATCACATCATACAGAGTCGTTCCTCCAGAAGGGCCTTGACCGTTGCCGTTGCTATTCATACTAGGGCTCCATGCCTTGTCCATGATCGGCGAGGCCGAGCTCGAGTTCGACAGGGTGGTGCTCAGCTTTGAGCTACTGTACTGATGTTGGAGCACCGTTGGTCGAGCTGGTGATGATGACAACGGGGAGGATGATCCAGTAGCTCCCGAGCCATTGGTCGTTCCCGATCCTCCGGACGACCGCGCCAGTGGACTCGACTCCTTCACCGAACGAGCGGAATCAGAGATCCGCTTGCATGAAGGGTTATCGAGCGTATGTAATGAGCTCATAGAAGAGTTTCCTTGTTGAAAACTGTACAAAGGTGCAGCCAACGGTGACTTTGTCGACTGAGAGGCGCTTGACTGATGGGTAGAAATAGTTGATGATTGTGAGAATGATCTCTGGTGCTGAGCCGCCTGTTGCTGCTGCAGTTGTTGTTGTTGCTGCAGCTGTTGCTGTTGCGCAGATTCGCTCGTCTTTTGTCCATCCTGCGCTGTTGTCTTTGGTCGAACCTGGTCCAATTGCCCTCCAGTATAAGAACCTAGTGTAGTCAACCATACACACACACACACACAAAAGTATGCATAAGCATTCAACATCATCACCAAAACAAATCGACATTTCGTTTAGATAAGCACAGCACTACCCACCACCCTTCCCCTCTTCTTACCTTTGGAAGTAATCCTCTCGCGTGGATATGGATCCTCAAGTGAATGGTCCAGCGAGGCCTCTGACGACGGGAATCCCTTCGAGGACAAATTGGGCAGCCACTTGTCCGAGACGAGGTCCTCATCATAGAAATTGTTGAGAGCTGCTCCGTTCGCCTTCTCGTCGTCCTCAGGTGAGCTTTCGGGGGGTGGTAAAGTAGGCTTTTGAGGGCCCTGTTGTCCCTGACCCTGTTGTCCTGGCAGAGAGATGGAAGAAGGCACCAAGGGTGATATTCTCCGCGAAACATTCGCTGGTGAGGCTGGAGGCGAAGTAAAGCTCGAAGGCGCAGGTGGTAAGGGCGTCCTTGGTGGTGGCGATGACGGCAGTGAGCCCATGAAGGTGTGGTTGCCGCTCATGTTGGGTGTCGGTGGGTTCGAATGCGTTGGGGTCGAAGTCATGGAACCATGCCCTGGCTGGGGAATAGGTACCGGTGGGGGCGTAGACGGGGGAGGGCCGAGGGTAGTCGGTGTCGGTGGGAGAGGCGCCGTTGGGGCCGAATGGATTGGAACTCCGAGATGGTCCCGACTCCTGACCTTGGACACGCCTGGGATGCGCTGCTGAGCATGCAGCTGGAGCTGCTCTGCCGCGTGGACGAGGTCTCCTGTTGAGCGGTGGGTCGATCCTCCTGTGTGTGATCTAGTGTGATGTCTGACGTGCCCAGAAGTGACCCCAGCGTTGCCATGTTCGCTCGCCGAAGTCGAATCCGATCTCTGGCGTGGTGTCCGCGGCTCAGAGGGTGGAAGGATGTTTGGGTGTCCTGTGGTGGGCTGGAGCGGCACAGGGACATGTTTCCGGACGCGTCGTGGAGAAGGCACATTTCCTTGTGTGACCAGACCAGAAGGAGACGAAGAGACTGGAGCATTGTCGGTATCTTCAGCAGGCTGCTGGTGGGAAGAGATGTTGGAGGAGGAGGATGCAGGGGTGATGGATGCGACGGAGGACTGGCCGAGGGAGCGTGCTACGTTTGGCTGGCGCGGAGGTTGGGGCAGGGACTGTTGCGGGGGCAGAGACTGGGGCAGGTGCTGGCCGGGATAGTGAGCATCAGGTGCCGAGGGCGTTGTCGGGGTTGGAGGGGTCGAAAGGAGGTGGATTCTGAAGAGGTACGAGTCGTGCTGTGAGGTACAATGGCGGGTACAAGTTACAGGTTACATTGGATATCCCATGGCCATTTTAGGAGACGAATGCTGTCAGTGCCATCCTCGTAGTCATATCATCAACAGGGAAAAACATGAAACGCAGGACAAGTCTGGCCACCTACGATTGTCCGGAGCCGCTCTTGTTCGTCTGCAGAGGAGCTGCTGTCCATGACCCTGCCCAGCAGCGCCACCGCCCGCTGGTAGGCGTCCAATGCCCCGGGAATGTCGTTCGCATTATCCAGCTGCACCGCAGATTGGGCCTCCATCAACGCCATAGTCAGCAACGCCTTTGAGCTCGACGATGACCGAGGTCGGCTGGGATCAGGCGGCATGAGCGAGCCCGATCCGTTGCTGTGATGTGTGCTGCCCTGCTCGCTGGCCGATGAAACAGAGTCGGTGCGTTTTCCAGAATACATTGGTCGAGACGGGAGTGCTGATGATGAAGAGGATGGATCCAGGTGGCCTGAGACACCCAAGGGAGACGTTGGGGACTACAGATGAGCTGGGCGGGGCAAGGCTAAGCGCAAGCCAGCCGCGGGAGAGAGAGAGAGAGAGAGGGAAGGGTGTGCAGAATCGAGGTCCTGTCAGGGACAGCACAGAGTCCAGACCAGATGATGCAGTTGTGGCGAGACGAGGTGTGTGTGGGAAAGGGATGAGGAGATGAGGAGATGGGGTGGGGAGGGGCAGGAGAATGGCAGGAGGCGGAGCGGAAGAGGACAGAAGGAGCGATGGAGGGAAGGGGCGTGGAGGAGGGGGAGGAGGGGAGGAAGGGGAGGAGGAAGGGGAGGTGGAGTGGGGCGAGGATGATGGCGGCAGGTGGAGTTGATGAAGTGTGAAAAAAAGAAAAAAGAAATAAGCTCCACAACCCGCCTGTCAACGAAAGCACACAATTGGCCAGGACGGAGCTCATCAACAACTGCTCCCAAGAGGAAAAAAGGTCGCGTCCTCTCTCTTCTCCTCGGCCGATTGGGCGCCTCCTCCCCCCTTGAGTCCTCCGAGCCCTTCATCCGGCCCTCGTTCCTGTGGAGACGTCTTCTCCGACCTGGCAGCTTAGCATCGGCATCGAGATCTGCTACCAGAACACATCCTGCCCCCGTTGAGCCCTCGACCATCAAGCTAGCTCCAAGCAGATGCAAAAAAATGATGTGCAGAACCACCCAATGTGGTCATATTCACCGCACTGCAATACCCTGCTCCGTAATGTAATTTCCTCAGCACTCCGCGCCAATTTATGTTTTTGCCCACGCAAACCATGGCCTGCATAGCAATTTTTTTCATGTCGCATTACATGTATTCCCGCCCGCCCGCCGATGTTCGCATTAGCCCATGCGCTCTCTACAGGGGCAACAGGGTATATAAACCAAAAGGTACCCCAATTACCCCGCTGTTGTCAAAGAACGAACCACTCCAGTGTATATGCTAGCCCCCTACTTTAATGAGGATAGCATCCCCCTGTTCATCCCTAGTGCCATTTCTATGGGTTGCTTTTAATCTCCTTCAATATTACATTTTGATACGTACATGTACACTGAAAATAATAAGGCGCGATTTTATTATACCAAATGGTTAGAGTCTACATGCCCCACAGCCCTCGCAAGATCCAACAAAATGCTAGGCTATCAAACACGGCATAGGACAGATGAATGCAAACGGCTCTCACCAGGTTCACGAGCCAGGCAAGCCTTAAACCAAAGCTCCCAAGGCTCCCAATCCACCACCGAGGATGGGGCACCCGTCACAGAACCAGCTCCGAACACCCCAGGACCAAAGCCGGGCAAATCAGCTCCAGCAACACCCAAGCCTGTCGCACCAACTCCAAGGACCCCCATCCCAGCTCCGGGGATACCTAAGCCAACCATGGGACCAGCCAAACCAGTCCTATCGAGTCCAGAAATACCCCCCATAAGAACTCCAGAGGCAGTCAGGCCAGCCAAACCAGCTCCAGGGAAACCCAAGCCAGCCATGCCAAGGCCAGAGGACCCATACAACCCATACGCATCAGAGTCGCCCCAACCCGAAAAATCATTCACGGCCGTTGGCAGAACATTCACAACCGGCTGGACATTGTTCAATGGGAAGAAGTCCGTCTCGGGGACGATCGAAATAGGCGCGACCGGTACGTTCGTCATGCTGTTCATCGCCAAATCACCGGAGCCGAATCCTGGGGTACCGACGACGGCAGAAAGGTCAGCACCAGTGAGACCATCTTGTCCGGAGCACATGCTTCCAACGCAGGGTGCAGCACTGGAGATCTGGAAGAGCGACAGGATCATGGCCAATGCGGCAGCGAGGGACTTGTACATGGGAGACATTGTTGAGAAATGGAGAAGAGTTGAGTAGATATGTGTATGTGTATTTTTTTAGAGATTGCGAAGACTGGTTTTTTTTGTCAAAGTCGAAGCTGAAACTGGGAGCTGGATACCGTCTCCATTTGCGGGTGTCCTGCTCTGCTTTTATAGATGGAGGAGAATGCGTCGAGACCAGAGGAACACAAATGGATGGCAGTTATTAGTTTAAGTGGATCAAAGTTCATTTATCCGAATCCAGCTGATAAAACAGTGGCGAAATTGGTTCCGGGAATGCCAGTAAACTCTTTTTATTCTATCAGTTTTATCCCTTGCTCTGTCTGGTATCTGGAGGAAGGGATATATGTATCCATTTGCTGTCGAATTGATGGAATCTGTAAAGCGCTGAGGGTGACACAGGAACGGGCGCGTAAAGGCCAGGCCATCTATAGTTGACAACGTGTTTTTTTGCGCAGATCATACAATGTTACTTATGAATGCAGGGTATTTATTACTATTATTACCAACATGTCAATTATATACACAGTTCAGTGCCTCTCTCCTCCGCCATTCAATCAATACCACTGTTTCAGATCATTCCGATGCGTCTGCTCCATTTCCCTCCTCTCCCTCGCAATTTCAGTCCGCGTCCTCCTCCCGAACGCGACCAGGCAGATCCAGAAGTAAATCTGAATCAAGCATACGCCCATGAATGCCACGATCCAACCCCAAGGATTGATGATCCACAAGTCAGGGCTTGTGGCGTCTCGATCCAGCAGTGACTCGAATCTCAGTGCTGCGGCCGTAGAAGTTGCTGTCGCAGATGCTCTGAGGTACATACGATCCCAAGCTCCGGTCTGGAACTTGTTCAGGCCCAGCCAGCCGAGCATTCCGCCGCAGGTCAGGAGCGTAGTTAGGAGGAAAAGAAGATGGAAGGTCTTGAATAGTACTTGGGGTGCGCGGCTGAAGGTTGTACGCGCGCTCGAGGCGGAGCGTGAAAGTTTCCAGGACACAAGGAAGCCGAATAAAGAAAGGACCGTGGTGAAAATGAAGATGATGCTTAAGATGAAGACTAGGAGGTTGGTATCTGTGTTCGTATTTTTTTTTTTTTTGTACGGGAGGTAATGAAGCGTTCAGTTAGTCCAGCGAACACGATGACATAGACAAGACTGTAACTTGAATGTTTGGGGTTTACCATCTGGGAAACGACTTGCTTGGAAGACCAAGGCGCTGAGGACGCCGTTGTAGACGAGAGTGAAGGCGCAGATCAGTCCGACCATAAAACCAAGCGGGATGGGGCCACTAAAAGATCATTAGAAATCAAGGGCAATGTCAGCGTCTAGCGATCATTTGGATACACGACTCCTAGCGTTCTCACGCATTCGTTTTTTTTTTTTTTTTTTTTTACCTTGGTCGATCCATCCAGGATTTTTTCGCGCTCAAAGCACGCTCTCCATCGCCGCAGCCGTATCCAGAGTACCTTGCCGTGGACGACAAGAGGTCATCGGTGCTCGAGCTAGCACCTATGTCATCGAATCGCTCATGCAGTACCTTCTTCTTCTGGAACAACATCTCCAGCTTTGCTATTTCTTCCTCTGTCAGCACTTTACTCTCCGGCCTCTCCTTGGTGTGTTGATGTTCAGGACCGATCGTTGATTGGGACGGGACTCTATTGTTGTGCTTCAACTGCCGCTGGTTCTGATGCTTATGATGGACTGGGATGACCTGGGATGACCGCTTGAGCATCTGTTCCTGTCGAGTGTGCCGAGTCAACTGCTGCTGATATGCCGCCTCGGGGCCCTGGAGCAAATGTGGCGAAGGCGGTCCGTTCTGCTGTTGAGAGGATTTGGACTCAGAGACTGGGCTACCACCCCTTTGGCGATACTCCTTGTCGTTGTCACTCCGCAGATATTCTGCTACGGCTTCCACATCGCGCAAAGCACCTGTTCGTCCTTCATTGTTATTCTTGTAGTTGTCGTCTAGGTCGTCCAAGACACTGATCTCAAGTAGGGTAGCCGAGCTAATGCGCCAGTTTGCGCGATCGCTGAGAGATCCCAGGCACAGGGACTGCACTCTATCGGGTCGTTTTGGGAGCGGAGGTGTCGGCGTGGAGGCACGCGAGGGAACTGACATAGGGCGTGGAATTATGTATCCCTCCTGATTCCGCTGCGCGTCAGGCTGTACATGTGCCTGTGTGTCTGTAGATGTAGTACTCGTGGGCGCGAGATGTGGCTGCATGGCGGCTGCGGGTGTAGTAGGGGATGCGGTGTTGTGCGAGGAGTGAGGGATACGCAAAGGGGAGGGGGCGCGTTGTTGGAGTCGATCGACCCGACTCTGGGTACGGGCGAGCCGTGTGAGGTGTTGCTGATCCTCAGTCTCCTGCGACTCGGAACGGTGGATTGGGGGGCTCTGCATGGTCGAAATGGACGAGGATGCTGGCGATAGATGCAGAGGGGGGCGAGGTCTAGGGCTACCAAGGAGAGAAGATAGACGCGTGCGAAAAGAAAAAAGAAAAAGGGGAGGATGGGGGGTATATATCGCAGCGCCGCGGTCGGCACACCACAGACAGGGGCGAACTACAGGGGGGAGGGGGTGCGTGCGGCGGGCTGGGGGACAACTGCCCATTCATTCCGCGTTTGTACGCAGAAAATATTAAAAATAGGATTCTTTGGGCGGTGCAGAAAAAAAAGACGCCCTGCGCCTTACGAACAGGGTTCGACGCGTAAAAGCAGATGAGACGGGCGAGGTGTGCATGCCATCGGGTTGCACAAAAGACTCTGGGAATGACCCTCGTTTAACGTGCCTTTACCACTGCAGCCACTACACATTCAGCGCTGCAGTCCATGGTCATGTACGATGACCCAATACGCAAACATGACCTTTCGACCGAATCTGAACACAACCTACGCCGTTCCCCATCGGTAAAAAAAACAAAAAAAAAACAAAAGAAAAGTCCGCCGGAAAGACAGGATCCACTAACCAAGGACCGATCACAGGTAGTCGACCTTGAGCGCCTTTGCCATCATGTTGACGCCCACCCTAACACGGACCCGTACCTTCTGCGGAATCCTGTTCCACATGTCCATTCCAGACTCCATCTCCTGCCCTTCATCATCACGCTGAACACCAGTACTATTCATTATCCCCAACAACCGCTTCCACCTCGCCCTCGATTTCCAAAACTCGCCCTGACTTTGCATCCACCTGCGCGCGGGTACAGACAAAAAGACTTGGTCTCCAATCTCATGTTGACAGCGCAACTGCAGCATCTCCGCCGAGAGATTCGCCCCCACGCGCGGTTTGTCTCCGAGCGATAGTTCGAGTGCCGGATACATCCATTCGCACGACCGGTGGTTGTTTTGAGGATCCAGATGACAGATGGGACAAAAGAAGATCCCGGGGTTCTGAGGAGATGACACAGCAGCGGTGTGACATACTGTACAATAGCACTGAATGAATCCAAACATGTCTTGGTCTTCAGGTCCGTCGATAGCAAAATCCAGGAACCTGGCTGATAAGATATAGGCATCCAAGACAGCGTCGCCTAATGAACACATGGCCGTAAGCGAAAAAGATCTCTGTACAACCTTGGTCATGTCAAAAAACCCCTGCCTGTATTTTTTTCTCCTCTCGACCGACTTACCCATGAAGTCGTGCTCGTGCAGCAATCGAATGCTAGCAAAGTGCCGCGGATCACTTTGTTTTGCAGAATTTCCCCATCCTTCCGAAAGACAGTACGGTTCTCTTGACTCGGCATCTATGTGGACTGTACAAAACCTGTCAGATGATGTGAACCATCACGATAGCATCTACTGTAAACAGAGCCAGCCTCACTTTACATATGTCAGAACCCTGTTTGAATTTCCCAAAGAAATGGAGCAACTTCCCCGGCGACGCGTCCTTTATCCACGGCAATGTATTTTGGCTAAGGATGTAAAGTCAGGTAGACGCATTTTTTTTTTTAGCACAAGTATTCAGTTGTGCAACGTCAACATCGCTCTGTCCACAAAAAAATAAAAACAAAAAAACGCCCTCGGGTCTCCCTACCTTTGGATTTTAACAAGACGACCACTGGACATAACAGCTCCGATCTCCCATCCTTGGCTCTCGTCTCCTGGGACCCTCAGCATCCGAAAGACAACACTCGCCCTTATAGAGCTCCCAGTGAGGAATTGAGGAGGCGTTGGCGCGGATACATTCGAGGATATATTCATATGCGGGGCCACCATCGACGCTGTCGACAGCAGTGACAAAAGCTCTGACCCTCCAGCTTTGCTACCTCTTTGCGCACGCCCTTGGACGCACCCTTTTCCCTGTTCTACAAGAGCTGCACCTGTCGCGCCAAAGGTAGCGCCCAGTTGAGCAGGAACCGAGCCCAGGCTTAGGTAAAACGAAGGATCGCGCGCGATCCCTTTGTCCTTGTCCAGCAGATCCAGCGCAAGGACGCGGCGCTTCTCAATCAGAATCTTTAGGCAGGACTCGGTGGTGACATGCCCTTGATAGGATGCTAGAAGGGAACCGTCGAGCCTTGACATCTTTGACCAGGCACTTGTACTTCCTGTTACTTTCTGTCTATACTCTTTAGTTTGCACGTCTGCACAAAAAAAAAAAAAGAAAAAAAAAACCAGGTTAAAGGAGGTAATTTATGCACACCAACAGAGAATAAGAACACACGCTGCGTCTGCATCTGCGTCTGTGTTGTACCTGTAATCATGACAACGTCTCCGATCTTAATCATGTCTGCCCACTTGCAGCGGTCCCTCCACAAGTCCAGCTTGAACGAGGTCGCACTCTGATCGCATATCGATAGCTGACGTTTAGCAGAGGCCTGCCCGGTTTTGGTCACGATTTGTTCCTCGGGTCCGATCGACATAACGAGCGCAAAAAGGTGAAAGCGACCAGCTTTCGCTGGCGGCCACTTAATATGGTCGATCGGTGTTAACTTCGAGACATGTTCCAGAACAATGGTCGGAAGAGGGATGAACTCTTCTGCATGCGGTTTGGTCGGCTGCAAAGATCGCTGCTGTTGCGGTACTTTTCGATATGATTTCATCTGATGACACTCCTGGGATTGATCCTGTCGAGAGAGCGGTGGTGGGTGTTGAAGTAGTTCCCGAGACGACTGCTCTTGAGGATGCTTTGACACTTGCGCCGACTCGGGATGTGATGTAGGTAAGCAAGACTGCGACCCAGACATCTTTTTCAGCATCCCAAGTAGCGGTGTCGAGGACTCCTCCTTTTTGATCCGACGCATCCCTTCAAGAGTTGGAGATGGAGGTGATACCAAGAACGGGGATTGTGCAATGCGTTTCTCTGGAGATTCTTCCGACACTACCTGCTTCTTGACTTCTAATGCTGAATGTGGCGATACCGGGGAAAGCTTCGGTTCTTCCTTCATACTCAGCTCTGGAGAACCCGTATAAGATGGCGGTGCCCAACTTGAATTTATAGTATGCTCCATGCATCCAGAAGACGCAACAGGCAACGCATCCTTTTCAATATGAGCCGCCTTCCTGTTCTGGTCCAGCCCTTTATCCAATCCTTGTCGTCCACGCTTCCGTGCTCTGGGCTCTAGCTCTTCGTCGTCCTCATACAGATCGCGATCTTTTCTATGTCTTGATTCTTCTGCAAGTTGCAGCAGCTGTGGAGCCAGTAGAGGAGGTGGTTGCACATTCTTTAGCGCTCTTGCAATTTCACTGACTCTTGTTGTTGGAGTCCTCTTCGGCGCTGGCGATAAAGTAGTTCTTGCTGCCGACGCCTCCGTTACTGGTTGGATCAGAACATCTGCATGAGCAGACCCTTTTCTACCCTTGGACTGTCTTTTGGAAGGCGACCCTGGGATACCTCTACGGCCAGGAGATCTCTGCATTTGCAAGAACGGGGGTGCGACGGGGCGCGGAAGTTCGCTTATAGGTCGAAGTCGCTTGCTCGGTGAATCCGGGACCTGTCCTCTATTACCGGGCGTGATTGCTGCTGCAGAGGGGATGACAAAACGGCGGCTAGGAGATGTGGGCGGACCAAGAGGACGAATGGCATTGAGACCAAGTGGCTGGCGGATAAGGTGTCGAGGGGACGACACTAACGAAGGTGATATGCTGCTGACAATTGGATCCGGATCCTCCACGCTGTTTATGTCTACTATGCCATTGTCGTCACCGCTATCCTCAAAGTCCATGATAGGGTCGTCATCGCCATCGCCACTGTTTATCGTATGTGGTGGAGCTGCTTGCCTTTTGTGTGAAGAAGCCTGGCGTGAAGTGACATGTCGCTCTTTTGACGGTATTGCCAGTGGTAGGGACGACGGCAGCGGTGTGAGCGGCGGAATGATGGGACTCACTTCATCGTAGATGGTTGCCGCTGAGGCACTGTTTTGAACACTGTTATGTCGCTGACCCAGGACTAGGTCTTCCTCGTCTTCATCAGAATAAACGTGTCCTTTGTTGCTGTATTGACCAAGGTTCTGAAGAACTTCCTGTGTCGATATCATGGATGGGATAATGAGTGAAATGTCTCGCCGCAGACTCGAAGGAGGCCCTGTGCTCCGCAATTCGGCCTTTGCTTCTTCAGCCTCATGCCTAACCGTCAAGATTGTAGCTGCCTCGTCCATTAAATCCAGCTGCTTGAGACCTCTGTCTTTCCCGCGTGCTGCCGCACAGTCAGTTAAATACCGCGGCATTGAGTCCTTGTGCTTTTTTCAGTTAAAATGCATTTATCCGTGGTGCATGTTGCGTGAGGTGCCTGTGGTTGAAGCAAGAGATGAAAAATATGAAGACGGCGTCCGTTGGCAAAAAATGTCAAAAGTGACGCACATTTCGCCGTCAGCGAGCCCAGCAAAAGGAAAGCTCCTTGGCGGGGAATTGAACCCCGGTCTTCCGCGTGACAGGCGGAGATACTCACCACTATACTACCAGGGATAAGCTTATAAAAGTCAAGGTTTTAATTTATTTATATTTTCTATATTATTTAAGGTTTAGGATGTCGGAAATCCATACAAAAGTTCACGTAGGAAATCCATACAAGCCCGATGGCTCAGTTAGCATACTGGTCAGGGCACCTCCCTTGTAACGCGAAGGGACCAGGTTCGAGCCCTGGTTAAAGCACAGTAATATGTGCTACGCATAGAAATTTATTTGGAGTATGAGTCGGGCGTACTACCCCACTTCAGTTATGTGGGTTTCCTTTCCCCGGCGACCCCCACATTGAGTGGCACTACCCCATGTAATCGTTGTGGGTTTCCTTTCCCCTTCCTTAACGCTTGACAAAATGCTCAGAATAAATTTCGCCCTTGCGCTAGCCTCCGGACTTCGAGAGGCGCTGGTTCAGAACTTCCCAGCTATACACCAGGGTGTACAAGTTATTCCACTGCACTGGCAGCATGCGTCTTAGCTACCCCTGCCGGGGTTACAGGTATAAGTTCAAAAGTGAGTAGGCCCACTTTATAATAGGCTAATCTGAGCTCACATCCAGTGACCTCAGGTGGAGGAAAGACGGGACGAGGAGGAGGAGGAAATGTTACAATAGTAGAGGATTCGGCTCGCAAGCCAGTAGAACGGATTCCGTGCTCTCAAGAAACCAAGACCATCTCCCAGATGTACAGGTTACAATTGGAGAGATGGTCTTGGCAGATTAGCAGGTGAGGAGCCTGCCAGCTAGCCGAGCGGATCGCAGGAGAAAGACCTCGGGACGCTTAGGGAGGTTACAGTGAAGTTGTTGGAGATGGTGCGACTGCCACACTAGAAGATTTAGGGCCAGATAGACACAAGTCTCAGAGACTATTCACTAGGAAACCAGCACTGATTGTTCTCTCTCGGAGGCCATGTTGAATAAAAAAATAAAAAAAAACGTAGGAAATCCATACGACTTTATGCTTAGGAAATCCATCCATAGGTTGGGCATGACATCTATGGTCGGGCGTTTTACTTGGTGCAGTGCGTTTCTTTCATTCGTTCACCACCTCTTTTACCCTCACTTTCGTAACACCATGCACACCATTGCCGACTTTTGCGTTATCCCCATGGGTGTCACCGCCTCGGTGAGCCAGTACATTGCCGAATGTCAGCGAGTCATCGAAAAGAGCGGTAATGCACTTCATTCCTTCATTCCTGTTTTCTATTTCCCACGGACTAAAACACCTTGACGAAGAGCAACAACAACCTAGCACTCGATCGACCGCGGACTAATCCAACACATATTGTTATTGCTCTTTTTATCACAAATAGGCCTCACCTATAGCATGCACTCCTATGGAACAGTACGTACAGTCGAGCCAGAATTGGCGAGTAGATACAAAGTGAAGGACATTAAAGATAGATTTAATCAGAAAGATCTCACAAAGCAGCTTTCGCGTTCAATGTCGCTCTTTAGAATGTCGAAGGGGAATGGGACGATGTCTGTCGTGTCATGAGGGAGTGCCACGAAGCGGTTCATGCCATGGGATGCCCACGCGTCTCGACCAGGTAAGGGATGAATGATATATAGGATGTACGCACTACGCAATTGCACCCTACCAATTCCGCGCTTTCCGTCTTTCCCTAACCAAGTGTATCTTTGTGCACAGTGTCCGCATTGGAACTAGAACCGACAAGGTTGGACAGACTATGCAGGACAAGGTCAATGTGGTCCACGAGATCTTGGCCAAGGATGCGACCAAATAAATCGACAATCTGGAGCAGCACAAAAGACACCCCTCCCCCCCCCCCTCCTCATCGTCAATAGTACATTATGCCATAAGCGACGAGAGCAGCTTCTGCAACAGCAGATCCTGCACTTTAATAAAGACTAAAGAAATCTAGAAACACAGTGCAATTGTTGCATGGAGGCAGTTTCGTCAGTTTCTTGTTTTTATTACTGAACGAATGTATCTCGGTTCAGCTTGACCCGTTCTTGTTCCTCTTTGCAAGCTTCTATTCGTCTAAAGGCGATCTACAACTTGCTGCAGCTTCTCAGCCGAGTAGATGCTGAAGCCTCCCTCCTTGGTTACAGAGGCCAATTGAACGTTGGTCGAGTTCAGCTTCTCCTCCATAACCTGCTTCAGAACCTTAAGCGCCAAGGTCTCCGCCTCGACCAAGGTCATGGATGTGTGGTATTCCTCCTGCAGCTCTGTCTCTGCGCCCTCTGATCCAGATCCGATCGCCTTTGCTCCATATGACACAAACGTTCCTGATGGATCCGTGTGGAACCTTTATGAACATGAACAAAAGAGATGAAGGTTAGAATGGGCCAGATCTTCGAGAAAATAAAGGGTGTCGATGTGTCCTGATAGAAATAGCCATAAACTTACAACTGAGGCCCAGTCTCGTCAATGCCAGCGATCAGCAGGGAAACTCCAAATGGACGACTCTATTGTAGGATGAGTTGAACATGGAGATGAGAGGATTGAGTGTTGATGTTAAATCAAGGTCTTCACAATTGAGTACTCCTCATAGTTGTTCCAGCTGAAACGTAGTTACGCACCATAATGGACTCCTCTCCTCGCGCACTCTCTCCGAACCTCAGGGCAAGGTCGCATACTGCCTGTGTCACACTCTCGACCTTGATGCTCTCATTGTATGTAAAGGCATGGTTCTACAATTAAAGAGATAGTGGAAAAAACCCTTTTCGTTAGTAACTGGTCAAACCGGACACCAACATAAGAAAGACGAGTGTTTCTTCCTGCCATACCTGTGCTTCGATGCGTGCATGGTCGACGATGGTTCTCGAGTCAGCCGTCAATCCAGACATGGCACATCCAATATGACCGTCAATCTCAAAGATCTTTTCGATCGAGCTTGGTTCCAACAAAGACGAGGTCACTCTCTTTTCAACCGCCAGGATCAATCCCTCCCCTGTCTTGATGCCGACAGCTGTTGAGCCAAGCTAAATGAACATATCCATGAGCGTAGCCAATTTTAGTACCACATTAAAGGGAAAATATGTTCAAGAGCCTCTCACGATAAAGGTCCAGGGCTGTACCTTGATTGCCTCGATGGCGTATTCGACCTGGAAGAGACGACCCTCGGGCGAGAAGGTGTTGACTCCTCGATCGTATTCTGAGCGTGTCATAAACATGGTGGATTCGTGTGCTGGGGTTGTGATGAAGAAGGCTGTCGGTGGGTTGATGCAGCGAGGCAAAGGGTCTTCGAGTGGTGATGGAATAAAAACGCTGTCTCCAACACGCGAACAAGACGCGCAAGAGGGCGTTCTGTAGTGCAGTACGTACGTCACCAGTGACTGCCTACGCGCATGCTCACTTGTGCACATCCGACTACGGATGCATCCTACGAAGACTGGTCAATAGCCAAGGCTTCTCAGGCACATCTGAAAATTAGACATAGGCATAGGCACATTGTGGTACCCTGGTGGGCGCGAGGGGGAGGGGTAGCAGTAGTAATATTGCAAGTGCCATCCGTCCGCTTTCCTTGTTGCTTGCTGTATTTCTTAGACATTTTTTATTTGACGAACGCAGTAGAGAATAACAGTTGCAAGCACTACTATCGCGTCTCGTCCTTTCAGTTTAATATATGCTGTCTTCAAATTCAGGCAGATAAGATTACTATGCGAGCAAATGACGATGCTTCAATCCTGTTTTCGGCTAGTGACTCCGAAGCTGGGTCCACATAGTCGTCTGCACTTTGTGAGAGAGGGAGACAAGTATCCTGAGTGATTTGTATCTGCATTGTTCTGATATACGCTGGGTTCTATGCCGATATTGTAGATGATACTAGCACTATCCTGAGGCGCAACGGAGCGCGAGTGCAAAAGAGGTGCCATAATCTCGGAGCCTTCCTGGACACTAAGATAACGCGACTCCATGGCGATCGAGACCTGCTGTATTTGGCGAACGTCTACGAAGACGCTATAGCAGACCGTGGCTTTGCAAACGATGCTTTTCGAAGCTGTCGATATGAACGAAATAGCCCAGTATGAGATTGAAGAAAGCGATAAAATACATTGTGGAGACGAGAAGGGTGCTTGGGCGGGGATATTTTATAAACTCATTGCGATCACCCGGAGTCGATCCCATGAATGGCCCGCAGCCGTGACGTATTTCGCTGTGGGGGAAGCCGTTGGGCGGTAAGAAGTGATGCAAAGGTGATGCCCTTCTCCTTACTATTCTCTCTCATCACTAACTGTTCTAGTCTTTCTTCATTCCTCACTTCCTCTTTATCGCCTCTAAACACCCTGTGCAGCATCTACACGGCAACAACACTAGTACATCATGCCTGTAAGTGACCTCGCAGGGCGCACCAGGATACACCAGGGCTAGGAAACGAGGACGCGTCTCTCAGGAACAGAAAAAGGAACTACATGCGACCTTCATGCGACCTTGATGCTCCACACTTGCCTCTAGATAAAAAGTCTTGTTCATGGAAAACAAAGACAGCTGTGCATTGCATCTGGAGGAAGAAGAGCAGGATGGCTGACCAATGCCCCTTCGACTCTTGTCACTTTCGTAGGCATACCACTCTGCGTTCAACGAAGTATCAGACCTCCGCTCTGTGGGAGGTATGGGCCTTTTGCCAATCAAGACTCGCATCCGTGGACCTGCCCCTATTGGTATGTTGTTGTAACTGCTGAAGACTCGCTTGAATGGCTGCTGTTGTTCTTACTGAGGGCGCTGCCGCTAAACCGGATATGTTGTCCTTGCTACACTATTCGATTGTAGCCGACCCCAATGATGAGGATATCATTGATGAAGCCCTCAACTTGTTCCGCGCCAACGTCCTGTTCAGGAACTTCGAAATCAAAGGCGATGCAGACCGTGTTTTGATCTACCTCATCCTTTTCATCACAGAGTGCCTGGGCAAGTTGGCAAGAAGCCCTTCCTTGAGAGAGGCGGAGAAGATCCTCGGCACATTGGCATTGAGCAACTTTGCCATCCCTGGAGATGCGACTTTCCCTCTCAATGCACTTTACCCAGCCCCTAGCAACAAGATGGATGCCGGTAGGCCATTACGTTTGCACTTTCGATATGGCCTTGTGTGCTTTACAAAAGCAATGAATACTTGCTTATCGTCATCTGTGGTGTTATCCCTTAGACCTTCTGCGCCAGTATTTGTCTCAATTGCGCCAAGAGATGGCTGTGCGACTCCCCAACCGTATTTATGAGAACGATAAGCCAGGAAAATGGTGGATGTGCTTCCAGAAGAGAAAATTCATGAACAAGTCGTTGTAATGGGATATGCCAAGGAAGGAACTCAGCCGGGACCTCCAGTAGAATGTCGTTGAAGCCATTTTGAAAAGAATACAATAAACGGAGGCTATCGTCGCGCAAAACAAAAATAAAGGCACATTCTGAGCCTCTCTTTGTTCGATGCAATTGAAGTTCCACGCTGCAGCAACATAAGCAACATCGCTTTAAATAGGTGCAGTGCAGCGATAAGTACTTGAATTAATATGTATATATGCCAATAAGTTCATGTTTTATTAGCAAGCCTATGCCATTGGAGATCCTCATCCGACCCCTCGGACAGTTCGAGTCCGTTCCTTACAGCCGCTGCTAGTGGGCTGTCAAAAGATAAAACCTTTGCAGTTGGTACCGACGAAACATCCGTAGGGCTGAGTGTTGATGTATCTTTGGATGGAGTGTCTGATTCGCTCTTCGATCTGATCGCGACACTGGTGTACTTGGAAGAAGACGGGTCATCTATCTGGGACGAAATTCGGCTATTTTCAAATGGAATAGTAACGAGACAGTTGTTAGAATCTAAGGCGTCGTTTTCTTGCATAAGCTACAGGATCCTTCAGTTAACCATCTCGATAGGTGCCAGCTGTACCTGACAAAAGGGCTGCCTGTCTTCCGCAGCTGAATTTTGGAGGAGCTCAATTCTTTCAAGACGTTTTGCATAGACCGGGTCGCATCACTGTGTAGAGGGGTCCATTTTCTTGATTGTCCCAATGATGATGGCGGAGGTGGTGGAGGCGGTACTGGAGAGCTAGTTCGGATAGGTGAATATTGTAACCTGTATTGCTCATCCTCTCGCGCTGATACTAACGACCTCAGCTAATGGATAATCGCGAAGATCGACAGTGGTTAGTCTAGAACGCAAAAAGTCCACGTCTCTAGGGATTTTCTTTCAAAGATCAATTACCTGTTCTTTAATTGCCGCTAATTCCTGCTGCAGTTCATTCAGCTTCTCGCTTTCAATGGAAGTTGAACCGGTAGAATGCCGAAAATGCTGTTCGGGGGAGGCGTCCATAAACATTGATGGTAAAGGCGAGGGTCCCCTAGAAGTTACAAAAGGATTGTTGAGGGAGTCGGCAACGACTGTGGACAAAAATGGCGATGGATGGTGTTTGAACTCTGCGACAGATTTTGCACGATTTTCTTGTGAATGTGGGTATATAGCGGGCGACGAATGTGCCCTAGTGGCATCAAGGCCATGTTCCAGCGATTCTCCGAGCAGGCTGTATCTAGGAGATTTGGTCCGAGCGATAGGGTGGGAGTGCTGTCGCATATGATGTGCATCACGCCTGGGAGTATGGTGCGTGTGTGGTTGATGTGGCGCCCTGTGATGAGCAGAATGCATATTCGTTACAGAATCAGAGGGATGTCGCCATCGCTTCGTCGAGGTCCTTGTATCGTCTCCAGGCAGGCGCTTTCGCGGCGATAATGGTTCAGTGATTGATTGTGTATCTGATTCGGACACAGAAGGACGTCGCGAGCGCTTTGCCGCACCTGCCTCGTAGTCCATACGAATAGTTGTATGCGGAGGTGGTTGCCCCGCCATCAAATTTGTGTCTGAGTGGACGTTTGAATGATGGTGCGTTCGTTTTATAAAGTTCTTGTTGTGACCGGGATGTAGCCGCGTAGGCGTTGAGGTTGATGCCCGTAGCTGCTTCACTGGCGAGACATCGTTGACATGATCTTTCAGACCTATGCGGTGTGTAACAGGAGCATTAGATGGATGGCTCCAACACTCTCCCCCAGTGTCCTCGGAGCATTCGAGGTTATCTGATAGATCCAGTAGCCCATGTTACCTTGGTCCAAAAGTCTCTTTGTGAGAGTCCGGTGCCTGTGCTTTGATGACTGCCCTCTTGGTTTCGTGGGTGGTCCGTGTCCAAGAAACGATTTCGGTGGATGTGCCGACGAAGACTCTGAAAACACAGTGGTGGATGATCCTGGCTTCCTTACAGTCAACACTCGATCTAGAGTCGAGGCGCTATCCTGCGCCGTTAAGACAGAGAACGTGAGCATGAGAGATTTCATGCGGTTGCCATCAAAGCAAGCTGCAGTGAACTTCGGATGCATTGAATTGGTACCTCCTCTGTGGTGCCGTGGGGTCGGGCAGCATCCTTGTATGGGAAGTGGTCCAGCAGCTTGTCGAGCTCTCTCGAAGCAACGTCTTTTGCTTCCCTAAACAGATTCCACACGGACCCCAGGAACGAAGGGACGTCCGATGAGGGCGAGGTTTCCTCCGCTGGAATGATTGGTTCAAGGTCCAGGTCCAGGTCCAGGTCCTGGTCCTGGTCGTGGTAGTGGTGTTCCTGATTCGAAGGATGTCTTCGCAGTAGCGATGTAGGGGATGGTGTTCTGGTGTCGTTGCGACTATTCCTGCCTCGACTACTTCTGGTAATGCTGCTGGCTCTACTATGGCTCTCTTCTTGAGAACGGATGCTCCCCTGTGTCATTGAGAGTGGAAGAATGAATGATGCTCGACAAAGAGGGAGGCCAAAGTGGGAAAGAGGCACAAGTGTCCTTCGATGTTTTTTGCGGACTTCTTTTTTTTTCTTTTTTTTTTTCCTACAGGCATCAATGGTAGCGAATGAAGCCGCGACCCCCCTTTCCTGCTGATCTTTTACGCCAAATACAAGGAAGAACACTTCCGCAGGTCTCCAAAGATATCGTGTCATGGCCTCCAAAAGATTGAGACAAACAATTATTAGAGACGGGTTCTGATTCTGGTGGCAAAAGGACCAATCTCCATGTTGCGAACGTTGACATGGCATCGCAACACGCAGTACCCTGAAGAGTCTTTGGTAGTCCTGAGCCATTCAAGAATTGGTCTGTCAAAAGAGGTGCCGGCTTCTTGCCAATAATATGGCCTGCATGAATTGGTGGTGCTGGACACCATTAGAAAGAATGAAAGGCGACCGGGATTCCTTATCTGATCCCCCAAGAACTCGATAGAAAATAGCTGTGCTGAAGCGAACGCTGTGTGACAATAAATAGAAGGTGGTCTTTCATTCGGTGGAATTGGCATTGTCAACGAAAAGCTGTCGCGTGTGAATGCTTTTATTGCTATAGTTCCAAAGAAAAAACAATTTGTTTATAAGCTGACGCGTTGAACCAGGCAATAGTTTCTCTAAGCCAACACTGAGGTACATTCGGTAGCTATAATGGTAGGGACATAGCTCTCGACAAACTTCTAGAGCGCCTCCAGTGGGTAGGCATCCAACTTTGCAGTTCAGCCTGAGATTTGACGGAGTGATCTTGCCCTTGTACATGTACAGAACATGAACAAGATCCTTCTTGCTGACAGTGGTCCAAGTCTCAGACCAAGCTGGATGCATAGGCGGGTCAAGGTGTGTTGGGGCCAGCGATGACTGCAAGAACCTGATCTAGCGGCTGCTCGTGGACAGGGTACAGCTCAAAGAGGCGGACTAGCTTCTTTCATGAAAATTCCCTATCGGCATTCAGAGTTGCTCGGATGCTGGGGGAGAGGGCCCTGAAGAAAGGACCAATGGCCAAGCGCTTGGCCTCTTCAGCCGTGGACTCGTAGCGCAACACGTCAGAGCACGCGAGGGTGCTCTAGGGCATCGTGCCAACGACATTCTTGGCAGTCAAGCATGCTTGGGGCTCTGAGTACTGCAGCCGAGAGGGAGTTTGTTGCAGTATCTGGGCATGATGACATCGCCATTCAGGGTCATGTTGACGGTCGGGATGTTGTTGACGGCACTTGCCCCATGATGCTTAGTACTCATTATAGCGCCCCAGCATGCCAATCCTGTTGGCATCCCACCTCACCATTGTTGTTAAGATTTACCCCAGCCCTCCTTGAAAGAATTGATCGTCTCTCGCTGGCTGAAAACATATGTTGTGCGTGTGTCTTATTTACCTGACAAGATGTAGCCCGACGCGTGGCATCGGATTAAAATAAAGTCCGTCAAGCGACCTTCGATGCAATGTTTGGTCAGCGGAGGGCACGCTTGAAACGGACATGGCCTACAACTAGACTGCAGGTTGTAGTCTATCCAGAGGAGAGGGTACATGCCGTATCTCGAACGCGTCCCCTACCTCTCCTATCTCCTCTATCCCTACATCTTCCTCTATAGCTTTTCACGCCTATTCTATTTCTCTACCATGCTGAACCTCCCCGAGGCCCCACCGAAGCCCCCTCTTCAGTTGTACGCCCGACGAGTTAAGGAAGGCGATTTGTTCACTTGCAGCAGGGACACAGCAACACTTGTGAGTTCTGCTGGAAGCGCTTTCGTTTATCGCTGAATAGTGTTGTGCTAATTAAGGACGATCTGGTATAAAGTCCACTGAGCGACTGAAGACTGAAAACGGATGTTGAGATGCAAAAAGAATTATATGGTTTAATGGACTGAATTCCCTCCATGTCTTCTAGGCAGGCACGACATCTGCACCTGCCAACTATGAAAACTTGCTCCTCCCTTGAATAAAGGAGCTGCGATCCACCCACCAGTGTCACTGCATTTCTCCTGGTCTTAAGTCAAGTCGCCTACGGTAGGACAGGCAGAACGGCGAACCGGGGTCCGGAGACGAGCAGGCACCAGGCGCAAGCATAGGGCCTATCCATCTTAATAGGAGTACGCTCCTTAAGACGCGATGATCTGCGGGTAAGACATGGCTGTATATAACCTTAGATCACTTGATAGCCAGAATGAGCCATGAAGATGTCCAGAAGGTTTGCAACGTGGGCCAGATTATGGTGTTTCATAGACATGAACTTAGCTCGATAATGAAAGATAGCCCCTGAATATGACCCCGGCATAAAGGATTCGTAACGTTTATATTCCGGAAATGGCAAATACCATGATCTCCAGGGTGCAGTTGGTGAACGCAAGATAGTTTCTTGCGACCAGGTTCATCCAGGGTACCCTGCTTGATTCACACTCATCTACTGCAGAAGCATCACCTGTCCGTTACAAACTGCTTGTCTCTCACTTCTTTAAGTGCCAGCGCGACTCATGTTTTTTGTCATCTCTTTTTTTCCATGTCCTTGCTGCAGTACTAGCATCACTTCCTTATTTCCATGAAGGGTTTCATCTCCATCATCTTGAGGAAATTCTTGATTTGTTTCTTTCGTTAGCGGTTTCCAGTAGAGATGACCGAAATGTACCACCAAAAGTACAAAAACAAGAAACGAAGAAGAAAAGAAAAGGCGCAAAGAGGTGTACTGGCTGGACAGAGCGGTTTCGAACTTCGGGAAGGTGATCGGTATTTGACTTCACTTTGCTAAAGAATTCACGGCGACTGTATCAAGGATGTGGGAGTCAGAAAATGGAGAAAGATCTAAAGTTCAGGCATCGAGAAAGAGGCCATTTGGGCGTCAGGAACTGGTGTCAAGCTTTTAGGAATATGTCTATTCTGCCTCGCGTGGTGCAGAGCGCAGTATGTCTTGAAGCTGAGACGGGCGAAGCAGTTTGATGAGGAGTGTGGAGAATGTGTAGCCAATAATTGACGAGCGTGAAAATGCGGGCTCTGGCACAGCCTCACCAAAGCACTGTTTCAATTCCAATCAACTCCACCCATCTCGCATGCGAGTGATAAACAAGACGATGTGGAAGGCAGCAATATCCTCCATGTACTTATCGGCATCCATTCTGCGTATGGATTGGCTTGAGATGTTGCCATGAGCGCTCAAACTTATACATGTGCGTTGCTGCCCATCGATGCCCAATATCGCAGCTTGCTGTCTTGTTTATTAGTTTTTTTTACACAACCATGTAATAGCGATACTAAAGGCGGTTGGTGGAGCTGCAGACATCTCCTCAACAGCCAACTGTCATGTGGACGTGAATGACAAGGCTTTCATGCTGCAGTGATTAAGATAGAGTCAATAACTGACAGCGAAGAGATCATCTTGGTCTTAACGAGGGAGGTTTTGGTCTGCACACTTCATTCTTCTGTCCCCTAGAAGCCGGTTTTTACGGCGCCGTCCATGAGCCACTTATAATGACACTTAAGGTAGGAGATACGGGAGGGGGACATTGGTTGGATAGTCTAGTGAGGTGACATTAAAGTTGTTACACGAACTTAGAACAGACAGACTGCAGCGGGAGAAGCAAAGGAAGGCATGTGAGGGTGAGCCCCCTCTGGAAAAGTCCCAGGTCCTTTCAGTCACCATAAGGTGTAGAGGGCAAAGGGCAGCCGGGCGGGTGCAACACAGTGCTGATACAAAGTTTGTTCGTTGTAACTTTCCCACAGAAGTGCTCTCATTTCCTGTTGTTTTGCTTTCCAATATTCTAATATTCCACATCCTCGTCCTTCCGTTTGTCATCATCATCACCACCTTCATCAACATCATCCTCATTCAGACACTGTGTGAAGGTTCCTTTGCATCTGCTCATCGGTCTACTCACGGTTTTCAGGCACAAGAAAGATTAAGGTAAGGAAATATTGACCCCACACATCCCGCCCTTTATTCCCCGGTGAGAGATTGTCGATATACACCCAACTTTTGATTATCCAGAAACGACGAGCATTGAAAGGAGCGCTCATTGTCTCGCGTGTATTCTATCGAAGCATGCAGAAAGGAGAGAAACAGCTGTCTGTCAGCATTACTGACTGAACGATGACATTATAATCGCATTTACGACATAGGCAACATCAAGGGCCTTTGCTCACCCCTCACTCGAACCAATTGAATCGTCAACCTCGCAATGACGGCCGAAACACCTGAGGGTACCGTTTCAGTGGGCATGGACGAAATCGCTCTAAACGCCGAGCAGGTCAGCAGTCGTGACAAGACTAACGATAAGGACGATCTCGCACCGGTCGACGCTATTGTTGCTATCGGGAACGATATTCTCGCCAATGGCACAGGTCAGCGCAGCGGCACCGCGACACCCTCAGACATCGGCGACGAAAAAATGTCCTTCCACAATGCTGAAGACAACGAGGAAGACTTCCAAGACGCCATGGAGGATCTCCCCGCTACCCGAAAGCTCCACCAGCGACTATCATCCTACTCTCCTCAAATCCGTGAGTCCGAAGAGTGGGAGCAGATCATGCAGGATTGGGAGCGTGTCATGGCCGAGAAGCGGATCCAGGATGCGAAATTGAACCTAGTGGAGCAAGAGAACAAACGCATGAAGGCCCAATTGGTCGAGTCAGAGGCCAGTCGTGCTGAATTGGAGAAGGAGAGCCAGGAACAGATCCGTCGACTGGAGAAAGAGAACAAAGAGTTGGCCCTCAAAGCTAAAGACCCGACCAAGGAGAAGAAGGCGCTCATGAACCAACTGGAGGAGTGCGAGGCCGAGAAGGAGCTCTTCAAGTTGATGTTGGAGGAGACGGAGGGCGAGAAGAAGCGTATTGATCTGAAATTGACACAGGTGGAGCGGGAAAAAGACCTTTGGGCCCAGAAAGCGGAGCGGGTCAAGACTCTTAAGAACCGTCTCCGAGTCAAGGCTGCCCAGTTCTCATTGCTGTCCACCTCGACCTCCTCATTGCTGGCCCAGGGATTGGATGGTGTCAAACCGGACAAGGAGCGGAAGCGACTGATGGATCAGGTCACCACATTAGAGTCGGATCGATCCCGCCTCGCCGCGATGGTCAAGGACACGATGCACTCGACCGGCGATCATAGCAGCAACTCGTCCGCTGCTGATGCATCGACTCTTTCTAACCACGAGCTCGTGAACGAAAACCAGAGGCTCGGCAACGAGCTACAGATGTCCAAGGTCGAGAACTCGCTTTTGCAGCGTCGCATTGAGGCTTTCGAGGTAACTCTTCACGATGTCAGAGTGGCCCTGACTAACTCCGAAACACATGCCGAGAGTCTCGAGGCCAAGAAGTACGAGCTTCAGGATAAACTGGCGGCTGCAGAGGGCAGCCTGGATCGCGCCAGGGTTGAATCAACCAAATACCAGGCCCTTCACAAGGAGTTGCTCGAGAAGAACGACAAGCTGGACCGCGAGATGCAGGTGATCAAGGCGCGATTTGAGGCCAAAGACCGCGTCCTTGTTACAACACAAAAGCAACTGACCGCAGCCAAGGCCGATGGCGGGCTACTCAAGACCATCCGTCGCGAGCTCGAGTCGGTACTATTCGATTATAACACTGTCGTGCAGCACTTCATGGACATCCAGGTCCAAGCGATGGGCGCCAAGGCTCTTGCTAATGCCTTGAAGCGCCAGACGAACGAGTTGCAGGGGCAGCTAAACCATTACCGCACCATGCTGCTCGGTATCAAGTCCTTTAACAACAACGATCCCATTAAGTCTCCAACGGTGACAACGCTGCGAGCAGAATTCAGGGACCTACTGGAAAAGATTCAGGAGGAGCAGAACGCTCAGGTCGACAAGGAGCGTGCCGACAAATACAAGGCTCAAGACTGGAACCGCAAGCTGAGAATGGAGAAGGACTTTATGAAGTTGGAACTTCAGAACCAGATCGAGAAGTGGAGACGGGTTTCGGTCTATTGGGAGGACAAGTGGCGTAAGAGCGCAAACGATCTGCATGAGGCTGTGACCACAGGCATGAGCTCGGATATGCTGTTCGAAGTCGCCTCAACCAATATGGCCGGCGTTCAGCCTGGAAGCAACCCATCCTCGAAGCGCGCGTCCCTTGCCGTATCTACTGCGTCAGCAGGAAACACTGGTCATGTTCAAGATCAGTCCTTGATACCCTCGGCGATGAAACAACATATTCTCGACAATAGGTCGCGCCCAACTTCTGGAGCGGGAACCTTATCTCGTCAAACCAGCGCCTCGTATATCTCACCTACCGCTTCTGGCGCTGCAACTGGTGTTGAGTCGTCAGCAACGGTTTCTTCAACCGCTGGATCATCGTCAATTACAGAGTCCCTGACAGATCTCGTGAAACCGTTTTTGGGACGCGCTCTTTCTCAATCTGGGGGCTCTCTGGTTGGTGGTGCGGGTAGCAATCGCGGACCAGGGGATCCAGGTTCTCGCCTTGCGGCAGCAGCCACACTGCGAACGCCTATTGCTGCGGGCCTGCCATCCAATATCTCCGGTGTAGGCGCGATGGGCAACACCTCTGTCTCGAAAGCGTCCTTACGATCCAAGAATATGGCCGCATCAGCCATTGGCTCGGCGAGAAGTCAGGCACTGCGAGCTGGCGTCCCTGATGCGGTGGTTACATTGGCAAGCCAGGAAGCGCAGACAAGGGCCAATTCGAGTATTTCGACTGTTGCACGATCGGTGGATCAGGCCCTGAGCGAGTCAGACAGGTTAAAAGCGGATGTGCGACGAATGCTCAATCGTTAAAACATGACACAACTTACTGAACACTGGGAGATTATTACAGCACATAATAAAATGCTTTCAGCTTATTTTATTTACCTTGTTTTAAGACTCCATAATGGAGGCGCAAAGAGTCGTTCTTTCTAGCTAGTCTATGGTATATTAATTCATGGGCTCCTCCTCAATGATGCTGTCAGGCCATGTTCAAAGTCGAGCGCCTCCCTGAACCCTCCGCTTCTTGTCGAGATCAGCCTGTAGCTGGTGCAAGTCCATGTACCACATCCTGCCAGTTTCGTACTTGAGTTTCCTGAACTTGGATTTCATGGCGCCTCCGAGAACGTGTAAGTGCAAATGGTCGACGGTGTTGAATGGAGGGACATGGAATCCTAGTCTGCAATGGTATATCGTTAGCAACCAAGACACGGCTGACATGGTCAAGAAGGGCGAGCTGCAGGCACAGTTAATATTGATAAGGCGGCTTACTTGGATGCTTCGGGTTCATGTCCACGTTCTTTAAGCAGCTCCTCTCCTTTTTGCCGCATCTTTTCGAGTAAGCCAGCGTGTTCTGTGGTGATGGTCTTGACGCTCTCAATGTGGGCTACGGGCACAATCAGGATGTGTGTCTCCGCCGCAGGGTTGATATCGTCGAAGGCCGCAATTTCATTGTCCTACAGGCGAGATTCCATTGGAGAATACGGATATGAGTGAGCAGTTCGGCTCAGGAACACACAGTCAGGGCAACCGAGAGGGGGTGCAATGAACTTACCTTGTAGATCAGCTTTTCGGGGAGGACACCCTCGACTATGTTGCAGAAGATGCAGGGACGGCAGAGGACTTTGTCAAGGAGGGTCATGAAGTGCCGGAGTGTTCAATGGTGGAGGAAGTGCAATGAGCGAACGTTCACGAAGACCGAGTAAACGCCGAGTCCAATTGCCTGTGCCCTTTTGCCCAAAAAGCCACGCTCTTCTTGGTCGCCGTTAGGATGAAAGTTGATGTCTTTCAAGCGATTCCCGCGATCGTCGACCATCCCCTTCACCATTCCTCATTCCTTTAAACATGTCCAAGCCCTTTCCAGCTGTATATCCCTTTCTTGGGATTCTCTATCTATCTCAGCATATCCGCCAGCTCGGGCCTCAATTCTTGCGTTCCCTCCTGATCTCGTTCCTGACCACCCTCGCCATCCTCCTTCCCCTCTCTGCCCTTACCTTCAAATACCAGCGTCGTTTCATTCTGTCCATCCTTCGCTTCTTCTTTGCGTCGTTCTCTCTTTTCTTACCCTCATCAAAATCCATCTCGTTGCTCGGTTTCGATTTAACGACATGGTCAGCTCTCGTCCTAACCATGGGTGAGACCTCGCTCCTAGTTGCGCTGATCATGGGCGAAGTCCTCAAGAAGGAGAAATCTAAGGGTCTTTTCAAGGTTGTGATTGCACAGCAGAACGTTATCATGGGCCCTCTCGCGAGTGTCACCCACCTCCACGGCGTCAATAAGGGGCCGCGTCAGAAGGAGAATACACTCAACACAATCGATGAGAGCGACGATACGGTTACTGTGGCGGCTACAGAGGCTATGATCTCACGCAAGGAGTCCAAGCACCGAAAGCGGAATGTCGTCAAATCGGTATCAGTGCAGGTCGGCCAGCGGATCTTTCTCTGGTTCGTGACTCTGCCGCTGAACTTTTTTCCGATCGCTGGTCCCATCACGTTCTGCTACATCAATGGCAAGGCGCGTGCGCCGGACATTCATCGGCGGTACTTTGATATGAAGGATATGACGGTTGACGAGAGAAAGGAATGGGTTAGGAAGCGCCAAGTAGATTACACAACGTTCGCGTTTGTGAGCCAAGGACTGGAGTTGGTGCCAATATTTGGCATCTTCTTTGGGTTCACAAACACCATCGGGTGTGTGTTTTGTTCATATGCATATTTGCTTTATCGTTCATAGAACAATGTCGTGACAGTAACAAAATTGGGGTTTTTTTCATTTCGCACATGAATAGGGCTGCACTGTGGGCAGCAGACATGGAGCGAGACCAAGATGCCCTCAGGAACAAAAAACTCTTGGAGGACGCATACGCATCCGAGTCGTGAGGAGGATAATAAAGAAAGGTTCCTCAATATAACAATAGCCTTTGTCCTTTCTTTTCTTTTTGTAGTTTGATAAGGAGAGAGTATGGGTCGTGAGACCCTCCAAAAATTGCCGCACGAAAGACGAGCTCTCGTGAAGACGGGGTATGGATGAAAGTTTTCAAACAGCAATAAAATAACCTCAGCTGGGGCTTCACTGGTCATTTCTTGCACCTGCACAAGGATGGGGAACATTCCGATTCAGGGACTACTTGTCCTTTTATACTCGAGACTTGGCGCTGTGGACTGCTCTTCTCCTCTTCTTTGCAGCGCAATCGCATGTGGGACCTTTTTTGCGGGAGCAGAGATTGGTTCTAAATTATCGATTTTCAATCTCGAAGCAGTCTCATCAGCTTCGTTTCCCGTCTACCAAGAACACTTCATTGTTCAAATGAGCTTTCCCGTCCCGTCTCTTTGTTTTGTTTGACCTGAATGTTACTTCAGGGCAGGTAAAGTGTCCAACAGGCTGTGTACAGAAGTTGTCGGGCAGGAAAGTTGTTGGTTGATGAAAGACGGGCTGTTATTCAGGCACCCAAATATACAAAAAAAACTGGTGGCGCTTTGGATAGTAGTTCCATCTTTGATCGATCACTCCCAGGAGCACAGCACGCGTCAGACATGCCATTATGAACGACTCCGTTCTCTTGACTCCCGAGAGCTTGATATGCTTACTTCTCCTGCATGATGCAAAGTGCAGAGCAGCGAGGGCTGCACAGCACACGTACTCATCCCGAAATGGTAGATGTGTACCGATCAATGTCCTTTCCTTTGCTTTACACAAGATGGGGTATCATGCTATGTGTTCTGTGAAGAGACGATGGGCCTCAACGCATTGTTATATTGTGTGGCCGAACCGAATGAGATAAAAATAATTATAAATTTGTTTTTCTCGAAATTATATAAACTAAATCGCTTTCTCCCAAGTACCTCTCTGTCTTCACCGTTTCTCTCCCCTCTTTCTACACAGCAAACACATAATGACAACCGACATGATGGCCACCACCCAGAACCAGAATGCCCTCAAGTATTGGTAAGGACTATTGGCCATTTTTCACTCGATGCAATCCTCTCTGTTGATGTTAATACGTTGCATGTTCTCATTTCGTATTCGTCTCAATGATATACATACTAGGTCCCCGATCGCATATACTCGGTTCATGCTCTATATCAGTATGATATTCGTGTCCTTTACTACTCGATCTATGGCGCGGCAGTATCTTACTGAATGTCTAACAACCTCTTTTTATTGGGTATCCTCACTCATGCTTCAGCTGCGTACGTGCTTAGAACGACCGTGCGGCATTTATTCGGACGGACACCCAAGGGTCAAAAACTTTTGGAGGGCTACACGATCCAGGTCCTCAAGCTGGTCATGGGCACCAGCGTGCTCAACATTGCTCAGTCCCGCAAAATGATGGACGTTTCGAATGCAGTCGTTCATCTCCGCAACGGCACCTTCCGACAGAAATCCAAGGACCAGTGGGCGACCAAGGTCAAGGGCTCAGGATGGGAAGGCTTCTGGATTCCATTTAAGGATCAATCTTCCAAGGAAGCACTGAAGAGGGACCTGCAGAAGAACCCCACACCCGCAGATGTCGGAACTGACTGCGATATTATCATGTTTGCAATTCATGGTAAGAAGATGTCCAGAGGGTGTGTGGAGAAGCGACCAGTTGCTAACGAAATACGCTATGGTGTTACTTTAGAAATATTGCCTGTGCTCATTCATTTTGCCTTGTGTCGTGCATGTGTTTAACTCCCACTAATCTCGTTGTTGGTTCATTTGTTGCCCACTTTCTAGGCGGTGGGATGGTGATGGGCGACGCACTCATGTTCTTGGGTAACTACCGCGCATGGATGAAGGAGCTGCATACAAAGTACAACATCAAGGCCGCATTCCTCTCTGTTGAATATTGTACGTATGGCCTTGCTTATGATCGCTTGCTGAACTTGAAAACACCTCAACAGAAAACTGATATTCTTCTATTCATATAGCCATGTCGCCCGAGGTACCATATCCAGGCGCATTGAACGAGTGCGTGGCAGCATACAGACATCTGCTTGAGACTCAGCGTGTTGATCCCCGCAGGATTGTCATGTGTAAGGAAACTTGAATTATATAGTTTATCGAACAATGCTTTCAGCCGAACCTTTCTGGCATTAATAGCTCTTGTTATTTTTACTTTGAACAATGGTACAAAAGGCGGTGACTCTGCAGGAGGCAATCTCTGTCTGGCCACGGCTCTCAAGATCCGTGACGAGTACCCTCATCTTGGGCTTCCCGCAGGCCAAGTGCTCTTCTCACCCTGGGTTATGTGCCCCCAGCCCCTCAAGGACTCGCCCGACGACTACATCTCGAACAGGGGCGGCCGTACCTTTATGGAATGTTATACGCAGATGCTGGCCAAGGTGCAGACAAGCCCCTATGCGGCTCCAATCCGTGCGCAAACCTTGGCAGGCATGCCACGCATGCTGGTCTTTATTGGTGGCATTGAGACCCTGAGACCCTCCATTGAACGCTTCGTGGAAAAGGCCACTGCCGAAGGCGTGGATCTGGAGGTCCACTTGGCGGAAGGCAGATCGCACGACTATGCATTAATTGAGGAGATTTCTGGACGAAAGATTGTGAGAGAGGCAGATGAGACGGTTGCCAGATTTGTGGCGAGCACCAGGGATCGGCACATTGGATTGGCTGTTTAAGTATTGACGACGGAGTGGGCAAAGTAGTTTGATACCAGTTTGCTAATAAAGCAGCAATATGTATGTCTTTACATCACTCCCACCTTTTTATCGTACGCCAGTAGTCCTTCTCGGAAATATATACGAGTATTAGATAAAAAACTAGGCGGGACGCACTCTCAGCGCGGTGCTTTGAGACCTCCGCATATTGTTTTCATTTCTTGGTAGAAGGTCGCACAGCTGCACTCCATAACCGAGTCGTCCTCTACGTAGCAAGTGTCGCTCCCTAACCACGTTGAGGAAGAGGGGGGAAGGGAATTTTTTTCTTTTACCTTTGAATCAGTAACATCCTTCGCTAAAGTGCGATTGTCACAACGCCAGCTCTGGTAGGCTCATCGAATGCCGCTTTATGTGGGGTACAGACAGCTTGGCCGCCACCAATTTTGCAACTGAGTTGGTTTCAGCTCTCGCCGGAGCAGATTGCCTGAAGCCGTCTCCTCGTTCTCATTCTACTTCTTGGCCATCCATTCCTTTCTACGGGCACCGATTACAGCTTCTATTGCGGATCAGCAATATACAAACCTTACATAGCTGCTCGAGAAAAGACACGATTCGGAATCAGCTCTAATACACTATGGACGCGACTCTACGCCCTCAGCAACAATTTATATTGCGTTTGTCAACTGTAGCCAACCTCGCGCAGACGATTCAGACAAGGAAGGCAGGATGGAGAGGAAGTGTGGACAAAGACCGGTGTCGTCGGACATGACGCATGTCCAATAATGTGCAGGCAAGTAGGGTGGCAGGGTGAATGTGGAGGAAAACAAAATAAAATTACGCGCACACAGGCCGTGCCCGGCTACCGTAACCCGTCGGCCACTCGGGGTTCGCACCGCAAATCCGTAAGTCGATCTAGGTTAAACAATCGTCCACCCGACCCACCCCACGCCTTACTGTTTTGCTGCCTCCTCCCCCTCATCTCCCTGCTCCTTTTTCAACTCATTCCACCTGATTCTGCTCATCTTTGTCATCTTCATCTCTGCTGTCCCATCATTTTCTTTCTTGCTATTTCTTTTTTCTATCTCTCTAAAGTGTCAGTCAACCTCTAGTTTCCTGATTTTATTGTTTGCTTCCCTCAAGCTATGCCCTCCACCGAGAACCAGCAGCCGCTCGATATTGCTGCCGAGCGTGCCAAATGCACCTTCGACCCCGCATCCCTAACTCCGCTCTTCTATGGGGGCGAAGAGAAAATGCGCCAACTCAAGAACATCGAGGCCATGATCGACAGTGACCCCGTCTTTGATCGCTCGGACCGATATTTTCTTGGAAGAACTGAGGTATAGTCCCTCCCCCTCCCCCCTCCAAAGCTTGATGCGTATTCAAACAGTCGGATACTTGTTGAAGCAAGTGGCAATGAACAATTGACAATTGAACCAAATTTAGAAATGTTAGTTCTAACATATATTTCTCACCTCACGTCATGCCCCGAAATGATGATCGTAGCGCTTCAAGCGGGCCTTGCCAATGGTGAAGCGCTATGTTGAGTTGAGAAACGAGAATGGTTTCACTCCAGAAGAGTCCGCATACTTCAAGACCTATGTGGACGACTACATTCCCGTACATCTTCATGAATGTAAGTGTGGGCCAGCGAGCAGGGAAAGAGAAGTCGAATGACAATGGCCTTTTCCATACTGACACATAACTTTTCTTATGAAACCTTAGCTATGTTCCTGCCTGTACTCAGAGCCCAGGCCAGTGAGGAACAGCTCAAGAAGTGGGGCCCATCCGCTGAAAACTTTCACTATATTGGATGGTGGGTCGTGAATGTGCCAAGGTGCTAGGGTACCTGCCTTATGCGCGCATGCCTAGAATCCCTGTTATTAACACAGAGCTACACCCTTCGCTGCTGTGAATATCATTTTGATCGCATACTAGCTACGCCCAGACCGAACTTGGACATGGCTCAGCACTGTCTCGCCTGGAGACCACAGCGACGCTCGATACCGAGCGCGATGAATGGGTGATTAACTCCCCTACACAGTCTTCTGCCAAGTTTTGGATCGGAACACTGGGAAAGGTAGCCAACCATGCCGTTGTTCAGGCCAAGCTAATCATTAACGGCAAGGACTATGGCGCCCACCCCTTCCTCGTGCCTTTGCGATCGCTGAAGGATCACAGCTTGCTGCCCGGCGTCGTGATCAAGGACCAGGGTCCCAAGCAGGGTGCCATCTCCATGGATAATGGATATGCCCGCTTCAACAACGTTTGCATCCCTCGCGAAAACGTAAGTACACCACGCAATCATTCTTTTTCCGTATAGCTTTAGCCTGGGATGACTAAAGACACTGGCGTACAACTTTCTTCTCGATCATTAGATGCTGATGCGATTCTCCCAGGTGTCAAGAGAGGGTGTTTACTCAAAGCCCATCCACCCAAAGCTTGCCTATGGAGGCATGACCGCCGTCCGCACTACCTTGATCAACCATTCAGCACTCTCCATGGCCCGAGGTGTGTATCCCTTTCGTCTATTTAATCTACTGCCAATGCTAGTTAGCATTCTTAACATTAACGTCTTACTTACCCCTCTTCTACAGGCGCAACCATCGCAATCCGATACTGCGCCGTCCGCCGTCAGGGCAATGTGAATGTTGCCACTGATCTCGAGACGCAGGTTCTTGACTATCCCGCAGTCCAATACCGTGTTCTGCCTTTGCTCTCTCACGCGTTTGCCACCATCTTTTCAGGCTATTGGATGAACGAAATGTATGCGCAATACAATGCCAACATCTCCAAAGGCGATACCTCGTTGCTCAAGGACGTTCATGTGTACTCGTCAGGACTGAAGTCTTATTGCACCAAGTTAGGCGCTGACGGCATCGAAGAGGCAAGAAGATGTCTTGGTGGGCACGGTTACTCCCTGTTTTCGGGAATGATTGATTTCCACCGGCAGTTCCTGGCGACGGTGACCTACGAGGGCGAGAATGCACTCTTGACGGTAATGATTATAGGTTAACTGTCGCTCTTCTGGTCTATTTCGTCGATAACAGTTGATCCTCATTATTTTTTTTGTTTGTTCGTGTGTTTGTGAACGATAGCAACAAGTTTCGCGCTATCTTCTGAAGCTGTACAAGGATGCGGTCCGTGATCCCAAGCTTAAGTTATCGCCTCCCTCAAAGTACATCCTCTCACTCGCGGATCATGGTGCGTTCGTCCAGCAGAGATGCCAGGCGCGTTCAGCTGACGATCTTTATAGGGCTGATGTCGTTCTGGCTGCGTTCCAGCATCGCGCTGCTCGCTTGATCTATGAGCTCGCCCAGGCGGAGAAGGCTGGTCATGCGTGGTCCGATCTCAATCTCGAGTGCATGCGTCTTTCCAAGGTAGACGAAAACGCCTTGATTGTACACACAGGTTTCTTTATTATTATGCTATAACTCATGTTAACCACCTCTTCTCACGACGAAAACCGCGAACGATAGGCCCATGTGCAGTACATCATGATCGAAAATTTCTACAATGGTCTTGAGAAGCGATACAACGCATCGTCGAATCCTACGCATGAGCAGCAAAACCAGCTGGCAGCAGTCCGGTCCGTGTACCACCTCCATGTCTTCTACACCATGGAGACAGAGCTGAGCGAGTTCCTTGAGGACAGCTACTTCAATCCTGAACAGGCAGCCTGGGTGCGCCAGGGTGTCAAGGACTGTCTTAAGGCTGTACGGCCCAATGCAGTTGGGTTCTCAGATTGCTTTGGGTTTACGGACACGTTCCTGAACAGCGCATTGGGTTCGTTCGATGGACGGGCATATGAACGCATGGCAGAGATGACGGAGCGCGAGCCATTGAACTCGAAGGAGATGTCAAACGAGAAGGGGGTGATCTGGGGTTACGAGCAGTACCTGAAGCCGCTAATTGATGGCAAGGCTGGACCATACAAGGGCCGTGGTGCATCCAAGCTGTAGGGGCCAAAGTCGTTTGCAAGAACTACGCCAGGCAACAAAATCCTGGAAATATATGCATGGAGAAGCAGAATCTAAAAGGAAGGAAATGAAGGGGATATGTCAATTTGTGTGAAATGAAATAAAAAAAGGAGCTGTGCTCTGGAAGTATGTAAAGGGTAACCTTGGTCGGATGCTTGTTTGTATGTCATGTCTAACTGGCTATTTTTGTTCGCAAGAAAAATGCATTCAAGACGGATTGCAAGACAGCTCATGTACTAATGATGCCGATTCTGAAATTGGGATGATCGATTCAAGTGTGAATGCTTTCCCCCCACTGCCGGGACAATCTGTGGTCTGATTTGCCGACATGAAGCAATAGACCGCACGCCTTTTTTATTATTAAACCTTGGCTATTCTTATCACACTCTCATACGTTCATTGCGAGCGCCTGCTGTGATCTTTTCCCTTCTACTGCTTGTTCTCCTTGTCTCTTTTCTTTTCCCCTTGTCTCATTCCATTCCACATCCTATCATCGCATAATTGAACCCATAACAACACCAATGTCTCTATCACAGGCCATATCTCCCGAGCCACCAGCTGTGAACAAGACCACAAAACCAAAACGGTCCGTCTCGTTCTTCAACCACGTCGTCCTCTCTGCGGACGATACCGCGCCCTTCATTCCAAGTAACAGTCGGCTCGGTCGGTCTTCATTTCAGCCTGGAAGGCGGAAGGGATACGTCCGAAAGGGGCCCGTTGGATCTGACAGCGAAGCAGACACAGAGAGCGAGGACGACGGCGACAAGCACGAAGAGGATGAAGAGGATAAGGACAAGGAGGATTCAGATCAAGAGCAGCATTCGGCAGATAAAGCAGACACGCACACTAATAATCCTGCGCACCCCAGCAACCAGGTACTTGGCGCCAAGGCAGCCATGCGACCAGGACAGAACTATGTACGCAAAGCACCCGCCAGCTCTGACACTGAATCGGACGAAGAGGACGCAACAGATACAGTGCCAAGAAACTCAAGTGTTCAACCGGCAGCGAATGCTGGTAAGGACGCCGCTGACAGTGATACTGATAGTGATGATAATGACAAGGACATCGGCACTCTCGTACGTCCGTTTGCGCATAGTCGAGTCTCAGGACCCGGTCAAAACTACGTCCGCAAGGCACCCGTCAACTCGGATGGTGAATCGGAGGATGAGCAATCGCAAGGAGCAGGAAAGAACGGAATCGTGAGCAGTCTTAAGATCGCAGAGGCTTTCGCCAAACCAGCTACGGCGAAAACAGCGGGACAAAATCAGCCGGACAGATCCCCGCAGCAGGAAACTGGGCTGTTCAGTGTGCCCATACCGACGACATCTCTGGCAGCGGACCAGTCCTTCATCGGCGCCCAACCAACATCAAGGACTGGCGGTACGGTCGCATCGACAGTTACCACCATGCCTGTTCAACCTGCCCAGCCTGTGATAATGGGTATCTCTCCGAGCACAGGCTATGTCCCAGAACTTGGATTGACCATGAACAACTCCAGTCCTGTGGCTCCTGCCAGCATCGTCAACTCTATGGCCGTCTATCAGCAGCAACAGCAAGAAATGATGTTAATCATGCAGCAGCAACAAATTCAGATCGCGACCATGCAACAGCAGCAACAGGCATACCAGCTCCTTGTCCTTCAACAACAACAGCAGCATCAACAACAACTTCAGGCCGTCCAAATGCAGCATTCCCGCCAGGACGACGATGACGACGACGACGACGTACCGTTAAGTGAAAAGAAGCAGCAGCTTCCTCAAGTGCCGCAGCTGTCGTCTATCGCCTATGGTCAACCAGGGATATCTCCGCTGCAACAACCACAGCCAATTTTCGGGTCGCTTCCAACGGCCCAGTTCTCGACTGACCAGCAAACATTGATTCTCCCGCTGCCGCTTTCACTCCCCCACTCGCGGCAGGCATCAGGATCATCCATGAACTCCCTGAATTCTACTGCGTCAGCGACCTTGGTGCCTCAGTATCATTCCCAACTCGGAGCATCTTCCCCTTTGAACCTTGCCACATCCTCACCGCTGCTGCAGCCTCATCAACTCCATCAACCCTACCAAAACCACCAATACTCTCACTCGCTCACCCAACTGCAGCCACGAATTCCGGACTTTACTGAAGAGGAGCAGGAGCAACAGCTCCACGGCGGTTTCTCGAGCGGTGTAGCAGCGCCCAAGTTACTCACAAGCAGCTTCCCTGCAGGATATCGCAGCAGCGTCGGATCCATCCTACCGACGCAGCATTTGAATTTCGATCGGAATTCAGTGAACTCGCTCCATTCGATCGGATCAGGCGGCTCTGGCAACGGTGGGGTCGGCATAGGATCGAGACCCAATTCTTCCAGAAACTCGTTCCTGCCACAACAGACGCTCATCCAATCCATATCCACGCCGCCTCAACAGCATTACCAGCAGTCATACTCTCCTCTTAACCCTCACTACCACCAAACCTTGATCCATGTGGAGGCCAAACCCCCACCTCCACAAACAGGACTGGTCGGCGCCATCAGTGCGATGGAGCGCGAGAAGAAGCTGGCCAAGATTCATGGAACCAACCAACTGCAGTACCAGCACCAACAGCATCAACAGCAGATGATGATTAGCGCTGAGAAGGAGCGGTGGTTGCAGGAACAGCGGCGGCTTGCATATGAGGCTGAGCAACAGCATGATCTTTCACAGAATATGCATCTGCAGCAGCAACTGCAGCAGCAACAGCAACAGCAACAGCAACAGCAACAGCAACAGCAACAGCAACAGCAACAGCAACAGCAGCAGCAGCAATTGCCATCATTCACTTTGCCGGATATTCCTACGGCACCTCTTTGGACAGTTGAGAATGGGGAGGACGATAATCGGCCTCTAAGCGGTGCCCACTAATGTATACATTGAATAAAGATCTATTGTCTTACCAGCTGTCTCTAAGCGTTTCGGAGAAAAACACCCCTCCTCCCATTAGCGACTTGGAACAGTATTACTTAGAAGAGTGAGCGTTCACATGGTGCTTCCTGGTTCCTGTAATGTGATCATCGATAGCTCAGAAACGCAGAAGTAAGATCAAGTCACTGCGTTACGGGCCAAATGTTCGCAAGGGAACAAGGACTTTATTTTATATTTTATATTTTATCAGGTCAAGTTGATGCTTCATTTGTAGTTTTTTTTTTCTTTTCTTTTCTTTTTTCTTAGTGTTCAGGCGCCGCCAGAGAGATTCATCATCTGGCACGCTCAAATGAGATTACGATGGGTTTTTGCAAGTGGAAATGCATATTAGGGCAAGAAAAGAATGAGGCGGACAAAAATATAGGGTAGGATATATGGCGCTGTAAATAACACGAGCGAAAATAAGAAGAAGAAAAAAAAAAAAGAAAAATAGAGAGAGAAAAAAAAAATCGCTTCCAGAAAGCAAAGAGGACACTCTCCTACCGATTTCTTTTTCTACTTCTTCTTTCTTCTTCCTCTTCTTCTTGTTGTTGTTGCTTTTGTTGTGACCTTTAAATGAGCTGAAGATAATTGCTAGGTGCGATACCGACAATGCCGTCCTGCTTACGTGCCTGCCACCACTTGCCCTTGTTGTCGACAATGTCCAGGACCTCACCCTTCACAAAGCTGAGTTCATTGTTGTCCTCGGGGTTGGCATCGTACGAGTACAGGGCGCGAGCCTTGTAGGCGTACTCCTGCGACGGTACCACCACAACCGAGCTCAAGTTGTCCTGAGCCTGTTGGTTGGGCGAAATAGCACCGTGGTGCGCAACTCCATTCGATACAGCCGCATTGTTGCCGGCAACGCCAGGCGTGCGTGGGATGGTGAATCCGTTGATCGTGCGCTTCGCAAGAGAGTCCTCCTCCGCACCGAAATAGATCACCCAGAAGATCTGTTTAACAGAATAGAAAGAGTGTTAGATATCGGCTTCTGGCAGCAATTCGTGCATAGCTCAACTTTTTTTTTTTTTTTTTTTTTTGTCTTCCTTCAGCGTTATGAAAAGACATACCAAGACAAGGGACTGGAAGATGAAACCAGATCCTACAGCGCTGTACTTGTTGGATCTGATGTTGATGGTTGATTCGATGCAGATAAAAAGGAGGGACAAGGATCCGGCAATGAACGTCAAGATCTAGCGTAATCCAATGAGGGTGATAATTTTAGGTCAGACGCATTGGCATGTACAGATAAACAGAACAGAAACAAACAATCTTAAAGACAAGAAAAGAAAAGAAAAAAAAGTCTCCCAGGATGTACTTACCACGAGGCGGTAGTTATGGACAGCCTCTGTTGCGACGGCCAAGGTGGCTCCGAGCAGGATGAAGAGATTGTAGAAGGTTTCCACCCAAACCAAGTGGATGGTGGATCCGATCGTGCACGCGGCAACAAACGTGATGAGCCAGCCAATCTATTCATACAACAAGCATGCCAAGGTCACAACAGAGTGGTAGGTTAGTTTTCGTGTTGAAAGGTGGGTTGAGTTTTCTTGGAGGTCGGCAAGGGCAGTATTCCTGAGGTAAACATTTTTTTTTTTTCCATCAGATGACTGCCCCAGTCCATCCCAGCAGCCGATAGTTCCACTCCAGTGGTCCGATTTGACTGTTTTTATGGTCTCAGGGGGAGGAGCATGGTGTCGACGCTCGGACAGCATTGCTGACAGTTGTATCCCTTCCTGATCTACAGGTCCAACTGGTGGAATGCTGGACAGCCCTTTGCCTGCGTTTCCTCAATTCCATAATCTTGATCCTTTAGATGTCGGGCTCAGCGTGGTGGAAAAGACTGTCTTGTTGCGGCTTTCATCTTTGTTGGTATAAACAGCAGGCGTCGCATAGGTAAAATGAAATATATACCGAGATTTGCTGTTGCTATCCAGTTCCCCAGGTCTTCATGCCATGTTTGGTTGATTTGTTTGATTGATGGTGCTCGTCTTTTATGCATCGGTGCATTGAGAGCGGTGTGAAGGCAACGTGTCATACGACCATACGGCCTGTTCGCATAACGTGCTTGAAACTGTTGAGTTGTCCGCTGCCAGAAAAAAAAAATCCTTGCCTCTGTACCACCATGCGTGCTACCGTGTCCGTTGTATGCCAATGCTGAAAATGACCTGGGAAAAACACTTACTACAAAGAGAATCAGCGAGCACAGGAAAAAGGGCTGCGCCAGAACTAGGCCGAAATCGATATATGCCATGGCGGACGTTAAAGTAAGTCAAAGGAATGGACCGCTGGTTCCTGGTCTAAGAGTGTCAATGGAGTAGGTTCGGTGGATTTTCTGTACTAAGGAAGAGTTATTTTTTGTAAAGAGGAAAGAGAGAGAGATGGATGGATGGATTGCTTGGTGTTAGAAGAAATTAAAATAAAAAGTGCCATGCCACTTTGGTTCAAACAAAGGAGGGCCATTCCGAGCGCCCGCCACCTATCTCTATTCTCTCGCATATTCCCCTCCCCCCTCTTTTGTCTATTGTGCCTGATGCTGTTGTCATGGGAGAGTTGGCCACTAAAACAATGCAGGACAGGATAAAAATACAGATACGCTTTTGCTGGATTATATCCCTCCCGTAGCAGCCCTCCGGTCATAGTCATATGCCATAGTGAAAATTCAGATGGCTGTCCGCAGTGCAATGGAAAGTCAAGAAGCTTTGGTTACAAAGCCGCAGAGTAGTTCGCCAAGAAATACACAGCCCGAGGAGACAACAACATCCGCCGTTGTGTATGCGCAAGATATCGAATAGGGTAGCGTAAAGCGTCGGAGGTGCAGCTGTGATGGCAATGTCACTCGTCTCTCATCAAAGGTCATGAGCATACAAAGGGAAGATGGAAGAGAGATAAAGAAGGAAGGGAAGAGAGCTGGAGAGGGCAAAAACTTCTACGGAGAAAGGTTGGAGTTCAAGGAGGGCGGTGGGTGTGCGTGATAGAAGATCGATTATGTGTCAATTGCCAAGGTATTCCATGGGCTGGAATGATAGCAAGAGACAAGACAGTAGAAACATCGGTGCTCCTGGGAGAGGGGGTTGGGGAGGAGGTGTGCTGACTGGCTACTGATGGCTGGCGGAGTGTGGGACAGATTTTCAGGTACAAGTTTCGAAGGGAGGAGTGTGCTGCCAGTTGGATTGGATTGGATTGGATTGGATTGGATTGGATTGGATTGGATCGGAGTAGATTGGATCGAGGGTAGATGTCGATGAGGGCTCGTTACCTGATGAGCGTCGAGCGATTGGGAGTGTTCCTGAAGGGGATTGTCGATCGCCGAAGAGGAGGAGGAGAGTGGGGACAGGGTGGTGTTGTTTGTAAGACCAAGAAGAGAAGAAAGAGAACCCTGACAAGGCAAGGCTTCGTCTTTCAGGCCGTCGTTCCTGTATAGGTCTACTGTGAGTTGTGGGCCGGAGTCAGTGAGTCGGTGCTCAATCCTTCCAAGGCTGAATAGACTGAGAGCACACAACTTAATTTCCCTTTGCAATTTATGCCCTCAAGATCAAACAACATCTCCTGTTTCTGCTTAGTGCCTACTCATGCCCTGTTCCTGGAAGGAAGTGGGTAAGCACCACAGTACACAGACACTCTTAAACACATACACGGGCCTTATCAACTAAGCAGCATTGGACCGTTTAATGGGCCGCACTCCGTATCTCTTTATTTCTCTTGCCCTGAAGCCCTTTGTAGATCCCAGTCCCCATGTTCCAGTCCGACGCCATGAGCTTTTCTTCTTCTATACGCCATTGCTCCGTAATTCAACTAACACAGATGTCTCCGGTGTGTTTTTGCGTGTTTTCTTTGGAGCACCTTCACGTCTACTGCGGTTCTCATCTGCACCAGGCCATTACGACGGAAGTCCTCTGTTCCTCACGCGCCAACGCTATCTTGCTTTATCAAATTTGTTCCTATAGCGTTTTATGAACTCCAGCTACAGCTCAGTCGGTTGATAAAATAACGAGCCCTTCCCTTTAAGGAGCTCCTCAGGCAATCGTTAAAATTGTCCTATGCTTGAACCTCTTACAGAAAGTTTGTTGAATTTACACTTTTGTCACCACGTCGATCACCGCGCTGGCCTCGTCCATGATCAAAATCCTATAGAGTGCGTATCTGTTCGACCAAAAAGCTCCCTCCACCTAGGCGCGATCTCAATCAAGAGTCCACCCACAAGAGAGCAAACGTGGCCCTCATCTTCAAGTATTCCTCACAGTTCCAAATCCTCATGCTCGTAGAATGAATCCATGTTATCGCGGACATCTCCAGCAAACAATAAGGACTGATCGGCACGGATCATAGGGTCCAATCGTCGAGATACCAATGCCGTCAGTCTCAATCGAACCGAACCACCTTCTTCATCTCCATGCACACTCTTGAGCTTCTATGCTGCTAGCGTCGATTAAAGTGATGGACTGCATCCTTCCATACTATTAACTGATAGCGGCCTCAATACTTTGAAATAGCGAGTGTCCCAAGTCCATGCTTTCACGATATCAGGTCGAGTAGTTCTTAAACATGACTCATCCTTGTGGCCAGTTCTGTTGAATCGCTGTGCTCATGCTTGTCTTTGCTTTAAGAGCAGCTATCCTTGATAATCAGGGGCTGCCTTCGGGTACTTTTTCGCAGCACTTCAGCACTCGCTCCATGCTCACTAAACGATTTTGCAATGAAACTCACCAGGTACGTGATTGTGAAGATGACCATAAGTACACACACTCAGTGTTAGCCTGCCTTCCCGGATCCCCGCTCATCGTGCTTCCAAACGCTCAATAGACTGGTCTTAAGGACGATAATAGATCACCCCCCTCCCAATCACCTATTGGACCTGGACAACCTGGTCTAGTAGGAATGATATATCAGTGAGGCCTGATGAGAGTAAGCGAGCTCTGTCGCCACAGTTAGCATCTGAAAGTGTGTTCTCGCACACTGCAGTGTACTATGTAGGTGTGCCCTGAAGACTACGATTCCCCGCGTTTTGATGCAAGGTCTGCAGAAACGCTGTCCTACTACCTCATTCTCGACGAGTAGACTTCAATCACAACACAGGGTTCGTCAAGTGGATGGGACGGCTATGCTTAACGTGCTATTTTAACAATGGTAGTGAAGAATCTTTATGTGGTTGTATTATAGCGCATTTAAATAGGCAACTCGAAGCTGACGTTGATCTTGGCCTCGCGAGCCATGTTGACCATCTTGCTCAGCTTGACAGACTTGCTGGCGGCATCATCCAAGTCGTCCGAGGTGATGATGCGAAGACCAGACTCGGCAATCAACTTCTTGGCCTCATCGACCTCAGTGCCCTGGAGACGGACAACAAGGGGGATCTGAAGCTGGAGAGTCGAGGCAGCGGCAATGATACCCTGAGCAATGACGCGGCACGACATGATACCTCCGAAAATGTTAGTGAAAATGGTGGTAACACGGGGGTCAGACGAGATGATCTTGAAGGCCTCAGTGACCTGCTCAGCAGTGGCTCCACCACCGACGTCCAAGAAGTTGGCGGGCTCGCCACCGTGCAACTTGATGATATCCATGGTCGACATGGCAAGACCGGCACCGTTGACAAGGCATCCAATGGATCCATCCAATCCGATGTAGTTCAAGTTGTACTTGGCAGCAGCGACCTCACGAGGATCCTCCTGGGTGACATCGCGAAGGCTATGAACGTCCTTCTGACGGAACTCGGCATTGTCATCAAAGTTGATCTTGGCATCCATGCAGATAACTAGCAGATATGATGTTGTTAATATAACAGTCAGTTTACCGAACTCTTATAAAAAATAGTATAATTCATAGAGGCGCGAGACAATGAAACGGAAAAAAATTTACCTTCGTGGTCAGCCGACTCAGCCATAGGGTTGATCTCGACCATGGTGGCATCCTTCTGCATGAAGAGATCGTACAAATTGATCATGGTGTCGGTGGCCTGGTCGACGCACTTGGGGGTGAATCCCATGCGCTCAGCGAGGTCACGGACGGCAGCACGGTCGACGCCCTTGTTGATGTCAATGGGCAATTGGAGAATGGCCTCGGGGTTCTCGGCAGCGACGGACTCGATATCGACACCTCCCTGAGAAGAGGCGACCATGACGGGGCCCTGGGACTTGCGGTCCATCAGGACAGCAAAGTAGTACTCACGACGGACGTACTTGCGCTCGCAAATGTAGACAGCATTGCAGATCTTGCCTGCAGCGCCGGTCTGCTTGGTGACCAGCTTGTGTCCGAGCATCTGATCAGCGAACATCTTTGCCTCGGTGGGACTATCGAGTGATTACGAGAAGCATGTAAAGATTAACAACTTGCAGCTCGCGATCTCCCATTAAAAGTGCCTTTGTCGCCAGTTGATAAAGACTTACGAGAAGATAGTGCGGACACCTCCCTTGAGACCAGAGTCGAAGGTACCCTTGCCACGACCGCCGGCCAAAACCTGGGCCTTGATGACCATGTCCTCAGTTCCTATTCAGTTGTGATCGACATTGGCCAAAACGCGGGTTAGAACTGAGGTCCATGTGCGCCCTAAAAAGTTATCAGATCCGTTGAGGTCTGACCCTGAGTGGTATATCCACCAGCCATATCCTGTTTGTCTGGGTTGAGACAATCCTGCTTGATCTAAATGGTACTTCATCGACACTATGCGGCATTCTCCTCTTCAGGAATAGCGGGGTTGTCTCAGGCGTCATAGTCCATTCTGGGCGAATCAATTGACATCCGATCTCAAATTCGCTTATCGGAAACATGTGTATGCAGACCCATACAGCGGGATCGAGAGAGAGAGAGAGAGCCATGTTGGCATCGTTGGACGTAAAAGATGATGATAAATGGGCTTACCAAGGCTCTGGGCGACCTTGTAGGCCTCAGCGCCGGACTTGGCGACACCGCCGCGAGGGGTCTTAATACCCTGCTTCTGGAGAAGATCCATGGACATGTATTCATGGATCGAAAGGAAGCGCTTTTGCTGCTGGGCAGCAGGGTTCATGCGGGGCTAGATAGAAGCAAAGACCCAAGATTAGATCACATCGTTAGTGATATTACGAGCATTGGCGTTTCCCCCCGCAAACCGGATATGGTTAAAGATGGGGTAACGAGGATGAACAAGGATCAGGCTGACTGATTGCAAAAAAGCGATTGATGATCATCAACACAATAAACAAGCGTATCCTGGATCTTATCCTGCTCTCTCTTCTTGTGTGGTGTCGTCCACTACATAAAAACATAGTGTTCATAGGCGTTTGGCTGGTTCCGGCGGTATATCGTTCCTTTTGTCCAATGTCAAAGGAGGATGGCGATGCTGTTTTTAAGGATCGGCGGAAAGACTCAACGCGCGTTGATCCGGGCGAAGGAAGGCTGTCGCTCGGTGTTGGCAGATTTAGGAGGAAGTGTGTTGTGTGATCCGGGCCATCCAACTGCTGCCGGGTTCGCCCTTTGTGCTGCCCCCAAAATATTCTCAGGCACCTTCTCCCCCAAGAAAAACATAACGGTGTTCAAACAACAACGCGAAAAGAAAAAACGAGGATAGCAGGGACGAGGGGCGCGTGCATGTGTGGTAGGGTTGTTTTGCATTAGTCCATACCATGGCCTTGGCAAGGGCCGAGGCGGATCGGATGGTGCGGAACATGTTTTGATGTAGAGTGTAAGAGAGTGGAGAGGGATGGACGGGAAAGGAGTTTCGCACTGTCGTGAAAAATAAATAACACGGACGACGACACAGCTGAGAAGCAAGCCTGCACTGCTCTGACTTTACGTACAAAAGCCCTCTGGAAAAATAAAATATTCAATTGTATGCTATCGCCATGCAAGCTCGGAACAGAATACCCGTCGCAGCAAAAGTAATTGCGCATTCTAGCCGCCGGTTATCCGGGTGAAGATAGTACTCATTGGCAGAGTGGCACATGGGTGCTACATGTATAGCAGCAGGAGCAATGATGACATACAGTCTGGTCGCTCGAAATTGAATGCAACGGAAGGACAGTAAGAAAGATGTATTATGTCCTTTGTTTAACATGCAAACCCACCATGAAACCAGTATTTTTATATTCCATTGCCACCATGGAGTTGTCCTACACCCTTTTGATGAGAGTATACAGAAGTAAGAGCGTACAATTGCTCTTCTCCGGCAACGGTGCTTGAAGCGCGAATTGTTTAGTTCAGTTCTTTTTCTCCGTACGTGCTTTCGATCCATTGCAGTAATCAGCAACATGTCGGCTCTCTTATTCTTCGCACCAATATGGACACAAAAGCGGTGCGACCTGATGGGCCGTACTTTCTTGTGCCTGAATTATTTCGTTTACACAGGGTCGGCTTCAGTTGAGAAAAATAAACAAACGGCATCGACAATACTTGCGCTAACCCTCATTGCTCCGTTGACACTCCATTGCTCCGTTGACACTCCATCCCCCTCACGCACTTCAACCCTTTTAACAACTTTTATTTCTCATATCAACAATGGCTGGCGGTATGGACTCGAGGCTTGAACTGAACTGCACCTATAGACTCTTTTTCGCTTTTAGTCATACTCCGGATACTTTTCTGGCACTTCTGAATGGTATATGTGCACTACAGCTCAAAATTGTCCTAACCAAGTTACTGTTCTATGTATTCCTCTAGGTAAATGGATGGGCTGGTGGGGACACTTGGGCGGCCTCAAGCAGCGCGGTATCGTCACCTACAGTTTGTCGCCTTATGAGCAGCGCGCCTTTTCTGGTGCGCTTCACCAGGCGGTCTTCAACACCTTCCGCCGCGTCTCCGCTCAGGTCTTCTATATCGGTACTCCCTTCGGTTTGGGCTATGCTACCTACGTCTGGGCCAAGGCGAACCACGGTACGTTTTATCAAGGACTCGTTATGTCAGGTGGAATGTCAGACTTTGTACTCGGTTACGGATACCACTTTGGATCGTCAAAGCAGGAAAGAGTCGTTCATTTTGGCGACATCAACGACGCACAATGATACGAAGAACACATTCCGATATGTATCGCGGATCTATGATAGCAGTTTCAATCGAGCACGTTTCCAACGACAACATTACTCGGATCAAGGCAAATTGCTGGGAACCATATGAATGTGGAGACTAACCCTGCGCTTTTTATTGGATCAATAGAGTTCCGCCTGAGCAAGGCGGGCCATGCCTACTATGGTCCTGGCGAGCATTAAGACGTTCACGAATTATTGCAGTAATACATACACCCATATAGAGGAAAGGCCTAGAAGACCTAGAGGACCTATAGAGGATTTTTTTGTATTGTCATTAAACAAACCTAGCGGACAAGTTTTGCAGCAACTTATCAACTTTGTATTTCTTGGTTCACATTCTGATGCATCCAAGGCTGCCGGAAGGGGAATATATATTAAAAAGTACTTAGCATTATATAGAGGGATTTAATTACATAGTACCGACAATTGCCCCGCTTTCAACGCTTTCAGCTGTGTACTCGATCGCCCTGGCCTCCTTGAACCCGCATTCGTGGATCAAATACATGCATCGAGCCATATCCAATAACTTTTTGCATCGCTTTCCCAGAACTCGCCTTTGGTCCCTCGTCATAACGTCTTCACCGTTGCCGTTCGCGCCTGATGTTGTTGGTGAGTCTTTTCCTGGCCTAGCAACCAAAGAGCTTTCCTCTTGCTTTCCCAACGTTGCCCATCCTGTCAACTTAATAATCCAAGGGATCCATGAGTCTAATTGCTCTTCAGAAACTTGCCATTCCTGCTGTTCCTGCTCTCTCTGGCTATTATTTTGTATTGAGCCCCCAAGGTCGTGTCCATGTTCACTCTCTACCCTCTTCCGTTTCTTAATCCCCGCCGCACTCAACAGTTCCAACAAATAGGGCTTTGCCACAACCAATGATGGCTCACATATCCCATGACAACATGTCGCGAAGCAAATCGAATACGAATCCTGCTGAGACGACTCTTTCGGCCCTTGCTGCTTCTGTTCTCGCATCCATGCAAGAGCGAGATCTGTTGCTGGTCCACAAAAGTGTTTTGATATGCAGATGTAATGGGTGGGAATCGCCGTCGATGCCTCTTGTGGATCCACTTCTCCACCACTTTCTGTCCATTCTGGTCGAGCAATCCCAGGTTCCGTTTCGTGGATGAACTGCAAGTTCTGAAGCGTAAGGTCTCGGACGTCCTTGATGATACGCAAAAGTCGGGGCTTGACTGGACGGGCCTGTGTCCGAATCATGTAATCGACCTGATTACGGGAGCGGAATCTTTGACGGTCCAGGAGCACAAAATTGAATGGCTCGATCGAGGTCTCCGCGGAGATAACTGCTGTAGATGTGCATGTCGACTGGGGATCGATTCTGGTTGATGGCGTGGACGATGTAGACGGTATGACGGCACGCTTGCAAACCTCGCTCTCCAAAACCAGCTGAACATGTCTCGACAGACCTCCTGTTCCGGCGCCAAACTCCACAAATACTGGTCGCCTAATGTGGTTCATCGGTTCTGCTGCTACCTCGGCAATTTTGTTGCTGCTGTCGATGTTGCAATGCTGGGGCTCTAAGACAGGCTTCAAGAGACCCATTGAGGCCATCGCTTGGATCAATTGCGATTCTTGTGCCAAATGCCTCTTCTTCTTTACTCCTGCATCCGCGAAAAGACCTTCGTACGATTCATGACATGGAAACTCGTGCTCAACCGCAACCTCCCTTATCTCGTTCGCCTCACGGTCACCTCGCCCCGCCTTCCATTCGTCCGGCCCGTCCCATTGGTCCAGGACTTGCTTGATCCAAGCAGACGGCTCATTAGAAAACACTCTTTCAAGTGCTGCAAGAAGCGCCTCTGGGATGTCACTCGGATTCACAGGCTGCTCTTTCGCTAGCTGCCTGAGTTCCTCTGGATCCTGGTAGATGCCCGCTGCCTTTTCCTTTTCGATCTGATTCAGTGCTGCCTGCGCCAAATGAGCCTCCTTTCGATGGTGTCCGCACAGGATATTCTTGGCTTCGTATTCTGGCTGTAGGAGTTCGGTCCGCAAACTGAGAAAGCGGCTCGATTGCTGTTGGCGGTCTTCCTCTGTCAAGTTCTGTACGCCTGTGCCTGAAACCGCCTGGAAGCACTGCTCTTCCAATGCCTTGATTTGTTCCAGAAGAGATGCCGTGAGCTTTGCAGGCAGCTTGCAGTGGCGGAAACGCTGCTGCTTGCTACCCCAGACTGAATGCTGGCAGATGATCGGATGAAGCTGCATGTGAAGTAGAAGGGATCAGCGATCCGTGATCAGTCTCTCCAAACCTGGTGCCAGAGCAAATTGGGACCGTTATTTCGACAAGGTTTCACCCAAAGTTCAACACCCTGCATTTGCTCAGAGTACACAAACATATACGTACAAATTGACACAAATCGGCTTCTAATACTGATGTTGTCTACTGGGCGTATAAGGATGTGTTCATGAATGCGCTGAACGCGTTAGTGCCCCTCTGCAGAAGCAAAAGGCTAGGGGTCTTAAAAGACACAGTAGACACATATACAGTTTGCGGAGCAAACTTCATTACAGGGTCTGAACTATGGAAATATCTTTACCGAGGTTCCCCGCAACTTTGATATATGTAAGGTTACTCAGCATCCTCGGTAACATTCATTTGGCGTCTGGAGGGGCTAGAGTTCTTGGTAACAGAGAATACAATGGCCTTTACCCGATTGATGACTGAGTCGGAATCGGAAAGGTAGGGAAGGACGACGACATCTTGCGGTCATTTCATTGGGAGGATGAGCGTATGCAGTCGAGAATAGTGGTCCCCGCATTTCTCGTAGTATTCAATACTATATCTTATAATCCTTTCTACGGACCATTTGAAAATTCAAGGCTTCATCACCCTATTTGTGCAGATAGTTTCTACAATGCCAAGCCAATTTGTGTGACATTCGTTCCAGGGACCAACAGCTTAGATTGTCTTTTTTTGTGCGACAAGAGTAAGTTGGTAGTTGGTCTTATTCAGGCAAGTTCCCCGGATACGCACTGCAATTCCCCGCATTTTCCTTCATAATATAGTTTGACAATCTATTCTAGAACGAATAGCGAGGATGAGGATTCGTCCTATCGTAGATGTATTACAGCCAACGACAAGCAACCGCAGGATGGAGCAGAGATACCACAGGCGACCATGATCCGGCTAGTATCTCAAAAAGGAAGTGGTGCGAATGCATAATGCGGCGAAGTATGTGCTGAAGATCGCGGGCTAGCTCGAAGGGAGGGGGTTGTTGTTGTTGTTGTTGTTGTTGTTGTTGTTGTTGTTGTTATTGTTTGATAGTCGTTTATCGAGCACAAGTGCACAGCGCGGTAAGGTATAACTGCCCGTGTTTTCCGTCGACAGGGCTGCACTGAGCACTACAAGTGTCCTTGGTATCTTTCTTTTTTTTCTATCTGGACCTACGAAAAATCCTCACGATCAACGGTTAAGATTAGCAGATTTAAATACATATAGTCTACTAATAGTTGTAAGTCTTGTCGATTTGACATAAAAACGCGACCCCGATACCGATCGACCTCCTCCACACTCCAATCTCTGCGCTATACAATACCCTACATCCAAAAAAGACAAGAGCACTACTCATTCTTCTTTGAGCTTTTCAATCCTTTACTTTCTGCACTTCCTGCCACCCACACTTCAACCATAGTTGAATTGCCACCCACCATATTAATATCTCATCCGATTTCCTCTCACCACCAACATGCAGCACGAAAGCGTATCCCAGGCCGCGGACCTATCGAGCATCAAGGTCGTCTCTAGACAGTCGTCTGTCCGATCGATCAAACAAACCAGAATGTCCATTCTCGACAACGTCGTCTTCTGCTCTCTCCTTTGTGTGATCGGAGGCCTGTCCACGGCCTCTCAGGGGGCAATCAACTCCAGGTTGGGACAGTACACCGGCCAGGGATTGTCATCGACGATCGTCTTCTGCATCGGTATGTTGTCCTGAATGTATTTGTGTGAAGGTAAAGAAAGACCCTTGAACACTGAAGTCTCAAAACATGGTTGCTGATGTTTACCATATATCTTACAGGCGCCGTGGCCTCTTGCATCTACTTCTTAATCGAGGTCAGAGGTCGTCCTCCAGCTAATCTGGCCCTGATGATCTCCAAGGCTCCCTGGTGGTCCTGGACTGGAGGTGTCCTTGGCGCGATTTTCATCATCGTCACCATCCTCGCCATCCCTAAGCTCGGCGCCGGAACCACGACGGCAATTATTATTTGCGCCAAGTTGATATTCTCGTGCCTCATTGATAACTTTGGATTCTTTGGAATCCCTAAAAGAAAGTACACGATCTGGCGCGGTCTGGCGACTATTGGGCTTATTGGGTGCGTAGCCGTCATCTCCGTGTTCTAGAGCCTATATAGTAATTGGCGGTGCTGTTGCATACTGGTGAAAAATAAAAGCCTTTTTGTATATTTGGTGTACGTGGACTGTTATTTCGCATCGACAAAATGTTTCGCCTGCTCTTTTTGTTTCCCTTCCCATCTTACGATTTCGATACCAATTGACATGGTCAGCCCAGCTTACAGCGCCCGATGGTACAAGAGCAAAGATTGGCATTTTGACAAGGACGGGGACTTTGTCGACAAGAATGGTCAGTCGAGCATTAGATGCATTCGCTGAATTTTCAAGGACTTGCTTGTATCTATGAGCACCGCTAACAGTTTGTCGACACAACTGTCGTTTATGATAGCCAGGCCAATTGTTTGATTTTGAGTCGCAGGGCGAGCACTATGAATACGTTCAAAGTAAGCGGAAGAAAAATATGCGCTGTTTCTGTTGTGCAAATGAAGACAAGCGATTGACAATTGCCCTGTTTCTTCTGTAGCTCAGATCAAGAAACATATCTATGAAGAACTTCAGCATCGTTTTGATTTTGTTCGACAACCGCTTCCTATTAGCAAGTTTGAAGGAGTCTCTAGAGACGATTCACAATGTCCGCAAATCTTTGTGACGTAAGGAACGCCTCTACTTCGCTCGTGGGAAATCGTGTGTTGCGGTTGCGTTGCTTTGCCTTTGGGATGAGAATATGCAACTGAAAAAGAAAGCTTTATTACCTTCTGCGGCAAAAAAACGAAATAGTAAAGACATTCAGTGGAATCCTGATCTTCTTGTTATTGTGCAGGGACTAGGCGAGGTGCCGCCAGGCCAGTGGGCTAGAAAGCTGTTCACGAACGGGGAAAGCGGTCAGTGGGGTTTGGCGACCCAGTTCGCGTATATCCAAAAGGCGTTGCACCGAGGATGGGCAGTTCTTCTTTGCGATCCTAATCACGATGGGAATGGGCCAAAAACCCAGCACTCACGTTCGCGTCATGTTCGGCGGGTGTGGGATGACATTATTAGGTATATATGCTTTTCTCATGGACGGAAATGGTTGCTCCACATCGTATGTAGATTGCTAAGGCTAAGTCTGTATATTGTTCAACAGCCGCTCGAACGCGAGATGCGTAATGTTCGTCGCATTTAGCGCAGGGACAACAGCCACACTGGATCTTTACGAATCATTAGGTATGCGGTATTGCAATTGAACCCAATATATTCCACAAGGATGTGATCAGAAAACTGATACAAGCAATACTGCGCCGGACGACTCTAGGACAAGAGTTCACGAACCGTGTCCAGGCAATTGCATTGCTGGATGGAGAAGACGGGACAGGCAGGACGGTAGGCAAGGACGGCGGTCGCTGGCTGCGAGAGGTAAGGCAAATATCGAAAGACGCAGCGCGGTGCTCAGGACAACGAGGACTTTTTGCTGACAACTACTTCTACCGCCTAGCACTCTTGGTCTTTCATGAATAAGAACATTCCTCTGCAACTAGTCAACCAAGAAACTGTTTCGAGTAAGTTGTCGATAGGAAAGTGAACTGGTGCACTCCAGTTGCCTTGTCAAACTTCATACTAACGGTATTTATTGTGTTCGATATGATGTACCTTGGTAGCGACTGATCACGACAGCGTCCCTGGGATGGCCGTTGGCAAAGTTTTTGAGTTTTTGGTGGAATGCCACTCCTATTTTGAGGCCACGTTGCTGCCGGACGAGTTTGACAGGTACAAGCACTGCTACGTTATCCGCTCCGCGGCCGAATGTTGATCGAGGCTGCTGCCAAACCGTACTAGCGCTCGAACAGCCGACGCCGCACAATTTACTCGAATGTCGCGACGACAAATACTCGCCTTCGATATGCGGGAGAGAAGCTGTCTCCATTTCGGATCAGCCAATGAAATGAAAGAAATAAAAAGTTTGTTTTTGAACATTGGAGTCAGTGGACCTTTGGACACTTGTCCTACCTTGCGGTAGATGTTGCTCCCTTCACGCGCCATTTTAGAGTCTGCGGAAAGCATGTCTTGCTGTTGTTCGGAGAAATGAATGAACAAAGTTTGGGGACTGATGGACAAAGATGTGCCCACGATGCGGCGTGTGAAAACAGCTGCGGGGATGCAGGCTGCGTCAAAGTGCTATCTACTGCGGGCTGTCTGCTGCGATTTTTAAGAGGCTGCTCTTAAATGGAGACCAATGAAGAGCGAGCGCATCTTTTTCTTCTCCTCTCACTACGCCCAATTGCCCTTCCACTGTCGTCCGACGACATATGCACTTTTTTTTTTGGCATTTCACAGGACCAGTTGACACATCGCACCACCACCTTTTTCTTGCCTGCCAATGGCTGCCGATTCCTCACAATGGCCCCCCAAACACCTTGACTTAGCCCTTCACCCCAACCTCATCCCCTTCACTGTCGAGTCCAACGATCCCACAAAGATATGGATCGAATTCCTCATGAACCACGGTGGGTTTCTGACCCTACTGGGAGTCCCCGCCGTTGTCGCCACTATCTCCTTTATCAGACGGATATATTGGCTTGCCCGGAATTGTACGCCCCATAGCTACGGAAGGACCGATCTGATCTACTGGCCGTCGCAGATCTCCATAGCCGCGGCCTGCACAATCCTAGTATCTTTCATTGTTCTCCTGGCAAGCAGTCCCGAGTCCGGTGGGCAGTTTCTCCTGGGCCTTCTCTTCGTGCTTGTTGCATGGGTAGGACAACGACTCTTACCGGTAGCATCGATACAATTACTCGTTCTTCGCTTGTGGTTATTAACGATCGAATAATTACTTCTACGTATATTTCTAGCTTATCGCGATCCCATTAAATGCCCTGGAGCATCGATACGAGACTCGGTCTTCGGATTATCTCTTTGCGTATTACGTGGTTACTCTCTGGACCTCCTTGCTTTCACTATACATCCTTTCGGACAATGTTTCTGAGCAGCCCTCTTCATCATTCTTCAGCTATATGGCTTACTTTACCATTGCGATCTCGATTGCATTCTTTTTTGAAGCGCTTCCTCGACACAACACCAGAGTTCAGAGGCTTGCCCGCGAGAAGGAATACCTGAATGATTGGCAACAGGCAAACCTGTTTTCGCGGCTGTCCTACCACTATTTTCAAAGGATTGTCAGCCTTGGAGCAACCCGGCCCTTGACAGGCGACGATCTGGCTAATACAGCCCCCGCCTACCTTCTGACCAATGTCAACTATGAACGCGTGGCGGCAAGTTGGGAGCGCAACAAGTCCCAGAGTGCCTCCAAGAACAAGCAGCCATCGTTCTTTTGGGCTGTCATAGGTGCGTACAAGCGGAAGATTTCTATCATGTTAATCGTCCGCTTGATAGGATATGGTCTATTATATGTCCCTCCTATGCTCTTCGGCCAACTACTTCGATTTATCGACGATTACTCCAAGGCTGTCAAGGATGGCGTCGAGCCCCCTGATCTCAAGATCGGCTTCTTGATCTCTGCAGCCATGCTGTTCTTCAACATTAGTAGTATCTTCATGCTCTGTCAGGGTTTCCAGAAAATGACTGATCTAGGAATCGGTGCTCGGGCAGCGACCATCGCGCTGATTTACAGAAAGTCGTTAAAGCTTTCTCCACAGGCCAAGCAATCCTGCACGCTAGGAGAGATCACTAACCATATGGCTGTGGACGCTGAGCGGTGGATCGACGCCTCGTTGTTTCTGCCATTGGTGATATCTGTTCCGTAAATACCCCAAAGACTCATCGTTATTCCTGGCATCAAGATACAAGCACCTGTGTTGGATTATTAACACGCATCGTTCCTTGACTCTCCTGCATTAGGTTGGAACTGGTCATCTCAATCTGTCTCCTATATCGTCTACTTGGATGGTCTCTGTTGGCTGGATTGGCAGTTTTCGCCATCCTCATGCCGGTTCAGGGCAAAATGGCTTCGTTTATGAATGGCTTCCAGGAGGATCAGTTGAAATGGATGGACAGCCGCCTTCGTCTCATGACGGAGATCCTGACCAACATTAAGATCGTGAAGCTGTATCACTGGTGAGCATAAAAAAAAAAACATGGGACATGGGATATGTTTGATAAGGCAAGAGTTTCAAGGTGCAAAAGAGGTTTATAATGGACTTCTCATATGACTACGAAATGATTGGTCTCCGTAGGGAGGGGCCATTCCGCAAGAAGCTTGACGCACTCCGAACGAAGGAGTTGTACGCTATCAAGGGCCTGGCCACAGTCCAATCGATCCTGACTATCGTCTTTTCCTCGGTAACGCTACTGATGGCGTTGTTCACATTCTGGGTGTATGCATATATCGGCGGTCCCAACATGACGCCAGGAAAGATAACCTCCGAGGTCATTTTTGTAAGTATCACCCTGTTCGGCATCATGAACAAGCCCCTCGGATTGATGGCGCTAGTTTTCTCAAAGACTATCGCTGTAAAGGTCGCCATGGAACGCCTTAAAAAGTTCCTGCTTATGGAGGAGATCGATACAACTGTCGTCCGCCGCTACTGTCGTCCGAGCCTCTCATCGCATTCTGGCGCTATGGCCGTCGATATCGAGGAAGCGACTTTCTCTTGGGAAAAGAAACTAGACTCAACAGCATCATTCAAGGATGCCTCACAAGGGACCGAGGCTCAGCCCTTGCTTGCTTCCAATAACTCTGAGCCTGATCGTCCTAATTTGTTGAGTATCACTCTTCGCATTCCGGATGGTAGTTTGACCGCTATCGTGGGCAGAATCGGCCAGGGCAAGTCGTCGTTACTGGGTGCGATTATGGGAGAGATGTATAAGCGCAACGGATCAATTACGGTCTATGGAGAGCTAGCCTATGTCCCTCAGCAGGCATGGATCATCAATGCAACTGTACGGGACAACATTCTGTTCGGGAAGCCATTTGACGAAGACAGGTACAATCGAATTATCTTTGCCGCTGGGCTGAAACCTGATCTGGAGATGCTGGCTGCGGGCGACCAAACCGAGATCGGGGAGCGTGGAATCAATCTTTCTGGGGGACAGAAGCAGAGAGTGTCGCTGGCGCGTGCTGCGTATCAGGATGCCGATATCTATCTTTTAGATGACCCGCTGAGTGCAGTTGACGCACATGTGGACCAACATCTGTGGCAGAATCTCATCGGACCAGAGGGGTTGCTCAGGGACAAAACCCGACTTTTAGTCACGCATGGTATTCATCATCTCGAGTACATGGATCAGATTATTGTCCTCAAGGACGGCGCTATCAATGAGGTGGGCGAGTATCAGCAGCTCATGAAGGCTCGCAGCGCATTTTATCAACTGATCAAGGACTTTTCAAAGACTCGGAAGAAAGCAAGACACTCTTCGTCCCATAAGCGTACGTTGCGCGATCTATTACATGGCAGGAAAGATACTGGAGCAGATGGATACGGATCAACTGCCTCAGTGAGGAGCAGTATCAGTCAAGTGGACAGCCAGAGCGACTCTGAAGGCGAAGCGAGCGAGCGCAACACGATTGCGGAGGAGTTTGCTGCCAAGGTCGATAAGAATGATGCCGACAACGATGAATCAGGAGAGCTGATTGCGGATGAAAAAATGGAAGTTGGAAGAGTTGGCTGGAGTGTCATGATGGTCTATGCCAGGGCAGCGTAAGTCGCTTTTGTGGGCATGTTCACTTGGTTCGTTGGTAGTGTGCTGCGGATGAACCGGATCTCACATGCCTTCACTATGTTTGCTGCCTTTTTCGATCCGTAGTTCCATCCGCAACGCGCTCCTTTGTATTGTTCTCTCCGTCCTGGCTCAAGCCTGTCATCTTGGAACCAATTTTTGGCTGCGGTATTGGATCAGCGACACTCAGGCTCGCGATAGTGGAGCGGAAGGTCGACCAGTTTCGTACTACCTAATCGGATACGGCTTGTTTGTGATCCTATTCATGTGTATTGATATTGCTGTCAATTATACGACCCAAGTTATTTGTGGCATCCGAGCCTCTAAGGTCATTTACGATCGCCTTTTGACTAGAGTCCTTCGCCTACCCATGAGTTTCTTTGATGTGACCCCGTACGTCTGCATGTCTCGCTGTTTTCTTTTGCGAGGAAAAACGTAAAACTGACTTTTTTTTTGTGTATGTGTGTGCGAATAGAATGGGTCGCATTGTTAACCGGTTCTCGTCAGATATTTACAACATCGACTTGCAGCTAGCAGAGGAGTGGAACGATCTATTTGTTTTCATATCGATCATCGGAGGCACACTCTTTGTTATTGCCTACTCGACGCCTGTATTCTTGATTGCCGTCCCGCCTCTGATCATGACCTACTTCTGGGTTCAGCACTATTTTATCAAGAGCAGCTCCAGTCTAAAGCGCCTATATTCAGTGTCGAAGTCGCCACTGTACCAGCATTTTAGTGAGACACTGAATGGAGTCTCTTCTATCCGTGTCATGAAGGGCCTGCGTGAGCAGTTTATTCAGCAAAACGAAAGTCGCATTGATATTCTGAGCAATCGTCTGAATGCGTACAACTTTGATAACCGATGGCTACAGGTATATCTATGTTTGCGCGTCTGCTTTCTCAATATATCGTGTCTGCTCCTATTGATCGACCCGGTGATTAACCTTGCACTGCTGTTTATCAGATTCGGCTTGAGTCCCTAGGAGGAATAACTGTCTTCATATCCGCATCCCTTGCAGTGATGAATGCCGCAAGACTTGATCCAAGTCTTGTGGGATTGGCATTGAGCTATGCCTTGAACATGGTCGGCTTCATCAACTACCTCGTTAGGACCGTGAGCGAGGTGCAGAATGCCCTGGTCTCTGTGGAACGCGTGGACGAGTATTCTCAAAAGCCAACCGAGGCACCCATCGAGACAGGTGCTCGTCTCCCTCAGAACTGGCCTGCGGAAGGGCGTGTCGTTTTCAAGAACTACTTTACACGCTATCGTGAGGGCTTGGATTTGGTCATCAAGGATGCATCCTTCATTGTGGAGCCCTCTCAGTCCGTTGGTATTGTGGGTCGAACCGGTGCAGGCAAGTCCTCCCTCACCCTGGCTTTATTTAGGATCGTCGAGGCAGCAGGTAGTTATTGGGCACGAGCAAGCGATCCTTCTTACTCTGAGGAACATCCACTGCATGATGCGATGGCACTATATTCTGAGGATGCTGGACAGGGAGGTTCGATTGAGATTGATGGCATCGACATTTCAACTCTGGGTCTAAAAGATCTGCGCCAACACCTGTCAATCATTCCCCAGGATCCTACACTCTTTGCCGGCACTGTCCGTGATAACTTGGATCCGTTTGAGGAGCACTCTGACAAGGATCTTTGGGAAGCACTCGAGCGTTCGCATCTAAAGGATCATATCTCTTCACTTGCTGGTGGACTATCGTATGAAGTTGCTCAGAATGGCGAGAACTTTTCAGTTGGACAGCGCTCCCTTATCTGCCTTGCGAGGGCACTGTTGCGCAAGACGAAAGTTCTGGTCCTGGACGAAGCAACTGCAGCGGTTGATGTGGAGACGGATGAACTGATCCAGAAGACGATCCGCAAGGAGTTTAAGGACAGAACGGTCCTCACTATCGCCCACCGCATCAAGACAGTCATGGATTCGGACAGGATATTGGTGCTTGACAAGGGCCGCGTTCAAGAATATGAGGCGCCTTCGGAGCTGTTGAAACGTAAAGACTCGTTATTCTATCAGCTGGCTGAACAGGCTGGGGAGATTTGAGGTCGTTGTCAGTAAATTAGCAGTAGTCGTTAAGCACATCATATCATTTAGTAAATAGTTCTTTATTTCCGCGTAATGATCTGGGCCTAAGCATGAACCTGACTCCGTAGTAATATTTTTTATAGCAGCCAAACCAGAGCTCGCCAACAGATGGGTGCTTCGCCCAAAGAGAGTTTGGGGCTCTTGAAGGGAAGAATGTCTCGCAAACATTCTGATTTACACCACAACAATGCATCATAACGCATAATAATAGTTCTCGTTATGAACCCGACCAACTGAATGATATTGCAGCACCGCCCAATCCGTCAGTTGTGATAAAAACACATGTTGCCCTAAATTGTCCTAGAAATCATAAAGTGCCGTTGGAACGGTCTCTCTCTCTCTCTCTTTTTAAGGAGGATATAAAAAGGATGATCTACTAGAGCCGTATCTCCCTTTCCAGCATCGAAATAAACCTCAATCTTACTCCATCAAGTCCCGACACCACCATCGCCTCTCAACTCTTAAAGGCACTGCCATGCTCAGCAACAACAACAACGGAGCCCTGGATGGTCTTCCCCTGAGCTCGTGCACAGACAGCAGTGTTGAACTTGACGACCAATTCTTGGTCTCGAACCCTCTCAAGGATGTCGATAACCATCCCACTCTCTTGGTGAGCGAGCGCGTTGCTGCTGCGGAGGAATTGAATGAAGAAGATGAGGGCATAACTGTGGAGCACGCTGGTGGGCACCAAGAGGGTGAGCAGGAAGAGGATATGGATAGAGTCGAGGAGGAAGAGGAACGAAGGCAGGTCACCGAGATGGAACAAAAACAGGACACCGAGGCAGAGAAGAAGCACATCGCTGAAGAGGAATATGCGGAAGCTGAGGATGATCAGACCGAGACTGAGGCAGTTAAGGTGCACGTTAATGAGTTTACCGAAGAGAATCAAAGGGAAGCTGAGGAGCTAGCCGACAACACCTCCACCATGCCTATCTGCTCCAAGCCCAAGGAAGAAACCGCCGAGGCGATTGCTGCAGAGGCAGTCTTCGCGCCCGCCGTAGTTGAGAAGGGGTCCGAACCAATGGCCTCTGGTATTCCTCAGCGTCCTGTGAAGACTGGGGTGCCCACTCATGTTCAGTCTCACAGTCTTTCGGCTGCAAGCATGGCGCTCAAGAAGAAGCAGGCGGCTGAAAATGCTGCCGCAGCCATCAAGGCCGCCGCTGTCGAGATCCCTGAGACCGACTCGATCGCCAACCGTATCAGGATCTTTGGAGGAGCCGGCCCTGGTCGCACCATCGGGCATAGGAGGCTTGGTGTTCGCGACATGGTCCAGAGATACAGGAATGAGGAGGAGAAGAGACACAATGAAATCGCACATGTTGTTCGAGGACATAATGATATGGAGCCCCATGGCGTCTGCAATGCGTACTCGTTCTCTACGGCATCTCGGCCCTTAAGATCTACGCCCCGCAGGAAGATGAGCCACGAACTGAGCGAGAACGAGACACGGGAGTTCGCGAAGGCATTCGGAGGTATGGTCAGAAACGACGACGATTGCAGGACAGGTGTCAGTCAGGAGAGCGTCCACAGTGTCAAGAATGCAAAAAACATCTTTGAGAGCCTGGCGCGTACGGAGAGTGGTGCTCAGTTGTAAGCAACCTAGGGTGAGACGCTATAGCCTTCCAGCTTCAGTTTACGATTCGTTGCAGAATAAAGGGCGCCAGTCGCTTTTGTAATAATAGTAATAGTATAGAATGTCCCAGTAATTTAAATGGACATGTCCGTGTCCTCGCATACGCGAAATTATCTGGTAGGTATGCCCGCCCCAGTAAATAGCTGCCATGGGAGCCCCATCTCGGTGCAAATTGATAAATGGATGTGGGGCCCATACCGTTGGAAAATTGAGGAGTCCAGTCAGCATAACTTTTCAAATCGCCACATAAATATCTTTTGAGTCTGTGTCGGTACCGGCACTTACAGCCACAGTGTGTGAGGACATGCCCACGCTCAGTGAATGGCCCTGAAAGTCGCCGTCTTGCTTATGGGTTCGAGTTCCTGTTCATACTAATCCTTCTCGTATTTCCTGTCTTTCCCTTTGTCTTGATTCATAGGCTCTTCGCCGACCTAAACCACTCATCTCACTTGATGATGTCGAACCAGACAGCAAGGCCTGTTGTAAATGGCGCCGACACAGGCTCTAAAATGTTCTGGATCGAAGCTACGCCGCTGGTGTTGCCCGGACTGCCTTCCCTGAAGACCTTAAACGTGCCTGGACTGGGGTCCTGGGTCGGCATGTGCTTTACTGTCCTTATGCGACTTCGAGAAATTGACCTTCGCGAACGTGTCCGATATCCTCAGCATTTTACTGCACTCGTTCGGAGGATGCTTTACATGACTGATACCATTTCGATTGACCACCTGCACTATCTTGAAATCAGTCGCAAGTACGTGCGGGGGAAGGGTATTGCTGACACGAAGAATATGTTTATTCGTTACAACAAACGGTTGGATATCCCGGAGACATTTGCCTATATTGCGCTTGAAAGAAATGCTGTGGGTACAGGGCTTTTCATCGCGATTAGTCCTTGAGTGCATGCAATAGATGCCTCATTTTTGAAGGAAGTTTGGGGCGCAGGTGCATCGTGAAAATCAACGCCTAGATCGTGTTTGGTAGTTTGGTATCAATCGACACGCGTGATAAATGGATTCATGGATACTGAAGCTGATCTACAGGATCCCAACTGCGATGTTATATTGAAAGCTAGCCTTCGGGCAGCTCTCGATACGATGGAGCTCTCGATACGATGGAGCTGCTTATTGATATGCATGGGCTGAGGAACATGTAAACACGAACCTGTTTAAGTAAATAAATAAATTATACATATTTTTCAATTTGACTGAATACATGACTGCTCCTCCACTTTAAGGCGCAAAATTGGAGGTCGACTGTAGGACACAACAGCGGCCAAAAAAATTTGCGCTGCTATAAAACGGTTCTCAGTTCAGGTCTGATCTCTTCATCTCCTCCCTTTCTGATGTAAGTTGCTTGATCCTATTGTTTAGTATTTCCTCAACGGCTTCCTCCCCCTCCCCCCCTTCAGATCCCTACCACTTAACACATTCACAACAAGCAAATAAACTGTGCACACACCGTGGGAGGCCTCCATTCCCACTCGAGAGTGACGCAGAGGGTTCTCGCTTTAAGAGGATCGAACTCACACTGTTTGCAAGAGAAAATGAATAACCGCCGTTTGAGGATGCGCTCGACATCTTACGGAGCTCGTTTATAGGTATGCGGTTCATATTCTAATGTTTATTTTTTTTTTCTTCAGATCCGATCTTTTCTAGATTCGATTCTTCTAGATCCAAATTGAGGAAGATGGAACGATCAGGACTGATGTACAGGAATTGATTTGCGATACCATGCAGTGCATAGGATGTTCTATTTGTTCGCTTTGCAGTGTATTCATATCGTTTGAGCGAACAATTGCTCGTCAGTTGATTGTGCATCCGATATGATGGCTGTAGTGCGAAATGAAGATATGAATATAACTATCAATAGCTGTGTCGATGAAATAAAGAAAAGAATTTTTGGCATAAAGACGTTGTATTCCTTGGCTGTATGGTTTGAAATGTGCATGGTGGGATTATAGAGTGGAGGCATGGCCTACAAGCTGTTGAAGGTAACATGCCATACGGGCTGCTTGGTTTGATATCATATTCTATCCACGTACTGCACACAAAAGGAGATTTTTATTCTCCTGCTCTGTTCGTTTTCCGCGCGCTTGTTTCCCTTTTGCTCACACAACACTTGTTCCCTTCTTCCTCGCTTGCAACCGACTCTTTGTAACCGTTGCCGCCAGTTGCATGCAACCTGCTCTTTGACAACAGCACTCATCCTCATTCAGAACCCTCTGCCATCCTTTTTGACTATTACCCCACCAGTCAAAATAGCAAGATCTCCAGACGCAAACTCGACTCAACCCCATGGCGTTCAGAGGGGCTTCATTTCTGCTCTTTGTCAACTGGCTGTGCATCGTTATTTGGCTGAGCACCTCCTTCGAATCTACGGATGCGACGATCGTCGTCTTGGTAGGGAAAGGAGAAATGCATCCTGGGTCACCACTGTATATGCCCCCTCCTAAGCTGGTAGCATACTTGCGTTCGTACTCACAAAGTCATTTGACCTTCATATACTAGGCCACAAATGACAGTTATATCGACAGGACCGCTGCGTTCGGACCGCGGATTCCAGACGATGGCCTGATGTTAAACCTTATCGCCGTCGAGACCTTGGACCCGAACGAAGAGACGACCGCTTGTCAACCCGTCATGGGAGTCAACCCCAATGTCTCCTGGGTGGCTCTGGTGGAACGTGGTGGACGATGCAGCTTTGTCGATAAAGTGCGCAATATGCAAGCCAGCGGCGCAAGGGCGATCATCGTGGGCGACAATCAGAAGGGTGGTCTCCTCACCATGTATGCGCGAGGTAAATGGACTAGCCGTTGTATTTGATCAACTTGCCTCTGCTGTGCCCGCCCTTGACCGTTTGTGCTTACTGTACACCTCCCATACGACTTGACTACTGCGACTGCAGAGGACACTTCGGATGTGCTGATTCCCTCCGTGTTTATCACCCAGAACCATTATCGGGAACTGCGGTATTTTGGCATGGAACTCGGCAAGGGTTTCTTAGTCAAGATGCTACCCGAGGATATTGACTGGTAAGTTTGACCATCAGCCGTTATCAGTGTGATGGCAGCAGTATCTTTTAAGCATCGCTCTAACGACCTCGTGCTTTTTTTCTATCTTTATTTTCAACGTTTATTATTCTTACCAGGCCTGTGCTGGACGTTGTCATCTTTATCATCCTTTCACCTGCGTTCGTCGTTCTGTTTCTGTTCTCCCTCTGGAAAATGCGTCAGCGTCAGCAGCGACTTGCAGATCTGGCACCACCGGAGGTCGTCAGCAGCTTGCCTGTCAAGGTCTACTTCCAGTCGAAAGCGCTCGCTAACGATCCGGTTGAATGTGTTATTTGTCTTGAAGACTATAAGGATGAGGATGAGCTAAGAGTTTTGCCGTGTAGGCATGAGTACCATGTTGCCTGCATCGATAACTGGCTGACCAACCGCAAGAAATATGTATGTCCGTTTGAAGGAAACGCTGCTACTGTGTTGAGCCCTTGATGTTCATGCTAACACACCAACCGCTTTGGATTGTTGCTTACTTCTAGTGTCCCATTTGCAAAAGAGATATTTGCACGCCAACAGAGACGACACCCTTGCTTGGGTCGTCAAATTCACGATCAGAGAATGCTTCTCGAAACGGCTCTTCATCCACGTCGACTTCAGGACAATCGTCATCAGAGGCGCCGTTAACTTCGAGTAGCACTGGAGCAACTGATATCGTTCACTCTGACTCACCCCAGAGCGGTGGACAGGTCGCTATTCGTATTGGATCTGATGATAATGAAGAGAATCCACATCCTGCAATTGTGTCGTCGGAAGATCAAGTTTTGCGTACAGTCTAAGAGGTGTTCGTTGCTTCCGCTTCAACCATGTACCATAGGCACCTTCCTCTCTGTAGTCTCCTGGAAATAAATATTAGCTATGCATTGTAAGAACAACACTGGTCAATATCTCAAACCTGCTAGAAGCACGATAAGGGACAAAGATGATATGTCCATGGTCATCACTGCGGCGCGCTTCGAAGTGGGAGGGAAGATCGGCCTGTCAGGCGCTCAAATCTGACATAGTATGCTGCATAAATCTTTTGAGCGAGTATAGCATTCAGAGAGTTACTGAGTCTATTGTGGTTCTATTCTTTTCAGTGGGGTGCCGCGTGGCCATAGAAATGGGTTGCTTCATCTTTTCGTTTGAGGTCCCTAGCTGTGGAAATGGCCGAGGGCCGGCACTTCAGCTGCATGATGTGGATATTGCCATGGCCATGGCCCAGTTTTCGCCACACCTTTTCTACCCCTCGGCAAGAGGATTCATCATACCCTCTCTCTCTCCTTCTCTCTCTTTCTAGTTGTATCTCTCGTCGCTAATCCCCTCCCCGAAGCAGCCGCACCAGCTGCACCAGCCGCACTAGCTGCACCAGCTGCACCAGCCGCTGTGTCCCCCAACAACCGCAGTAACGTCGTCTTTGTTGCTCGCATTTATCTTGTCCCACCTCATTACCCATCTCTGCATCCTTTCTCCCTTTTTTCTTTCAGAAGTGGCGAAGGCCATTTGCTCAAGCAGCCATTGCCACTCTCTTATATCATATCCAGTAAATATTCTGCTTATTAGAAGCATAAGAAATCCATTTCTTACCCTGCAACTACAGTCAATAGTTCTGGGTCGATCCCTCAAATGCCACCAGTTGTAGCTGCCTCCGCCATTCCCAAAAACCAGGGAAGGAGGACCTTCGATTTCAGGAGTGACACACAACTGTACGGCCTCGAGCTCTATTCTCGTTCTCCTTTGACATCTCCCATTGGCACAACAGATCAGATTTTACCTCCAAGTCTTGTTTCAATAACTCCTCAGCTTCAAGTGCGCGATGACTCGAGCGCATACAGCACTACCATTCCGAGTCCTGCCTCGAATTCGCCAAGCCTCGGCCCCAAAGTTACCATCATTATTGCAACTGTTTTGGGCACAATGTTCGGGCTGGCTCTGCTGTGCTGTCTCTGCGTATTTCGACGGACAGTGTTATATAAGCAACAGGGACAGTCGATTCGAGCATGGAGAAAGGTCAAGGCCCTGGTGATGAGCGATGACGGAGGCACTAGCAGGGACAAGGACGTAGATGCAGGTAGCACGCGGAGGAATGCAATGTCGTTCGTTAGTATATATTCCCAAACACCCGCCAGGTCTAACACGGGAGCAGATACTAGAGCTAGAGCTGACGCAGGGACAGGAAAAGAGACGGATAGGAAAAAGGTGCACTTTAAAATAGACGATACGCGATCTGCGGATGCAGGGATATCTCGAGCTACGGCCGGCGCGCGTCCATTGTATTTACCGCCGACCAGCGCCATTGCTGCTTCCTTGACATCCATGATAACGACGGCAAGACCTTTGCCAATGATACCGACAACTTCCAAACCCGGCTCTACGGCATCTAGCCTGCCTTCGTCGTCGTGTTCTTCGCATCATCCAGGACTCAACATGACCACGGCTTCTCTTCAAATACTCCCTAGTCCGTCCCTCTACCCAGTACCTGCGCCTGGATACACTGCTTTCCGATCGTCGGACATCCCTGAACCATATTCCTCTATGCTCAACTCTTCGGTACCAATATCTACGCAAAGACACAGCATGGCGAGTTGCAATAGTAGAAGCACTGACTCTACGACCCGTGACCTTACCATTGAAATCGGCGCTCGAGTGGCGCCCCGATCGTCCGCGTCGAGTTTTAGAAGTCTCTGGGAGCGCTCTGGAGGACTGATTCTCAGGGAACGGAACGAGCACGAATCGAGGAGGCACGTCAGTCAGTATTTTAATACACATGCCAGACCGTATTCATATCCGATTTATGCGCTCTCGTATGACGAGGATAAAGAAGAAGAGCGAGGGGAGCAGGAGAATGAGGAAGAGGAGGGCGGGGAAGGGAATGAAGGTCGAGAAGTTGGCGATGCTGGTGGCAACGACGAGGCAATCGGAAGTGGACTTAATGAACCGATTCCGTGGCCATCTATGGCTAGTTTACCAGCGGAAATGGTGCTCCCGCCACCGGCACCCGCGTATTTCACGTATAATAGTTGTAGCTGCCGACATTGATGGAGTTGCTCCTGGGTTTCTACTGTAATGCTGATTCAAATAATCCCTTCAGATAAAACTTTTCAAGAAATTTCTTACAGATGGGTTTTTAGTCCCCTGAAATATCGCTAATTTCTGACACAAACTGGCCACGCTTGAAAGAAACCGACTATGCCATGGCGTGCAGTTGAGAGTTACGTCCGCTGAATCTCTCGATCTATCTTCTTCCCCGCCTCACATCTTCATTTGAACCAACCAACTAACCAACCAACTAACCAACCAACCAAAGAAAAAAAAAGATTCACGGGAATCAACCGCGACATACTCACAAAATAAGTAAAGAGAAAGGAACAGGGAGACACCAGATTCTACGCGGATACCACAATTAGGAGAGCGCAACTCCGCAGAAGGGCCCTTTAGGGCGAGAGTGGAGGTGCAATGAGGATGAGAGAGAGGCGCCAGTTGAGAGATGGCGAAAGGAGATAGGGAAGTTATGATACTCTAACTCGATTGCCGCCTTTTTTCAATGAGAGCCATGCCATACTTTTGGGGAAGGAAGAGGCCTTGGGCCAGGGCGGGGTGGAGAGAAACGCGTTTTTGTGCCATGGGGCGTTAACCGCGGGATAATTTTGCAAGTGTAAAAATAAAAATGCGCTCAAAGTTCATTCTCCTATTTGGTTTGGTGTGTGAGTCTAGAGCTGGGGACAATTGGAAGGGAGTAGTGCAGCTGTTTGTCTTTTAGGGTTTAACTTTGGTTAGGCGTGCTGTGCTGTCTTGACCGCGACAAATATTATTTCGTGAAACTCCATCGTCTTGGTCCTCAAGCAAGCAAGGATCCTTGATACTTCAATCCCACTGCTTCCTTCGCTCATATAGGCTGTGACTCCAAATTTCGCTTCCCTATCCTTTCAAATTCGAACTGAAACCTCAAAAGTAAGTCCCACAGCGGTCTGTTCGTTCACATGGCCCATTTGGACAAGTTTGATCAGTAGCGAATGAAGTCACTGTCCTCCTGAACAGTATAAAAAAGAGACCTCTCCCTCTTCTTTTTTTCTTTTCCTCATTAACGGTCGACCGTCCCAATCGAGGATTAGTTCCTTGTGCCACTCTGTGGGTTGGGCGGGGGTTCCAATGTGACCTTCAAGCGCCAAGGATGCAGTGAAAGACACTCCCATGCAAAGCAGGAATAGGGTTTCCCTTCGATCCCTTGCATTGGAGAAAAGGTCGAGTATTCCTTTTCCTCGCCTGCAAAGGCGAGAGCCTTGGCTTTTGGAGTGATCAGCGATTCTCCCTAACCTGATCCCAGAGGAGATTAAAGTGGCCACTTCTGTGGCCTACATCCCCGGCTTCATTAAAAAAAAAAAAGAAAAAAAAGAGTGCCTGATACTTTCAAGTTTTGTATAAAAACAAAAGATCTAATGATACCAAGCGCAGTTATCAGATGGAGTCTCTTTCATGTAGTCCTGTGGATACAAATCCTTGATCGCGATAAAACGACCGCGTATATCGATGTTACGCGTATCTCCTACCATACGCATCACAGCCCCATAGTCTAGACGGAGCTCGCCTCTTCGAATGAAAACACTTGATACTTTTGGATTTATGCTCAAAGAAAAGGTACGCGTGCTAGCCATTACTGGAGAACATTACGCTTGTGATACATGTTCTTGCGCTTGTGCCAATCCATGCAGACTAAGGGTACATGCTAGCGTGGTTCTGTGAGAATGGGAGGGCCATAATTGCAGTGCTGGATGCTGAGCTTGAATGCTCCATGGTACTATCCACCGCGGGACGCGATACAAGATCCCCTGTAGATCTCGGATGAGTATCATTCTCATCCTGAACGTTTTACTCTCGACCTTGAACTCCGAGGATTTTGACGTTCGGGATACAACTGGCGTAACATGAAATCAATTGAGAATCTTCTGGAGCATCTCTGCTCATATAGCCATCTCCACAACGACAACCCGGTCCTCAACACGACAATTTACGCCAATGATATCATGACCATTTACTGCAACAAACTTCCCCTGAGTTGTAACTCTCAGGACCCAAGGTTGTACTTGATCACCAAGGATGGCATCCACGACGTCTCCCCACTTTAGTTTACGGCTGAGGAGGGTAAGTATATGTCCGCTGGGCCCATCCTCAGAGCTCTTTCATACAACGTGCGTGCCACTCTCGCTGCTGGTAAAAAAGAAAACTCATTCGCAGGAGGACGGGATGCGTCCGTCTGATTGAGTTCAACTCGGCCATGATCAGTCGCTCGACCAGGTCCTGGCCTTCACTCATGAGCCCAACACTTCCCAGCCTGCCTATATCTTCACATTAATCTCGGAAGTCTGGATTGCAGTGGACTAACGAGGATGTTGCTCGCGCTTTGTTCGAGGACAGGGTCGTCTCTGGGCGTCTCAAGTTAAATCCCAAGTCGTGTTTAGAGCTATGTTTTACCTATATTACCGCAAAGCGCACTGCTCTATCGGCTAAAAACAGTTTTTTTTTTTGCGGACATCGGTTGATGACAATATGTATTGTTACAAAATTTTTATTATTATTTACACGGCATTGCAACTATCCAAGTTGGCCTCTGAGAATGTCAACAATAATATACTGATGAATGAAAAAAATAAAAATAAAAATAAAAAACGAAAGTGTAAAAGATTTAGATTTGCTCGTGGATGTTTCCATCATTGTCAATAAATAACGGCTCATCACCACAGCTTTCCTCCTCTCCAAGATGCATCGCAGCGGTGGTGGCCGTCTTTGCTCGCTGAGGCTGGTGGTATCGCGGCGCCTTAGACGATAAGATCGAAGATCCACCACGTCGCTGCTGCTGTGCAATAAACTGTGGAGAGCCATCCGCGAATGGATATGCAGTCCATGTGTTCTGCTGGCCCATCCATCGCCGCTTTTCGGAGCCTCCATTCGTGCTATCGCATCCCGGTTTATCAATAGCCAAGCCGTCGTCTTCATCTGACGCCACCGCAGACGGTCGCAGGGGTTTAAGGCCAACCTCGCTCTCCTTGATGTTCTTCCACGCGTCCTGCAGGACCTTGACTCCGCGCTCGTGCTGGACTCCGAATCCCTTGCGCAACCATTCTCCCTTAACCGTGACTACCACATGCACCGGCGGCGGCGTGTTTTCCTTATCTCCCGACCGAGATGATGAGTCGGATGCGGATGTAAAAGCCCCGGTAGCCGTTCTTCTTGGATCTCTAGCCCACCAAATATCTGTCAGCGCAGCCATACCCCAATTTTTATACTTGAGCCACCCTGCCACGCCACCAGAATTTCCTCCGCCGCCAGTATCCGAGGTTATCGTTTCGACTTCTGTGATCGAAAGCAAAGGAATCGTCACAGGTGTATTCAGAGGGAAATAGAACGCATGGATCGTCAAATGCAGTGAGCTGATAGTGATTTGATCGTCGCTGTACAAAATAGAAGGCGGTAAAGGCGGATATCTAACCATAGCCACCGGCGCTGGGGCAGCAATCGATGGCGATGACATTGGCTGGCCTTGAGGACTATTTTGTTGGTCTTCCTCAGACGATGACGCCTGCTTCTGTATCTTGGGTGTACTCTGTTTTTGCGCCGGGTGCTTCGGCTCTTGTGATTGTTTCTTGTGTTCCTGCAACTGTGAAGATGCCTTCTCCTGAACTGGTTTGCGTGGCACGGATCTGTTTATCACTGGAGGTGGTGGTGGTGGTGGTGGTGTGTCCAGCGGGAAGTCGTCGTCGTCGTCCCAAGGTGAATCTATTGCCATAGGAGAGAGGGGAGGGGGCATGACCGGAGTGGGCGTATATGCAGCGGGTAGAGGAGAAGACTTATTGCTACGTCGCTGTGGGGTTGGTTCAGGTGTTGTTGTTGGGGGAAAAGTATGCGAAGGCCCCAGGTACCGAGAGGATGAATACTGCGACGTTTGTTTGGGCATTTGAAGTTGTGGGTCACCTTTGCCTGCTTGATCTTGAGCAACAGCGTGTGATGTGAAATGCTGTGGAGTATTCAAGATTCTCGGAGGAATCTTTGGGGCCACCTTGGGCGGAACTAGAGCCGGGGAGGAAATCGAAGCCACGGCTGGAGATGATATTGCAGGGGCAGGGGCAGAAGCAAGAGCAGGAGCAGGAGCAGAGGCGAGAGTAGGAGCAGGAGCAAAAGTAGGAGCAGGAGCAAAAGTAGGAGCAGGAGCAGAAGTAAGAGTAAGAGCAGGAGCAAGAGTAGGAGCAGAAGCAGGAGCAGGAGCAGGAGCGGGAGCAGGATCAAGAGCAAGTGACATGCCAGGCAAAGATGAAGCGGATGTTCGGGCGCTCAATCTTGACGACGACGAAGACGACAGTAATGATGGCGCCTTGGTGGATGTGGGTTCCAACGACGATGCTGCTAGAGGCGTGAGCGCTGCGTCAGGAAATGGAGTAAATGGCAATGGCTGAGATGGCCGATCTTTCTTGAGCTGACCTGTTGATGACAACGACAATGATGCTGAAGGTGGTGGTGGAGGAACTACTGAGACTCCAGTGTCTGATATTTCCTGAGCGCCGGATGAGATACTAGTAAAAGACGAGGATGCCTGCGATGAAGGCACTCGATCCTGCAATGACGGCGCAGTCTTGACGCTAGGTTGCGCGATATTCTTTGCACTCGCTGCCTTGCTGATAGAGCCTGTACGTGCAAACACTGAATAATCCGTTGGAAAGGCGGGAAAAGCGGGCAGGGGAGCAGGAGTTCCTGACTGAGCCGCGGATGATGAAGAGGACGAAGCAGATGAACGCGGTGAGGACTGTAACGAGGGATTCGGCAAAGTGCTCTCCAAAGAGCTGAAAAAGTCGAGGGAGCTGTCATAGTGAAGTTGGGCTTGCTTTGTCTGCTGATTTTGTTGCTGAGATTGCTGTGGCTCCTGGTGCTGGGGCCGAGAAGCTTGCTGCTGTCGGTCTCGAGAAGACACCGCCTTTGCTACATTTCTTGACGGCAGCGGCAGTGGCTCGAGCGTGGGTTTGAAGAAGTCGTCGAGCATACTCATGGACGAGTCCTGCAATTTAATTGACGGGGTAGGTCTTGGTGCTGACGGCGCCTTCGCCTGCCGTCCTGCAGTCGAAATTGCGCTCTTTTTAGCCCTCTCGCCCATTTTTTCGCTCATGCTGTTATTGATGCTGCTGCTGATGCTGCCGCCAAATCCGCCTCCAAAGTCAACCAGGTAAGGCTGAACGGGTTCGAAACTCGTATCGAACAGCGGATCATCATCGAGGGCCGTAGTGAAGGCGGATTTGTGGATCCTGGTGCTAGTGCTGGTGTCGCTGCTGGCATTGCTGCTGCTGCTGCTGCTGCCTGCCCTGGTAATATTAGGGTTGACCTCCTGCCGCGGCTCATGAACCTTGTGATTAACAGCTAGAGGCCCTCTTACGCTTGTGCTACCAAGGTGACCTTGGCCATTAATATCCGAAGAGGACCCGCCACCCAGGGCGCCGGCTAGGTCAAAATCCGCATTTGTACTGAATGAAAATGGTTGGTGTTGTAGTGGAGAACGATGTTGCAGCCGCTGCTGCTGCTGTTGCTGTTGTTGTTGTTGTTGTTGCAATGGATTCGGTGAGACTCTTGGATACCGTCGAGTTGATGCCAAAGGAGCGTTATTCATGTCTGCACTCAGCCGATTGTTCATGCTCGCCATGGCTTGTAGCAACCGAGATATGCGACTTGGATGTCTTCAGCAACTGTACAGTTGAATGCGATAATACCACGGTTATGTCAGTGATGCGTTCTACGCTGTCGATGGTGTCGTTGGGACTAATATTACACGGCAAACTTATGGTGTGATTCAAAGAGTGGGTACTAATCGGCGACTGGTCACGACCATGGGATAACGCATTATCCTTTACCTTCTGCTCCGCCTTCCACCTAGTGGCGGCTGAGTGAATGCGAGGATGGGGGAGTGAAGGGTCGAGGGGGAAAGATGACTTGCGGTTGTGGTAGGCGGGGGAGAGAAAGGGGTGGTGGTGTGAAGTGTGGAGCGAGGAGGATGTGCTAGAGGAGCAGAATAGGGGGGTGCTTCAGGGAGTAACAGAGAGAGAAGAGAGGCGAGTGAGGAGGTGGAGCGAATGACTGGAATGGGAATGAGTCGACAAGGAAATGGATGCAGAGAGGGGAATGGAGGAGGAGGAGGAGGGAGCAGAGCGAATGAGAAAGAGGGCAAGGACGGCGAGGGTTAGTACGTGTATAGGAGTGTGGGCAGAGGTGCAATTGGCTGGGCGGGTTGGCTAATAGGCGGGTGAGATGGGGGAAGAGGAAGGAAGAAACGCTGCGTAGTCGTTTCAGCAGAAATGGTAAAAAGGCAAAGGGCAGGCATGGGGCACATCATCTGACCTGCCAGTTACGGAGGGAGTCGAGAGAGTCAAGACGACGGCGAAGAAAGGACGAAGAAAGGCCGAAGAAGACGATCGAGAAGAGGAAGGGGGTGGGTGCATTGCCCGCTATCGCTCGGGTTGGCGATCATCATGACACCAGGCGCGCGCGGACAGACAGACAGGCGCAGCACCGCATCCCGTCGTTGCCGTTGTGTTCACCCCTCCCAGCAACACGTATGCCCGAGAGCAGCACTGTATTCTGAAGCATACGTCTACGCACAGATCCACGTGCGACAAAAAAAAGCGCTTTGCCCACCAACCCGGTAGATATAAACCTTATTTATCTCAACCTCTGACTGTGGTTAAGGACCACCGATGCGAGATATCTTTTTTATCACACCAGAACTAAGTCCTGTTTGAATAAGAACCGGCTGCCATCCAACTGATACTATTACGCTGCATGTCACCGTCACTGCTGGTACTTACTTTCCACGTTCTCTCTCCTCCTAGCTTTCCTTTTGACAACCAAAAAGGTACATATTCATCACTCCGGCGACCTATTACAACAGCATCAGACACACTGACTACTCCTGGCTCCAGCTACCACGCTACCACATTATCTTCGTTAGGGCGCATTGTAATAGCTTGAAGCTATGTCGTCAGTGCGAACTAGCTGCTTTTCATCTCCTCCCTCGCCTCATAGCGGCATTCGACACACACCGTGAACAACTTAATCCTTTCTGGCTTCTTCTGCGGCTCTTGATTCCTCCCTCGACATGTTTCTCGCTTGAACAACGATATGAACCACCATCATCTCTCGAAACAGGACCATCGCCACCGCCTTTTCATCTATTTCATCAAGAACACCGGCCAACTCGACCTACGGACCGTCTGTAACTTGACAATAACCAACAACAACACCAGCGACCACTCTTTTTTCTTTTTCTTTTCTTATTGATAGTCGCCAAATAAATGACGCAAACTTTATCGTTTCTCCTCCTGGCCTGTGTGACACTTCTCTATTTAGCGATAGCCACACCACAATTCACACAAGCATCCGTCCTTCCAAGAACCGGATACAGACGTCCTCACCATGTCCTTTCTTATTCGCAAGCAAACAAGGAACGGGACGATAATGGAGAACGAAAGCCGCTTATTCAAGATGTGGAAACAGTACCCATAACTGCTAATATCCTGCGTGACAGTCCGAAGAGCCATCATCTCCCTTCAAGTAAAGATCCTGTTCGAGTCGAAGAGCCTTTCATGAACCAGCAGTCGTCTACATTGGAGCGAGGTCACCCCATGTCGATAAAGAACCACCACATGACGCGATCCCCATTCATCAAGACCCTAGGCTTGCGACACAAATCAACAATGAGCTGGGACATGAGAGCGAGGGCAGAGAACCAGGCGCAGTGGAGTACTTTCAGGCGCCAGTTCGAAACAGGACGACCGAGTGACCGCATTGCCGACAACGAAGCAGGTGTCGCAGAGGGACAACATTCATTAACTGAAGCCTTGGCTACAGATGGTTCAGTCGTAGTGGTTGCCAGTGGCGATGGTGATAGCGAAGTCACTCAAAATGAGTTTGTAGAAGAAGCAGCGACTGAGGAAGAGCAGGATGGTCCTGGAAATTATTATTTCCGCCAAGTGCTGGATCATTTTTCAGGATCGAACAACCTAGCTGTACCCAAGTCCTCGCCTTTGCAGTCTCTCCTAGGATCCTCGAATAACAACAACACGTTCCGACAATATTACTATATCAACAGCGAGTTTTATAAACCAGGTACGTATCTTCGCAGCTTATTGCCACGTTCACCAAAGCATGCATCAGATTTGTATCGCGTGGACTTTGACCCTTTGGTTTCATTGTAGGTGGTCCGATCATTCTGTGGATACCAGGGGAGAGCCCGCTACATACGCTCTTTCTCCGTCGTGGCCTCGCCTACGAACTTGCCAACGCAACTTCAGGTTTGCTCGTCGCATTAGAGCATCGGTTCTACGGCAGTTCTATACCGAGGTTCCAGGACTCTTCCACTGCTGCCAATAATATCATATCCGATCATAAAGTCCGACAGGAGACCGAAAATAATATTGGATCAAGAAGAAGCGTCTGGGGATCATCCTCAGTGGCACGAACCCATCCAAGGACTACCTCTGCCCGAGCATCCGATACAGAGATCAAAGGTGACGGCGACGGTTCCGACGGCAGCGCCGACAATACTTCAATGAGAAACAGCAGCAAAGGCCATGGTAACAAGGGTAACCAAGAAGAAATGGAGGGTTTACCGCTAGATTTGCTAAAGTACTTGACCGTCGATCAGACCATCGAGGATATCGCGTCCTTTATAGACCATTTCTCAATCCTACAACCATCTTTCTATCCCGCGGACGAAGAAGATACCGCAGAAATGCGCTGGATCCTTGCAGGTTGCTCGTATGGTGGAAGCCTCGCAGCCTGGGCCCGACGGAGATACCCATCAAAAGTCTTTGCAGCCTTTGCATCCTCTGCACCCGTACGTTCAGAACTGGACTTTTTCGAATACAGTACTTCCCAAACAGATATTTTAGGGAAGCAGTGCTCAGCACGTCTAGCCCATGCCAGGGATTTTCTCGATGGCGCGCTACAGATGACGGACGAGTTTATGCAGCAGATGGTCCATTTGAACAAAGCTATCCCAGGTAGTGAATTCACCAGCTCAACAAAGAACAATTCTTTGCAACCGCGGTCTTCTCAAAATAACAACGATAGTCAAGCATCTTTCACATCCAGTCAAACAATCAAGGAGGTTAAAAGGGAGGCAAGGGAGGCAGCCAAACTTGAAGTTCTGAACTGGTTTAGCCCAGACTTTGCACACGACTACGCTCAAGAGGGAGAGGAGGTTCATGCGGCAGGATGGATCTGGTGGACGGTGGCCAGTGCGGTCCAGTATAATGGCATCGTCACCCCACCAACAGTCGAGCCAGCCAAAACAGCCATCGATATCTTGTGCGAAACGATGGCGAAAACTGACAGCCAGGACTTGAACGAATGGCCTTTTGGGAGCTTATTTATGCTCAAAGGCGACGCGTTGCTCGAATCTGCTCGATATGCGAAAGCACTTGCCATGTGGTTCAGAGACATGCAATACTTTACCCCAACCAGGATCGGGGACTTGCAGCCCCCTGATCTGGACCCAAACTCGATGCAAAATTTGGCCAGTATGGCCTGGCTGTGGCAGACCTGCAGCGAGCTGGGATATCTTCAAACCTCACGGCCATCCAGCTGCTGCTGCCCCTCAGCTTCCGCACCCAAATCGCCCGCGAAAAATTCGGTCAAATTCAGAGATAACAGCAACACTTCGCCTTCCGAAGACCTTGCATCCACTTCAAACGCGACATGCTTAGTCAGCGACTGGACGTCGCTACATGAGACAATGTCCTTATTATCGCGCTCAGTGCCATCTACCTCATGCTGCAGAGGTGTAGCACCGAATCCGCCCTCCAATGCCTCGTCTTGCTTGGCCTGTCGGTGTCATGCCACCAAATCCCAGGTAAAGGAGAGTGTGTTCTCACGGCTTCTTACCCTGGAGGCCGCCTGGCAGGAGTGCCAATTCTACTTTGGCATGACACATTCGGACAGTAAAGAATCCATGAATACGTCCAACAAGCAAACCAAATCACAGAGATCATTGCAGCACCGTGTTGGTGGAAAGCATAGGGTCCCGCGTGGTGACCAGCATGGCAGTGGTGGCGACAATGGTTCCCCTGGTAGATCGAGGAGCAAGCTGCGGTTGTTGCATGAATACCCGGACGTGGATCAGAACGTCAACATGAAATTTCATGGCTGGGAAATCGCAACAGAACCGAGCTCTGGCACGAGCGACGAGGAGATAGAACGTTCAAGGAACGCACGGCCCGAACAAGCAGGACATATAATCGATACAGCCATCGTCGCAGGAGTTCCATCCGCAACACCAGATTGTCGCTTTATGGGCCATACTAATAGGTCCACATCTGGGAGCCGCGAGGACTTTGACATACTTCGACCTGACCATGCAGGTAGTGGTGGAGTCGGCCGGTACTATTTTACGAATGGCGAAAATGATCCCTGGAAAGAGCTCACGCTAGCCAGCCATCTGGCGCTTGAGTTTTTGAAGCAGGAAGACGACAGGAGAAAAATGGTCTCCGTATCCACCCCATCTACCTTAAATCCTCTTCCTATAGTGGATTCAACGCAGCTGAATCGAAAGCCGACAATACCAACTTTGGCAACGGCGTCAGCAGATTTGTCCTCAGCTACAGCCATCCCAATGCATCCTCCCGGGATAGTATTTCGGAACTCGACAGGAAAAGCACCTAGTGGTCCTTCAAAAATCTACCCTATTCAGTCTCGTCCTCGACCGCGCGACCAAAAGCACCATCGACTGAGACGCCGTGGACGTGGAAAAGACAGCCCTTCTCTCAATCCGAATCTCCAAAACGGTGCGAACGAGGACGGGGACGACGACGAAGAGAAATCGAGTACAAGATCCACTTTGCAGAGCCATGATCGCCACAATCTACCTATGGGGCAGGGTACTGAAAAGGATACCAACAACAGGGGCGAAGATAAGAGCGAAAGGAAGACCATCTTGAGGATTATTCCTGGTGCTAGCCACTGTCAAGACATTCTGTACCAGTCCAGCGATCTAGAATCCGTGGAACTGCGAGAAGAGAGGCAGCATGTGCTGAAAACCTTTGTGCACTGGATCGAGCAAGATGTTCAGAGACTCCAGCTTATTCGGAAGCAGGAGCAGCGATTCACAAAAGGCATAAATTCACAAAATAGCGAATGCAGAATATAAACAAATATAAAAAACAGCTATATTTGTGTATGCATATTTCTGCCTATGCTGGTGTGAGGAGATGCTTGAGGTAGAAATATTTACTTGCCCTTGTAAACGGGCTTTCTCTTTTCGCGGAATGCAGCGAGACCTATGAATATGAGGGAGCAAGGATTTACTGTCAGAATTTCTGATACTCTCTGTGATCAAAACAAAGCGCAGTGCCTGCTATACTCTTTGCATTCATTACCTTCCAGACGGTCCTCAGAAGGCATGATTTGGGCGTAGCAAGCCTGCTCGTATTCCAATCCAGAATCACTGCAGGTATGAAAATAAGTGATGAAGAAAAAATGTGTCATAAGCATTGTTAGACTTCTCGCCGGGCCTCCGTTTGAACGCGTCTTGCACAGCAGACACTCTCATGAACTTACATCTCAAACTGGGTACCCTTGTCGATGGCGCTCTTAGCCATGCGGATGGCGAGAGGTCCCATAGGCAACATCTCGCGTGCAACCTCAAGAGCCTTGTTATATGCCGAATCCTCCTCGACAGCGTGGTTCAAAATGCCCATCTCCTTGGCAGCAGCAGAATTGAGGATCTTTGACGAGTAAATCAACTCCTTTGCTTTGGGGATTCCAATCAAGCGAGGCAAGCGCTGCGTACCGCCAGCGCTATATATTCAACCAGATTGAGGTCAACTATTAGACCACAGGAACAAAACAACACAAACGTTTCCAAGTTTGTTTCATCAAACGTACCCGGGAATAATGGCCAACTTGGTCTCGACGAGTCCAATCTTGACCTTCTTGTTACCTCCTCCAACACGCAAATCGCAGCAGAGGGCCATCTCCAAACCACCTCCGAGAGCAGCTCCATCAATGACGGCAATCGTGGGGATGGGCAGTGTCTCGAGCTCCCTGAAGCTATCTCTGAGGCCAGCCAAGAACTGCTTGACCTCCGTCAAGTTCATAGTCGAGCGTTCCTGTTTGTCCAATGAAATGAGAAAAGTGCACGTATCGTAGCGCATGTCGTACAGTTAATGTCAGATTTCTTGTCACTTCCTTCAAGATGGCGGTTCCTGACAGAGTTCTTTATTCGCTTACCCTCAGATCAGCGCCGGCGCAGAACGCACCCTCAACCAAACTCCTAATAACGACCACTCTAGCATCCCTATGTTATAGTGAACATCGCAAACATAATAGATTTTGGTGTTAGTTTGATGGCAAGAATACTTCAGGACCAACTGGTCTGCTACACGCTAAAGTAAACAGATTACTCCAACGCGCACATGTCACTGCGTGGACGCGTGTGTGAACGCTAGGCACGGACTCAATTGCTTTCGGAGAGAGAGTCTCTCAGTCTAGCCCATTCATATCCTTTTCTGTCAAGATGCAACTTACTGATCATAGCGGAGCTCATGGAGGGCATCACGGAACTCGCGCACGAACTTGCGCGACAAGGCATTGAAAGCCTTGGGGCGGTTAAAATTGACAACAGCGATACCTAGTGAGGGACGGATCCATCCGGTGTGAGTCGCTTTGCGTTTGCTGGATTGAATTGCTGAGTGGTCTTTCTTGCGCAAAGACGTCTGTCTTGCTGGTGCAAACCACCGTGGGAAAAATAGAAAATTCGAGCGGAGATCAGGGCTTACCGGTGTCGTCGCCAGTCAAACGCTCGATGAAGCATTCCTTTCCCTCTGGATGAGCAGCGGACTGCTGGGTCGTGGAGATGAATCGGATTCCTGATGAGGCTGAGGGAACAATTGATCTGTGCAGACGCTGGGGTTGGAAGCTGCGGGCGAGGAACGTGCGGAGCATGCTGGGGAAATCGGCTTTAGTAAGAGAGTGGAGAAGGGGAGAAAGAGTGGAGTGAGGAAATTGATGAGGCGCTCAAATTTAGCGGCTGTCTGCGATCGCATTGGCAGTAAGGGGCACAGAATTGCCAGGGCATCCACCAAAGCATGGCCGCCACGATGCGTTCCGGGGTGCTTCCCTGAGACATTTGGTCTCTCCATCCTTTTGCTGGCGCCATGGGATGGATACCAACAAACAAATTCATTCCTATCTGCAATCCTTCAGTGTCACCAGCTTACACTCTAAATTGTACGACTATTGATTGATCCGTCCTCGTCTCTGCAACATCTTTACGTGAAAATGAAATGATAATGATACATGGGTTGTAATATGTATATTAACTTAGTTGGTTGGATATAAACATGAATGAGTCTAGGACTCGGCGCGGAAGGATAAGAGGTAGACCATCCGTGTTGGGGTATCTAGGCGCTGTTTACCATCGCAGCTCGCCCGAGATCAATCTCAGGAAGATGTATGCCACACTTCCAACAAATCTGAACGCCGATAGGAACGCGACGGACCACAGCACAAACCCAAGATAGACCTTGGACCGTGCATCGTACGATCCGGACCTGTCGTCACCCTGGTATGTGATGAGACCCACAAGCACCACATTGCTGGCACACCATAACACAACCAGACGGGTACGGAAGGCTCGGTAATAGTCCTCCTGCTTTGTCTTTGCGTCGCGCTTACTGGGAGCCTCCTCCACACGCTCCAGAAGAGAATCAAGCGCAAGCTGATACCCTTCATTGATATCCTTTTCCTCCACGGGCACGCTGACAGTGACCTCTGCCGTCTTTGCATCCGATGTTGCCTTAACCACGCCGAGATCCATCTTTTCGATTGTATCACCCTTGGTTCCCCAACTGACATCGTGTGTATTACAGAACGCATAGACATTGAGAACATTCACGTAACTAGCAAGAGAAAGGCAATATACGTTAGCGCGATCACTCACCCCGCTTGCATTGTTTGCCAGCGCATGGTGGAAGCAATTCAGTTAAATGTCTTACCTGGGCACCATGCAAAGATACTGCACAAAACTCGTCAACATGTGCCATGGCTCAAGGTAGAGAAAAGATCCAACGAAATACAATCCATAGGTCGACGCCAGAGACAAGATCACAGTCCTGAAAGTTGCGTCGCCCAGCATGGCTGAAAAACTAGTTGCTCCTGCCTCAATTGCATGTTGAATTCCAAGCTTCGTCAACCAAATCGCGCAGAAGGTCATGTAAACCATCAAGAAGGCGAAAAAGACCATCGCCAACGTATAGAGCAGTTTTGATCTATGTAGCAACAAAGGTGGTAAATGTTGTTAGACAACTACAGCTTTCTCTGACAGGCCATAGCGCATGCATAACATGAGAGTAGTGAATCCTTGCTTACCCTGTGGGCCGGTTACCCATACTGAGCACGAACATGGTAATGACGAGAAACTGATACACGTATTTCAAAAAGACAAAAAGTCCCTTTGCCACACCGTTATCACCAAAGGGACTGTTTTCGGGCACTGTCAAGGAGTTGACGAGGATGTAGAATGTAAGGTAGATATTTGCCTAAATTAAAGAACGCAAACGGATGCCAAGTGCTGTTAATGATACCAATTCTGTATATTGCGCTTTGCGCTGACTTTCATCTTTGATTGCAAACAAGGGGTCCGAACTTACGATTGCGAACCAACTGAACAGAATGCTTAGGATATTGTAGACGAACTGTAGATGGAACAATATCTTGCGCCAGGACGCATGGTCGCTCTTGTAGATCTTCCTAAAATGGAAGATCGAGAAAAGGGCCACGAAGAAGGTACCGTTTAACCACCGACGACGTTGGCTGATCAGCTCCGGCACCGTATCCGGGACATCGGTCTCTGCCCAGGCTGCCTTGACATATCGCAGTGTCCAGGCGTAGTTCCGCTTGGCCACCAATTCGAAACACAGAATACGATCCTCCGCCAAGTACATGTTCGCATCAAAGATGCCCGAGTCCGCAGACGGCTTCTCGCCTTTGAAGTAGCTGACGAGTGGCCCCTCGTTCGGTGTTTCTGGCGCTGTCAATAGAGCACGGTATCTGTAGGCAGAAAAGGCTCCTGGGAGCACCTGAATGTATCCAATGACTGACTCTAGAGGCTTGTCCAGAATGTTATTCTATAAAGCATGGTACGAGAAGTGCGATTAGTTCAGCTGGTCTTCTGGTCCAGGCACTAAACAGCTATGCTCCATAAACTGGTACTTTTCTTACCATCTTGTACTCAAAATTCTGTGCGGCGACAAGAGGGTTTAACAGGTTCTTTGCACCAGAACCTTTGACTGGCTTGATCTCACCACACGCGCCAGCGACGTTCGAGTTGAGATCAAAGACCTTCCAGAGCTGATAGATCGATGTCGGTCCTGGTCTCGTTCCAACATCCAACAGAACGCAGACGCGGGGGTTGAGGACCGGCCCAAACGCGTTGAAGAACCAACGATGCGAGTTCAACTTCTTTGCATTCTGTTCCTTAAGACAAAATAAGATCTGGACGGGTGCATAATCACTCGTGTTTGACTCAACGATCTTCATGCTGGGGTCGATTGTAACCTGAGTCGTGTACTATAAAGAAGAAGAAACTAGTCAGTCGCTGTATTTCGCCCAAACTGATAGAGCAACCGTGGAGAGTGTTTAGGTCCATTGCGCTTACCTCGAACAGATGTGCCTGCACAGGTTCGCCGTTGACCTCTCTCTTGGCAATGCCCTCCTGGTAGACGCCCATGGATGAAAGATAGTTGTAGACCTTCGGGTTACACTTTAGGCGTCCATCTGCCACGATGCAAACCACGACCTTTTCCCATGTGCCTTCTCCCCACGTTTTGGAGTTGGTTCTCGACACCAGATGGCGAATGTTTTTGATAATTCCATGCATCGTTTGGGCGAAAAGAATTTCGTCTTCCTAAAACAGCGGTGTATTTTGTTGTATAAGGCACAACGAACAGTTAGTGCACATTCTAGACATTGTTATCCTTTCAGGCATTCCAATGACTATGGAACCTACGTTGTACATAGTAACCACGATAAACAGCTCCGTCTCTCTGTTCCACATAGCCTGGCGGAGAGTATAGTTCTCGTTCTTGAAGTCGTCCGGGTCGCAGGTGACGGCGCTGTATCTCATGAACTCCCACTCTTCGCCCTGTTGTTGCCGTTGATGCTTCAGGTAGTGAGACGGCACAGGACAGTCGAGGATGAGGTTTCCGTCTGTGAGCTGGACGTTCTTCTTGGTCTTGTATCGACGTTCCTGACGCTCAGGGACTTCGCCATATCGCATTGTCGAATGCGGAAGGAAGGGGGTCTCAACAGAGGAGTAGCCTGCGCTGTGTCCAAACCCTGGAGTAGCGCCTATGGGAGTCTCGACAGAGGAGTAAGCTGCGCTGTGTCCAAGCCCTGGAGTAGCGCCTATAGGAGTCTCGACAGAGGAGTAGGCTGCGCTATGTCCGAGCCCTGGGGTAGCCCCTCCTATGCCTGGTTCATATGTAGCATTGAATGGTTGGTGGTGTTGTTGCGGTGGATTATTAAAGTCCTGAAGTGGCATGTAGTGAGCCATGGCTGATATCTGTGTGTGAGCAGTAGCAGCAGTTGGGAGCAAGGGTCTCCTGGGTGTTACAACGACGGTTGTGAAACAGAGTGTGAGATGGTATTCCTTGATGGGATGAGGTGGAATTGATCAAGTGCGAGATTACAAGTGGGGTGCACGAGCTAGGAGGGACACGGGCAGCAGCTAATCGGGATGAAGAATGGAGAGAAAGAAAGAAAAAAGGTACGAGACACCACCAAAGGGAAAAGGAGTAGGGGCCCCTGATGACGCATCTTCGACTCTTTTCTTTCCGCTATTTTTGTGGGCATAGCCAAAAAAAAAAAAAAAAAACATGCTTATTTCTTCGACCGTGGCACATAAACAAACACACGAGGAAGGAAGGAGGGGAGGAAGAATAGCCATGGCATCATTTTTTGCGCACCAATAGAGGGTCCTCGCTGATCAATGCTATTCGTACCTCTCTCTATCCAGAGCCAGGGTCGTGTGGCCCCCCATTGTGGACTTGTACCTGCATGACAATATGTGTGAGTAGCATGAGGCGGGAAGTTCACGACCGGCGCCTTCTTTCCCGCCTTCTTTCAACTTTTATTTTCCTACTTTCCAGCCAAGACCCAGCATAGCCCAAGGAAATGATTTTGGAGTTCAGGTCGCAAGTTAAAAATAGCACAGCCACACATTTTTTTTTTAGAGTCGAGCAGCGCGATAAGGTATGCGTACGATGTCTAATGCGATTCGCATGGTGTATCTCGTTTATTGATTATTTTTTTTTCTCTTTGGTAAAGAACAGCGTTTACAAAAGTACAATACAGGCTTGTCATCCGGTAACTCGTTTTCATCAAAACACGACTATGCTCCCGGTTGCTTTATCTCTGGTGTGGCGCTGGCTGGGCATTCAAAGCGGTCTCGAGATCTATAGAATAGTACAATTGAAGCAAAGAAAAAAGTCTTGGCGTCAATATGCCGTACACTCAGTAGCTGCGCTTCCGAATTTAGACCCTGCCAAACGACCCTTACCATCCTCAAGAGTTGTGCGACGGCTGTTGGTTGAAGTCACGGCAGGTTCAATTGTGGGATCAGCTGTCGTCGAACTGTTCAGGTTGTAAGGTCTGTCAGGTAAGGGAGGAGTCGAACCGCTGAGTGGCGGGGTCACTCTGTGTCGGGCTATTGTAGGAAAGTGGAAATGCAAAATATGTACAACCGAGTCAGTAAAATGACTGTGGTAACAACCAAGGCCTCCTTTCACGCGATCCTTTCCATACCAAGAGGCTCATCCTCCTCAGTACGAGATCCAAACCGAATTGGCTCCAGGTTGCGATTCTCATTAGACCACTGGTCTCCTTGATTTCTACTCAGATAAAAATAAAATAAAAAAGCGCGATTAATAACTGCGCAGGCTCCACAGCCATGTATCAATCAGAGTCCTGCAGTCCTGCGCTTCTCATGTACCGATAGCTGTCGCTGTACTGGCCTTGGTTCGCGTTGTTTCTTTGCGTTGCCTCAGCTCTCGAGGCCTTGAATTGGTTGTACCATTCGGTAACCTTCTTCTTAGTAGCTTGAAAATAAAAGCGAATTAACTATCCATTCACTTCGGTCCTTACCATAATCCGGATATGAGTTATTATTGCCTCACTTACTGTCAGCAGCCACGTTGAATCGTTCCTTGATCTTGGGTAATTCCTCTATAGCACGAGATAAAAGTTCAAATATTAGTTTACGCGGAAATCGAAAGTGAGAAGATAGAAACAGGGCACAAAGCGTCCATACCATCCATGAGGTCCTTGATTTCCGTGGCAAATGATGGCCCTTCCTCATGCTGTTGCTGTTGCTGGTTCTGCTGATTACGAACGTTTTGGTTATCTCGGGCTATTAGCAACGGAGAATTATAGAGGGGAGCCTTGTCAGTTCTTTCGCATCAGAAAGAATGACGTCCAGTGTTGGTTACACCCTGCGACGGATGACGCAAAGCATAAACATCGTACCTCTATATTCGTCCATAGCGGCCAGTGTACGTGCAAAGTCCTCGTCTGCGCGCAATTGCTGCTCAGAGGTCGAGGTGGACGCCAAGAAAACGGGCTTGATAAACGGGCGACGAACCAAAGAGTTAGTTCAGAAGTCATTATGATACATTGCCAAGAAAAAAAGCTATTATCGTGCACTCACATCAATTTCGGTGCGCTGCCCCTGGTTATGGCCAAGATTCATGCCAGCCATCCCTTGAGACAAAGAATCAGGGTCCTGACGGCGAGGCAACGCAGGTGGGGCTCCTGAGGAGGGAGCAAGAGGTGTCACGGCAGCAACCGCAGGCGCAAGGGCTGGTGCGGACGCTGTCTGCTGCTGGCGCTCAGGCTGGAAATCGGGGTCTGAAATCTCCAGCAAGGCGTTGATACTCGCCTCGACATCCCCACGATGGCTCTCCAGCACGAATTCGCACACCTCTTTCTCAACTGTGGGGAATGCCTCGGTCAAAATGGCCAACTTGGCTTCCCTCTCAGAGGCAGGAGCAGTGACAGTCTGCAATGGCGCTGCTGTGGGCGCAACTGTGATAGGTGCCGTTGCTGTTGCTGTTGGCAGTGGCGCTACAACAGGAGCGGTGGTTCCTTCCTCTGTCGCAGTGACCGTGGCAGGAGCGGCCAGGTGAGGTTCAAGCTCGTCGCTAGCAACATTATCTGCGCGGAATTGATCTTCAGCTGTTGTCTGAGGGGATCCTGGGGGTTTTTTGTTGGCAGTATCAGGCGAGGCCGGAGCACCCAAGTTAGTCCCACTTGTTGCAGCAGTGGCGGTGGTTGTCGAGGCAATTGGGGGCTCGTTGTCGATATTGAGGTCGGAGGGAGGGTGTGCCTCAGTCTCTGTAAGGTTCATGTCCTTGTCGGCGGCTGACATGACTAGGTTTGGAGGATGGTAGATGTCGATGGGGTTCAAGAGTCAAAAGTTGATTGCGTAGTGAGAAGTTGATGCAAGAAACGTTCATAGGGCGAGTTCTCGTTTTATCGCGATGCCAAGCAAGACGCGGTCTCCTTGCACGAGAACAATTGTTGGATGGCTCTCAAATATGAAAACACACCCAAATCATTATGTCTGCACGCACTTCGAGCTCAAAAACGAGCATACTTAAACCGCCTTTTCATCTCCATAATAAAAAGATGCGCGGGTCAATGTTCTTTATGTCTATTGTGTTTAATGAACTCGCAGATGAATATGGATATTCTTTGTCATCGTCTCAACGAAAGTGTGGTGATCGTTCAATTGCCTGGTTTGAACGGCGGTCCAAAACGGCAAAGCACTATTAATTACAAAACTCTTCAAGGACATAACAAACAGCAGCGTGTAATATTGTTTGAATTCTCTACATGAAGGATGAAGAGCTGGCTTGATGTCCAAATGGCGACTGCTGCTGCTGTTGCTGCTGGCCCCATGGGCTTCCATTGGCGCCCGTTGCTTGGCTACCCATCATGTTGATGCCGTTGTTACTGCCAAAAGTGTTGTTCATACCGCCCATCATATCCATACCACCGCCCATGTTGCTGTTGTTCATACCCATCATGCCAGTCGACTGCGTTGGTACTTTGCCAAAGTTGGGCGAGAATGGGTTGAGTGGGTTCGTGGAAGGCGCAAAGGGATTGGTATTTCCCGTTGGTTGTGAAGAAAGACTGGGCATAGCGTTGAATTGTGTCGACCCCGTCATCATGGGCAGCGAGGGTGTCAAGGCCGACCCCATTGCCGAAGGCCCAAGACGGAAAGGGTTTCCCGTACTCTGAGGAGCAATACTGCCCATGCCACCATTGTTCATGCCCCCATTGCCCATGATATCCATCATACTGCCGTTATTGCTCATATTGTTCTGGTATAGACCCGTTTGTTGCTGACCCATCGAAAAAGGGTTGGTATTGAATCCAGTGGGCTGTGCAGCCAGCATATCTGACTGGAATTGGGATCCAGGCATGCCTGTCAATTGATTTTGAAGCATCATATTCTGTTGTGCTTGCATCTGCTGCATCTGGAGAAGCTGTTGCTGTTGCTGCAGCTGTAGCTGGAATTGCTGAAAGTCGTTTCCTCCGGTCATCATCTGAGCCTGGAACGTGTTGGGATTTTGCTGGATAATTGTCTCCTCGTTATCAATACTGGAGAAAAAGTCGATGATATCCTTCTTGGTGCTGAGTCTCTTAGATTCCTCTGTTGTCTTCTTAGGAGACCATGTATCATCATCTACAAGTAGGAAAACACGAGATTAGTTACATGAAAACTATTTTTACAGTATCAACTTGAAACACTTAGTCAACATACCATTGCCAGGCTTGCCGCCTCTCACGGGTTCTGATGATTTTGATGCAGCGGGCTTGGCAGTCGGTTTGCTTGATGAAGACTCCTTTGGTTTCGAAGCGGACTTTTGTTCCTCCTCAAAGTCTGGACTGTTCAAGTGTTCTTCCAAATTTCTGACCAGCGATAGTGGTGCCTGTAAATGAATTACATAAAATCAAATCAAGTCAAGGGTTAGGGATCGAACGATTCGCATATGATGTGTTAGATATCCTTCGTAAGCCCCACGAGACGTACATGCTTGAGCTGAGGGATGGTGATGTGAATGACGCCTTCCATACGCTTGGCAACACTGAAATACTCCATCGATTTTGTGGTTTGCTCTGCAAAGATCTTGTAAATCTTCAGTCCTAGACGCGCCTGATCTTTGGTCATTTCAAAGTAGTGTTCTATTACACATCGGCAATATGGATCCAGCAAACCAGTCAGTTTTTGTACATGGTTTCTGCCTCATCTTCATCCATTTTTCTTACGAAGCAATTCCTGGGACAAAACACATACGCAAGATGTTGATAACGCCCTCATTCATCGCCTGAAAAAGTCGCAGTAGATCCTGTACGAGCAATGCGAAGGCTCCAATCGTCACCTCGTTACTCAGCTCGTCCACATAAAACTGGTTCGAATAAGCAGTTAAGAGGCTCTTGGTTAGTGCAAGATCATGATATAGCTAATGGCGCCATCTCATGACATCACGTATGTAACGACAACATTCGCATTCTTACCTTGCAGGCCAAGAGGGCGCTGATCTGCTTCTGGAGGCATGCTACATGATGCAACAGGCCCTTGGACAAGGGCAATGTTCTCAGATAGCCATCACGCCCTTGAACTCCTGTCCTGACCGGATCCCGTTGGAGTTCGCCGTACACATGAACTTTTTCAATGAGATACGCAGCATAGGTTCTGATTGTGGCCGAATGCCCGCCTATTTCGAATGAAAAGCGTAACAGCCATTGTCAGAACTATATTCTCCAGATATGTTCTGCCATCCACTAATAAAGCAGAGCATAGGTTGATAACGTACTATTGGCGCCGCCCTTGTACGCAGCCGAAAGAATTCCGCGCTGAGAAGCACAAAAGCTCAACACATCGTTTCCGGCTTCAGAGCGAGTGAGCAAGTGTACGACCAATAAAGACTTAAAAGAAATCTGGATGATCGGAGTAATCAGAAGCAATCAGGTTTTCTTTGTTAGACATCAAAACCTTCTTGTACAGATATTAACAAGCCGGGATGATTGTTATAAGAAGGGTGACCTACAGTCCATGTATTGCTGGACAGCCTTGGTTGAAGTGCATTCATAATAAGCATGATGTTGTGCATTGACGAGGTTGCCCCGAACAGCAATGCTATGTATGATAAATTGAACAAACGAAGGATTGCGCGTTAGTTGACACCGATAATGGGAGAAGAAGTCCTCACCCTGCAGTTCTCCTAGAAGCTGTCTACTATGATATTCAAACGTTCTCCGTGAGTCCGTGGAGCCGGCTATCAGCATTCGGCGAGTCTGCGATGCCTCGATAGTGCAGCGCTACTTACTGTCGAGGTATTTCTGCTTCGGATACATGCACTTGGGCTTAGTAGCCCCGACAACTGCCTTCTCCATGGTTGGCTGGGTTTCTGTTCTGAAGGCGAGTAAGGGTAAGTAGCGTGTGAGTAGAGTGGGATTGGGTCGTCTGTAGGGGGAGGTGATGTACGATGGGCAGGCGGGTTGCTGCTGGTAGGGATGGGAGAGTGTAAAGGGTGGAAGTTCTTCCAGCACGGTCTATTTTTTCACTTGTTGCAGGCTCTCCTTTGCACACTCAAAGCCCACAAATGTTCGCGCTCTTTATTACAGTGCACTCAAAATGAAAATAAGTGGGCTAAATTTTGAGTGGGCCTGCAGGAAGTGCACCCCCAAAAGTAATCGTTATTTCCCGGCGCTGCTTGACGTGCCATATCACTTCGCTTTATTTCCGACATCTAACGGCGCGAGATCAACTTCCGAAGTGGATCGTCCAGGCACCTGAAAATCATTCCTCCTTCCCTCGCCCGCCAATCATTCTTCCCCTCTTCTTGCATCGCATCGCATCGCATCGACTCGAGCTGAAGCCAGGGCAGTGTCGGAATTTGATTTATATACCATCCCCCCTTCCCTCTCCCCCTCCTCTCCCCGATTTTCAGGTACCGTAACCAGGAACAGCCCGATCCCGATCAGGACATAACGGAAATCACACCTTTTCAATATCAACCTGGCAAGCACGCTTCGCTTACCTTCTTTGCATCCTTTTCTACTCTGCCACACATTCTAGAAAGATTTTGTGAAGAATGATGAATGCCAGTAGATTGGCCGTTGTTGGCTCAAAGCACACAACCAGGGCTGCAGCCTCAATGCGTGCTACCCAATACCGCGCTCTTGCTCAGGTACCGACCTATTGAAATAACAGCAGTAGAAACAAATCTTGTCGCATTCACCTCCATTTGATCCCCCCAAGCTCACTCGGCTCTTATCTGTACGGCATTATGTATACTGCAGAGATTCAGCTCGACCGACTCAAAAATGACAATGCCCGAGGCCGCTGCTGCCACACCAGCCGTCAAGGCCGGGCTTCGCTTCCGCACCAAGGCCCTGATCACCTTGACCTTGATCGGTACTGGTGTCGCTGGTGTAATCAAGCACTCGTTCGACGACTCTGAATTCCGCACGCTCCTCGAGGATAATGTGCCCTATTTCGCTCATTCCATGGATCAGCTGGAGGCGCTTAAAGATAACAAGGATCTCGAAAGGGTCATCGATGGTGCATCACAGGCCTCAGAGAAGGCAATTGATCTCAGCAAGACTGCCTACCGCAAAGCCTCAGACCTGATCAACGGAACGACAACACCCGCGCCAGAAAAGGTCAACAACACCGTCGCCAGTGGCGCCAATAAGCTGGCCAAGAAGGTGCAGGAGCTGGAGCAACCCAAGCCTGCAGTGCCCGCTACGCGATCTGAATACATCCCTTCAGAGGTTCCCCCTCCTAGCTTCCTCCCGGGCGCTGCCCCTGGCAAGCCCGCCCAGGCTGTCGCAGCTATCAAGGAAGCAGAGGCCAAGGTTGCGAAGAAGGTTGAGGAAGTCAAGGACAAGGCCGTTGAGAAGGCTATCGAGACCAAGGATAAGGCCATTGAGAAGGCCATCGAGGCTAAGGATAAGATCATGGGCACCAAGGACAAGGTTGCTGAGAAGGTTGCTGAGAAGAAGGCTGAGGCTGTCGCTGCCATTCCTGAACCACCCAAGAAGCTAATCAAGGTCGCACCCATCGAATCGGAGGAGCCCATCATGACTAACCTCAACTCAACTCTGCACCAGCTCGTCGCCATCCTGAACGAGACCGGCATTCCTGAGCAGGGTCACCAAGTCTTTGAGAAAGCCAACGAGGAGTTGAAGCACTTGAGCGAGCGCGTCGAGGCTTTGAAGGTCGAGGGTGAGGCCCAGGCTGCGACCGTCATGGCCGAGCTTACGGAAAAGTACAATAAGTTGGTTAATGAGAAGGAGACTCAGCATGAGGGCGAGCTCACGCAGCTGAAGAAAGAACTTGCAGAGGCGCATGAGGAGGAGAAGAAGAAGGCCATTGAACAAGAGCTCAAGGCCCAGCAGAATATTTTGCGCGAAGAGCAGAAGCAGGAGCTGTTGAAGTACGCAACGGACATGCAACGTCGTTGGGTGCGCGAGGTCAAGGTGCGGGTTGAAAACGAGCGTGGCGGTCGTTTGGCCCGTCTGGACCAGATTAACTTGCGCCTTAGAACCTTGGAGCGTCAGGAGATCGACAATGCCGAGTTTTTGGAGCAGTCAGCACGCACGCATCAGCTCTGGTGCGGTATCAAGGCATTGGAGAAGGCTTATGAGGCTGGTGAGCGTCGTCCCTTTGATCGCGAGTTGGTCCGTCTGAAGAGATTGGCTGAGACCGAGAAGGATGCTGAGGTCCTCAAGAGTGTTTTGGCGGCTGTGCCCGAGTCAGTTGCTATCCAGGGCGTGGACTCGGTCCCTGAATTGGTCGACAGGTTCGAGTATGTTGCAGACAAGGTTCGCCAGGCCAGCTTGGTTCCCGAGAACGGCGGCGTGTTGGCACACGGAATGAGCGTGCTTCTCTCGAAGCTGATGTTCAAGAAGCACGGACTGGTTCCTGGAAACGATGTTGAGGCCGTTTTGGCCCGCACAGAGTACTACCTGCTCGAGAATGACTTGGAGCAAGCTGTGCGTGAGTTGAACCAGCTCAAGGGCTGGGGCAAGCGTCTTGCGAAGGACTGGATTGTTGCTGCCCGCAGGAGGGTCGAGGTTGGACAGGCCATCGATGTAAGTTTTTTGTGTGTTGATAATGAAGAATCAAGCAAGTGCACTTCCTGTAACAGACAGCTAACCACCATCTGCTCTGTCTTCAACTGACACTCAATAGGTCATCAACACTCACGCCAACCTTGTCAGCTTGACCCTTGCATAAACACATCCCGATCTATATCATTTCCGACTATGCTTTCGCAGACTCCTCACTCTCATATCTTACTCACCCCCTCTCGCACACTCACTTCGTCTTCTTCACGCCACCTCCCTTCTTCCTTACAATAACAATGGCAATAGCTCTACCTATGGAAGAAACAAAGAGTCTTAAGGACATATCGACGCTTTTTTACTTGACATTTCATTCAAATGCGTATTAGGTTGTATTTCAATAGAATGACCACAGAAAAATAAAGAATGTACGCCACCAAATTTGTATCTGCGTAATAGGCCGATAGGCCACGCGTACAAGACTTGGATCCTACCGCAGCGAGCTGTTTATTCCTGTCGTCTTTCTTTACAATCATCAAGAACACGCAGGCAAAGCGAAAACATGGTCAACACACAATCGGAACTAATGACTCGGGCACAAGCGCTCATGAAGCAGAAGGACGACATTGAGGTCGACATCAAAAAAGCAGAGGATGAACTCCAGTCGGTATGCAGATAATGAGGACCCATCTCTCTCTTTTTTGAGAACAAATAATATGCCTTTTTTTTTTTTTTTGGCTAACAGCTAACACACAGAACGCCTTTACTCTCAATGCTTGCGCTATCATATAGCAAAAAGTCGGCATGACGGATCATTTGGTCGACAGCCAGGGCTTCCCGCGTGCAGATATCGATCTTGTCGTCGTTACAACTGCCCGATCCAATCTTATCAGTAAGTGTTTTCTCCCTCGCCCTTGTCATGTTATTTTTTTAGGTCATCCATCTGTAGCAGCTGAAAAAAAAAAAAAAAAAAAAAAAAAAAAAAACTCCCATTAAATGACAACGTTTATGTCCGGAATATTGATTACATAGAGCTAAGAAACGATCACAAGACCGTTATGCTTCACATTGAAGAAGCCATCCACGCCGTGCACGCCGAGGCATTGGCTGAAAAACAATCGAAGGAAGCTGAAAGATCTCAGGAAGAGGCTTCAAGAGCGGCAGCAGCATCATCATCATCATCATCGTCATCAATAGCATCTGCTACTTCAACTCATCCATTATACGAAGACGAGGAACGGACTTTGGCGCCATTTGCCCGTGTGAACGCTGTGGCTCCTGACTCCCCCGCCAAGAACGCGGTACGTTGATTTGCAGGGGCATGCAGAGAACATTTATGGAAAATATAATGAGATGGAAATATTGCTAATATAATTTGCTCCGCATCTTGCATTGCTTCCCTGACTATTATTACTTTCTATTTTTTTTTCTCTGTTTTAGGGCTTGCTACAGGGCGATATGATCGTAGCCTTTGGGGTCGTGAACATCAGAACGACCAATGTCCTCAAGTCATTAAGTGCACACGTGGAATCCCGTGAAAACGTAAACGCAGTGTTTGTATACTTTACTGCGAAAGGTCGTCTCTTGGACTATTCCCCTTCCATATTTTTTGTTTCTCATATTTCATTTCCTTTTCTTCTTCTTCCTATAGAAACCTATTGTGGTCAAGGTACAGAGAGGCGAACCAACAGAGCTGCAATCTGTAATTCTCGTGCCAAAGCAAGGCTGGGGCGGTCGTGGACTGTTGGGGTAAGAAAAAGATCCGCTTTTTTATGTGCAATGCTGACAAGAAAGGCATTACTGCTGCTTTGTTTTCGTGTATGCGTTAAATATCTGACGCGCCATCTTTTTTTGGTACGACCCTATAGATGCCATATTGTGCCAGTCTAGGCGCTATCATTCGTTTATTGAAGGACCTGCCTTTGCCAATAAACCCCTTCGCTATTGGGAATACTTCATTTCGGATATCAGCTTTGAGAAACTTTCCGGATATTACTACTTCGCGGCACGCATTCGTTTCCTCGCTTTTGTTTTTCGCCAACTACCAAGTGCTGAGTGTGCAGGTACAAAGCAGATAATCCCCTGCTGGTCCAGAAACTGCCGGAGCTGCTGGCGTGTGCATGAAACATTCGATGCTTGGCACTCCTCCCACACATGTTCCAAATCTAAAGGCTACAGATAAATGAATGTACAGAAAAATAAAGTCAATTAGCATACGTGCAACGTGGACAAACTTGAAGTACTTTGGGTTGCTGTTAAACATACCTTGTACGTGAGAAACTGTTGTCGCAAATGGGGCGTCTCATTTAGGAACTGGAACAGCTGGCGCTTCAATGTGGGTGTGGTTGCGACGGGCCCTTGCTCAGACAATTCTTGATCGTCATTGATCCCCGCTTCGAAAAACATACCGGGGTCGTCACCGTGCTCGTCACCGTCATCGTAATCGTCATCCATCCGATCTTGGTCATCGCTCTCCAACTCATAAGACTCAGGGCTGTATGCAAAATTATATCGACCCGATGTTGAATTGATACTTTCTCGATGCGCACTGTCATGATCTCTGCTATCGGTAACGGCTCCTGCAGTACCTTGATCCAGATCTGCATCCACTGCAATGGTTACTCCAAGTTGAGCGTATCGAGAGCGGCCTCCATGTTGCCGCGAAATATTCACACTCGCTCCCCTCTCAAAGTCCATTATTTGAGTTTGGTTCGCACTACTCTCGCCAATGCTATCGCCCTCATTAATGCCAACAGAGCCGTCGAGGTCACTATCACCTCCGTTTAAACTCTCGTCGAGACCAGTCTGATGCATGTCATCCTGTCCGGTATCCGGATTTGGGTTCAACTTCTCCCAGATCCCTGTCAATTGATCTACTAGGAGCCCTTTGCTCGCAGCCTTGAGTCCAAACGTCATTGCTGCCACCCTCAAACTTGCAAGAGACATGTTCTTGTAGTCCGGCATCCTTCTCTGCAGCTTAATACGCGCTACTGCCTTTGCAGACTCCGCTGCCAGGGCCTCTACCCGGATCTGTGCTTGCGATTTGCGTTTCGAGGGTGTCTTTGGTGCCCCAGGTGCCCTCGGCCTATTTCGTGCTCCTGCTGTTGATAAAGATTTAGTCGTGGTTGGTTGGTTGGTTGTGCGAGACAGTGTTCTAATATCTTGTGGATCGACCACCAAAACATCGGTACTCCTGGGCTGAGAAGATGGTAATAGTAACGCAGCGCGCCGGGGTATTGGTGCTGCGTCTTCAAAGTCTGCAGAGTCATCGTCCTCGTTCAAAACAATGGGGTCCACTGTCTCTGCCTTTTTGGAGGCTTGTGGAAGGGCTCCGGCTTTCAGAGGCAAACCATGCAGCGGATTCCTTGCAGGTCGCTGTCTCGGCTGCCTTATATCTTCCCGCGATGACAGCACTATGACTCCGGAAAGGCTAGTTCTGATTTTGGAAGTACTACAGGGGCGGGCAGGCATCTTTAATTCTTCACCACTGCTCTCTGCGCCGCCCCCATCCCGCAGGCGTCTGTTTTTCTTGGGCGTTGTCACTCCACTCCACTTTGATTCCTGCCATGACTCATAGCCATTCCCTACGTCGCCTCCATCGTTTCCTGATTGATACGGATTCTCAGGTAAGGAGTCCAAACGTGAAAGCATCGAGGGCGGCGGCTCGAAGACTGTATGCGAAGGGGCTGGGGAGAATGTGGACATATGATCTCCCAGCTTAGCGAAGTCCAGTGGTGGAGGCAAATTGCTTGAGGAGGATACCCGTCGATCGATGGAATCTTCACTTCTAAACGAAATCTCTGGCGAGTGCCCGAAATCCAGATCAAAAGTATTATCGCCTACCGGTACGTCAAGGCTCGGTTCGACTATTCTATCGCCGTACGAAACTGATGGCGAATAGATTAAAATCCCAGTGTTTGAGTCGATATGCTCGCCGTACATCTGTTCATCCTGAAATGGCTCTTTATCGACTTGATCGTACGTCTCTTCACAATTTCTACTGTCCGACTGCCGCTGAATCGGCGACTCGAGACGGCCTGACATGGCATCATCATAGGCAGACGAGTAAAAGTCTTTGGATGCCAGCGAAAGAGATCGGTCGAGTTGCGATCGCAGTGAATAGCGAAGTGATGGCGAGGAAGGATCTGGGTATGTGTTATAGCGTTGGCTGCCATCGTCGCTGGAGTAAAGCTCGGTCTCTTCCTCCAAAATCAGCTCATCTGCCGGCTCTGTAGGACGCAAACCTGCCGCTACAGGGTGCCTCTCTATGGAATCCAGAATCTGTGGTTATAAAGTAAAGGGTATGGGAGCAACAACCAAGTTAAATATTCATTTCTTAATTTTGAATGTATCTACAGATCAAAGTGTGTTTATGGGAGCGCTACCTTCTTGTACGCCACCATCTTGGCTTGCTGTACTTGTTGCACCATGGCCTCCAGATGATTGACAATCTCTTTCTTTAAGACGCTTGTGAACGCTTGCTGGTTGATTTCCTTGTGCTCCTTAAACGAGATTCTGCGCATCTTTGAGGTCAACCACAGCGGGGATGAGAACTGTAGGATGGAAATGATAAATGAAAACCATTGTCAGATAGGCTTTCACGTTGCGGATCAAATAATATATGACCGATCGAAAGTTTTATTAGAGATGTATAATGTGTTGGCGTCTAGGTTACCTTGTTGTCTAAAGGCCTCTGATCGTCCTTGGATCCAGATCCGCTCAGAGTAACACTGTCTTCCGGGTCTTGTTTCGTTGAGTCACTCGTCTTCTCATGGCCTTCCCGATCTCGTTGCAGATACCGCTTCATGAATTGAGACACGTATTTTTCCCGGTCAAATCTCCGTCGAGGTTCATTGTCCTCGCCTCTTTGCCCCCTGAAATATCCCGGAGTTCCCTCATCGTGAGGGTCGGTTATATGTAAGTCCAAACTTTCGATGTCCTGCGTGTCCTCGAGATGCGACAACTTCCAGAGCGATTCTCGTGGCGAAGTCATTGCGTCGGGTCCCGGCGACTGAGACAGGCGCAGGTCTGCTTCCGTAGATCCAGTGAAGCGTGATGGTCTCCAAGGAGGAGTTCCGATATGTTGTCTCCTGTCCGTGCGACTTCCGTGCCCGCCGAGCTGGTCAGGTTCGAGGTCGGTGCTTGAATATGCATCATTCGAATCGTCCGACTCCGGAAATAGCAGGGCATGGACATTGGCCTGGACTAACTCCTGGACTTCCGCGTATGGTAGCACTGTTGATTTGTTCCTCTCGCGCTCCGTCTGTCTCTTGCGCTTGCTTCCTTTCTGAAGCTTCCTTGCTGGTGGCATAGACCAGATAGGCGTTCTTGAGGGATTAAAAGGGGAACCTGCACTTGAGCCCTGTCCTGACTCAAATCCATAAGATTGATCTGACATGGAAATCGCGAGCGCTAACTGAAGGCTCTCGTCATGTTGATCTAGCTCAAGTTGTTGAAATCTGCTAAACTTGGATGATCGTGGAGTTGCAGGGGTATGGACAGTTGTGATGATAGCGTCGGACGCAAAGTCATCATCTGGCGTCTCTGTGAGAGGTACCAACTGCTTCTTGATGGTGGTATTGGCTTTTGGCTTTCGCGTGGATGCTGAGCTTTGTGATCCTGGGGCCGAGATAACGGGTACAGTTTTGTCCAATGTGCCAGCTTTTGATTCTACCTTCTGGCTTTGTTTGGTCAGGTCCGAGACACTGACTGAGCCTAGTCGAGTGGCGGAGGAGGATAGGGCTCGGGCACTGTTGATGTATGCTGCCGTAAGGTCCAGTTTGGAAGATCCTGCTGATAGTCGCCGAATGGTCTCGGTGTCCGAGAAGCCCTCTGATTCAGAATCGAGAACAATCACTCCTTGGTTGTCGACACTCCTGTTTTGAGCTGGTGATGAGATGGACATGGTTTGCACAGAGCTCAAAGATCCGCTCTTGAGTGCACTTGATAAGGAATTTGATTTTGATGGCTCATTCCTGGTGGGATCGTGATTCGGCATGGACTGAGGAAAGACAAGACAAGACCAAGCATCTTGGGAGGTTGTTTATCCCTCACAGTTCTTGACTGGTCTACACAATCAAATGAGATCGTCGCAATGGTTCTCCTTTTTTGGAACCATAATTAAAACATTGTAATTGGTGGCGTCGTTCCAACATAAAGCTAGTTTTGGCCTCTATTCTTTTATATCACCAAGGTAGAGTTCATATTAGGCGGAATCTTTATTAGAGATCGTTGAGTGTCAGCGCCCGGTCAATCACCAGTGGCCCTTTGGAATGATGCAGAGACTGCCCGGAAATACGACTGGACGATAATGGGACAGCTCCTGACAACGGAGCCCCTCCAAACAACCTTGATGATATCTTTGTCGCTTTGAACAAGGTCATCTTTGGAGGTTCAGCTATATCCAGCGGTATAAAACTGCCGCTCCTACGGCGTTCTTCGGACTCCTGCTCCGTTGGTTTGGACGTACTTTGAAAAGTCGTCACTGGGATGGATGACGATTGAGCGTCCGTGGCAGTCGATGCCGCTGTCGAGGTCGATAATGATGTGAAGGGTAATGATATTGAGTTTGCCGAGGAGATGGTGGACGGATTGGCTGGTACGGCTGTTGGAACTTGAGACCGCGTAAACGGATAATATCCTCCTATATTTGGTTCGTCTTCACTCTTTCTCCCTTCCAGACTTGACCGTCCACTTCCACTCCCGCTCACCCGACCGCCACTAGTCCGGCTAGCGATGTCGCTCAGGCGCCTGCGGTAACTTCCCCCACCACTACCCCGACTAGCCTCCAGGCTGATCCTCCGAAGTTCCCTAGAGAGGCGGTGATTGCCACTTCCTCCAAAGCTGTCCCTGAGCGGTGGCAAAGATGGAATCACATTCGGCTGCTCAGCATTCGGCTGCTCAGCATCCGCACTCTCGCTAGAGTTAGCACGGCTGTCGCTTGTTTGTAGTGCTTCAAATGCGGGATCCAAAGGAAATGAGAGGCGGATTGGTGGTTGATGAATGGTGGCGTGATAGCTGTTGGCGAGTTCTAGCTGCCTCCGCTCCTGCCGTGTGAGCTGTTCTTGAAGCGCCCGATGTTGTTCCTGCAAGATCTTGGCCTCTTCGAATTCTCGGTAAACCTCTGGTTCAACCACGGCGTTTAGTTCCGGCAGATACGAGCCTTGTGGATCGTCAGCGCTCTGTGCATAGGATGCATTGGTCTGGATGTCGCCGTAAGAACCTTGTAGGTGCGTAGTGTGCTGCTGTTGCTCCAGATACTGGGTTTCCATCTCGTGCCTCTTTCGTTTCTCACCAATCATGGGGCTCATGGGCTTCGTCAACGGTTTGGTGGCCTTATGGATCGTTATTGGTTGATAATGCTTGATTGGTCCTGCATGAAATGATCGCTCCATACTCTCGCGCACCCTCATTCTTTGCTCGCGCTGCTACCATGGACAACATGAAATGTAAATCCCACATCAGTGGGTTAAATCAGTATAGGCATAGGAAGCTCTGATATAAATACCCTCCCGATCCGGATCTCGCCAGCACAACACCAGTAGTTCATGCAGGTAACATACCCTGTGCAGCTCCGGTGCCTTTTGTTTGAGCTCTAACAGCTCTTGCTCTCGCTTCTTAGCCGACTGTTCAAACTGCTCCCTCTCCCTGGCACGCTGATCGGAATGAAAGCGAAACTCATGCGGCTGAGTTAACTCCTTCGTGCTCTTCTTGAGTAAAAAGCGTGTTGGTTGAAGTGCTCGTACAGGGACTCGTTGACCGAGCTTTGGCGAGATGGGCACCGTCGGCTTAAACTGTGATTTTCTGATAGCACCAGAGGTGTGGCCTGATGGTATTGACGAGCGAAGGGGGGCGAGTCCTGCAAGTCGACTTGGTCGTCGCGCGCCGACTGAGGTCGTTTGAGCTGCAGCCCCAGATCCGTGTTGGTGCATATGGATCTCAGCGCGACGTTGCGTTGCAAGTTGGAATGGAACTGGAACTGTTGGAGTGAGACGTTTCTGTTAAGTCATAGTATTATTTTGCAAGCACTGAGTTAGTAGGTACAATAATATATTCAGCAGCGCAGCATAGACATGAATGAGAGATTTTAATTACCAGAGGAGGTAGTGGCCGTTTAATGACACCTATAACACTTTGCTTGTTCCTATTCGTAGCCTTCGCCTCCCCTGCTGTGGTTGCAGTGGTATCTCTGGGTTGGAACATTGCGCGACGTCGTCTGAGTATCTCATCCGTTGCGAATTTAAAGGGTACCGGTTGAGTTAATGCGCGACTGGACGGATTATTCCAGCGCTGTTGATTTGGCGCTGTGGATGGTTCAGCATGGCCGTCAGATGGTTGCCTCAAGGCAGTTATCGATGTTGAAATTTCTTCCCGTATGGGTGGTCCTCGAATTTTCCCAATTCCAGCAGGTAATCCGATTGCCGCTTTGAACCTACTCTCCTGTGCCGCACGACTAGCTGTGTTGAATGGGTATATAGCAGTCGTGGTGCTCTGAACATCCGATTCGTGTGCCGGCGTTTCTTTGTTGGAAGGAGCAGGGTGAACAAAACTTGTGCGAACTTGATCTGAGCTCGCGATGCAATGTAAGGTTTTACTTGATGGTGTGTTGGTGGTAGAATCACTGCCATTTCGCTGAGCAGCTTTCACAAATTTAGTCCCTGTCCGATTATTGCCTGACCATGATGACTGTGAGGCGATTGTTGGGAGTTTATCTATCCGTGCTTTGATCAGATTTTCCATTCTAGTAGCAGCTGCGGTCTTGTGCGGTCCTGCGCTTGAGTTCACAGTATCTTTGACCCGGGGCTTACTGAAAACAGGCGACACCGGCACCGTGAGCGGCAGTTTCCGAATTCGAGGTACACCAACGTCCCCTGCGCCTGTAAAGACTTTTGGATCCAGAGGTCTAGCGCGGAATTGTGGCGTCCGACTGGAACGCAGCGACTCGCGTTCATTGATTGTCGGGACTTTGTAAGGTGCAGCCCTGCGCGTAATGCTAGTCCTGGGTATAGATGTTGAATTGGGAATGGGCTGTCCACGCCGAGTGTGCATTAGTTCCTATTAGGACCGGATAAAAAAAAAAATGGAGCGCAAGTATGAGTTGGTGTTTCAATTGCCAGTTCGTACAAATCCAGGCTTGCTTCCAAGACTTACCTCCCGCATATTGGTTCTAAGATTGAGTGTCTTCTGCTTCATATCACTTGACCCATCCAGAGCCAAGGCCTCCTTTGCGCCAGTCGCTTCCGCATGGTCATCTGAGTTTGCGCTGCTGTTGCCCGCTTTTGATGGGTCATTCAAGTATGAAACCGTCTCTGGCTTTCCTTTAGGCTGCAAAAGACTTTGGGTATTGCGTCCAGGGATGTCTGATTTAGGTTGCGTGTTAGCTGTGTTCAAGGGCGGCAAGGGCCTCGACTCAAACGTAAAAGGTGTGACCGGCTTGGTGGAGCTTTGCTGTGAAGAACCGACAAAAGACTGGTTGCTATCCTCCACATCAGATGCCGTCAGCAGGTCCATAAGCGATGGCCTGCCATTATTCTCTGCGGTGACTTTGTTGATCTTGTTGATTGCGGTCTGGGGTGAGGCTGAAGCGTGTTGCATTATGGACTTCCTGGCGAACTCCATCGCGTCCGTGGCGCGTAGCTTTTTTCGGGGGTGAAATACATCCATGGCATCAGAATCCTGTTCCTCGTCCGTACTCTTCAAACCTCCATGGTGCTGCTTTTTTTACTTTTTACTGAATACAGCATAATTCTGCTCAAAAATACGTCACAGAACGTATCCGAACAAGAGTACTGCATATGATATATGGTCAACCCTCCCATGAAAAAGGCTGTTCGCTTGCGTCCGCCAGCTCGTTCTCGCCCCACCATACCAATAGCCATGCTAGTACTGCTGCTTCTGACCTCCGTCTGCGAACTTTCGTTTAATTGTAGATGAGGAGAAAAATGCAGATAAAAAAAACAAAATAAAATAAAAAGAACTACAAGAAACAGGTGAATGGTACAAACTTGAGCTCTCCATAAAAATCTGTCGGCTCTTATGACTGTTGCTCCTCTTCTGGAATGCGATCGGTAGTAATCCCGAGACCCTTCACAAGCTCCCTAGTGGGGCTTACAGGGACAGTTCTTGAAGGTCGCGTTTTACCTGGCGCCCGCTTGGAAACGCCAGACATTGAAATCGACCGTGATTTGCGCGTGGGCCCAACAATGCCTCGATCGCCTTTCTTGAAAGAAAGCGAGGAGCTGAAGGATTGGCGCCTCGGCGTTCCTGTCACTGGGCTTCCTGGGCTTACTGGCGAGTGGATTCTCAGGCCAGCCATTTGGACCTCATGATCCTGATCCTGCGAGTATTGGGAATACGACGAAGATCCGTATGCGTAGTGTCCCTCTTGATTAGAATGGCTTGGGAACTGTTGAGCGCGGCTGAACGATGCTGGACTCTCGGGGCCCGCGGCGATGAAATTAGGGGGACTGTACATGTCTGGTGAGACTGAGGCCGGAGAGAATCCGTGATGGACTTGAGTCATATATGGGTGAGGATGATTCGGCTGTGGAGTTTCCATGGTCCCCGGATGTCTGGACACTGGTGAAAGTGGGCTCGTCGGGTATGATTCTGATTCATGACGCTCGTAGTAGCTGGACTCTTGAGATTGTGCAGCAATGTGTGAGGCCGATCCTAAGGACTGATACTGATAGGATGAGCCGTAGCCGTAGTTGGGATAATAGGGATAATCCCCGTTTCCAGGCGGCGACATGGGACCGCCTCCGCTGCTGATGCTGTCGTTCCTATAAGAGTAACGACTGTCCATGGGCTGGGTCGATGATGCCGGGGCGCCTTCTTCATTGTCGGCGTAGTGACCGGGAGAGCGACCGCGGACGACCAATGGTGCGGAGAAGGAATTCGCAACCAAGACTAGCTCTCCCGTTTCGGTTTCCGCAAACAGATCCACATGAACCTGATAGTATTGCTGGGCTGCACGCCTCTTGCCGTTGTTTGCGGTGGCCGTTTTGAACTGGACACGCTCGAAAGTGATCACATTAGAGCTGGATCCGGAAGCGTAAAGGCTGAGATCGCCGCCGGCTCTGACTGCGGTTGGCCTAGGCGTAATTTGGGGGCCCTTGTCACGCTTTGGCGTATGCTGGACCAGTTCGATCGTCTTTTCGCCGTTCTGGATTTGAGCACCAATACAGATCAGGAACTGGTTAACCTGCACAAATTCACCATTGCGGTCCATTAAACAGGGAACTTCGGGATGCATGGAGGTGTCTAGCCAATGGATGGAGAACGACGCACTAATTTGGAAGTAGTTTCGGCGGTAACATGTCCAGTCATTAGCGGCCAAAAAAAATCCGCGGTCAATCTTGGCTGAGATCTTAATATTGAAACTAGAGCAAGACGCATAAAAAAAAAAGAAGTCGTCAGCGATTTGTACAGTAGATGGTGCATGTAAAAGTATCAAAGAACACATACCTTGTGGATCGATCCATGCTGTACAGATTATACTGCTGTTGTGCCGGATAAAAGTAAGGGCTTTCGTGCGAGGCAAAGACCTCGGAACGTCGCTTCATACGGGTTGCAAGCATGTTTTGAGCTGAGGTAGTGGATGGCGCTGAAGTTGAGTAGGCCATGTTGGAATCACTGGTGCTGTTGGTAGGTACGCTATTGGGGCTGTCTGGCTGCTCGTCCATGCTGCCGTGGTGGTTGCTATGCGAGTGGTTCCTATGAGACAAGGCGTAAAAAGGTGCCATTGGGGTGAGTAGGTTGGGATGGGAATGCATGTGATGTGTGATTGGCTCAAAATTTCACACGATTGCCCATTTGCAATGTGAGCGCTTCGTTTGTGGAAGCACAAGAGAGGAAAAGGCCCACGCGTTATCTGTTTGATGCCGACGCTCCCTGATGTCCCATCAAATCCAAGTCGCCGTTCAATGCCTGGTAATATATATTTCAAGCACACGCGCTGACGCCTGAAGATCTCGCTCGACCTTAAAGACACACCCCCCCCCCCCCCCCGCAGTGTTCGTTTTCTCTGAACGATCTTACTGCTGCAGAGTACCAGTACTCTTTCTTTTCCAAGCACCGAAGCAGGACCCATTGAACGCGAAGGAGATGGGGTTCCTTGCATGTGACCCACTCTGTTTAAAGTTCCTTTTCAAGTCCTTTACTCGATCCTTATTTCAGACTCCTACTCGCTCCTGGCCACAATCCTCTCTCGTCTTGAGATGGAAATCCATGAAGATCCAAAGTAAAACACTCCAATGTCAGCGTTGGCGCAAAGCTCTTTTACCTTGGGTGATGTGTTGAAGATGCTGACGAAGAATACGATGCATTATTGGCATTGTCTACCTTCTCGCTGACAGAGATCGGGTAGTTAGGGTAAAATGACCCAGGTTGCTCCCGTCAGTGTTGAGACATCTTTTTGTGCGAGAGAAACGAAAGGGGGATACAGTCTGGTATGGAGTCCAACGGGACTAGCCTGAGGGCAGCAATCGTGTCCAAAACATCGTGGCCAATCCGGTTGGTAGATTTCCACATCTTCCCACTAGCAGATCCCTCTGACTGCTCACTGCCTCATTCCGCTTACCTGTTCAGTTTCACGAAACCTCCACTCTGTCACACTTGTTGTTACATTTTGTGCAACACCCATTGGGCACAAGGACACCATCAAGGACGTTGCACAGCACAAACCTCAACCTTGAACCCCATCCTCATATTCGTTTTCTTTGTGCATTGTGGAACTCTCTCTCTCTCTCTCTCTCTCTCTCTCTCTCTCTCTCTCTCTCTGATTCCCTTTTTTTTTCTCCTTGACGAGAGTAATATCAAACAAGTCGGTACTTACAGTTGGTGCTGCCGATGATGTGCATGATATGAATGGTGGTACTGATCATACTCGTAGTGACCTTGCTGTGCCTGCTGTTGCTGGTACTGATGTGCGTTGCCAGGGGAGAGTGGCGAGGGCGACACAACAGGGGAAATCGGAGAAGCAAATGAGCTGTTCATGCCAGTCTGAGCGTGGGGGTGGACCCCATTGTTCCCAGCGCCATTTCCAAAAGGCGTAGTTTGGATAGGTGGCGGCAGATATGAACCGCCTCCAACAGACCCGTGAGGGTAATGAGGTTGCGATGAAGAGGGGAGGGTGGGTGCAGGATGACTGTATCCGTTGCTATTGCCGTTGGTATAGTGTTGCTGCTGATTATGGTACTCCTCTGGGTATTCGCCTGCATGTCCTTGCTGTTGGTGGTGCGAGGCATTATTGTTGTTGATGTTGTTGCTGGTGGTGTAATCAATGGACATTGTGGACCGTGGTTCGGCCCTGTCCTGGTATTCTGCATGCTTAGACGCATTGGACGCCGAGCGCTGCCTTGCAAGATCAGCCAGGCTCGCTATTGGAGAGGCGGTGGTAGTCATCTTTTTTCTATTGTATCTTTGGTCTGGTGGGAAAAGAAAGGAACAAAGGAACAGAGTGGAAGAGGAGCATGGGGGGAAAAAATAAAAGGAATCAGTGTTTTGTAGACAGGGTTACCCACTAGCAGAAGCAACTCGGGAGATGCGGGTGTGCTTTAGGGACGGGGGAGCAGAGCGCTGGGAAGGGTGGGAAGACGGCGTTTTGGATGATTGGGGAGTAGGGAAGTTGGCGAGGGGAGGTTCTTCGCGATAGATGGATCTATGACGCTTTTTTGTTATTTTTTTTTTTTTTTTTTTTTTTTTTTGGGTGATCGTTCCTCTACCAAGGGTTGCCTGTTTGCTTTCTTTTTTTTTGCGGTGGAGTATGCCAAGTACCTTGTGGTGTGAACTTCGCGTCAGTAGTGTGCGGTCGACGTTACGAAGAATGTGGAAACCAGACGGAGGAGGAATGGTGGCGAAGACGTGTGGAAGGAAAGTATGGGGGGACTCGATTAGAGCTCGGAGTTGGACACAGACTCGTCGGACGCGGACCCCGGGCTTGGCAACTCGGCTTTGGTAAAGAGTGGTACAGAGCACCGTTCGATTGTTCAGTTACTCGATTGCTCGATTGTTCGAGCGTTCAATGAAATAGGAAATAAAGCGAGGATGCGGTGGTCGCGAATAACGGAAAGAGTGCGGACAGATCGAGGGGGTGAGCTCCAGCAGAGGCGGATGAGATTAGGAAGACGAATGAGAAGGGATGAGAAGGAATGAAAGGAACGAAGGAATGAAAGGAACGAAGGAATGAAGGAACTCTGGGAAAAAGAAAAGGGAGGAGAGAAGGAAGGGCGTCTTTAAGGACTGAATTGATGGTCATATTCTTCCGCTCAGACTCTCTCACACTCCCACACTCTCACACCCCCCACTCTCGCCCTGATTCCCTCCCCCGCGCGCACACACACACACACGTACACATTCTCTCTCTCTCATCCTCTCATCCCTCCGCGCCGCCTTCCGTCGTCTCTTTCGCCCCCGTCTACAGTCTGCTAAGGTGAAGGAGCACCGAGTGCACCTGGGTACAGGGCAGGACAGGCGGCACAGGGTGGCGAGCACACTCAAAACACCACAACTGAGTAACGAAATGCGTGCATGCATAGTATACAAAGTCTATTCTATTCACTCTCTGATTTGGCATTCGCGGTTAGTCATGTCTAATCCTTTTGGCTTCCTTCCCTTGCCCGTATTTTTAATTAAAAAAACTGAATCAGTCCATTTAATGGCGCCGGTCAATCACAAAGTATAAACCTAGAATGGACTTACGAGCAGCAGGGGCGAGGGGGCCCCGGCTGGCTGGCCGGCTCCCTTTCCTAATTGACCATTCTGAGCACGCACCCTCTGGCCAATGGGTTCTCAAAAAAAAACCCCCCTCAATTCATTCGCTCCTATCCATCCATCCATCCATCAAATCAAATCAAATCAAAATCCATATCGCTCGTTGCTCTGGAGACGTTCAATTGTACACTTTGCATCCACGGCCACATCCTTATCTGCAGTAAAAGAAGAAGCCCGCAGTCGTTTCGTACTTTGTCGCGCCCGTTCGCTTCCTCAAGGCAGCATATTCGATAGAAGGATATGTCGACTAAATGGAATGCATCAAAGACCGCGCATCACAACTACCTTGAGTACGAACGGAATAGCAGGAGCTATCGTGCACCTACGCATTGGGCATATTGGTACATTCTCAGGCCTGCGTGAATATCTACTTGGTCCTCCATTTTGTCTCCCTACAAATTAGCACGCTCTCTGAAAACAAACATGCAGGCACGACCGAAATGAAGTTAATTTGCATATCTCTAATATTTCATCCAGGGTAGAGCGTCCATTGCATTACAAAAAAAACTTAGTTTCCATCGCCTTTGCTTCTTGACTACAGCTGCATCTTACAAGTATGTTCATCTTCCATGTCATACACAGCGAGGGTCAAAATGACGCGTCTCAGCCTCGTTTGTCATGCGGCGTACTCGCCTAGACGTGTTTCTAGTTGCTTCGCACGACGTATAGAGTCTTCCATGCTGAGCAAACACGGCTTTGTCTCTTGAGAAGCATATAGAAGACCAAACACATCTCAAGAAGAAAAAATGCAAATGGTCATACCACCTCATCTTCTATCTCACTTGTGCATACAGTGGGGTCGATGACCTGCATACATATCATTCCAATCGACGGTCGGAGCTTGCATTTGGTGGGCGAGAAAAAAAAACACTTTTAAACAAGTGTGGTAGACTAATGGCTCTCTCTCTCTCCTAGGGCGCTGCAATTTGCATGCTCAAGGGTATACGAGTGAATACTTGTTTGAATTGAATTAAAAGCGATTGGAACTTTGTAAAACTATCCCATCAAGTCTCTTTCTTCTGCTCTCTCGCTCTGTGTAATGGGCAATGATAAGAGGAGCACAGAAGTAAACAATCAATTGCTGTATACATAAAAATCAGAATCGTCAAAGAGACAATACTAGCCTAACAACAACAACGACAGCAACAGTGTCCGTTGGCTACTCAACCACAAAGATGCCCAGCATCAGAGCAATCCTGAATTCTAGACACGTAAAAAGAAGAGAGCTGTGTATTTATGGGGCAGGATGCGTGGACGATACTGCATGCCATGCCACAGTACAACATGATGTTGGAGTGCTCTGTGGGGGGATACTGGGGGGAGTTGCTCATGTGCTGACCTTCTCATCGCGAACTTCGGCATGCACCCCTGAAATCAGCGCGTGTTTTCGAGTACAGTGTTCCCCTTGTACGCACTGCCCTTGAGCAGCTATGGTATTGGAGCCGTACCTTATTGAATCCGATCAATCTTTAAGTCGCTACATGTGCCACCTATCCGAAGAATGCGAAAATAGAGGAGACAGTGCGCGTTCATGAGGGAAAGGAAAGTGGCCAAGCTGTTGCCAGTGCTGTTTGACGTCCTCGCTAGTCGTGGCATTGGAGGCGGACTTCTCGAGAGCAGCAAGGTGAACACACGAACCACACTTTTTTAAGTCCGCTTTCGAACGAGGATAGACCCTGGGAAGTAAAACAAAATAAAAAAAAAGCGAAGGATCTAGTCTACCAAAAGCATTAGTCGTCTTGTTCTGCCAATATCCGACTAATCTATCGGGGATTGAGGGGACAACCCTTGCTGTCGCACTCAACTGTGGGGGCGCTTCGGAATGGGAGGAAGGACATTGAACACAGGTGTGACACTGCAATTAGCCGACGCTACGTTCTTCGTGCCATCGGGAGTAATATAATATGCCCGTGAAATGGAACAAGGGCTTACTCTCCGGCTCAAAAAAAAAAAAAAAACAGGATTTTCAGCCTGTGAAATGGAATATATACCTGGGTCTTGCCCTAGACTAGGCGGTCGTACTCATTGGGCACAGTACACACCCAGGAATCGAGCGTGCAATAGAAAACGAGGCATCCACATCGTTTTAGTTTGTAACTTTGTATTTACATAACTGCACATCAAAGTTCGCATTATTTCTGCCTCGCCTCGCCTCAACCACCGACGAGGGGACACTGTCCTGGCTCTCTCGCACATGCACCCATTATAAACAGCGCTACCATACGCTCAACAGCACTGCAGACCTAGCCCTAAGTCCATATCCTTAAGACGTGCCGTTCCGCCAATCGCCATGTGCCCTCTTGAGAGTATTGTTGAGAGCATGAATTTCCAGCCTGTTAGCTAGGCACATACTGTATTCTATACTAAGGCATAAAAAGGGGGCGTGTTCTCTGCACAGCGTTCTACGCCGAGGCGTCTTTTATTTTATTTTTGCATAAATGCGTCGTGCATATAGATGTACACTCCTCTGAAACAATCGATTGCAGTGAGCTATCTGAGATTTCCAGCGATATGGGAGCAGAACGTTTTGCGTGTCGAAGTGTGAACGCAGGATGAAAGTGAATGCTCCTCCGCGGAACAGCCACCAGGCTCGCACGTCCAAGCGGTCTGGTGGAGCGGCATTCCTAAACAGCACAACTGCGTCTGAGCACAGTGGACTCTTTGTTATCTATCGACTGTGCTCTACTCACTCTCGCAACAGTGGCCTCCATGGGAGGGCTCACGGGATTTTTTCATATATTTTTATTCAAGCCATGCATACGTCTCACAAACGCATGCTGCACGCATGTCTGCCCAGGCAATAAACTATTGGGCCCATTTGAAATACAGAAAGAGGCGAGTAATATTGGCTACTGAGCCATTCTCTAGTACGTGTCCACTATCCGTGCGCGTCCTATATAAAACACTACAGGGGTTGGTGGCGAGCGACCGAACAAACATTTCTGATTCCCATACCACATTTTCTATACGCAAGCAAGTCTGCAGCTACTGGAAACGCTAAACAACATTTTCCATCATCCATCATCCATCTCTACATGGCACAGCGGGACATTTGATCGCTTCTTTTTTTTAGATTAAAAGTGAGTCTCCATGTCAGTTGTAGAGAACGGAGCACTTTTTCATTTATCGGCTGCATGATCGCACCCTCACTGGAATCATGCAATCTAAACTCAAAAAGAAAAAAAATGGTTCGATGGACAAGCTTGCGCCTTCCATCGATAGCATATCGGATAACAAACAGTCCATGTAGAGGCTTCGTAAGCGAACAGTGCATTCTTGAGCGCAAATATGAAAGAACAATGATCTCAGTCATTGGTTCCCTCTCTTCATATATCTGTGTCACCTTTTTGTTTCTGAATTGTTTTCTTATGTCCCCGAGCACTAAAGGCATGTTTTGTCCACACAAGTGAGCGCTAATTCTTCGTTGGAGCTGAGCACAGCAAACATTCTACAAGGTGAAGCATGTGCTAGTCCCCATCCAGTAAATGCACACCTGAAGTGGAGTCCAGTGTCTATAGAACCCTAACCTTTGGAAAGGGAAATTAAACCGCATTTGTGTGAACATGCAATAATGTATTCCCCGCCCAACAGCTAACGACTGTTCTAGTGGGCTTGTGTCCAGTATTGGTGCAAATATATGCTACAGAACTGACTCGTAATCCGTCTTTACATGAGAGACCTGAAGGCTATCAAATATGCTAACGAGAATGGACCTAAAATCCAGTATGTTCTTATAGATCATATGGACCACTACGTGTTAGGCATTAAAGGACAAGTACATTCATTAAAGAGAGCAACCAAGACTGGGCCTATATGAGTGGTTCCCACCTGTGAATAAAGGTCGTTTCCTTCACTCATTATACGGTAATAATACTAGTCAGGCAAAAATATTTTTAGCAATCAGACAAGAGCTATATACATCGCAGGCAACATACTGGAGACATAAAAGTATATAAAAAAAAAAAAGATCTCAGTGACATTGAGGCGACAGCTACGGACGGGAATATGGGGTCACCTAGTAGTAAAGTTGGCTGTCTATGACGATCAGAGTGGTAACGCGTCGCCAAGTTAGAATCGTAGGACGCGAATCAAGTATTGGAAAACGAGGTCCGAGCGCAGAAAAAAAATATAATTCAGGGCAGGCGATACGCGTCGCGAAACCCAAAAAAAGGAGAGGTTCCTGAATAAAAAGTCCGTGCGTAGAAGCCCCTTCACCTGTGAAAAAAGATGCTCAAGGTACAGAGAGGGCGCAATCTCATTACCAACAGCCAGGTTCAAGGACATACATGCAGATAACCTGTGGCGGATAGAAAAGGCGACTAGCCGTGATTGCACATGTCCAGTAAGCGAATGAAGGCTGTATGCGTTCGGAAGCACCAGAACCTGAGGAACTATCAAAGAGTCAATCGATCGATTTATTCGACGCGACAGCAATGTATAATCCACTCATGAACTCAAACTCGCTACACCGTACAGACAACGTATCCCCTAAGCATTCTTTATATTCACTGTGGTCCATTCATTCTGCTCTTCACATATGAATCCTAGAGGGCACTCATTATGAGACCAGTTATTTATTTATTTTTCCTATGCATGTGTGCAGTGCATTCCAATCGTTTGTGTCACTCCTAGACTCATTCTCCGAGGGAAGACACAAGAATGTATCACCATCGTCTTCATGGGTGCTACAATGTGTGTGAATGGGCCACAGGAATGAGAAGAATACATGGGGTTTCACACACAACATTCCTGGGCCATTTATCAAATAGTCTATGTAAACACGAGCGCACCTTCCCGCTGCACGCATGCATACATGCATGCAACGTTGACCTGCATCGACGTTGATCGGCATTGAGGATGAATACGTACAGAAGCGGCGGAAATTAAGAGTAACAAATGTTGTTGCAGTGGGACGTTTTCCGGGGACGATTTTTGATGGAAAAGAAAAGGACAGTCGCTATTAGCTTCAGGTTGGCTGCATATCTTTCTGGGGTAAAGAAAAGTCGCTGGGCAAAGCGTCCGACGGATAAGAACAGCTCGCGAAAGCAGGCAAGCAATCAGCCCGACTCAGTTATACACTTTGTACATCGTGTAAAAGCGAAACGCATATTATCTTTCTGCATTGCGATGCGATTAAAAGTTAATATGTTGTCTTGTTTGTTTTATTAAACAACCAAAAACTTCCTGACTAGACCAACCAAGCCATGACATAGTTTAGTAGAAGGTCGAGGGGCGCGAACCCATGAAGAGAGCGCGGTGGGACTTGTCGGCAGCGCGAATGACGCGGTGAGGCAAGGGGAACTTGATGCCGGGAACCAAGATCTGCTTGATGTAGGGGCGACGGACATCAGCGTTGGCGACCTCGGCGACACGGATGATCTGGATGGAGCGAGAGCGAGCGCGGTGGCGGGAAGCCATGTCAGAGTAGCAGGCCTCGACAGCGGCAACACGGGACAACTCACGGTACTCCTTGTACATGTTGTGGGTGCCCGAGCGAGAGTCGTAGCGGAGCCAGATACCGAAGTTCTTGGTCTGGAGGGGCTTCTTCTCGTGGATCTGTGATTTTTTTTTATATAATATTCTGTGAGATTAGTTGCTGCTCTTCAATACCCTGAGAAAAGATGCAAGGCAGAAATATCCGTCCTTTATCCTGGGTACATACCTCGTTGATGCCGACGATCTCGCCGTTAACCTTCTTGACCTTCTTCAGCTTGCGCATGAAGTACCAGAAGCGGGACTTGGCAATGACCTCGTTGGTGGCAAAGAGGCGCATGCGGAAAAGCTTAGGGGTGGACTCCTTCTCGGTGGGAAGGTGACGGCCGACCAATTGGTACTCGTGAAGCTATTGGATTATCAATAGGTTCCACAATAGTGACCAGATTGAAAGGATAGAGAGAAAAACGAACCAAGTAAGATACTGGTCAAATCGCTGATGGGGAGGTAGAAAAAGCAATTGAAAGGGGCGTGCAAAGAGAAAGGAATCCTGAGCCGTGTATAAAGTCGCTACTAATCCTGCCATATTGCCCTGCTTCCTGACGAGAATCTGCCAGTCCTGCCACTCCTTGCGACTTCAAACTATCTCTCAGTGCCTCACGGGCAGCCCAGGGCGACATGATAGTGACAGTGTACTGCATCCTGTTTCCTCCAGTTCGCAATGGCCGCACATCTGTTTGTCACAGATCGATGTGTGCCTCCAGCTCAACAGCATGTAACAGGTCTTGCTGAGAATCCGCGAAGAGCGTTGTTGCAGAGAACCAGGCAGCTGTAGTGAATTGGAATATTCAGTTGGGCGAGGATTCAGTCCTCTTAAGAATGTGCTGTGTCCTGTCGCCACTGGCGATGATCGTGATGCCAATCATGATCCATTGATCCACGCCACCGACAATGATGCGTCCGATGTGAACCCATTGATTGAGACTGGATAATTGCCGACAAGAAGGCTAGGCACAAATGGATGGATGGCGAGTCCTGGATAATGAGGATGGATATGTCGATGGATTTTCACGCACTCTGGACATGATTGAGAAGTCTTCTGCTGCAAAAAGAAGGATCAAAGTTCGCTGGGCCGTTTCTCTTTAAAATAGGGCTGAGATCATCATGTGACTAGAACTAGCTCGAGGTTCGCATGCAGCATTTGAAAAGATACATCCTACGGCTAACGCTTTTCTTCCTGTCCCTATTGCATCTTTGATCCATTCCCCCTCTTCTTCCTCCGTTTGAAATAATGCAACGCCGGCAACCCGCTCCATATCAAAGAGCTCAGCCCAAGCATCCGTCCGGCCCCTCACCCTTTGGTCTTTGTAGTCCACCTACGCCTGACCAAGAGCCGCATACCCCTATCCAGGAAAATGCCTTTCCGTCGAAACTTCAGCCCTACACCTCGCATGCCCCGTATTCGCCACAGATTCCTCAAGCCCTCGCATACCCTCAGCGAGTGATCTTACCGTCTTATTCGACACAAGCACTGAAAACTTTTGCGCCTCAACAGATGGCCTACACTCCTGATGCGGCCATGGTTCCTATTCGAAGTCTTCAGTCGGAGAAATCTTTCGTGGCAAGTACTTATTGAATACTAAAACTCAGGCTATACAGTTTACTTATACTAGATATCCGTCGCCTAATACGCGTTAACTCTCCCTCTTGTCTTTACTCTTTCCGTTGATACAGCGCGTTTCCGGTATAGTGGATAGATGCAACAGAATATCACGACTGATTCTATGCGCCATCAATATTCATTCATACCATTTTTATGGCCCTTGTTGTCAGGACGGACGGTCAGAGTTGCAGATATGAAAGCCTTCCCAGACAAGAGAGACTCTAGCAAGCAACAGTGGCTCCTGTCATTTACAATCAAGGATGACTTTGATACGATCGACGTCAAGGTTTGGCAAAAAACACGAGAGTCCATGGATACTTACTCCCAGATATCGGTATGTGTCATTTGTACAGATGACGCGTTTGCTCGCTTGTCTCATGTCACTTATATGCTCCGTTGCCATCACAACTAGCTGAATCAAGTGGTTCATATATGGACAGACGATGTCAAGATCAATACGAAGCCGTCTATGGGCAATCATGCTGCCAGCGCACAGGCTACCTCATCACCGCTCTGTCTGAATTTGAGCGAGGGCAAGGTCGGCCATAGAATTGACTTCGGCTGCAAAGCAGAGATGGCAACTCTGTTTAGAACGGCCCTTGGCGCCAATGCGGGCGGAGTCGTTCAGTGCGTGTCGATCGCTCAGGTTCTTGGAGCGTTGAACACGCTTGGAAAACAGAGATTTAATCTGGTAGTGTGTGTGAAGAAGGTACTAAAAAAAAAAGTCGCCGCTGGCAACTTAAGCCTTCTGGGCAGTTCATTTTTAAAACAACGCGCTCAAAAAAGTTATTTAGCTCGGTAATCATAAAGAGCAAGCATGGGCCTGTCGCCAAGACGCCGTTAACGGTATTTGATGCGCAAGGACAGGAGGCTTCCCTGACTCTATGGGGAGAGACCATGGGTACTATGGTTCAGAATTGGGTTCCCTTTACAACGAGTATGTGACCATGTGACCATGGCTAGGAGTACACGTTCGACGACCGATCCCTCTCGCCAATTGATCTGATAGATATCGTGAATCCATCGCACTGTCCCCGTAGCCCTCATTCTTTCCGGTGCGCAAGTGAGCATGTATGGCCTGAAGCCTCAGATAACGGTCGGGTTCAACACTCACATTCAGGTGGACCCTGTTTGCAAGAATGTCGAGGCAAGCGATTGCAGATGATTTTCTGTAAATATCCCGAGTCAATGGCGCCTGTGGACTAACGATAAGTCTTCATGTTCAGTGGTTAAAACATTTCGCTGCGCAATGCTCTACTCTACCGGTCGATCTGAACCCAAGTAAAGCACGCGTTCGTTGAGAAGATATCTAATTTTGGTTTTGACAAAGCGACCCTTGATCACGCTGGCTGAATATCCTTAATAGTCGCTGTAGCAAACGACATTCCAATCGATCAAATTCGCTCATATTATCGTATCACTGACATTTCTCAAGTCGCCAAATCACTGGCAGTACCTGGCAAGTGGAAGTGTGGGTGGACTGTGCGAGATACGATTTCCTTGCTATGAAATTAATGATTTATATCGCTGTTCATTAGAGCTTGCCTATGGGATCACATTCGCGATCTTATCGGAGCTCGACATCGAAACGCGCGCCTCAGAGGTGTTGACAGCAAAGTGGTATGTACTCTTGATTTTAGCGCTTGACTCTCTGGATCAGGTGCCTGACTGAACTGAGGACTAATGCTGAAATCGGCTCCAGCCCCTCTTGCTTGACATCTATTACTTCATACAAGATGGAGCCCTGTCCCTTTTGCACTATCTCTCCCAAGAGCGAGAAGTCGTGGAGTTACTCCCTTGCGCGGCATCTCTCTTTTATGGATGATACCGCCGAGTTGCGTCACCCGAGCATCTCCTCCGACACTGTACAGAACTGGCTTGGATTCACGCCGAAAGAATTCAACATACTGTCAATGATCGAGCGAGCGCAGCTCAAAGTACGTTGCAATAAGATGTTGGTTTCCTTGCTTTCTTATCCCTCTGTACATCTATGGCAGATTGAATATGACGTTCGAAAGATAATAGAAACGGCACTATTTGGAGCGCTTCAAGGTTTATTTCAAGGTGCTACTCGGACACACATCAAGGCTGCTATGCCCAGTGTTTATTGAATGCAATGCTCATTTAGTATTACCGTATCTATGCCAGGTCTCTTGGTCTGATTTTAAGAAGCAGCAAGTCGTCCATATTATCGCAATCGAACAAGCTCATCTCCCGGAACTCGAAAACCTGAACCACGCTTCGATTTGATCGTTCTTATCCTGTGCCTTTGTGCAGGTTGTGATCTTTGCGCATATATCATCTCCTAAACACCCCCAGTATTTCTCGCGTTAACATGCCAGGGGTGGAAACACGGTAGTTCTTGAGCTCACTCCCTCCTGAGAACCTACAATAGCGATCCTGCGTATCATATCACAACATTAAAGAGAACGAAGGTGCAGCCACTTTATTTGACGATCATGCCTGGGTTTGCTGATACTCCTTTTCCAGCTTCTTGGAGACTGCTGTCCGGATGAATCCGTGGACCGCCTGTGCTGCTTTAAAGCATACATTTGCGCATTCCAGATACTCTTCTTCTGTGAACAAGCCTGTGCTGTCTGAGAACAATATTCCTGCCTCATTATTCCGATCCACATCCATGCTTTCCTTTGATGGTATTGACGTCTTGTTGTCAAAGACATAGACATGGGTCGACTTTGCTTGCGCAAGTTCCTCTGTTGTGGGGTCGAGCAGTATTTGATTTGATTGGGCGTCAATGATGCAAGTGACGGATCCGAGAATAGACTTCAAAGGTATACCAGCGTCCAGTAATGCCAAAATAGTAGCATTGAATGCTGTCGACATAATCTAGTCAGATCAAGAAAGCGCTTAAAGCGTATTAGCATTTGGTGATGGTCATTATCATGGATTACACTGACAAGCAAGTAAGGAGACTTACGCATCCATCATCCTTCATCGTCTGCAGCACGATCTGGATCCCTGTCCGGGGGTGGAGTCCTGAGAGAATCAAAGGCTCCAATGTCTCTCTGATACACCGTTCGAGCGTCTTGTCCTTGACACCAGGAAGACCGACCAAGGGTCTTGCAACGACCTCAATGGTTGCTCTATCAAGCTTCTCGTCGCGAATCTTGACCTCGGCAGGGCCGACAACTGAGCAAATTACTGAAGATCCACCTAAATGAAGCGGATCCAGGTTGATATGTGAGAATATGAAGGACTGTTAGAATGGTTTCCAAAAAAAAAGTGGTGTAAACAAGCCTGGTATGATGTGTCCTCGATATAACAGCATACCAAAGTCGAATTGTGCCGAGCCGTCGGCGCGGTTGAGTAGGTTCTGGGAGGAGAAGAAAGGGCGCAGCTGGTGCGGCGATGTGCGAGTACGGTCTAGACGCGACATTATGAATGGGGTAGAAGGGTGTGGTAGAAAAAGAAAAAGGCATTGGTTCTTATTGTCTTATTGCTTCTTGCAGAAAACAGAGATACAGTTTGCCTTGCAGTGGCTTTTTAGCTCAAAATGTTTGGGGGGGGGGGGGGGGAAAAGTGACTTCAATTGTGTCAACGCGCACTCAATATGAAGAAGGAGCAGGAATGGCTGCTGCGTGCTGCAAGGAGAAATAGATATACAGCGCGAACCTGAAGCGTGCAGCATTATGGATACTGCAAGAACCCTTGTTTGCCATCACATTAAAACATCTATGGACTACAGGCATATTTCTGTTCTTGCGCAAGGACCATGGATAAATCAACGGATACGTGGACACCGTGGGATGTCTAAACAGGCCATGCTCGCGTGGTACCACACATATTTCCTTCCGTGCTACCACCATCACTCACATATCCTTCTGTTCACATCTTCCCGATGTTTAGACCTTGGGGTTTCTTGTAGACTAATAGAGAGCTTGGTTGGCTCTATTCGCACAAATAAAATTGTCCCGATAACTCTAGATATCCGAACTGCATCGTCTTTGCCCGCCAGCGGCGAAAGTGTGAGCTGCGAAAATGATTGGAGCAGCAGTGAGCGCGCTTTGAATGGTGTGGGAAAGTAAGGACGTCTTTGTTCTTTATTTATTTTCTTCACTCTCGCCCTTCTCCTTCACTCACCCATCCACCCCATCCACCCATCCATACTCTCATTCGCTCTCGGCCATGGCGGAGTCGGGATTTGCTACGCTGCAAGGAAACCCCTCCTCCTCATTAGTTGACACCGTTGCCAATGCTTCTCACTCCATAACAGGCACCACCTCGAGCACCGTCGCAGCAACCTCCACAGCAGAGAACTCTAGCCATGAAAGGAAAAGTATCGCTGCTGGAGGACCAAAGCTGTCCAAATTGGAGACCGTTCTCTGCGGATCCACTGCAGGTGTGGTGTCACGCTTTGTGATTGCGCCCTTGGACGTTGTCAAGATCCGACTTCAGGTACAACTTCAGTCTTCGTAGGAAACATGAATCGTAATTAGCATTAGCGCACAAGGTTGTTAATACCATGCACAACCTATATGGAACCCAACCGATAGCTACAAACGGAGAGGAAGGAGCTGCCCAAGGTATTAAGGCGCATGTCCTTTTCGGACCCTACATCCTCTGGACTCAGGAGCAGGACAGGCGAGACAGTAAATGGTCTCGCACGGCCGACCAATTTACCTGCTAAATATAAAGGCATGTTTTCGGGGATGGCCACGATCGCTCGCGAAGAGGGTATTAGGGTATGCCATTATTAGGATCATTAGATACCATGGATGTAATGAATAGATGTGCACCAGACTAATTGCATACGCTACGTTCACAAATCTTAGGGTCTGTGGAAGGGTAACATGGCTGCAGAGTATCTCTATTTAACATATGGAGGTATCCAGTTCCTCGTCTATCAGCAAATGAAATCGTTCCTCTCCAACAACTCCGAGCGTTCCGTGCGACGAGCTACAGTCGGACATATGAACGGCATACCCCTTCATATCTTCACCACCCTCACCACTTCATCATCAGCGCAATCATTTATCAGCGGTGCCACAGCAGGGGTCATGGCAACCGCTTGTACATACCCATTCGATCTCTTGAGAACGCGCTTTGCCATTCAGCGTGATGTTAAGGTAACAATGTGCATTCCATATCTGAAGTAGATGAAGAAAAAAGAAAGAGTTTGTTGCTTATCTCATTGTCTATATATTCTAGGTCTATACTGGTGTTCTCCAAGCATTTCGACATATTTTGCAAAAGGATGGCATCCAGGGATTTTACAGAGGCATGACTCCAGCACTGATACAAGTTGTCCCCTACATGGGCGTCATGTTTGGATCATACGATACTCTCAAGCAGCTGGCATCTTGGCTGAAAACAAAGGCCAACCTGACACCAATGCAATCATTGCCCCGACCCAATTCTTCAGTTGACTTGAAATCAAAAGAAAGAACAGCATCGACCTCTGACCCTCCGATAAAGACCTTGGGGACGCTCCTTCTGGGGCTCGAGGATATGCTATGTGGTGCGATCTCAGGTGTCATCTCCAAGACAGTGGTTTATCCACTGGACATGGTCCGGAAGCGCTTGCAGATCCAAGGATCTGAGCAACAGAAGGTCAATCTTGGCGTATTTACGTCGCAAACGTCTTCAGTTAAACCCGTCGCGGGGGCAGCAGTTTTGGCGGTCGATAGGACAATCGCAAAAACAGTTGTCGAGGCACTACCGACTTCAGTCTGGAAATGTATGGTGCATATTGTGAAACAGGAGGGTTATCTGGCGCTCTACAAGGGTCTTTTGCCTGGAATTCTGAAGGCTGCACCCGCCAGCGCTGTCACATTCTTGGTCTTTTCGCAGACGGGTTCACTCATAGAGCGGGTTCGACAGCCGTCGGCGACATAGGCAGCTAAATTAGATCAGAGCGTATTTGGTAGTCATCCGCCATCCAAATACATCAGCCCTCCAGGCGGTGCACTTTAGATTCGCACTGCGACTTTCCTCCCTTTTCTCTTTTAAGCACTTGTAGGACATATCCAATGCAATCAACTGTTCCTTGCTCCGTCTAACTACTCAATTTTCTGTAACATGAGATAATGACACAGCTCTTTTTCATCTCCCACTTTGTCTACGCTGCCGTTCCACACGGTTGTTGTTACTGTTGTTGTTGCTGCTGTTGTTACTGTGGATGTGTCAGCTCCGGGCCATTCTTGGCGCTCTACAAGACAGAGAGCGGCGCGAGCCATATTGTAGCCAGCGTTATAGTCTCGATCTCTCTCCTGATTGCATTGTTGGCATTTGATGGCCGGCCCTCAACCTCTCCTGAGGTACCGCACTGGCAACGTGTTATAGAGGCCCTCCATTCATCGGCATGGACTATGAACATATTGTGGGCCAGGTCTAGCGGACCTCACGAGACCAATACTCACAAATGAGCCTTGACGAAAATGCTGTGTGCAACTTGGCCAAACTTTAAAATGAATGTGGGACGAATGTTAAATGTGGAGTACAATAGGATTACGGGATATGATACCGCCGTTGTAGGCAGGACGGATAATGAGGCAAAGATTAAATAGGGAAGTAGGATGAAGACGACAGACGGGAATGTGAGGACAGGAAAGAGCGCGGGGCGAAAGACTTTTATAGATGTTGTTGGTGAGTCTGAGCGACTATGCTCCTGAAGAGTGCCATCCTCAGCATGTACCTTTTTAGGGGAATAGTGGTAACGACAAAGTACTGGCTGACAATCAGTGTCCCAGCGTCCATGGCTCTCTTTGTGGACCCTGGTCCCTTTGTCGCCGGCGTTACTTGTCGGACTTGTAGACACCTATAGACCGCTTCAGATGTGGATCAATTTTGCATAGATAGATAGAGTTTTTGCCCGGACCTTACTCTGTAGTTATCTGGTATTTGCCTTCCTTTAGTATAATGTACTCCACAACTCATTTCACTCTGCACTTTCTATGTGTTCATTTAAATCTCCGGTGAAATTATACATCTAAGAGAGATAATAGCTTTGCTCCTGATGGTATGTCTAGCTGCAGGGGATGGGCTCCCAGTAAGGGCTCGACTTGTTGCCGTCTCGGCCAGCACCTTACATCGGCGGCAGTCGATTGATTTGAGCTCAGGTGTGCCAATCCGGCTTTAGCGCTGTGCAGCTCCTACTTCTCTCTTCTAAGGCTCAGATGACCACGCATAGCTGCCTCAGTCGCCAAGCTAAAATACAATACACGGAACATCCGCTGCTGCTAGGCGCCTCCTCACAGCTGGTTTCCGGCACCACTGTGTCACAATGGGTGCCAAAAAGAAAAAAAGAAATGAGAACAAAAGAAAAAAAAAAAGGGAAATATAGCACATGGAAGGAAAAGTCAAAAGATGTGTCAAGGGGCACCAGGTCTTTCGCATTAACATTTTCAATACATAACCTAGAACCCTCTTAGCCGAGAAGACATGGTGTTGACCCCCTCGACACATGAATCACTATGATTGGTGTAAACCAAAGAATTCACGCTGATTCTTATACCCGTGCACGGCTCTTCGCTCCGTCCGGGTTCGACTCCTAGTCATGGCGAACATATTTCTTCATAGCGAACACATACCTCCATCGCGAACACATACTTCCACAGCTGCTGGCGCCTATGTAGCAGGATCAATCTCTGCGAAACAAGCTGACTCCACACCGCACCCTTAGCACCCATCCAAACCATTGCTGGGCTGTACTAAGTCAACCTTGGAGCAGTGGAACGTGAGTAGCCGTACTAGGTCCCTTGCACGAGTCTCAGGGATAGCCAGAAGCGTCACGTCCGTGAGTCCTGGACAGCGCTTGAGGAAAGCAGGCAAAAAGGGATCCTTAACCGGGGTAGCATGTTCTCGGATATGGAGTCGCCAGATGATCGGATGTCCCCATTTGAGACTGGGTCCCGTGCTAGAGGCAAAGCAGGCCCCAACGCCGGCACGCATGCAATCAGCTCCGGGTGTCGTCCACAGACAGAAGGCGCTCGACAGCGGTATAATGATGTCCACTGCGCGTGACATACCAAAGGCGCTGGTCTTGTTGGTATCCGGCTTGGAGAAGGGTAGCGGCACGGCTGATGGCCGATCAGGCAACTGAAAGTCTAGCTGGGGACACCTAGGCATCTGAGCGGATGTCTGAGCGGACGTGTGGAAATAAATCTGGGCACATCTGGGCACACATCTGGGCTATGGACATAAACAACGCCGCTTTATGGATGTCGTATATCCCTATTGCTACGCTATTCTACGCGTTCCCAGACTACCTGGCGAGAGATTAAAAGATCGGGCTCTGGTCTGCTAGCAATGCCGCCGGCGTGTCAAGCTCCGCCACCCTTCCCTGGTCCAGCACCATGATCCTGTCACTACCCATCACCGTGTCGATCCGATGCGCGATCGTCAGGATCGTGCACTCGTGGAACATTTGCCGAATAATCACCTGCACCAGCGCGTCTGTCTCCAGATCAATCGCCGCCGTCGCCTCGTTCAGGACCAGCAGACTGGTCTTGCAGAGAAGCGCCCGTGCAAGGCAGATCAGCTGCCTTTGACCTATCGAGAAATTGTCGTCTCCATCAAGCACCATCACATTGAGTCCTCCTTCCATGGCCGAGATATAGTCCTTGAGATACGAGTCCTCGAGTGTCTGCCACAACTCGACGTCGGGCCTTATCCCCAAGGGATCCAAATTGAACCGGATGGTGCTTGCAAACAAGACTATGTCCTGAGAGATAATCGAGAACCTAGGGCAGGTATCGTACAACCCCAGGGTCGAGATATCGATGCCGTCAACAAGGACCTGTCCCTTGGCGGCCTCGATGATGCGGAAGAGCGACAGGGTCAAGCAGGACTTGCCTGCTCCTGTTCGGCTGCAGATACCGATCTTCTCGTGAGGATTGATCGAGCAGTTGACGCCGCGGAGAACAAGATCGAATCCTGGGCGATGTCTGGTCTCGTAGTCGATGAACTCGACGCGTCCCTGAGTTGGCCATTCCTGGAGTGGACGGTTGTCGGGATTGATCTCTGAGACTTCAGGCTTGAAATCGACGTATTCCTGAAGACGCTCAACGGCCACGATATCGGACTCGAGCTCGGTGTGCTGGCGGACCATCCAGTTTGGAGCTTGTGTGATAATGAGTACATATTTCAACGACAGGCCCACAAGACCTGGACCCACAGCGATGTTTCGGCCAGTGATACGATGGGTAAGAATGTAGATCCACAAAAAAAAAAAAAAAAAAAAAAAAAAAAAAATTGATGGAGCCCAGAGTTTCAAGAATGGAACGCGGGGCCGAAATAGAATGTACTCAAATTCTAGCCCAGACGATGCTTTTTGCTCTTGATGAGCCTGTCCTGTCGGCGGTAAACGAGGATGGTGCTGATTCTACCGAGTATTTCCCGGAAAAGTGCAAAGACGGCGATCGAGTAATAGAATTCAGCCTGCAGATATTGCGGAACGTTGTCAAGAAGTACCAATGTAGCAAGAAATATATGAAGGTAAAAGGAAGGATGAGAATGGTGAGGCTGAACGTCAACACAGAGACCAGCACCAAAGCCGAAGGGGCCTAGCAGACTGCCCTTGAGTACACAGCAAAAGAGCGCGGAAAGACCCTATCAACCGCTGATTGACCTTTGCTGGAACGGCTGAGGATATATCCCATGGAAGAGGTATCAAGGAGCACCATTGGCGAGCGTATAACACTATGCAGTACCCTCTGGTGCAACATACGCGATAAACTGATACAACAATGGGTCTGGATTATAATCGACTGAAAGATCGTCAACAGTGAATACATGAAGCCCAATTCCGCATGAATGTCGGTATAAAAAAAGTGAATCCTTGATACCCCTTCCTGCGCCATTGTCGCTGTCCCAGTGAGTCCGCCATGGAGAAGTCGATCTAGAATAAGACCACGGGCAGGATGCAAGCAATGATCGAGCGATAGAAGCATGAGTTTGCATATGCAAAGTAGACGCTCCTGCTGATACTGCCTTGCCTCATTTGCTCCTCCGACATGATAGTGACGTTCTGGCACCCATCGATCCTGAAAACACTCCATTGAAGCACTAAAGCGACTGATGTCGGCACTGTGTCTGAGCTGAACGAGACGTATCGAGCAAGGCTGGTGCTTCTTTGACGAGAAAAGCATCGGTATCAACAATGTGTTATTGCTGCTGTCGCTTCCATGCCCAGTGACCAGTTGATAGACCTCTGCTGTCTTTGCCTTAGCTCCTGGAAGCTGTCTTGCTCTAACCGCCTTGCCATCGCACAGCAAGAGAATCGTAGTCGACTGTACCAGGTACTGAATCCGATGTGTGACAAAGATCTTCGCCTTGTCTGCCAGTAGTTCCTTGGACATGATCGCCTTGCAAAGATCGCCTTTTTCTACATGTGCATCGACTGTCGAAAGAGTATCGTCAAACATATAAATATCCGCACGAACATAGATAGCACGCGCCAGTGAAATATTTGCCCTCTGGCCACCCAAAAGCTTGATGCCGCACTCGCCAATCTCGATCGCGTCGCCACCAAGCAACGCCGCCAAGTCTGACAACAAGCAGCATGCCTCAAAGACTTCTTGATAAGGTGCTGTATCCATGGAATCCTAACTACGCTTCTATCGTTAGTACTTGCATACTTCAACACTTTCAATACAACACGAGCATGCCATCGATTGCATAAGTCAGTTTTTAGAGCAGATAATAAGTCTTTGTCTTTTTATTTTTGCTTTTTTTTTTATAAATGTAAAAAAAGAGAGAAAAGGTTGGCTTGCCATCGGTCAGTCTTACTCGGAAGAGTAAAGACTGTGCAGGATACACCGCGGGCAGGTTGCAAGCCATGGTACCCCAAAAAAAACCACAAAGGGAAAAAAAGATCGGCCCCGGAGCGGCTTCTCTTGTTTTATTACCTTTATTACGATATTCTCGCAAGCCCTGGTGGACTTGTTTGCTTGGCTTAGCTGTAGGAAATAAGAGATAAAGAGAAGGATTGAAAAAGGAAATGTATGGTCACACGACTTGTTTTTACCAAAATGGGAGAGACAGCTGGAAGACAAGCACAACAGTTCACTTACCTGGAAGCCTTACCGGCAGCGGGAGACGCCTAAGCATCGATCAGCCGCCGCATACTTACAGCGGGAGACGCCTAAGCATCGATCAACCGCCGCATACCTACAGCGGGAGACGCGTAAAGCATCGATTAACCGCCGCATACTTACAGCGAGAGACGCCTAAGCGTCGATCCATCGCCGCAAGCCCTTGTGCCTTGAAAGATCATTTTTCGGGCAAAAGGGCTGGGAATGGTAGCGACAGCGAAAGAAGCAGACAGAGAAAACAAGAGAGAGAGAGAGAGAAACAGATGGACAGAGAGGTGGACAGCGATGTGGACAGAGAGTTGGATAGAGAGAGGGACAGGGAAAGGGACAAAGAAAGTGACAGAGAGAGGGACAGAGAGAGAGGTAGATAGTGGATTAGAGACAACGAACAAGAGCAAGATAAAAGGAGACAAAGCAAAAAAGATACGGGCTGTAACTGAAAGAGAGAAAACATATGGGGACATCAAGAGCAGAGAAGGTGAAAAGTGAAAGGAGTAGAGGGGAGAAGAGCTTACCTTGGAACCTTGGAAACTTGGAGCCTTGGAGACCTAAGGAGGGGAGGATGAGGAAGAGAAGAGTAAAGAGTGAAGAGAGAAAAGTGAAGAGTGAAGAGTGAAGAGGAGTGAATAGAGAAGAGTGAAGAGAAAAGAGAGAAGAGGGAAGAGAGAAGAGAAAAGAGAGAAGAGAAAAGAGGAGGGGTTAAAAAGAAAAAAAAAAAAAAAAAAAAAAGAGGAGGGGAATAGTTGGGAGCATCTATACCCCTTCATCTCTCATCGAAGGATAGAATCCGTCGTCGGTGCTATCTGCTGCGCATAGAACACCACCGAACAACCGCGTAACGCAACGGTTATCTGCTGCTCTTTGGATGAAAGAAGCCGAGACAGAGAGGAGATTTAGGACAATAGCAAGCATGGACACAGAAGGGAACATCCTCGAAGCAAGCATGAAACTGGTACTGAATGAACCAACTAGCCTGAAAAAGATGGAGCGGCCAGTGCTGTCGATGACCATACGAGACATAGACCATGCGAGACATAAACCAGCAAGGCTACCTCTTCGCCCCAATATGTAAGAGCGTAGTGGTCCCTGACGGCAACTCATCGCGTCAGGGTTGGGTCCGGACCAAACTATTGATTCCTACACAACCATCGCTTCGTGCACCTCTTCCAGGCCTATATTCGGCTCACTAGTCTGCTATAGACACCACCGCCAGCTAGACAATACATCACAGCAGTGAGCTGCAGTACTTTAAGCGATAATAGGATATGCTCGCATTGTGCATTGTACATTGTGCATTGTACGTTATGCATTGTGCATTACGACGTCCATGTATTGACGTACTGTTACGCGTATCCGTTGCATGAGCTCGCGTGACACCACAAGAGGTCTGCAGCCGATCATCAGAGTGTCTCACTTGCCACCAAGAAGGGAGAGTCAACTTGGATGGAAACCAGCGTAGACACTTCGATGTGCTACTACTGCTACTGCTGCTGCTACTGCTGCTGCTGTTGCCACTGCTGTTGCTGCTGCTGCTGCTGTTGCTGCTGTTGTTGCTGTTGTTGCAAGTGTATCAAGCGTCCTCAAAGAGCTGCACTCTGTCCCCAGTTCTATCGCTGGCAACGCCTTCAGCACAAAGCGAGCATGTTATCGGTCGCACAAGGCAGTTGTTGGAGCAGACAATGGCTGTTCCTGTTTTATTTTAGTTCATTTCATTCTGCTTCATTTTATTCTGTTGTACTTCATTTTATTTTATACTGCTTCATTTTATTCCGTTATACTTTATCTTACCTCATTTTATGTTATATTGCTTCATTTTATTCTGTTTGATTTATCCATTCTATTCATTTCACTCTTTATTTTACTTTTATTCTAGTCTTTTTTGCACTCGTCCAGATACTCCTGCGGAAGCGCATGCAGAAACACACCCAGCGCCGACAGCAGCATCGGTAACAGCATCGATCGCAGCAACACTAGTGGACGATGCTGCTCCCAAAACGAGACAAGAATAAGTAATAGTAACAGCAGGGAAGAAGAGCGAGGACAAAGAACGTGGACACGAATAGTGAAGACAATGGTGCTCTTTCACAGCAGCACGCTTGTAGGCAGTGGCTGCTGAAGACAGCTCAAAGCGATCCTGATCTGCTCGGACCAAACTATCCACTTTGGGACACTCGTTGCTGGATGGACCCCATCAATAGCTGATTTACGACCCATAGTTGAATGGTCCTGTGCCAGGACCAAATAAAGGAATATCACCCACTGCAGCCACTGCGGGTGACAGACTGGCACAAGCCCTGTAACGCACATTACCAAATGCGCCAAAGGAGAATGCTACAAGTAGCAACACTCGCGGGGACCTAATAGAGCCGCAGCGTTGACACCCTGCAGCCTCTTCTGCAGTACAGCTTTGTGTAATCACAAAAAATAAACCACCGATCCCAGGATCAGAGTCATCAGCAATGAGGATCGCGGCAGGTGGCAATGGACAACAGCAGCCCTGTCGCTCTCCATACCAAGGTGTTCTGTGGAGAGCAAGGAATGGGTCCCATCGCCGTCTTTGGCCCTCCTAGTCACTATGGCCTAGTCAGGGTGGTCTAAACCTTGACTGTCTGTGCGCTCCTCGCGTATGTGGCCCATGCATTTGATTCTTGATGTAATTGGACCTCTCTTTGTTTACAGCCTAAATTTGTTGCCCAAGCACTGCTGCGACCATCATTGGGCCACGCTTTTGCTGATGCCGCCTCACCTCATTCGCTCCTCCGACATGGTAGCGGTGTTCTGGTGTCCATCAATCCTGCAACACTCCATTGAAGTGCTGAAGCGATTGAAAGTCAGTGCCATGTTCGAACACTGGTTGCGCTGCGAATGCTGCTTTGACGAACTGAACGAGGTGCATTAGACAAGAGTAATGCTTCCTCGACGAGGAAAGCATCGGCACCAACGATATCTTCTTTTGGCGGGCGCTCTACTTCACCGGCGGCCCCTGGTCGCCTGCTTCTGTAAATGCGTTGTTGTTGGTGTCGTTTCTAAGCCTAGTGATTAGTAAATAGACCTCTGCTGTCTTTGTTCTTAACTGCTGAAAATTACCCTGATCAAACCACCTTGCCATCGCGCAGCATCAGAATTGTAGACAATTGTGCCAGTTCCTGCATCTGGTATGTAACATAAATCTCTGCCTTATCTGCCGGTAGTTCCTGGACAAGGAGCCTCTCAATTTCGACTCGCAGGAATATTTGGCGTAGCGAAATCAAGATAGTCCCACATCTACTGCAACCGTGACCAATGTAAAAAAAGGATAGAGATGCCTCATCCTCTTCCCCCTCCCCCAGCAATAACGCAAATGACTAGACATTTGAGATTGACAATGTTCATGGTATGATTAGAGTCGGAAACAGAAAGCTGTTTATAGAACTACATGTCCTCATCCTAGGATTGAATACATTGCTTTATTTAAAGAGATGTATGCAATTAGCTCCATCCATCATATAAGCTGCCATTTCTATCTGGGCTGCTCAACTGTTGGATAGCCGAAAAAAGAAAAATGTATGGACACGACGCGCCACTTGCGTTACATGACAGTGAAAATGATTGCAATTTTCCTGTAGACGTGTCTGCAGCGAGACTGACGAGGACGAAACTGGCAGGGAAATGTATTCACTCGCGCCAACTCTATCGAAAGACAACAAACACATCTCATAAAACCTACCGTGCTATGCTCGACGTCCTCAGAAAAGGCCGAACAGACATCTCTACTGTGTGCTGTGATTAAACGTCTCGGGGAGTTTACAGTAAAGGCCATGGACCACCGCATCAGTGGCCCCCAGGTTCAGCTGAGCGATAGCAACAGCTGCTCGGTTTTGAGCTCGGGCACTCTCTATCTGTAGGAATCGTAGAGAATCGACGCCTGGGCTGATACGATGTACCCGTAGTGCAGCGACATCACATCGGCATGGATGTGAGAATTGATGATTTTCATGTCGGTTGACCTCCTTCAATGACCATATCGGTTAAATACTAAAGGCTCCGTCCATCCCCATTTTAATCGAGTGGATCGCTGACACAAATAAAGACAAGTTTACAAGTGACAATGGTCCGAGATTAATAGAGTGATACGCATCAGTTGGTCCATTTACTCCACCGACGAAACACCGAGGCGACACAACTTTGAGCTTACGAGGCTCGCAGGAGCGGGAAGGTGGCGTATTGAAAGAAACTTAGCTGTTCCAAGGGGGAGACAATGCCACTAAGGACAGTGTAGTAGTGAATGGGTTAAGGTGAGCAAAGGAGTGTGGGAAGACGACAAGGTGTAGCGGACCTTACGAGACCAATACTCACAAATGAGCTTTAACAAAAGTGCTGTGCCTAACTTGGCCGGACTTTAAAATGAATGCGGGACGAATGTTAAATGTGGGGTACAGTAGGATTACGGGATATGATGCCGCCATTGTAAGCAGAGCGGATAATGAGATAAAAAGCAAACATGGAAGTAGGATGAAGATGACAGACGAGGATGTGAGGACAGGGAAGAGTTGGGGCGAGAGACTTTTATAGATGTTGTTGGCGAACCTGAATGACCATGTTCCTAAAAGTGCCACCCTCAGCATGTGCCATTTTAGGGGAATAGTGTTAACGACAAAGCATCTCTTTGTGGACCCTGCTCTCTTTGTCCCCGATGTCCCTTGTCAAACTTGTAGACACTTATAGACAACTTCGGATGTAGATCCATTTTACATAGATGGATGGAAGGCCTTGTCCGAGTCTTATTCTGTATTTATCTAGTATTCGCCATCCTCTAGTATAAAGCGCTCCACAACTCACTTCATTCTACACTTTCTACGTGTTTATTTAACTCTCCAATGAACTTCTATCTACCTTTGGATTGTCCTTGCTACTTTTACTATTGATTTCCTCGATCTCCTTACTCTTCGCATCCAAATTATTCAGGTTGGAGGCCCTTTTGGATGTGCGACGCCTCTCAGTTACTGCCTCTTACAACAGTACCAAGCAGCGCCACCGGCGAGCACTTCAGATCATTGCTTGCCCGCTAAGTAAGGCGAACGAGTTAGACTTCACTGTGAAGAGCAGCTGTTGAAACTGATAAAAATATTTACATTCAAGAGTTGGTCTATATAAATGGTAAACGAATGTGCTTCATGTTATGATATTCCCGTCGTCTGATATTTCGACATACACGCTGTTTTCATACTACTTGTTCCGTCCAGACCCCAAATTGGGACTGTACTGGGAGTGAACCTTCATATGTAGGCCACTTCCGTTTTTATTCATGAGACTATTAAGCTATCTAATACTCCAAGCCCCAGGTCGGGGCTATAAAAACCCCTACCGGGAGCATAATAAACAACAACGCTCTTTTGTCTCCTTGACTCACACTGAAATACATAAAACATCACACTACTCCTTACTCCTCCCATGCGTTATGCTTAACTTGGCGGCCCGAATATCAACTGGACGTGAATTACACGAAGCAAAATTGAAGAGTAGACTTAGACCCCTCATAGTGAACCTCATAATGCTCCAGAGACTGTTGCATATACTTTATTGCCTTATAAATTTATTACCTCTGAAAGTCAATTTAGAGTTGATTAATAATAGTGTAGATGCGGCGGGTGGAGCCGCATCTCTTTCTCGCTCATTTTTTTCAGTGAAGATACTATCCACACACACATACACACACACACACACACACACACACACACACACACACACACACACACACACACACACACACACACACACACCCAAAAAAAAAATGAACAGCGACGGTATCAACAACCTGCCCCTCGACGCCCAGCAGATGGACATCGCTATTGAGGGTCAGTCATCGGGCAATGCTCCTGAGGCGACACCGACGGATCAAGAAATCTTGGCTCAAATGAACGAGCACCGACGGTCGCTGAAAGAAAAAAAAGCCGACATTAGCCGCTATCTTGCCCTCTCGGCGGATGGCGATGATGTGGTAGAAAAAGAGCAAGCCCATGAAGAGGTCATCCGCGAGCTGAATGCGCTCGAAAAGCGAATCCGCCTACTCATTGAGTCCATTGAAGACAGGGCTTCGCTTAATGAAGCGTTGGCTCTCGAAGAATCGCTGAAGGTGACAAAGAGTATGCCGCGATTTAAAAACGGCGGTGATCCTCGGGCGTTCCTGGACCAAGTGAAGCACACTGTCTGCGCGTGCGTGGGAGATGACATGTTTGAGGACCAATGCAGCCGCTACTTGTCGCACCTCACCGTGAGCCCCTTCCACAGTCAAGCCCTCAAAGAAGAGTTTGCAAAGAGATCGAAGTCGAAGCTGACCTGGGATGAGTGCGAAGCGATCTTCCTTAAGATTGCATTAACCGAACAAGAGCGCATTGAGCAGATAAAACAACTGTTGATAACTGGACGAGAAAATAGAGAATCCTATCGCCAGTTCGCAATGCGTATTGCTCGAGACATTCGCATTTATGGTGTCAAGGACGATAATGAAATGGTGCTCACATTGTTGAGTGCCACCATGTCTCCTGATGCTCTTAATAACATGGTCACTCGCCTTCATGTTGAGAAGGGAGCCTCGGCCGATTTCACCTCTATCAACGATTTTACAAGAGTTCTTAGTGGTTTGGTCGGACCGCATGCACACGTCAACAGGGACGCTAACGGTAACCCTGTCGATACCTCGACGGGCGCCTCACGCAACAAGCACAACAAGGGAGCAAACCGGTTCTCCCCGGCAAGCAAGAAACACGAGCCAAAGGAGATGTTCCGCGGCTCCAATAACCGAACAAGCCAGTTGTTTGACTGCAAGCACTGTGGAATGAACACAACCCACGAGACTGCAGGTCATAAGCAGTGCTTCAAGTGCGGCCGACGAGGCCACATCGAGGCCGAATGCCGCGGAGACAGACATATGTCTCCACTGTCTGGTAAGAGTACAACGAATGATGACAACCATATTGTCAGAGCAATTTCGATTGTTAAAATGAGTAGTCAATCTAACGAGCTTTTCTCTTCTATTACCTTGAATGACTCAGGTTCCTACAAGCCTAACCAAGGACGAAAGTGAAAAGTGGAGAAGATGGTGCAGTGTAAAAAGCAAAATAAAAAATAAATATAATAACCAATATATCTCAATTAATTCGGAGACAAACAATGTGAATCTAGGCAGCAAACGAAAAAACCCTCCCATAAAAAGAATGGCACAAAATTTAACGCGACAAAAGAAGAGCCTGCGCTGAAAAATGGGCGTGAGTGAACAATCATGTGCTACGCGATCAGACTAACGCTTCGGCGCAGCGCGGTCATTTTTGACAAACAACCACGCATCGCAATGAATCCTGTTTTAGCGCAGCCTATAGTCAACTCTGACGTACTGCCGCACTCTACAATGTCAATGATATCCATGAAATAATACGAATGATAATCGCAACTGAGGACTACGAATGTCTAAACCATCAAATTCGAATCTCATCGTTGACTAAAATCGCCGATGGTATAATCGAATTAGCCAAATCGAGTGTTAACAAGGACCAATCGGACAGAAGAATCATTGACATTGTCGCTTTTGAGGGTGATAAATATGAAGCTTTGCTAATCCTGTTGAGGGTGTCATCGCGCTTGTAGACTGAGAATATCGAGTTGCAGTATGGTACTCGAATTGTGTCAGCACCTATGGAGGTTGAGATATTTTGGGGTTCAGAATTAAGTGAGAAAGAGATGTGGTTCCACACACCACACCGATTAGGTATTTATTTGTATTAAATGTAATAGTGAGCTGGAGGTACACTTGTTAAACTAAATATACAGTGAACTCTGGTGAAATATGCGACAGAGGTCATCAATCAATCGTACCCGTTCATCATAGGAATGGATCTCTTCCATCAATTCGGTTTCAGCATTTCAGGTTTCGCCAACCCTGGCGACGATGCGATGCAACTCTCTGAGCCTGGGGAAGATACCGAACCTTCATTAATTCCTGGTGAACAGCTTCCAGAGGAAAAGGCAAAAGCATTTCCGACTGCAAAACATAAGTTTCCCGGACAAATTGCTGAGTATCTGAAGCAAAATGCTCAAATACCAAAAACGAGCTTCTGCCCTATACCAGAAATCAAGGTATATCTGCCTGTTCCTGAGGGCACTGTACTATTCAGAAGGTCCAGACCGTTTGCAGAAAAGCAGATGAACATCTTCGAAGACACTATTCAAAAATGGCTACGCGATGAAGTTATCACGCTTGCGCCAGTTGGCAATGTGCACAATATTACGCTAACACTTGCTGCCAAAAAAATATGAGCGTGGTAAGAAGACGTTGTGGCGAGTCTGTCTTGGTCCCAGACCGCTGAATGAGCATCTGCCGGATGACAATTATCCGTTACCGTTAATCAATGATATTATTACTCGTCTTGGCGGGTATACAATCTTTACTACAACTGATCTCTCTAAGATGCATCATCATCTCCCAATTCATGAAGAGGATCAAGCACTGACCACATTTATGCACAATGGCAAGCAGTACATGTTTAAAAAAGCACCTTTTGGACTGAAGCCATTGTCCAGTCTCTTTCAGAGGGAGATGTCTCGGACCCTTGATGATCTTCCCTTCGTCTGTAATTTCATTGATGTTCTCAAAGAATCGAGAAGAACATACTGAGCGTGTGCAAGCTGCCCAATAAAACAAGTTAATAATCAATCACGAGAAATGTAACTTCATCAGCACACAAATCTCGCTGCTGGGCTTTATCATCGGACTGCACGGCAAATATCAATGAATGGGAGCCCCCAACAACAGCAAAACAGATTCAGTCATACCTTGGCACATTCAATCTCTTCCGAGAGTATATTCCCTTGTTCAGTGACATCGCAGCACCGCTAGGTGCGCTTCGTAGTCGAACCGAACCATTCATTCTGAATCAGGCACAAATGCAATCATTCAATACTCTAAAAAATATGTTGACGAATGCACCAATCTTGGCATTCCTTGACTTTAGCAAACCATTCTATGTTGCAACAGATGTTTCAGATATTGGTATCGGTGCTGTACTGTACCAATTACCACGCGGAAAGGAGCACCCAAAAAACATTAACTATGTCTCCTTCGTAGCTCGCTCTTTGCAAGAAAGAGAACGTAAATACAGCGCCACAAAGAAAGAATTACTTGCAATTGTGTTTGCTCTGAACAAATTCCATTACTATTTGTGGGGAAGACATTTTGATTCGTACACGGACCACCGTGCCTTAATGTTCCTGCATTCTCAACAGAATTTTAATTCCATGATGGCAGCATGGCAAGATACCATTTTGAGTTATTCATTTACTGTCCACTATCGGCCGGGAATTCTTTAATATTCTTCCTGACGCATTGTCGCGCCTATTCCCGATGAAGAAGCAGCAATCACTCCATACAGAAGAGCAGAAAAGAACTTTTGCGTACGTGTACATCCTTCAAAATGAGGAAACAGAAAGAGCGGTAGTGCCCGAAAAAGAAGAAACGAAGCTATGTATAAAGCGCATGCCATGGGTCACCTTGGTATAAATGTTATGGCGGATTCAATCCTTCAGCAAAGGAAAACTTGGTCCCATCTGACCAATGATTGTTTAAATTTCGTAAAGCGCTGCCGAGAATGCTAGAGGATGGACATTACTCGTAAAGGGTATCATCTTATGAAGGCAATCCATGCACACTTATCTGATGAACACATTGCGATTGACACTGCAGGCCCTTTTGAAGAGTCCGAAGACAAGAATGTCCATTTGTTAATTATAGTCGATGTGTGTACTCGGTTTGTTCTGTTGAATGCCTTGCCTGATAAATCCTCGTACACTGTAGCAAGACCTTGTTCAAACGCTTTACTGATATTGGCGTCCCTCGCGTGTTACAATCGGATAACGGAAAAGAGTTTGTCAGTGAACTCACTCGCATCATGACCACGCAGATGTATATAGATCATCGTATGGTAACACCATACCATCCAAGTGGAAATGGAGTTGTAGAAAGTCATGTCAAAACAACATGCAATACGATTCGTAAAGAAGTTAAAGGGAATCATCGTTATTGGGATCGACATGTTCCCTTTGTACAATTGTCTGCAAATACGCAAACGGTTAGTCTGCACAATTCATTTCCATTCTCGCTATTCTTCGCGCGCAAAGCAAATGGTTTTAATAACTACACCAACGAAGAAGGCAGAATCCTGAGCGAAGAAGAACTGCTTGAACGTCTAAAATATATGACCGACATCGTGTTTCCGCCATCGGAAAGAAATCTACGGCGAAGCAGCAAAAAATGCTCGAACGATTCAATGCAACAGTGCTGGATAATGGATTTCCAGATGGACCAAAAGTAATGATCCTTGATAAAATTAAAGGAGGCAAACTCACTCCACGATATAAAAGACCTATACAGTGGTGCGATGCACTTCACATGGCTCATATATTCTCAAAGATGGTACAGGAGCCTTGTTAGGACGTCACTATGCCCCGTCTCAGCTCAAGCTAGTGCTGGACGACTTTGAAGACACTGACACCTATGAAGTGGAAAAAATCGTTGACCACAGGGCTAGTACGATCACGCCTAATACAAATGGAAGGGCTATTCTTCCGATGAAAATACATGGGAACCTGAAGATCATTTTATTGAACGACGATGCATCAGTGATTACTGGGCTGAGCATCATGCCGCGCAACAAAAATCAAATAAGCGAACATACAATGACACGGCAACAGGCACCTCTGGCCGGTCATCCACGCGGCGCAAACGATCTCAAAGTACACGTTCATAACAAATATCTTGCTGCACAAGAGATAAATAAACGCATATATATATAAAATAAAAAAAAAGGCAGGCACAAGACACATACAATGAGCATTACATTCCAATGGTTCTGCGACAAATAGAATGGCTAGAATACTTTATTTCCATTCAGCTTTACATGTTGAAAGTCTGAATATTTTGGATATTTTGGATTATTATCGTAGTCCTGGCCATTCTACGCCGCTTACGAGGACGTTGCTCCATTCTGTTATCGTCCTCCTCCACTTCAACTTGAGCCCCTTGCTCCTTTGTCTCTCTATCCACCTGAGTGCCTTTATCCTTGCAAAACTGCGGCGCAGAAAGACGTCCAATGAATGGATTTCGATCCTGCTCATGCATCAAGGCAGTACGAAGCCTCTCGATTTCTAGTTTAGCTGCGACGAGTCGACTCTTGTAATCCTTGTACGTCTCATTCTCATCCTCTGACCAATGCTCTGCACTTCCCTCGACGGACTGCGTCCCTGGTGATGATGCACGCTTTGCGCGGCGGCATACTGTCAAATCTAAAGGGAAAGTCGGAGACAACTCTTTCTCCGCTACCTGTGTGAGAGACACCTCCTCCAACGGCAATGCCTCCTCTGGTTCTGCCGTCGACGCGGATGCCACGAGTTGTGGACTTGGCGAATTCACAATGCGAGAAGTCCTACATATGGCAACGGCCATGCGGCTTGGGTTGGTGTTCGAGCGGAGGGGAGACATGATAGCAAAATGATACGACGTTTGTGAATGCGAAAGAGCAATGGAAGTTGTGGATATGATGGAGGAGAATGAAGTGAGAAAAGAAATAAGGGGAAAGAGGAATCAACTCACCCGTTATTCTTCATTCTCGAATCCTCCCTCCATCTCCATCCTCAACTTCATCTCATTGGTCCATGGGACGTCGGATGATCTCGCGCATCTGATCAGATGATCTTCATCGGAGGATATCACACCAAAAAAAAAACGCGATTCAAAATCTCTGCAGTACAACTCACTCTGCCTCATATGCCATACATGATCCTGGAACTCGCATATTCAGCCGAGTCCAGTGAACTTTATTACCATATAAATTTATTGCCTCTGAAACTTAATTTAGAGTTGATTAATAAATATCGTGTGTGGAGCAACAGTTCTTAGTCAAGTCTTTCATTCGACCCAATGCAGAGTACTCCATCATTGTGAATATGGACAGAGCCCTTCTTCCTTGTACGTATCCTGATTACGTCCAGCATGGGTTGTCCTGCAAGCACATGTACCTGGCATCAAGGATCTACAGAGGCATCGAAATCAACTACGACAGGGAACCTGTACTTCCTCAAGAGCCATGAGAACCGATCGGTATTGAAAACGATCTCGAAGACTATTTCGGACTCCCTCTTGAAAACCTGCTTTCACCGCAACCCCGTCTCCAACTACAAGCAATGAGAGCTGAGCAGCAGTAAGCACAGAGGAGAGCGAGAAAGCTGAAGATGAAACGGCATTTCAGGAATGTGAACGCGGGCTGGAATACGCTTTAAAGAAACCGGGCGATGTCGTTCACGATTTTTTATTTGGAGCTGTGGACAAAGAATTCGATCGAACCCTTTTGGGTGTGTAAAAGGTGTGGTTGGTTGTGGCAGGGCAAAGTGGAGGCGTTCGGGGGGTCTCAATAGTCTTTGATGGTCGAGCATAGTCCTGCTGCACCCGCTGTGCGACTTTCTGAAAATAAGTCTGAGAAGCAACGATTAATACAAAAGCCGGATTCAAGAATGAATACCAACAACGGCGCCTTGAGTAGCAGCGCAGTAAGAGTAATATGCACAAAATCTGACTTACCCTCAGCGATAGCAGCGCTGCTATGCATCTGCCGTCCATGAACCACTCGAGCTCCGCCTCGCTCGTTGGGATCGCTAATTCTTCCTCGAGCACCTTCCCGCAAACATGAACCGATTCATACTCCCAGAGACAATACAGTTGTGCTGAATATCCTATACGATGCATGTAAACAATCGACAAATCCGTTAGAGTAAGAGCTACAGAAGGAAAATGATCATGATTTGCGAGTCCAAATGCTCGAAAAATACCGTGCATGTCAAGAAAGTAAAGCTTGGTTGATGGGATCTTCTTGGAAATAGAGTGGTTGAGACGCATGTTCTTGCGGGCCTGGATTTCGACCTGCTGGCAACCTGCTTGTTGAGATTTCATCTCGAAATTTGAAATGGGCTTGAACTCCCATTTCTTTGCCTTGACAACGGAGGCGACTAGCTTACAATCCACTTTTCGCGGGGTCACCGGTGTGTTCATCAAGGTGGCTGCGTGGGCAGTCTCATTCACTATTCGCTCTGCCTTGCTTGTTTCCAACCCTGTCTCTCCGCTGGTTAATAGAATCAATAAACAAAGCCGGTGTTAAAACGAACTGGCAGGGAGATGGATGAGATGAACTGAGTGAAAATAATACTGCCCTACTTACATTACGATCGAGATCCTAGTCCTGGCGAACAATATCTCAAGGATCCGCTGCCATACGCTCTGAGACTTTTGTTCCGTGTCATTAGGTCGTGAAATGGCGTCCTCTTGACATAGAGGCACCCTACATCATACATAACATTTTCTCATGATTAGCAGTTCTCAAAATGTCCCCGCAATTTTCATATTATAAAACTTACACTACACGTAGAATCTCGAATATCATGCGCGCGTTGTCATCCACTTGAGTGCCGTCGAGCTCCTTCATGGCCATACACCCAATTTCCTTGTCAACCAACAGGCAAAATCTTTGAACATCGAGACTTCCATCCTCTTTGCGAGCATCTTCCTTCAGTTTTGCGAGAATGTCAATGAGGAATTGTGGAGGGTTGCTGAGCGTGGAATCCCTTGTCCTGTTGATGAGCTCCGGTAGATCTTCTCCAATCACCTGTGTTGCGTCCTCCATGTGAAGATGAACAATGGACGAGGCCGCAACACTTCAAAGAGTCATACAATGGCATAAATGAACGAGGGTGAGAGGGACAGTGTTAGAAGCCAAAATAATACCGCACAGTGAGACATCGGATAGTCGAGGCAGGAGAGCTCTTACTAAACGTCCTTCTGCTTGAGTTTCGGCAAGTTACTGAAAGCTGAGAGGTGCTTGACTGCAAACCGGAACAGACGTTGCTGTAGCCGGCTCTGCATAGTAGGCTCCACAGGCATCACAAACGGCCGATTATGCGCCTATCGAATATAATATAACATCTTCAGTCTGAACTTGAGCACATTCATGCAGGGATTGCATGAACAAGGTTATGATAAAGATATTATAATGGTTGCATACTGGCATACATACAATGTCATAAAGCGCCTGAAACACCTCGTAAAACGGGTGAACCCGGTCGTGGATGTCGATGTCCGTCGCGAGGTCTACAGATAATATTGCATGACGATTAGGTTTAATGACCACAACGGGCATCTCCGCATCAGTCGGCTGCGTTACCTTGAGCATCCTTGTTCATTTCATTCGCCATAGCTCGTGATGGCGATGGCTCGTCTATTGCCACAAGATAAAGAGCCGGTAAGACCTTTGACACGAATCAACACAGCTAGAAAAACGACAAAGACCCATGCATTATCATTGTCTGCATTCTAGATTGAATATTCTTTACTTTTTGCTGTCTGTCCACTTTCAATTGTTTCTGATGTAATCAAAGGAGCATCGATCGTACTTAAGCCTCCGAGTTCAGCTTGTACGCTGCTGCTAAGCACATGGCGCGCCTGCCTAATCATGCTCTGAGCATTAAATATAGCGCCTGCTGACTCCTGTGCTGTTGACCGTTGGAGGATCCCCTGAAGTCGAGACCGTCTTGGTTGCAGGTACTGTGCTCTCCAATCCTGGCAGCGCTTTGATAGAAGCATCTCCTTCATTTCTCTTGCCCAGGTTGTGTATTCCGAATCCTCCTGTAAAGAGTCCAGACTTCTCGCAATTGCGTCGAACCAGCTGGATGGTACAGTCAGTCGAAATTTGTCCGAGAATCCGCGCCAGAGTTGTTCAGGCTCCTTATGGCGACACTCTTTCAGATACTGTATTCGGTCAGTGATGTCCATGACTAGTTGAATATAGGTGAATAGATGTGTTTCTAGAGTTGTAGCGTGGAGAGATCAATCGATCTCGCCCGTCATGATAAAAAACGACATGGTCAGTTCGTTTAATAACTCAAGGTATAAAAGCATGGCACAACTGCGAAAACGATATATACATGAACGACCAAAAAGAACTTGACTGGAGTCTGGTACTGTGTGGCACCCTCAAAAGTGAATCCATGGACTATGCCATGTAGTCGGAGGGGCGTCAATGCAGCCTCGCCACCAACAGCGCCACAGTAGCCGTTCCCTTCGAAGAAGGGAGTGATGGGTCTCCTTATAAGTACGCGCAGCGGGAGGTCCAAGAGGCAACACCCATGATTGTGTTGGCTCACCCTACCACCGGACACCCATCAGCTAAAGAGCACTGAATTTGACACATACAGGACCACAGACAAATCACGAAAAATAGGAAAGAGAAGAGAATGGATGGCACCCTCAAAAGTGAATCCATGGACTATGCCATGTAGTCGGAGGGGCGTCAATGCAGCCTCGCCACCAACAGCGCCACAGTAGCCGTTCCCTTCGAAGAAGGGAGTGATGGGTCTCCTTATAAGTACGCGCAGCGGGAGGTCCAAGAGGCAACACCCATGATTGTGTTGGCTCACCCTACCACCGGACACCCATCAGCTAAAGAGCGCTGAATTTGACATTCAAATCTCCCAGATGAAGAATATTTAAAGAAACTTTAAGATGCTTACCAGGCGGATTGACTGAAGGAAGAAGTAACAAAGAGGACGTGGGGGAAGCAGAGAAGAAAGGAGAGAAGGATTCAAGAGCAATGGGCGCAAAAACTACGTCACCGAAGTGACGAACCGCACGCTACAACTACTCGTCCTGAATTATCTTGTGTCCATCCACTCTGACGGTGCTTGTCGTTTGATCCCACCATGTCCAACACGACTCCCATGGCCTGTGTTGCTGCTGCCCACCGAACGAGGACTTGGATATTGCATCCACGGGTAGTTCCCATCGACATCTTTGGGCTGGAGGTACAGAGGCCGCTGCTGGCTTATCAGATGGCCACGGACTGCATTGTGTCTGTGACACATTGCTGATGTTGTGGCCGGCCATGATATCGCGATGCATGAGTATCTTGCACGTTGAACAATAAAGCCGGTGGATATCGACCTGACCAACGAAATCCTCACATCTCGGACACTTTTTCGAGGTGTAATACTCATTTATACCTACAACAATGTAACCAAGCGGTCTAGCCTAGAGAGAGGCAGAAACAAATTGGAGAGAGAGGCGAGATTAGTCGTGATATCTCGCAAGAGAGAGCAATTACAGGGTCGCTAAGGAACATCATCGGCCACTTACTTTCTGGACAAGTACGATTGGAACGACTCGCGCAAGGAAGACAGTTTGGTCTTTGTAGAAAACTTCTCGAGATCCACGCCGATCACAACCTTGTTACTGTCTTCTCTCTTGGCGCCAATTGATCCGCCAACCAGCTTGAGAAGACGGCTGGCAATCTGCCTGTACTCTTCGTCTCGCGCCCTTCTTGTGTTTCTTGAGGACCATGTTGCTGTTGTAGAAGGAATCGAGATGTGCCTCCACATCCTTGAGCTTGTCGGCGTAGTCTTTGATGCTTGATCCAGAGCCGCGTAGGGGGACAAGTTGCTCTCGATGCTGCTGATAGATGTCGAGTCGTAGATTGCTTTGTCATTCCTTTGTTCTATCCAGTGTCGTGTAGGCTGATACACCGCTTTCTGGTTGACAGCAACATTGAAAAACTTGGGGGCCTTTATCTCTCTAGATGATTCCTTGGTGGCAATGTTCGTCCCTGTTCCTTCGTCCAGCTTGGGCCTCTCACGACTGGGCAACAAGGCACTCGCTCCTATCACGAATGCTTGTCCTAGATCCAAACCTAAAATCTTGATCTGCCTGCTTAGTCTTCACGACATTCCTGATCTCGGTCAAGAAATAGTCCGTGCCGCCGAGAGTAGAAGTGGTACGAGAAGGTAACTTGGCCTCGGGAAGTCGTCTGTACTTGATCGCATTGGGTTCGTTCAGCTTGAATGCTAACCGTTAGAGTCGAAACCCATCCGTTCGAAGTGAGCCACGTAGAGCATAGCCACGTTCCTTGTACGAGCTGGGTTCGAAGCTGTCGTCTTGAATGGCTCCAATATGCTGTCTCATCTTGTCCAAAGGCATTACAAACATTCTCGCCTTATAGTCTTTCAGCGTTTTCTGTTACTCTGGTGTGTGTCCTCCAATGTCGGTGACCAGCTTGATAGTCCAGGTGCTTTTTCCGAGAGCCAATACGACACGTCCGCCTGCGTGATGTTTTCGGTGATTGGGAAATCAGGCTTGGCATAGTCTTGAAGTAGCTTTCGCAAGACCACGTCTTGCCAAAAGATCTTGATCAGATCCGACTTCGAAAAAGATATGAAAATGTCTTCAAAGGAGGTTAGCAGAGCCAACCTTCGACCACTCGTGCAGACCCTGTCTAGGAGAATAAAGTTCTTGATTGCTGAAATGCCATGATCGATGCTGTTTAGTGCATATGCAGGCAAAGGACCTTTTCCCTTGCGTGCTTTGACCTATTTTGAAAAGGATGGGCAATGTCAGCAAGGTCTTCCTTGATACAATTTGGCCTGTATGCAGACGATAGCGCCGAATGAAGCTACATGCCGGTACCTTCTCACAAAGATCTTTAGAGCCATTACTGTAATGATTCCTTAACTCGACCGAAAGCTGTTGGGCAGTAGATCTCAAAATAGCGGATCCTGGATATGGCATATTTGCCTCGTCCTTGGTTATGGCTAGCGAGAAGTCCTTGGCTTTCTCGATGAACCGAAGGACATGGGGCACCGACCCCGAATTGGAGGGAAGTTCGGAGTTGTAGATGCACACGAGAAGCGATAATAGGATGCCCATTTGTTCATTTCTCATGTCAATCTTGTCGTCGTGCATATCAAACTCTTGGAGTTCTTGAGCAGATTTATCGGAATCGTTGTTACTGGCATCATCCTTGGGAACGTGGGAGCAGCGTTTGTGGAGCAGGGTTCTGTCTGTCTCATCGATGTCGGTGGTTGAAAGGTGCTCTATGTACTAACCGATAGCTCTCTGGCAGGTACGTTTGGCTTGGGACGCATGACGAACAAAAAAAGGGATGGGACCAACAAGGTTGTGATCAGAGTCGGCCTAGGCGAGTTCTCAACAAAGACTAGGCTTTCCTCATTGCACGAGTCCTTCCGGTCCTACTCTGTTCAAAAGGTAACGCATCACCAAGCAAGTATGCAGATCTGTATCATGTTTGGATGCTGTGAATATTGTACTGATATCATTGATGCTTTTTTATTAACGCTCACAAGGCTAGGTCACTTGGATACATCGTGGTTGGAGTGAACGAATACACACGTCCAAGAAGTGTCCAACCTGCGAGCAATTTGTCGGACAGGTCGAGATCCGCAGGCTACACTGCTTGAATTGCGGTACTACCATGTGCCGCGATATTATGGCAGGACACAACATCTGCAAAGCGATACGTGGCCAGTTACTCCGTCAATAGCGACTGCTCTGTCTTCAGCCAGTAGATAAGGATGGACACTACCCTTAGATGCTAGATGCAAGACCACACATAGAAGCTGGGGGCAGTAGCAGTAGCAGCAGTAGCGCAGTGGGACATGGTCTCCGTTGGAGCATTAAAAACGCACCAACTACGCCAGCAAAAGGCGACGCCATAGAATTTTTTTGGTGAGCATAAGCAAATACATGCAGTAAAAGAATTTCGGCGTGCAATAACAGAATTATGCAGCTTTAGGATATAAATTACACCTACCGATCATTTTTAAATGTGCTTGCGAACACATTTATGGTTGAGATGGGGTTTAGGCACTTCCTGGGGCCTGGCTAGTTGCCGATTCCTGCCCTGATGCCGCATTGGCCGCACGCTTGCGCCTTGGAGCTCCTTCTTGTTCTGCAGCCGCGGTTGATGCTGTCCTCTTTCGGGCCACACTGCCCTTGCTGGCGCTGGTGCTGCTAGTACTACTGGTGCTGCTAGTACTACTGGTGCTATTGGTGCTGCTAGTGCTACTGTTACCATTGATGCTGCTAGTGCTACTGTTACTATTGATGCTGCTGCTACTGGTGCTCGCGCTATCGGTTACTGTCTGTGTAGCTTCCATCCAAGGATATCTACCATTCTCATCTACAGGCTGAAGATAGAGTGGCCTCTGTTGCTGAAGCAAGTGCCCTTGAATAACGTTGCAAATATTGTGGCCCGCCATGATATCGCGGTGCATGTATGTCTTGCAAGTCTTGCAATACAGCCGACGTATTTGAACCTGGCCGACAAACTCCTCGCACATCGGACACTTCTTTGACGTGTAGTACTCATTGACGCCCACGACAATATACCCGAGCGCCCTTGCCTAACGGACACAGAACGTAAGGCGCCTCATTAGCGTCATCAGTAGCTTTTTTTTTTTTTTTTTTTTTTTTTTTTTAAAAAAAAAAAAAAAAAGAAATCGAATGTCTTGCAATGAAGCACTAACCCTTTGAACAAAGTACGACTGGAAGGACTCATGTAACGAGGAAAGTCGTCCCGTGGATGAAAACTTGCCTAGACCAATGCCGATTACAACCTTGTCCTCTTCATCTCGCTGTCTACCAAGCGATCCTCCAACCATATTGAGCAGGCGATCTGCGATGATGTCGAATTCTGCCTCTCTAGCTTTTCTGGCATCCCACTGGTGCTTTTTGAATGTGGCGCTTTTGTTGTAGAACTCGTCGAGCTGCTCCTTGACGCCTGCTAATCCCGCAACGTACTTTTCAACGCTGGCATCCTTTCCGCGAAGGGCTGGTAGCTCGCTTTCGATGTTGCTGATAGATTTTGCTGCGCCTAGCGGGATCGACCGTTTGCGTTCTTCTAACCAACGTCGAAACTTGAATGTTGGTTGGTATACGGCCTTCTGCTTTACAGCTAGATTGTAAAAGACCTGGGAGCTGCGGGCGGAAGCCTCGGTGTCATTGTCATTGTCAGGTTGTTCGGTACCGACGGCACTGTTCTGTTGATGGAAGCTCTCCTTGGATCTCGGCATACTCGCTCCTGTAACACATGCTTGCTCTGGATTATAACTGTCGTTGCGTGGCTTTCCATTTTCGAGGCTGACGGATTTTTTCATGTCATCTAAGGTCTTCTCAGGCAATAGAGCGCTCGCTCCAACCACAAACGCTTGACCAAGATCGAGACCTAATATCTTGATTTTCTCTGGTTCACAGTCCCAAAGAACTGCGACATCCTGCTTCGTCTTGACAACGTTCCGAACCTCAGTTAGGTAGTAGTCGACTCCACCCACAGTGGACGTAATCCGAGAAGGCAATATGTCCGTGGGATGCCGCCTGTACCGAACCGAGAGAAGCTCCTTCAGCTTGAATGCCGTTAACTGGAGACGAAAGCCATCGGTCCGAATAGATCCGCGAATAACGTAACCGCGTTCCTTATAAGTGCGGGGGTCGAAATCCTCGTTCTGAATGATTCTCAGGTGCTCTTTGATCTCTGCAAGTGAAGGTGTCGCGAGGTTGTTGAATGATTTGCTGATTCCGGGCATGCGACGCTTTTTATGACCCAGTCCTACGTCGGTGATGAGTGTCGTGAGGAGGTAGCCTGGTGCTTGGTTGGCCAGCCAGTACGACATGTCAGACAACGCAGGACGATAGTCCTTGGCTCCATGAAGACTCTGCAGCTTCGCCTTGAGTGTGTCGCTCTTCCAAAAGATTGAAATCAATTCCAGTTCCGTGAACGCGACGAACGGCTGCGCGGAAGGCGTACACGCCATTAACTTCCGAGGGTTCTTGGTCAGCGGGTTCAGACGGTAAAAGTTCTCGACCGCAGAGACGTCGCCACGAATGTCAATGCATGTCCCAGCCGGCAAGAGCCCTTTGACCAGTTGTTTCTTGAGCTGTTTTAAAGTTGCCGTGTGTAAGGTTCGAGTTAGCGGAATAGAACCTTGTAACCTTGAACCTTGTGTCCCTTGTATGTACATGTACATATGTTGTTCCCCCTCTCTTTTTTCTCTCTTTCTTTCTCCCCATTTCGCCACAGAATACCTTCACTCTCAGTCATTCATTGTCTATGTCCAACATCGCCACTCCGGCATCCCTTACTCTTTCCTTCTCACATTTACCTTTTTATGGAGTTCCTTGCAGCCTTTTCCGTACAATCGCTTGAGATCAACCGACAGCTGCGCGATTATGCTTCGCAGTATGACTGACCCCGGGTATGGCATTCTCGTGTTGATGATAGCAGCATCTTTTCGTTCCAGTAAGTGTAGCTCCTGCGCTCGATCGATGAACCTCCGCGTGCACTGTATACTCTTCGTTTT